TTATGTCAGTTTTTGGTTACTTGATATGGATACTATTAATGATGAAACTATGAACCTATAAAGATGTATATTATGTTTCTCATTTTCAATTCTAAAACCAAAATAATAAATAAAGAAAAGTTGAAAATTATAAATTGAAAGGAAAAATTTTATCGCAAAATATCGCATAATCCTAGAGAATTTCCCACATTTATCCTTACTATCAAATGCGAACGCTCAGTTTTTTTTCTTTTTGTCAATAATTTAACAATATAAAAACGAATAGTTCACACCAATTATGTATGTTATAAATTTATCATTTTCATCTTTTGTTTACTAAATAATTCTTCTGCTCGAGTTCCTTATGCAAATGGATTTGGCGCTTCACAGGACAAAGCCAATAATAATTAAATGCTGTTTAATTAGTAGCACGGTGCCGACGATTAGGAGCTTTGGTGCTGTTTGATTGATGCCCATGAGCACCGGTCATTGCATTTATATACGCAATAGTGTAAGTGAGCGTGATGATCAATTGAAATGCACAAACGTGTGCGGCCCCCGTGTACACTCAATCAAACGGCGAGCAAGAGAGAGAGTGGACGGGGCTGAGATAAGCAAACACCCCTTTGCTGAGACCATCGAGACTCGATCTCATCCACAACAACGTGCGCGCGAGAGAGAGCGAAACAATAAAATGTATTATGTATAAGGGACTGACTGATGTGTGCTGTTGGTTAGCGTAATGGAATTCGTGTGTCCGACGCACATCACACGCCGAAAATCATCGCAGGGAGTTGAAGCCAAGGGGAGTTGGACTCGGATGGACACGCGCGGGGGTCGTTCGCAATCAAATGACCAAAGGCTCGGAAAGGGAGGCAATTGGCGAGAATTAATTTAAAGCTTCGGACAATTTCACGGTTTGCAGCCTGATTTGATTTCGGATTCAATTAAATTCCAACGCTCGAATAAATTTTTTATTCATTTGCTCATTGATGGTAAATGGTAAAGTTTTATACACATCTGATCGAAAAATATGTCAGAATATTTATTTTAAAAAAAATCCGGAATGGGGACCGTTCACGAATAATTTTAATTTAATATGAATTGGCCAAAATTTTTTTTGATGCGATCACCATTCTGAATTTTAAGTATGTTGTTGGGGACCAAACGGGTACACAGTGAAAATTTTGAAATAAATTTTTTTAACATTTTTCCGGAAAATTGAGTTTCTGTAAAAATACAAAACTTTAAATAAAATTCAATTATATTTATCTCAGAAGATTCTATCTACGAGTTTCTCTGAAAATTTTTCTGATTTGGTGTTGCGGACTATTGAGAATATTCTATCCAACCTCCTCTCCTGTACGCACAAAAGTCAGAAGGAAAGGAAAATCGCACCGGCAAATGAAAGAGATCGGTTGCCATTGGAGACCCTTTGGAAGTCAAAGGGAGAGAAATGATGATGCGAACGAGAGAGAATATGAAGACAAACAGGCAGGCGCATCATCACAAAGTTGCCTGGGCAACACACCCACCCACACTATAGATAGATGTACATATAAACGAGACCCACACTCAAAACACCACAAATGCGAAAAGGGAGAGAAAAGAGGCGGAAAAAGCGACGACCTCTCTCTAGGCCGCACCACCAATTTATGCACGCACCGGTGCCGAGATTTTGTTGCTTGCCTTTCGGCAACGAAAAAGGTTATACAGAAGAGGGACTCAAGTCCTTTTGGCTGATTTGATAAATGGAAATGAGCATTGCTTGTTTGCTGCGGCGTTCTCATTTGAATATATAAGGAATTTTTGGTGGAATGTAAGAAAGTATTGGTTTTTTTTAATATTAATATATTTGTTAATTACAAATTGAGGTTATTTAATTGCTGGATTGGAAGCGTTGCAGAAAAAATTCACCATTTAAAAAAATGATGTTAAAATTATAACTGGAATATGTATTAAATTTGATCAACGCTTACTAGAGATTGTAAGAAGAAAAAAAACATCTCCTCTAAATAAACTAAATCAAACAAAAGTATGTGAAATTTCAAAACAAAACAAGCAAAAATTAATAAAAAGTTTCAAAGTTTAATGTGATTGTTTGTTATTTTATAATATTTTATCTGTTGATTAATATTTTTTCTCTAATATTGAGGTAGGAAAAAATTAGTCCCAGGTCGTAGTGTAGCAAAAAAAATTATAAATTTTATAATCCATCCCCCTATAGCTTTTTTTCCATTATCACGATAGATATTCTTCCTGAAATTATATATATCATGAAATTAGAATTAATTTCAAAACTAACAAAATGCAAAGAATAAAAATGATTAAATCCCAAAATAGTCTGATTTATAATAAATTATAATAATTAATAGGTCAAACTGTGTTAAAAAAAGGGATTATAAAATATTTCAATATATTTTTTCACAATATTTCCTTTTTTATCAAAAATTTTCTCTACCAGCACACTTTAATCATATTAAGATATAAAAAATAATTAATTTTTTCTACACTTTCAGACGGTTAATTAATTCATATTTTAAGGCTTGTTCTGTCAACCATGCTGCTCCTCTCAAAGTGATATTGCTCGCTTCGCAGCATCTCCGTTGGCTGAGTGAATATGAGAAGCCAATAAAGAGCAACCAGAATTAATAACGTTTTCCCAACGCCAATTAATAACACAATAACAAATATCTGCAGAGAGGGCATAAAAGGTATGCCAAAGCTGCTCGTCTCCAAAATAGGGAAAGGCGAATTCGGTGGCCCGGGAATTTCTAATTGGAGTTTATTGAGACACGACGAGACATCAGAGAGTTTGCAGGGCGAATGTGCGACGCCGCTAATTGGCAGCTAATTTGATCACGAGAGGCAGGGGAGCGAGATATTGCCTGGCAAATTCCTTAAACTTAATCAACAGTTAATTCAGCCGTAAATTCTCGAGATGTATATTGTGCTGCTGATTATTATTTATCCATCGCATTGAATAAACACACACGTTTGACGAGCAAGTCTTAATTGCTCAATTGAACTGCGCAAACACTGAAAACGGAGAGTTCAGAAATTGACTTCTCGTCTCAGCTCTCTCACTCCATTGGAACTTGGAACTCTCAGCAAACTATTTTTTGCCTGCTTTTTGTGGTTATTGCTTCAAAAGGTGCAGCTAATTAGTTGGAATCCAGGTAGATTGCAAGAAAAGCAAGCGTAAATTTATTTATATATTGTTGAGAAAAAGTTTGTAAACTTTTTGACGAAAGCAATTCATTTAAAAATAAGTTGTATATTTAAAACATGAATGAATGTCACTTGTTTTTTTTTTTTCATCTATTATGATCTACAACAAAAGATTAAGATATTTCAACTGAAAAATTAAAAATAACTCCTGCGGTTATTTCATAATTTAATTATTTGTGGGGTGTGATATTGTTTCAATCATATACATAGCTTCATACAGCTCATAAAATGAAGTTAAATTTATGAAGGGCCTGGAAATTTTTCTATGCGGCGTTTTATACAACTTAAGGACTTCTTATTGATATAGTCAAATCAAGTCCTTACAACAATATAAACAGATTTTGGCGATTGTTGAAAGACAATTGGAAATTTTAATCACCATTATTGTAAAGACTTGATTTGACTATGTCAATAAGGAGTCCTTAATATTTTTCAAGCGCTGCACTTTTTGTAACATGACCTCCTCGTTTGTCACAAAATTTCTATTTATAATTTATATAATTATGATATATATGAATATTTTATATTTAAAAAATGAATTCAGATATTGACCTTTATGCAGATTTTCAAATTTTCTAACCGGGGTGTTTTAATGTATTTAGTAAAATATAAAAAAAATTCATTAAAACTTCAAGCAAAAATAAATAATTGACTAATTCTGTGGATTGATACAAATGTTTTTAACATTCATAAAATTCTCTGGAAAAAATTGCATCAATATTGAAACGCTAAAAGCTGTAGGATTTTGTCAAACTCAGCCTAGGACTAACACACAAACACACATCGGCGAGTCCAGAGGCGAATGAGTTGCGGCGCAAGTGCACAGAAAAGCAAAGTGACTTACTCGACATGTTATAGGATGCCGGCGGGGATTTGGCCGGAACATGTATGATTTACTCTTGCAATAGCTGCTACTTCTAGCTGTGGATATTATGTGTGTGTTGCTTGGCTAGTTCGTCTCCCCCGGTGGCCTGAATATTAATGCACTTTGCAACCCTGCTGCTGGCTGCAGATACGACGAGATTTAAATTAATTCAGCCGCCGCCAGCTCTCGAGATGACTGTGTATGTAACCAGCATATAAATAAATACAATTATACACAAGGCCCTGAACTGAATTTTAAGAGGGCTTCCATTAATGCTATACAAAATGCAAAAATAAATCACCAATAAAATTTAAAAAAAAAATCTTAAAAAAATCGTGGTCGGATGCCGGATTTATCAGAATACCAGAGATATAAAAAAAATCATAGGTGTCCAACAGGGCAGCAAAACCGGAGAGTTTAGTTACCACTGCAATTGTAAAAAATCTTTGGTAGTTATAAAAAACCAATAATTTATGTTCGAGATTCAATTTATGCAATCAAAAAAGGGAAAGTGCAATAATTAAAGTAATACATATATTATTTAAAAGAATAAGAAAATTGAAAATATTTCCTTTTTACTTTTTCAATCGCATTATTTTTGGCCTCGGCACACCGCAGGGTGCCACATCAAGGTGCAGGCCGGATTTTTGTTTGATCTCTTCGTGCATTGTCTTTTTTGGCTTTTAAATTTATTTAATAAAATTATTATATTTGTCAGAACCAATGTTAAACATTTGATCAGATATATTATTAAAAAAAGCTTTTTAAATACTAAATATTTCTTCTTCCTCTTTTCTTTGAATCCATTTATTACAAAGTCGAGTAATTGGACACCAGTGTAATATAAACACCCACGCACACCCGCGTGGTCAGCAAGCGATCCCGCGCGCCTCTTTTTCTTTTCAGTGTTTCTTTTTTCTTTTTACGATCTTCGGAGCGGATGCGACGCTGCCAAGCCAAAGATCCTGCTCTCTCGGCTCCAGCCAGCAGCATCCGCGAGGAGTGAGGATAAACAAAAAACAAATCGCTCCTCCTTCGAACATGGCTGGACGGACCATCAACTTGTCTTTTATTTTGCTCTCGTCGTTGTTGCTCGTCTCGGCCAAAGATGATGGCACGGAATTCAAGGACTTCGTGCAGTGGTTTGAAGAGGGTGCGACGGCCTACCTGGACGAGCACTGGCAAGAGTGCCTCCACGCCATGCAGAAGTCGATGGCCGACTTCAAGCAGTACAAGTCCGAGGTGGTGCTCTGCCGCCTCCGATGCAAGGACGAGGCAGAAGCTGCGCAGCCTCTTTCAATGATCGACGTGGAGGACTTGGGTTTCTTCGAGAGGCAAATCAGGACTACCCTGTGTATGATGAAGTGCAACGAGGGTACGGTGCACGAAAAGAGAGGGGTGTACAAGGAGGAAGTGCTGAAGAAGTTTGAGAGCTTGGCGCCGTATGACTACTTGCAGCTCTGCTATTTTCAGGTTGCTATTAAAAAAAATTAATAAAAATAATTTAATAATAAAATGTAAAATTAATATTCTAGAGAAATATGCTGAAACAAGCTGCGGACGCCGCTTTCACTTTTTTGGTCGCAAATCCACATCATACGAGCATGAAGAAAAATTTTGATTTTTACCTATCTCTGCCGGAAGTGGACAGAAACGATATAACCAATCTTGAAGCAAAGGTAGAAATTTTTTTTAAATATATTAGAAAATTTTCACTGATCGATGGATTTTTATTGGATAGAAATTTGTGTCACTTTATGTACACGGAGTTGATGCGTACGATAAGAAAAATTTTGAGGCAGTTATCCAGTATTTTGAAGAGTCACTTGCAGATTATATGCAAAATGAAAAAGAGTGCCGAGCTTACTGCGAGGGACCTTTCGATCAGGGCTGGTTCCCTGAATTTGTGCCATCCATTTCAAGTATTTTGATTAACAATATTTATTTAAATTATTTTATTGAATTTGAAACTTCAGATCATTTTGCCTATTGCTTAAAATGCAAGTCCAACTGCACCTACAATTTGAACAGTTTGAATGGCGAAAGGCACACCGACCTCTTGCCCAGCCACTACCACTACCTCCAGTTTGCCTACTTCAAAGGTAAACGCATCAATTTTATTAAATTTATGTCAAAATTAACCTTTTGTGCAAGTTGGGAAGCTGAAAGAGGCATGCGAGGCAGCCATGAGTTATCTCCTCTTTTACCCTGCTGATGAGGAAATGTTGGAAAATCTCAAATACTACAAGTCCCTTCCAAAAGCACGCAAGGAATATTTTCATCCTAGACAAGTAAACGTGAAATTAAATTAATGTTATTCAATTAAAAAATAAATAAATAAATTTAGGAAGCATTTGAATACATTCAAAGGTTCCAGTATGAGCAGAAGATTCTCAATTTCATATCTACAGAATACAATTACAAACAAGCAGGAAATAAAAAGGGGGACGACGGTGAGACAATTTCGAAGCAAGAAGAGGACAACAAGGTTGATGAGGTAAGTACGAGTGAATTTTATTGTTGGTATTTAGATTTTGCACAAATCTGAATATTTGTCTGTTCTTTCTTGCCACAGGATGAAAGTTCCTGACTATTAAGGCTCAGCATTGTGCGAAAATTTTGAAGAGTTTGCGCTCTGCTATCGACCACTGCCAATGCCAAAGACTCAGTGATTTTGTTAGATAGAGGAAATAATTATATCTTTTTTAAATGTTTACTAACATAATTATATATTTTACGTTTTCTTGCATGTAAAGGAGTGCGGAGAATAAATGTATCTATTGCACGGTTTTAAACTTGTCACACAATAAAACAAGAGTTACAAACATAAACTTCCCTGTTGTTGCCTGGTTGCTGATCCACAGAATTCAAAGTGCACAAGGGTTCAATTATGCACTTGCAAAACAAATTTCATAAAAACATTTAAATGTTAATCACAGGTTTTAGAAAACTTTGATGAGCTTCAACAGAGATTTCTTTTGGAAAATTTCTACAACGGAAAGGAGTGCACATTTTTGATAAACCTTTCGAAGGCAAGTTTTTAATTTTTAAAAATGTTCTGGATTTTTATCATGCCTTATCTACTAATAGAAAGCTGGCATTTTAGACGATGGATACAATGAGGAACGAAAAGCACCCAACAATGAGTTTGAAACATTTTCAGGACTTTCCTTAAGCAGAATGGCTTTAGTAAAATAATAATATATAAAAAATGTAAATCCTAAGTCACAATTTTAGATGGTGGCAAGAAATTTAATAGACGTTGAAGAGCTTGATAAATTTGTAGCTATGTCTGAGAAGACACTTGGCGTGGTTAAATCAAAATTTGGCATTAAAGAAGAGTTGTATTTCTCTTTCACACATTTGGTTCGTCGATGCGCAGTGGAAGAGAAAAAATCCACAGGCCACATGAGCCATGAAATTCACGCAGACAACTGCATCCCTTTTGCAAATGGCACATGCAGCCGAGACCTTCCTGCATTCAGCTGGAGGGACTTCAGCGCCATAGTTTACCTTAACGAAGAGTTTGTTGGTGGACAGTTGGTTTTCGTGAGCAATTTCGAGGCTGACAAAGTTCAGGTTAGATAAGACAGCCATCAAAATTGTATTGTTTTCCTCACATTTTCTTTTCTGTAGACCGCAATAGAACCAAAGTGTGGAAGATTAGTCGCCTTCAGCGCTGGGCCGGAAAATTTGCACGGAGTGCTCGGCGTCCAAAAAGGATGTCGTTACGCCCTAGGATTGTGGTTCACACTGCAGAAGGAGCGAGAAGAGAGTGAGAGAATTTTGGCTCAAGAGACTGTCAGGCAAATAAAGGTTTACGGTAAGGTTGAACCAAAACTACTTTTGGATTTGGAGCAACTAATTTCAGATTGAATAAATGCATCAAATTAAACGTGGACCTGCTTTTAATTGTTCACTTCCATTTACAGATTTATGTTTCAGGTTTCTTAAGTATTTTAAATTAAGGAGGCCAAAACTTACAAAAAACGTTTATCGCTATCTGCGTCGATGTGGACTTTTACTCCTTTTTCTTCTCTCGGGACTTCTCCTCTTGTCTCTTCGGTCGGAACTCCTGCTTCTCTTTTGTTCTCGGCTTCTGTTTCTCTTTTTGTGCTTTTTCCGTCTCTCTGGAGATCTTTCCCTTTTTTTCTCAATGTTTTCCGGGCTTGGGTCCCTCTTCTTCAAATGTACTAGACCATAAGCCTTTTCAGTTGTTCCATTGGCATTGGAGACTTTGTCTAAACTACGTTGAACCAGTGCTGCATTGTCGGAACCTGAATTTTTTAAATTAGTTTTCTCAACTATTAAATTTGTAAAAATTAACTTACTGACTACTCTTGACTTTTCGTTGTACTCTTTTACAGTGACAAGCTCAAGCATGTACTCACAAATGCTCTGAACTTTGTTGCCAAGGGTCATTCGCACTAATACTCGTCCCAGTGTGTCATGGAGACTCTCAACCTAATGGTAAAAAAAAATTAGATGAAAAAGAGCGCAAATACCTTAAAAATCGAGTACCTTTCCGTAACAACCTTGGAGTGGACCTTGAAACACTTTGACATAAGCTCCCTTGCACATTCGTAGATCTTGCCCTTCTTCTGTGTTTTTCTTGACTGGTTTTTTCGCCTCAACGCCTAAACCCATTCCCCTGGGTCGAAATGCAGGTTCTTTTACTTCCACAACTCTGAAAATTTATAGTATTAATACCTTTTCTATTCTAAAATTTGCTATTATTAACATACTTAGGATTTCTTCCAATTCCTTTGCCTGGCTCCCAACCCATTCCACGTAGCATTGCCAAACCAAAGTCTTTCACTGGGATAGCTTCATAATTCTCAGCTGTTGGCTGAAAATAAGAACATTGTAACAGCAATTAAAATTATTTTTTGAACAAACCTCTTCTTTGTCTTCTTCAGCAGCATCGTCTTCATCCAAATTCATATAAATTGTGCTCGGCTTATTATCATCTTCTCTTTCTTGTAACGCCTCGGCAGCCTCTGCAAAAGTTAAATTTAGAATTTTTTAGGAGAATAAAGGTGGATTAAAATTCAACCTCTGAGGATTTCCTGCTCTGCTAAAATGTCGAGTTCATCTCGCTCGGTTTTAATTCCATTTTGAGCTGCAACAGGGCGAGCGGGTGCTTTTCCATCTCGAATCTTCAGAAGTTTCTTTTGCCACGCTGGGACAGTTTTGACGAGAGGAATCACCAACTCTTCCTTCTTTTCTTCAACTTTTCCACTGTAATAAGAAAGCAACAAATGGTTAACTTTATGAAAACATATTAAACTTAATTATAGGAGCTTAAGCGTTAATACGCATTTGCGTTACATATTAGTTCTAGAGAGTACTTTACATTGTAAAATTAAATGTTCTTTAAAATTACCCGATCGTCTCAAATTCCTGTCCTTCCACCGACGAAATAAATTCCACAGTTGGCTCGCTTTTCGGTGCCAGTTTTATCTTTGGATTTACAGGTGGTTTCTTGGCGAATCCGAAACTGATCTTCACCCGTCCATCCTCGCTCATTTTGCTTGAGAATTTGTGAAAATTGGGCGAAAAATACTCGTTCCTTCTATTTCTGCAATGTAAACATGCGTTTTGTTAGCTAGAAAGGGAAAGTCTGCTGCTATTGGAGGAAACTAGGGACGCCATATTGGATAAATATTTTTAGCGGTAAATGGATATTTTTGGGAAAATTGAAGCTGATTTTGAGATCAAAATAAACTGCGCTAATACTTAAATGTCTCAAATAAATGCAAAGTAATTATTCTAAAATTTTTCCCGATTTAGATTGCAAATAAGATAAAACTATTAAAAATACAAATCAAATCAAAGTTCGTCCAGACTCGCGCCACATATCTTTCAAGAAACATGGAGGCTTTACGAATCCTATTATAATCGATTGTAACGGCGATTTTCAATTGTTTCGTTTTTCGCTAGGCAAGGGGCTGCGTTGGGGCTGCGTTCATAAACACGGAGTTGGTATGGTCAAAGTCTGTCTGGTTTTCCCTAATTTCGAGTGACACAGGGGTGCCTCAGATGACCGTGGGAAGTCTTAACAAAACGCCAAGAATTTCCCAAAACGCCGAGATCAACTTTGGTGCATCCCATGTCCAACCTGCCGAATGATGGACGATTTCCTGCCGCCCCGGAGGCTTATGTCATTCGGTGCTGATTATCCACTTTTGCAAATGCACCCCGCGCTGCCTTTTTCCAAACTGCTGCCCTCGGAGTCCGTGTCCAGAGACATGACGAGACACCGAGCAGAACGGATCAACGTTGACTCCGATTACCTCAGGTTTAAATTAAAAATTTACAATGAAAATTTGTTTTAAGCGTTTCAAGTTATGAGATGAATATATTTTTTATTTTTCAAAATTCATCGGATAATATCCTTTCTCCTATATAATGTACATACTGGATCAGCTGAATTAATTTTTCATTGCAATTTTGCAGCTACCCCCAGGATGAAATCATGCGAGGGATGTATATTGCTGGCCAACCGTTGACTCCGGAGCACAACTACTTTGAAATTGAAATTCTGGACAAAGGTGTTGAGAGCACAATATGCCTCGGTGTTTGTCCGCGTGATCAAAGTATGGATGTCCAGCCGGGAACCACTGCCGACGGTGTAGCCTTTTACATCGAGAGTGGGAGGCATGTTGATAAGATTTTGATTGATTAAATTCTAACAAACCATAATTTTTTTTAGTATTCTTCGTAATTCCAAAGGAATTGAATGCATTGAGGGCTGTGAACTGGGTGACCACATTGGATGTGGAGTTAAATTTGACCAAATGGTTCCTGGCTCCAAAGTTCCAGTCTTTTTTACAAGAAATGGAAAAGAGGTATAAAAAGTGATCGGAAAAAGAGGAAAATATTGATTTAAAATTGATTTCCAGATTGGAAGTGTCAAAGCCAGGGTACCCTACAAGGGTTTCTTTCCTATGGTCTCGATGAGCTCTTGTGGTGAGGAAGTCAGAATCATGACCCAGATGCATTACATTCAAGATGAGGACGTCATGATGTCGGTAGACAGCTGCGAAGACGAGTGGTACCGGCTCTCGGACATCAAGCTCAACGGACCAGTACGCACACCAATTGAAAAAAATGACGTTGCATTAAATAATTACCTGATTCAGGTCCTAGAGTACAAGGGCAAAGGCAAGAGTATCATAGATGTGGGTCTGGCACAAGCAAAGCAAGCACTTAACACAACCAACCACTACTTTGAGATCGAGATAATTGACCCGGGCGAAAGCTGCTACATTGCCATCGGCCTTACAAACAGAGTGAGTTCTTGTGTTTGATATTTGAGTGGGGTTGCTTTGACGTCATTCTGCTCAGGTTTTTGTCTTATTTGCTTAATTGATTCAAAGACGTGAAATGAAATATGTATTCGTTTTTTTTAAATCTTTTTGTAACCAACAATGATACAAGCGGAACCTAATATAACAAAAAATAAAGTAGTTATAAATTAATCTCACAATCGCAATTTTCAATATACAGGAATTCCCTCGATATCGACACCCTGGCTGGAACAAAGGCTCAATAGGCTACCATGCTGACGATGGGAAAATCTTCATTGGCAGCGGTGTGGGCGAGCCCTTTGGCCCTAGGTGTCACAAAGGGGACAGAATGGGTTGTGGCATCCACTTCCCTCGAGACTTTGAGCCTCAAGACTGTGAACAGGGCGCAGAAGATGTTGAAGAGGACGAAGAAGACGACGACGGCCACGGGATGAGACGACTCAGGTACGAAAGACTTAGGTATGGATTTAAACGATCTTCAAATATTGCCATAGTTATATTTTTGTTTGACTCTGTAGAGCTTCAAAAATTGGAAATTCGCCAGAATCTCCACCTGGTGAGGCAAATTTGATTGGAATCGAGGACGGTAGTGAAAGTGAGGAGGACGATGAGTGGGAGTACGAGGATGGAAAATCGTCGGCGCCTTACGTGGAAGTGTTTTTTACCCGAAATAGCAAACTGATTGGTAAAAAGAGAGTGTTGATTCCAAAAGGGGGGTTCTACCCAACCGTAGGTATGTTGAGCATCGATGAAAAGGTACGAGTCGACCTGCACCCCATGACAGGTTGACTGAGCCATCAAAATGCCACGTTTGTTTTACTGTGATGCCAGTTGCGGACAAAACTTGATTGGTTTTTAAAATCACAAATATCATATTAGTAAAATGTGCACAAACTCAGTATTAGTTGTATTTCAGTGGAGTTGAAATTTGTTGTGCTACGCTTCTGTTTTTGTGGTCAACATAAACCACATCAAGTCCGTCCGTAAACTGATTAAAGTCATGTTGTTTCTTTTTTTGTCAATGTACTCTGTTACTTTTTTACAGATAAATTAAATCAAACTGTTCAAAAGAAAATTTTTTGGCAACCATCTTATAGATAAACCACCCCCAAAAAATTATCAAACATGTAATTGTATATTTATGCAACCGCTTTACGTATGTGACAAACTGGTTGCCTACATTTGAACCTGCAGGCGGCAAGAGTTTCCAGCTTCGATCACAGGCAGCGCAGTCGTCGACACACCCTCATTTGAAGTGCACCAGCCTTTTTCTCATGTGTTTGTTTCTGTCTGTAGTATTGATTTGTTAACTTCGCTAGACCCACTTTTGTGTGTCCCTTTTGCTCCACCTCAATTTCCTCGGAAAATCGACGTCCTTCGCCGCAAGGAAATGGAACGTGATTAGTCGCAAATTCAAACGTCCGAATCGAAAAAAGGCAGGACGATGTCTTCTGCCAGCGGCGACAAGACGGTCAACAAAGTGGCCCTTTGCTCTGCGATATTTGCAGGGTTCGCCTATGTTGGTTATTCAGTTGTGCGAACTGCCTTCTGTCGAAAACTGGGCAAGAGAAGAGACTCTGAAGGTAAAAAAAATTGCTATAGATGCAAAACCCTCACGTAAGAACTCGGATGGCTTACGTGAGACCTTGGAATTTGATCTTACAATTCATTCTTAAATTCACTTTCCCTCTTCATAATAACCGTGACATTAGGTCCACAATAACAAAAGTTGTCTATGTTTTCAGCGTATCACGGGCACGATGACCCTCTTGGCCCTCGAATGTACTTCCGCCGACTGTCCCAAACTACGCAGACGGACTGTCTGCTGGGCAATCTGGACATGGGCAATTCTGGAAGGGTTATCCTTCGACCAATGTCAGTCCAGGATCGCATCCGGGATTTGAACATGCGAGCAAGACAATTCACGGACACCATGCTGGCCATCCAGGGTGGTGCAGGAGCTGCTGCATTGTCTCCCAGACATGGACCAAGCCCTTTGCCAGGTCCTCGAAGCCTCCAGGTTGATACAAAAATGACTGAAATGCATAAAAAAATTTATATTATAATTAATATAGGCTTCTCCGTGGAGCTCACCAAGGATATTGAGCCCTGTCGATGTTCGCCACTTTCTGGCAAGTCGCTCTACTGAAAATTTGACCTCTTGTCCTTTGGACATAGGTTCTCCAACTAGAAGGAGGTGGACCAGGCGGTCTCTGAGACGTTCTGGAAATCTTGGGATCAAAAGTCCAGATGGTGCCAGAGAGCACGAGGAAAAGACTCGACAGGAAGCAGAGCAGCTTTTGCAGGATGAGGAGGCAGAGCTTCGACTGCGACTTGATTCACTCAGCAATAGAAATAGGTCAAAAGTCAACTTGCACTAAAGAACCTCAATCTGGCATAATTTCCCTTCATTTATAATTATTTCAAATTTGTACAAAAATCAAAATTTGCATTTAAATTTCAGGGTACTTTCTCCCCACGAAGCTAAGAGCCTCACTGCCCTTCTGCACAGTACTGATGACGTCCTACTTGAACGGACGTTGACCATTATTGGTGATAGTGGAACCTTTCAGCAAAATCAGGTCATTATATTTTGACCCAAATTTATTTTAAATTTACTTAAGTTATTTAAAAGCATTTCGTTGCTATGAACTTCACTAAAATTAAACTTATCGGATGTTATTCAAGTTTTTAAATTGTAATTTAAACCATTTATGTTACATAGGACACATTGAGAGAAGCTGGATGTTTGTTCAGACTGCAAAACCTGCTTACGTATCCAAAGCTACCCGTGCAACTGGCTGCTGTGAGAGCTTTAGGCAACTTGGCCTTGAATGCAGAAAATCAAAAAGAGTTGAAGGTTTTTTGCCCCATGATTATTTTTTTGACAAATTTAAATAAAATGTGAATTTACAGAATGCTGTGCCCATTTTGCTTTCCTATGTGATTCGCCAACACCCGTCAGAGAAGCTTGTGCTGAGCACTCTTCTCACACTGACCAACATTGCTGTGCTCAACAACTGGCACGAAGAATTTTTGCCGGCCCTGCACGCATTCTACGGACTGGTGGACACGGGAAGTCCGCAGATCAAGTTGCAGACGCTCAAACTGTTGGTCAATCTTTCATGCAACGAGGACATAATTCCCAGCCTACTTGCCGCACAAGTAAACAAAACATTCAAATCCTTGAAAATTTCCTAATTTTTATTTTTAGGCTCCAAAGAGGTTAATTTATTTACTTGACCCAACCACAAACGAAGACATTCTTTTGCGAGTTGTCACTTTGCTGGCAAATCTCACAACTGCTGTTAAAGAACATGAAATTGACCCCACCATCGATTTACCAGCCGAGGACAAAGCAGCATCTCCCGACACCATGTAGGTTCAGAATTTATAATTTTTTTTTTTTATTTTAGATTTATCTATTCGGCATATTATTATTTTGCATGCCATTTTTTTCACAATTTTTATTTTACGAAAATGGCTGCTCCTTTTGTTTTTTGGCTGTGGTATTCAATTGGGTGGTGACGCACCATTTTTCCAGCAGGTATGCCGCCATCTACGGTGTCAACATGGACGAGAAAATGCGCACCAAGGCGTTTGTTCTCATGAACCAGCATCCTAACGAAGATGTGCGATTTATGGCCAAGAAAATGTATGAGGCCATTCAGCAGCCAGGCTCCTGAGATAGAAAACGCCCACCATGGGACAGCTCTGCATGCGCGGGACAGAAACCTACCATAGTTGTCACTCCGAGCGAGGAGTGAAAATCGAAGTTACAAAAAGCATTATTAGCTGGTGTATAAAAATTATTTTTCATTCCAGGTGGGAAGTTGTTGATGATTTTGAATTTTAATGTTGAACCGATCAATAAGCAATCTATTTTTGTGCCACTTTTAAAAAGAGGATGAATTTGGTTTTAGAATTTCAATTCTGTACATGTTTAAAAGTTACTCATCCCTGAGCTGCAGCTCAATAATTACGCTGAAGTTACCGCCATATTTATGCAAGCACAATATCTTAACTTTTACATTTATCTCGGTATGTACTGTGCTGAGGAAAAGCTTATAAAAGGTGTTGCATTTCTCTCGGGTTGCTATTATTTTTCATTTTGTTACCTAGTCACAGGTTTCAAGACTCGTGATGCTCAGCCAGTTGGTTTTAAACTGCTTTGAGTTGTGACAAGCTTCAATGTGTTCTCTGAATTTGCTTGTGATTTTAAAAAACTGTTTACAGAATAAGATTAATGCTCTTTTGATGTTCCTTGCAAATGCAAAATACAAGTAATCTATAAGCAAAATGTTGTATTTGTTACAAATTAATCCTTTATTACTTAATTGTTTCATCCACAGCTTAAAAAATGTTGGATTTTTTTCCCAATTTTAATTCGAATCTTTTTGTTATTAAATAATTTTTAAATATTTTTTTAGACTCAGAATAAATTTAAAATCTCATTTTGAGATTGATGGCATACAATAATCACATGGTATTGTATATAATCAGTTATCAGTTGATATCAAGTCAGACTTAAATTTCACATCAATATTGTCAATGCGAGCTCTTTTTTTACTAGATAAGATTTGCATGTAGTGCTCTCAACTGAAATCAATTATCATTTTCAGATTAAATTCTCGCTCATTCTAAATTCTTACATCACGTTTGCAATTATTATTTTGATTTCTCATAAATCATCTAGAAATAATAAGAATATTTTAGGTCTCTCAGCCTCAGCATCAACTTTAGCATTAATTGTTCAATTAACAACAACAGCAAAATTTATCTAGGTCAAGAAACAAAATTAAATCATGAAACAAACCACAAGGATGATGACGGCAAACAGGCCATTGACCCCAATGACAATGAGCAGTCTGAACATCAAATCTCTGCTTGGCATTTCAGTCTCCACAAAACCATCAACCACAACTGTATCCTTATCAATTGCAGACTCGTTTTCAAACTGAACAGATCTTTCAGGCTTTTGCATCCAGGGCTCATCATAGTCATTGCTGGGCCTCCTTTGAAGAGTGCCGGAGAAGTAGGTAGTCTGCCGCATCTCATTCAGCACCCTTGTCATCTCATCAATGTGGCGGAGGAAGACTTGGTTGTTTTGTTCTATCGGAGAGGCCACTCTGTCCCCGTCTCCGCTCGTGTGGTGCTTTGCTGGGGCTTCTGGGCTGTAAGCTGCTGCATCTGTCTCACTGAACACGGAAAAGTCAAGTTTCAACTTGTGATCTGAGTGACTTTGGCTTTTTTCATTGTGAAGACTGAGATCTGGCATGGTGAAAGGCCGTTCTAAGAAACCTGTAATGTCAAAGTTCAAACAAAGTTGAAATTATTTTGGCAAAAAATATTTTTTCAAATTCCATATTGAAGCAATTTATTTTTTTCTGTGTACACGGCGCTGTAGGAGCACTACTGGCGTTGGTGAAATGCTTCACACTTGGTAAGAGTATAGTTTTAAGTTCCGACTTAGAATTCACTGTTTTCAACAAAATTTATCACACTGCCGCACTTAGCTCGAAGCAGTCGAGGTTTTGTTCCGAACTGAGGTACCTGATGTGTTCTGACCAACAACGGAGAGATTTGGCATTGAGTAGACCTGCTGAGCAGCCCATAAGGCAGTGGGGTTATGTTTGACACTGAACTCCAGGCCAATGTTGATCAGGTTGCTCTGCTGCTGCCACAGGTCCAGGCCTTTGTTCACCACTAATTCACTAAACTCTTCAGTCACCTAATTATTTTTTAATTTATATTTTTTACTATCCCGGAATTTGGTAATTTATGTGAACTTACATTCTCAAATATTTTGTTCAGATTGTTTGAAGTGTCACAGGACATGATGGATTTTTTCAGGCTAACACACAAAGAGACGGCAACGAAGATCAAAATCTTGTAGGAGCCGCCAACCATTTTGTCCCAAACCCTGCAATTGCAAAATTTCATATTTTGACCATTTCTCAAAATGAATTAAATGAAAACTTACTTGCAAAGTGAAGATTCATTGAGAACAACAGCAAACATGGAGGTAAACCAGTCAAAGAGAGGCAAATTTTGGAGCAGTTCTTTGTCCAGCATATAGCTTAAGAGGACAAATATCATTTTTTTTTTTTTTATCAAACAAAATTGAACATTTACTTGTAGAGCTCAGAGTCTTCCTTCTCTAGAAAGCTGTGGGTGCATTCAGTCAGTTTTGGCATTTCGATTGCAAGTCTTGTGAGGAAGTTGAAGAAACCCTTTGAAACCCAGTAGACCTCAACGTCGTTGTCGAAGAACTCCATCATCATGGATGCCAGAGTGGCAAAGTTCTCGTTGATAGGGTTGTTCTTAAGCTGTATATAAATTAAATTAAAATTATTTTTTTCTTCTATAATATATATCAAGTACCGGTTCTTTGCATCCGGTCGGAACTCCTCCAGTTTCCAAGAGCCACATAATCACTAAGTTATGAGGAGCTGACTGAGTTTCCAGCTTGAGCACCCTCATCATCCTTGCCAGGTCATTGAAGGACTGTTCTCTGCAGGACCACACATACTCGTGGCAGGCCACTTGCAAAGGCAGGACTCCTATTACATAAACCAACGGTAATTTTTGGAGTAAATTATAATTGAAGAAATTTTACCCAGAAGTAGCTTCCAAAGATAGCTACGATGGATGCCAGGTACTGGGAACCTCAGGCAGAAGTGATTTAGCTTTGCTTTGTCCAGACTCTTTTCCTTCAGAAGAATCTCCAGTGACTTTTTCTCCTCGACGCTGCGAAATCCCACTTTCTCGTAGTAGGAACTTCGAAAGTTTCGCTCGTCGTTGGTTGCCATGATCTGGGGATAATAAACTGTCGTTAAAAATTCAAAAGCCGCAAAAGCCATTCAATGTTTAAAGAGTAAGAAAATTTAATTTGTTTACCAGTTGATGGACGATATGGGCTAGGTAAAATTTCTAAACGTTCTTTGTCAGCAAATTAATTTTGTAAACTCTCACATTCCTCTCTATGGTCAACCTGAAATCCAAATGAAAAATCATTGTGCTAATCTGCTTCAGTCATTGCTGCACTCACACAAAATATTGCGTCTTAATTTGACTAAAATTTCTTTGAGACTTTTTTGCTTTGTTTTGGATTTTCGGCCCGGCTCATGGCTCATTATTTGTCAACTTCCAACTTCACGCGCCATCTGCAGGTTCTTCTAAAAAGTAGAAATGGGAGCGCGCGAAAAATACTCCCAGTGTAGAATATCCCGGAGATTGTGGGTTCGATTCCCACTCCAGGCTGATTTTTCTCGGGGGAACCTGAGTGATTTCTCACGCTGGGACTGCGAGTGAATGGTTGAAAGTCGGCCGGGGGCCGCAGGATTTCGTGTTGACCCCAGTTGTACGCAAAAGCGTTTAATACAAAATCCTTTTTTTTTTTAAAGAATATTTTTTTTATATTGCATAAAATTTTGCTTATTTTAGTTACAATTTTCTACTGAATCAACTGAAAAAAGTTTATCTTTTAAAGCCAAAGCATGTATAGAAGCAGGGTACTACTTTCACCTATTGAAAAAAAAATACGCAACCATTAATTACGATTGATAATAAATTTAGAGAAAAGTTGTTGAAATTTTAATTTATTTTGTTTTTGCTCTGACCAGCAAAATTCAATAAAATGTGTAATAATGAGGGTCGAAAGAAAATTAATTAAAACAAATAATTTTTAAGCAATTATATATTGACCATTGGGTTGGATGTAAATTAATTTATTTGTATTTCGACAAAAACCCAATTAAAAAAAAACCACTTAGGCGCAGTTAGACTGATCAGTGAGCACAAAATCCTTTGCGATGCCGCTTTGGTCGACGACAGCATTGGCAGATGCAATCACGGCAACAGTGGGCTGGCGCTCGCGGGTGATGATCCAGGCGGTCTCTGCCGAAGAAGTTGTTAAATTTTTTTAGTTCATAAAAAACAAAAATAAATCATACGACGGGCCTTTGAACCGTCACTCCTGCAGGACCAAACAACGGCAAAGTGATCGTAGTCGGTTCCCAAAACGTAGTAGTTCCTGGGCACTGTTAAAATTAATTAAAGGTTATGTTATGCATTTTTTTAATAAAAACTCACCATTTCCATACTGGGGGTAGGTAATCAGGAGCTTTCCATCTCCAGCTTCATTGGCCGAGTAGAGAAGACCAGCAGTGGACTCCTGCTGATTTTTCCTGAAATAAATTTCGGTATAACGCTTACTTATTAAGAAATTCAGCATTTTAGATTTTTTCTTTTTTTAAATATCCTCTTAGTTATTTCGATAAAAAAAATTGAGATGTTATAAAGAATTTTATAGCTTACTCGGGCAAGAAGGTAATTTCGTTAAATCCAAACGTGCCATTTTTATAGTCGGTATAGTCGTGAGTGTCGCACTTGCCAGGCTCGACAGGGCTGTACGATGAGTACTGGTACCAACGACCAAGGAACTGGTAAAAAGAAAATAAATTCAGAGGGTTTACAATTTTGAGGAAATCTAAATTACATTTTTGAAGATTCTGATACAATTAACATGTTGAGTGAATCTTCCTTTTTTTTTTAATTATATTGGAATAAAAATTGATGGATTTTTCTATAATTATTTGCATTGGTAAGCCACTAAGTCAGTGCAAAACCGTGGGAAATTAATGACGGCCGGGGTTTATAATATATATTTTCATCCAAAAATAATCTCCCTGAAAACTTTGACTGAAACGCTATGCAAAAACCTGATAATAGGAATGATAAAATTTTGATTTTCCAACAATTCTCGCTTTTACAAAATTTTCTCGGTAATTCTTATATTATCTAAATATTTTAATTTTTAATTCATTAATAAATTATTTCCTATCATAATTACCTTTTGGAAATCGAAGTTCTGCTCAACTGTGGCGGCAGGACACTCGCCAGGGGTGTTGATCGCTAGACCAGAAACGGCAACAACGCAAATGGCCAAAGAGGCGAGAATGGATTTTGTTGAGAAAGACACTGAAATTTTCAGATTTTTCCACTTTGGTAACTGAAAATTATTTAATTAAAAAATTCTCTTACTGTTTAGATAAGCAAGAGGTCTGATGTGCTCTGGTGCTCAATTGGCTTGCAATTAAAACAAAACGGTTGCATTCGCCTTTTTATACATTATTCTTACACTTGACCCGCTGACCCTTAGTTTTTTTTGGCATTTGTCTCAATGACTTTTGCACGATAACTCATCCTAAATATTACTTCCACAGTACGTGCTCTGTTGCATGAGTTTCGCTTCTCCATATATATGGTGACATCTCTTGCGCAGAAAGTGTTAAGTTAAAAAAAGATGGCACTCAAATTTTTATTTTTATTACTCTTGATGATTTGGATTGGATCATTTTGAAACATAAGTTGTGAAAGTCGCATTTACTAATCAGAAATAAATTTTTCAAGAAAACTTTATTTTCATTAGTTTTCATAGTAGCAAAAAGAAAAGAAAGTAAAGATCGATGAGAATTAATAAAAGTTTTTATTCTTATCACATATTTTAAAAGTTAGGTAAACGTATTTGATGAAGATTAAAAATTTATGATTTTATTTATTATTTTTACTGAAAAATCGCTTAATGTGCTGCACTTATACTTTATTTTGAATTCATCACGTCAATCATGATAATTTCAAATAATTTAAATTATTTTCGTCTGCATATATTATTTTATATTACTTTTAAAAACTCGGTCAGTTGCCTTTTCTGATAAACTTATACACATATATTGGGCCATTGAAATTGAATACTTTTGATACCTTTAATTTCTAATAAATGATTTTTTGGAAAAAAAATCAAATGTCTCTTAATAGTCTTTACTGATCAATACGGGGATTCTGTAAATTAAAATATTATATATTGTTGTTTATTCTACTTAAAAAATAATAAATTCAAAAATGTGAAAAGGTTTTAAAAATCAAATCAAATTGGAAATCCAAATTATTACGTGAATTTATTCTTTTATAAAACAAAAATTTGAATTGTGTGGGATTTTTTAAGTGGAAAACCAAATACATTTTACAAAAATTTATTAGTCGCATTCAGACTGGTCAGTGAGAATATAATCCTTAGGGATGCCGCTCTGGTCAACGACAGAGTTGGCAGATGACAACTCAGCTGTAGAGGGCACGCGCTTGCGGGTAATGATCCAGGAGGTCTCTGCCAAAAATTGTTAAAGTGAAAAAGCGGAAAATCCAAAATTAAAAACTCTTACGACGAGCGTTTGAACCGTCTTTCCTGCAAGACCAAATAATGGCAAAGTTATCGTAGTCGGTTCCCAAAACGTAGTAGGTCCTGGGCACTGTGTATATAAATTTTTTTAAATACACACGTTTAGCAATATTTTTTTTTTTTTTTTTTTTTTTGTAAAAAAAAAACTCACCGTTGCCATACTGGAAATAAGTAATCAAGAGCTTTCCATCACCTGCGTCAGTGGCGGGATAGATAAGGCCATAAACGGTCACATCCTTATTTCTCCTGCAATAACAGTTTAAATTTTGATTAAAGGTTAAAAAAAAATAATAAATATTTTAAAACAGCTTAAATTAGAAGTTATGGCATTATTTTTCCAATGATTTTGTGAAAAGATCGCTTTGATGTGTATTTTAGAATAGTGAGAATTTTGTTCTTATTTATAAAAGTCTGAGGACTTTTGTATGTCTGCTTTTAAGAATAAGAGAAATTAAAATGAGAATGCTCTAACTTACTGAGGCAAAAAGGTAAATTCGCTGAATCCAAGAGTGCCATTGCCATTGTCAGTATATTCGTGATAGTCGCACTTGCCAATCTCGACAGGGCTGTACGAAGAGTACTGGTACCAACGACCACTGAACTGCGTGAGAATAATTGATTTTGTGTTTTTGTTGTTTTAAAATAATATATTATAAATCAATCAATCAAATATCAGTAAAAACACACACTTATGATGCTATTTTTTAATATTTAAAATTTTTAAAATTTCTATTTTTGATAGTAAATTAACTGGTGTCTTTTGAAATCATTAATTCTTTACCCTCTGCAAGTCAAAGTTCTGCTGGACCGTGACGCTGGGACAATCGCCAGGGGTGGTGATAGCCTTATTTTGGCCAGAAACGACCACAATAAAAATCACAAAAACAGTCAAAGAGGCTGAGATGGACACTGAAATTTGAATTTATTGTATAGAAACTGCCCATAAAATGTTTAAACAAATTATTTAATTTATTTTATTTTATAAGACATTGAAATAAACTAGGCCAAAATTTTAAATGAAGACGCAAGACTTAAATTTTCTTTATTTAATGATTTATAAAGCAATTCAAGAAATCAATTTGAATAGTTTATAGCTGCAGCGTATAAGATAGAAAAATTATAAATTTGAATCGAAGTTTTTTAACAATAAAGGCATCGTTCTAAGTAAGAAAATGCCTGGCACACAATTCAATAAATTAATCTGTTTTTCAAAAATTAATGTCAAGATATAGTGTACAAGGTACAAAATACACTTTGCAACTAAATATTCTCTTACTTTTTGCAGTAGTGCGGTTGGATGCTCTTCGGCGCTCAGTTGGCTGGCATATAAACCTAAATCTGCTGAATTCACCCCTTTTATACATTGTACGAAATACACTTAACCTTGCAATGACTTTTATGCGTACCACCAAAACGCATACTGTTTCTAAGGCTGGATAAAATTACAAATATGTTTTCTGTTGACGGTGCATTAAAAATTGATAAAATTGATTGGTAACATAAAAAAATGTTTTTTGTTCAAAATAAGCTCAATTTAAATTTTTTATTTTAGTTTTGTTTTTTTGAAGCTTAATTTTCAATAAACGCAATGCTTTGCTCTTTGCTGCAGTCCTTTAAAGCAATTATCACTGCCATATACATGATATACAATCATTCAATCAAATTGAAGACTACTGCGACCAAATTCACCGTCTCAAAGCTCCAAGGTGTTGACGTGTTGATGAACAGTCGACATTTTCTTACCACATGACATTAGTGTATTCACTCATTGTGATTAAGATTTTTTGAATGATGTTTAGGCTTCGCAGTTTGTACTGGAGAAAAATTGCAACTAAGCAAACTGTGATTCAAAAAGTTGAATCTGTAGATTAAATTTTCTATTTTCTGAATTCTCTGCAATAAGTGAAACAATTACGCTGTATTAATTTTTATTTATATTTTCCCCAAATGTAATAATCTCATTGGCTGATTTAGAACTTCAACATAGTGGATCAAAAAATAATAAAAAGCAAATGAAATTTAGATTTTTTTATTAATTCAATTTTTTTGTTTATCAAACTGAAGATCAGATTTTATTGATTACAACCAATTGTAACAAAGGCATTTCGAATAAATAAGGGCCATCTTTCACAAGATTGAACAAATTTTTTTTGTGTCGAAACAAACCAAAAGGTATTTCACAAAAATTAATTAGTCGCAGTTAGACTGGTCAGTGAGAACATATTGCTTTGCAATTCTGTTTTGGTCGACGACAGCGTTGGCAGATTCCACCACGGAAGCAGAGGGCACGCGCTTGCGGGTCATGATCCAGGAGGACTCTGCCAAAAATTAATTCAGAAAAGCGAAAAATCGCGAGTAAAAAATCTTACGACGAGCATCCGAACCGTCTTTCCTGCAAGACCAAACAATGGCATAGTTTTTGTAGTCAGTTCCCAACACGTAGTAGTTCCTAGCCACTGTGTTAATAATTTAAGAGAGTACGTGTTTATCAATAAATTTTATGTGTAAAAAATCACCATCTCCATAGTGGAAGTAGGTAATCAAGAGCTTTCCATCAGTGGCTTCACTGGCGGGGTAGATAAGGCCATAGATTGTCATATCTTTATTTTTCCTGCAATAATTTAAATTAATTACCAACAAGTTGGTTGTAATGTAAATCCTAAAACCCTTTTAAAGAAATTCAAATAAGATGTTTTATTTCATTTTTTTTTATACTTATATCTAAAAAGTTTGCATTATGCATTATAAGATATATAATTCTAATGGAGAATTATGTTGTAATTTACAACTAGATCAGCCAAGTCTGAAGAATTTTACGTGATGCTGCTCATTGTAATTGTTGATAGCTCAACAGGTTATTTCTTAGATTTTGGGAAATTTAAAACATAATGCTTTAATTTACTTGGGCAAATAGGTAAATGCGCTGAATCCGAGGGTGCCGTTGCCATTGTCGGTATATTCGTGATAGGCGCACTTTCCAGGCTCCATAGAGCTGTATGTCGAGTACTGGTACCAACGACCACTGAACTGCACGAGAATAATATTTTTGTTATAAGATATTTTAATGTTAATAAATCCCTGCTATTTTTATTGTTTATAAAAATTTGTTACATAAAATATTGATTTTGGTTAAGAAAAAATAATTGGTGTCTTATTAAATCATCTTTACCTTCTGCAAGTCAAAGTTCTGCTCGACGTTCACGCTGGGACAATCGCCAGCTGAAGCGCCCACCACACAAACGGCCAAAGAGGCGAGAATTACTTTTGCTGAGAAGGACACTGAAATAGATTTAATTGTTTAATTTATAGAAATATGTGTTAAATTCAATTTATAGTTAAAATCAGTTGCAGTGAAAGTATCAAAGATGAAAAGGACTTTTCTTTTTAGAGATTTAGTAGAATATTAATATCATTCAGTGTTTAGGAGCTGAAGAAGTACGTCATAAAAGATTATTGAATTAATTAAATATATTTTTAATGTAAGCTTCTTTACGAATAATAACATTCTCAGCAAGTTTCTGGTTCAAAATTGTATCAAATTATCTGATTTTAAAGTTTTATAGTAAATTATTGAATGCTAAGCTAAGATATAATGTATGTATAAAAGTTACACTTTTGCAGATAAACATTCTCTTACTGTTAGCAGTAGTCCAGTTAGATGTGCTCCCGCGCTGAGTCGACTTGTATATAAAACAAAATTGCTGAATTCACCCCTTTTATACATTGTATGATATACACTTAACCTTGCAATGACTTTGCGTACCACCAAGTACTGTTACTATGGCTGGGTAAAAATTTCTCTAGTAAGATTCATAAATTTTAAAATAAAATTTAGTAAACAATTTTGTTTATTAAGGTTTTTGTTCATAAATTTTAAAAAAGGAGGAATATTTAAATGAAACTTTTAACAGGGCTCAAGTAATACAATTGATTTGATTTACCAGAAATTTTTCATATTTCAACTAAGTTCTATAGGAATATTAAAACATTGCAGAAACATTTTTGAATCACATTTTTAATTTTAATTTTTTACATCAAAAGCTTGATTTAAATTTTTTTATTATAATATCTCCTTCAAGTGTTAATCTCCAATAAAACCATATTTTGTCGTAAATATTGCAATTCTGAAAGGAACTATTTTTTTTTTTTTTTTTTTTTTTTTTATTAAATAAGTATTTATTTTTGATAATCCGACTAGTGCCAATTTGAAACGCCATTTGATCAACTTCTTCCAGACTTTGTCCCTTTGAATTGGCTACATCAGGCAAAACTTTATCTGATTTATCTACATTTAATTTTATTGCGTCAACGAAACCACTTGTTGCTCTTCGCGATTGACATCATTATCGTTTTGCTGAAGTACTTGTACAGCAATTATCACTGCCACAGACAAACATGCAATCACATTGAAGACTACCACGATCAAATTCACCGACGCCAAGGTGTCTGCTGTTGATGAGCCGTCGAAATTTCCCCTCCATACATCAGTGATTTGACTCATTGTGACGAAGCTGTTTGAATAATTTTTAGGTTTTACAGTTTGCGCGCAAAGGGGAAAATTTGCAATAAAAAATTATATAAAAACATCGGCAAAAGAATAGTTACCTCCGGTCCTGCTGTTGCTACAAAAAAAATTCTGGAACCTCTATAAATTTATACTTGTTTGCAGACACAAAAACTATTTAAAAAAATTGATCTTTAACAATAAGAATAATAACTTATAAAGGATACAAAGGCAAGCGATAGCGTCTGGTTTTGAATTTTTTTCACAAGTTATCAGAAACGGAAATCCAAGTTGAATTCAGTCTAGTTTTCCTTGTTGTAAAATTAACTCAACGGCAAAAATTTAAATATAATTAAAACCAAGCTGTGTTTCAAAAAGATTAATATGCAGATCAACCTTTAAAATCGTAAGAAAATTACATCATTCAATTTTTTCTATTTTCTGTATTATGTAACAATTTAATTTTAATAATTTTCCCCAAAAATGTAATTTCATTGGCTCGTTTATGTAACACAATCGTGTGTGCCATTGAAATAACCGGAAATAACTAGGCGGAGAGAGGAAATGTAAATGCATAGCGCTGATTAAAAAAATCTAAAAAAATGTTACTTCCGCGTTTTGGAACAATTTTAAATTTGCTTGTAGCTAGGGAGGCCGGCAGACCAGTAACACTTGGTAAGATAAACTGTTTAAATGCTTAATCATAAAATTGACAAAAAAATTAATAATTATATTAATGGCATCCAAATTTACCCCTCTATTAACTATTTCATTAAAATTTTCTAAATACTGTCTCTTGAGATTTGTTCATATTATTAAAATCATATTTCTATATTTTGTTTAATTACAAACAAAAATACAGTACAACAATAAAGTTTTTCTTTCACTTTTTTACCCTTCTTATCTACTGAATTATGTTTTTTATTTACTAAAAAAAGCTACAAAATCAAAATATGACCAAAAAATTGTCATCCCTGTGACAATTCCATTATTAGTATGATTTATTTGACTAACTTGTTATTTTCCGTAGACATGAGTGATTATGACAACATGGGAATTGGTTCTAATTATAATGACAATGTAACAGAAGCAAGCTCAACTTATTTGCCGACAACATTGACAACAAGTCTGTTTAATCAATATCTTAACACATCAAAGTCATCAGTTACAAATGATTCAGGTTAATAGTTTACGCAGCAAAAATACAATTTTACTTTAAATTAAGAGTTTTATATAAAATAAAATTTAACGTAAAAGTAGGTTGAATATTTAAATAAAAATTATAAAAATCAGAATTGGTATTCTTATTTAAATATAATATTTTTTAATCATCATTAATGTTTAATCATTGAATATAATGGAACTCTGACTGCTGAAAACCATTTTTTATAAGTAAGCGTTTAATTTGAATTATAAGTTCTAATTAAAATATTAATGATTTCAATCAAAAAATTATAAAGCTCTATTATTTGCAGAAAATCTGTCTCCTCAATCCAAATCATATGAGGATAATTACAAACTAGACGTTGAAGAGGTGGTTGCAGGAGTGGTAGACGCATTGATATGGCCGATAGTAATCTTGATCACTCTGAACGGCATCCTTCTCTTGCTTTTCATCGCCAAATGGGCAAGCAAGTGCGTATTTCGATCGAGGGGCTCCGTCCGTAACCCCTCCCTGAGCAACCGCGGAGGACGAGTTCGGCCCGTGCCCAGTGTCGAGTTTTACACCCTGGACGACAGACAGCTCCATCCTCGCCACACCAGGAGCATCATTAGCGTCGCAGGACTTCATGCTAATGGCGGTTGGTCTACGGAAGCAGAGGCAACCACCAATGCCAAAGAATTAGAAGTGGAGAGCACCAGTGTTTCTAAGTTTTTGGATGAGGCCATCCAGGAAATGGAGAATGAAAATGAAATTCAAGTTTGAATGAAGTTTATTTAATTAATTTATAAAGTGATTTTTACATTAAAATTGCACGGTGTATAGAAGAGTCTTGTAAAAAAAATTATATAAAAATACATAAAGTTTAGTATTTTTATTTATAATAAATGGCGGGATTTGAGGTTTTACTACATGATTGACTAACTAAATACACTCCTCTTTAAATATTCTCACTCATTCACACAATCATGATAACGTTAATATATATATTTTTTTTATTTGTTGATGACCTGAGCGTTGTGCAGTCCGAACTGGCTGTAGAAATTGGTGGCTTCGTGGTCGATTTGGGATGGGTGGAGGCCAAGATGGGCCGGCGTCAATGGATGGGGGAGACCGATGGACACAGTTTCTGAAAGTTGAGAAACCAAAATAGGTTCTCCAGTGGGCAGGGATGCAGGGGTGGACGCTGGTGCCTCGGTGGCCGGCGCTTCCGTGGCGGGCGGTTCGGTTTTGGCCTCTGGGGTGGCTGGTGGCGATGGAGCGGCAAAAGTTAAAGGAAGAGAGGCAGGAGCTGGATTTTCTAACTCGGGAAAGGGTTTGGTCTCTGGAGCCGGAATGGTCTCCAGGTTTGCAAAATTTGGTGCATTTAGAGGTTGGAAACCATTGTAGGAGATGGGTGGGGGTTGGTTGTAAGGATTGTATGAGTTGTAGCCGTAAAGGTCAACGTCCGACCAGCGTTTGAACTTTCGAGGGGCACGGCTTGGCGGCCGCACCAGAATCCGAACGTGCGTAGCAGCCACTGCGGTCAATGCAGAAAAGGTGAAAATTGCAAGTTCCTGGTAAAAAATAAATTAATTGTTGCAACAAATGCTAAAATAAAAATTAAATTTTTAAATAAAAAATTATTACTAATCTATGAAAGTAAGGAATGAAAAGAAACTAGAAAGAGAATTCAATAATAATTTTTTTAGTTAAGCGATTTTTTTTTAAGTTTGGCCATAGTTAGCAAAAAGACGATTACTATTAGCTGTGAAGCTAAATTTTACCGTGGGCATTATTTTTTATGTCTCGTGTCAAAGTGTGGTATTTATGTAAAACATGAAAATTGACAAAAATTTGCGCGTTTTCGTTTTTTCTAGCAAAGCATTTTAATGAAACTATAACAGTTAATTTATGCACAAAATTAAAGTTTTATCAAAAGAGATTTTCTTGAAGATTTTAGAGGGATTTCTTTAATAGCTCATTATTTTAAGTGAAAAGCATCAACATCATGATTGATCAGGATAGGAGGAAACAGGTAAATTAATCTGATGAAAGATTTTTTTATGCTAAATGGCATGAGTAGGTGAAATTTGTATTGAAAAATGTTGTATGTTAAATATTTCTAACTCTTAAACAGAAAAATTGATGTTGATTACACATTACCCATTTCAGTAAACTGAACACAAATAAATATTTCCATAAATAAAAAAAATTATAATACATTATGTTGGCTGATGAAATATCAATAAAAAACTTTGCAATTAGATTATTAAATTTTCTCTCACAAAAATCTGAAAATTATATTGATTGTATTATTAATGAATTTCAAATGTTTAAAAAAAAAATAATAATTGCAAAAGTATTTAATTTTCGGCACACTTACCAAAAACCTCATGATTGTAAATGAGAGAGCAATGTCTGGTGAGCGCTTGGAATCAGACTGAGCAAAATCTGTTTCCTCTCAGTGCCTTTTTATGCCCGTCGAAGAAATTTCTCTAAAAATAGACACCAATCTCACCTGTTCGGGTGGCGGCAGGTCTGAAAAGTCTGCACCGATTTCACCTACATACCGATCAATGTCTCAGACCTCAACCCCGGCGGCGCCTCAAAGTCAAGTGCACAAGACCTTTGCCACCGAAACAGAGCAAGATCGGAGTCACGTACGCAAATCAATAATCTTTGACCAAAATTACACGATCAGCTTTTAGCTATTGACGCAAATTATGATTATTGTCATGATCCGATATGAAATTAGAGAAAGTTGTCGCAAAATTTGGAATTCACAAAAGATGCGAGAAACGGACGTTGTTTGATTTTTTTTTATGCACAGAACCAGTTTTTGGTGGGTGCGTGTACCAGATAAATTACATTTACTGAAGAGAGCAATTAAATGAGATGGGACAAGTTTTTCTGTATAGAAAATGATTCCTCCGATTGAGAGGATCGAATTGCTACAAGTTTATATAATTATGGCACTTTCTCTTTTAAAATTTTTTAACTGCCTGCCAATTCGCATGTTACAAAGGAAATTGAACCACCTCATATATTTTATATTTTACGAAAGCAGTAAATTATATCTTCGACTAATTGAACGAAGTAAATCATGTACACGCAAAGAGTTGTTGCCTAATTTTTATGAGGCAATTCATCACAAGCTTATTATTAAATTAGTGAAAATGGTAGTTTAAGTTAAAATTTTAGAAGAAGAAAATCGTTTTTAAATTGATTGGAATATTTTATGATTTATACAACTTACTAATTTTGGAAGGTATAAATCCAACATAAATTTTGAAAGAAGTAATTATTCATCTATTATAAGAAAAAATATTTGCTAAAAAATAAAGTCAAACAGTAAAAATTCAGAAACAAATATCTGAAAAAGTACGTTAAAGTGAATAAAAGTCTCAAAATAGTCCAGAAAAAGCTGAAAAATACACCTTAAACAAATTTATTTTGAATCAGAATGACACATTTCGCAATGATCAATATCAGTAGAGCAAAGAGGAAAAAAAAATATTTCTTCACCAGCAGGGTCTACTAATTAAAATAAAATTTCTGGAATTTTATTAGAGAATAATTTAAATGTATTTAATTAAATTGCAGCTGAAGTTATAAAAATGTAATAAAAATCCAATTAATTTGTTATCAGCAAAAGGGTTTCCGCAGAAATGCCGGAAGTGCGCACTGCGCAGGTTTAATGTGAAATTATAATTTTAAATGGAAGAGAAACCCAACAAAAAGTATTGTGCGATAAAAAATCCCCCCTTAAAATATATGCTAAATTTTGTTGGATTTTTAATGACTAAAAAAAGTGTTGCAACTTTGAAACTTTTATACAATTTCAAAAAACTGATAACTTTAGATTGGAAGTTTCCCACAAGTAAAATACCGATATCAATTCTGACCACATCCCCTGACTTCGCAAACCACGCATTTCCGTCAGTTTTTTATTGATAAATTTGACAAATCTCTTCCTTGTTTTTATTCCCACTTGGGACAAGACGGAGTAACAAGTAAAAACTCAAACCTTCATAATTAGTTCAAATGGTAAGATTTAATTAAATTAATTAAAATGTTATTAAAACTAGTGTGAATTAAAAAAAAAGGCTAGCGAGTGCACAACATGGTACTTCGCGTCCGTTCTGGGCCTGAACGTGGCCCTGATGGTGGCCAACGGGATTGTTATCACCGCTCTAGGCTGCCGACTTTACAAGCGTCGCAAAAGCATCACAGACGGGGATTTCGAAGAAACTAACCATTACAACGAGGTCCTTGAAAACCACTACGAAAAGATCAATAGGGACAGCGTGGCCAAAGTTATGGATACCGAGGAGTCCATCTATCACATCCCGAAGGAATTTAACGGGGGTACTGACTACGTCAACGAAGAGGATCTCAAGTCTAATAACAAGGATCTTAAATGAGTTTTATCATCCAACATTTTTCATTAAAAAAGTGCAGTTGTATTAATTAAAAATCTTTATTAAGTTAATAAACACGTGAAATGGAAAAATATACTAGTACTAAAAATTCTAAGAACAAAATAAATAAAAATATTATAAAATATTGTTGTTTCAATTTCCAGCTGCGTGAATATTTATCTAAAATAAAAAATAAAATACTTGAAGAACTTCACTTACTTAAAATAATATACGACGACGTTCAGTTCGAGATTTTGAGATTGAAAAATTATAATGAATAAAATCATTTAATTTTGAAATTAAATGTGAGAAAATTTGTTCTAAATTAAGTAGAAAATTGAAATTACAAAAAAGTGTGGCTGGGAAATTTGTTTACAATTCAACTTATGGGTTAAATTTCTGTAAAAAGTGATAGCAATTTTCAGAGAATCAAGGAAAATTAGTTAAAAAGTGCAAAAATATTGAAATTGGAGTAAAGTACTTGTTGACAAGCGATTTGCGAAATTTCGTAAATCAAAGTTAGATAAGATCTGTATTGAGAGTGAGGAGCACCATATCAGTCTGCAAAGATTAAATATTTGAAATTTTATCGCTGCAGCGTTGATAAAACAAATATCAATTAAACAGCAAATTCATTGTCTTTGCAAGAGCAATGGAAGAACCCGATTTTCTGTTTTCTTCGTTTCTCGTCGTTTTAATAATTATCTTAATATACCTCCTACAACGAAGACCATGGAAATACCCTCCAGGTATTTACTTTTAATTCTTCGTGAAAAATGGTTTCAATCTATGCTCCTAGGTCCGAGGAAATGGCCAATAGTAGGAACCTTGCCTTCACTGAAAAAGAAACCTGGAGATTCGCCTTTTGATCTGACAGAGAGACTTAGGAAAAAGTACGGCGACGTCGTCGGGATTTTTATAGGGCCTCAACCGTCAATTTTCATCAATGGCTACAAATGCGTCAAGGAAATTTCAAATATGGAGGAATTCGGATACCGACCAAACATCCTCACACCGCGACATGAAATGTTCAAAGAAAAGAAAATTGGTAAATATTAAGGGATATTTGCATTGAATAAATCAGAGTGAAAAAGTTGCACTTCAAATTGATGTTCTAATGATTAATTTAATTTAAATTTGTTATATAACAATTGATGAAAAATTATTTTAATAAATACAACATTACACTTTTTCAGTTGTTGGTTGATAATGTGATGAAATCATTCAATTTGAAATTGCGACAAGCCGCTCATCATATCAATAAATCAAAGTTCAAGTACAATTGTGATATATTTTTAGTTTTAAAGCAGTGATATCAAGGATATTTTGCAGAAAACAAATATATGACCATGGGTTAAAATTATTTTTATTACAAGATTGTATTGTAATTTTAATTTAAATCATTTAATTTAAATTTGTAACAATATTTTTTCTTTTCCATGAAATAGGCAGAGTCAAAACTGATTGATATTTTTCAATTTGAATAATTTTTTTTCATATATTTTTAGGAGTGATTTTCTCTGAGGGCTCGCGGTGGAAGAATCAAAGACGTTTCACTTTGCGCCACCTGCGAGATTTTGGCTTCGGCAAGAAAACTATGGACCAGTTCATTCAAGAGGAGATCAACGTCCTCCTCTCTGCAATCAGGGAGCTAATTGAAAAACACCCGGAGCAGACCAAGACTGGAGTGGACGTTTTGTCCATTTTGCCGGCGGTCGCCATCAACACCCTTTGGTACATCATCGCAGGGGTCAAACATGATCTGCACGACGAGCGGTTCACGCGTCTCACCCAAAATGTGCTGCGCTTTTTCAGACTCGGCGACCGCAACTCGCCGGTTGATTTTTTCAAATTCTTGCAACACGTGCCCGTCATCAACAGAGTCTACAAAGAGCAGAAAAAGTTTGCCAACGAGATAAATAATTATGTTTTGGTAATTAAAAGTCAATTAAATTAAATAAAATTAAGTTTTGTTATTGCAGGAGGCGATCAAAGAGCACAGGCGGACTTTTGATGAAAATCACACGAGGGATTTCATAGATATTTACTTGAAAGAAATGCAAAACGATGAAACAGGATTTTTTGATGGTAATATAAATATTGTGAACTATATATAAAGAAGCTCTTTAGAGAAAATTGGATCGTTGAGAAGACATTGGTTTTTCAGGTTTTTCTCAAAAACAGAAAGATTCTATGCTCCAATTTCCTTGCTCACCAAGAAAATTTGAGTCATCTTTCTCATTATTAATTTTCGCAGGAATAATTTACAACAGATGGTTTATTTTTTTTTTTTACAATAAGATTATTCTCTTTGTGGTTTTTTTATAGTAGTTTATTTTTTTTAATGTAATTACAGCATACAAATATTTCAAAAATTACACCAAAAATTAATTTCTAAAGTTTCAGAGAAAACTATGCAAATTTTTGCAAAAAATGTAAATTGTAAATTATGCATAATAATAATTTAATAAGCTGTTTTCACAAAAATTGCACAGGTCTAGAATTTAAACATAAATTAGTACTTCAATAAAAACTATAGCCAGTGTTTTACTTCACGAACGTCTCTCAGAGTGCTTTCATCTGTTTATTCTGTTTTAAAGCTTCAAATCCATATTTGCTTGACCTCTCTGTGATGTCTTGACACGTTAATGATGGAGATAATTTAAAAATATTACTATCTGCGAATTTAAATTTAACGCAAGTTGTTGAACTTGAAGTTATTATTAACTCGACATGCCTTTTTTTTTAGATGAGCAGTTAGCAACAATATGTGTTGACCTTTTTCTCGCTGGAACTGAAACATCCTCCAGCACCATAGGGTTTACCCTTCGATACCTCATTAAACACCAAGAAGTGCAGGATAAAGTTCGGAGCGAAATCCTCGCAGTCGTGGGCAAAAATAGGCCTCCCACTATGGCGGATATGCCAAAGTTCGAATGAAATTTTTACTAGAAATAATTTAATTTTCTAAACAAATAGCCTTCCATATTGTACTGCGGTTCTGACTGAGTCTCTACGGCACTCAGGGGTCACTCCTTTCCCCCCGCCAAGGGCACCAAAAGAAGACACGTGGTTCAACGGCTACTTAATCCCTAAAGTATTTGAAGAAAGTAGAAAATTTCATTCTATTTTTTAACAAATAAATATAAAAATAGAGAGCTATGGTAATGATCAACTTGAGGAGCGTGTTGATGGACCCGGTTTACTGGGGAGACCCTGAAAACTTCAGACCCGAGAGATTTATCGGACCGGACGGCAAATTCAAGAAAGACGAAAGACTTGTTCTCTTTGGAACTGGTAATGAAATAAAAGAGAAAATTCAATTTCAATTGAAAAACTTCTCTATACTCTAGGCATGAGGATGTGTCTTGGGGAGCCTTTTGCGCGCAACACGACCTTTCTATTTTACACTTCCCTGGTTCAGAATTTCAAAATGGAAATTCCGCCACATGGTCCTGAGCTTTCGGAACGGACACTGCCAGGATTCACTACGGCCCCAGCACCGTTTAAAATTAAGCTCACTTAAAAACTCTTAAATTATGAGTTTAATAAGTTATATAATCAGATTGCCCTTTTGAAGCATATAAAATTATGACATGATGTGCTCATCATACGATTAGCTTTATTATCAAAAAGGCAAAAGAGTCATTGCTGGTCAGTTATCATATCATCAGGTCACTGAACTGTTAATTTTAGCTGAAATGTACAGAATTTATTAATGAATAAATCACCTATAAATAAGCTGCTAATGCTAACTGCGGAATTACATGTTATATAACGCGGTCTTCAATCTTTGCCCACATCAAATGATCAACATTATAGAAAAGCGAATAACTAGATAAACACCCACTAAAAACAAACATTATGAGCAATCACTGTATCGGCATTGATAATAATGTGATATCAATTTTCCATTCTTTTGGAATTCAAAGGACTTATTGGCAACCTTGAGAGTGACCGTTCTCGCAGAAGCCTCTTTTTTATCACGCAGTCTATTTCAGGCAGTCGTTTGAGTACCCGCACACCAACAGTTATCTCTGTTAGAAATATATTAATATACACGGTTTTGTTAATAGTGCGATATTTTTTCCGCACCAATGGCTCTGACAATTGTTTTGTTTATTCTGGTCGGGTTCCTGCTCTACGTTCTTCAAAGAAAACCCAAAGGTTTCCCACCAGGTAAATACAAAATTAAGTTTTTAAGTACTGGAGTTTCAATTTGAATTTATTTTTTTAAAAGAGCAAATAATTTTGGTTTCAAAACAGCAGAGGATATTTTTTTGAAAGATTTTAACACACTTTTAAGACGTTACGTAATTCTCTGTTACATAAGAAGAAACCGTTTTTATTGGCAATCAAAACGTATCTACCAGAGTCATTGTGTTAGTCCCAGGCTGCTGATGCAATAAATTAAAAAAAAATTTATTTACAAAATCTCAATTTTAGAAAGAAAAAAATGGACTTAAAATTAACAAATTAATTACTTAGCCCTTGAATTTCTAACTTTTTTGTGGTTTTTAAAACATTTGATGAATTATTATCGTTTATGAATAAAAACAAATTCTTTAGCATGGATAGGCCCATTTGCTCTCATAACTCAGATTCATATTTTCTTTCTATCGCTTTCTATGTATAAAATAAAGGTCCACGAAACTGGCCCCTGCTAGGAACTTTGCCAGCGATGGTAGGGAAGCCCGATGATACGCCTTTTGATCAGACGGATCGTCTTAGCAAAAAATACGGAAACATAGTTGGGCTTTTTTTGGGCGTGAAACCTGCCGTGCTGGTGAGCGGCTACGACTGCGTCAAAGAAATTTGCGCCAAGGACGAATTCACCTACAGGCCTAACATGACCGTCGCGCACCACAAAATGTTCAACCACGAAAGAAGCGGTAATATTAAATTTAATTATTTAATTTTTTTTTAAATTCATTAAAAAAAAAATTAAAAAAGGCATCTTTTTCGCGGAGGGCGAAAAGTGGAAAAGCCAGAGACGATTTACTCTGCGCCACTTGCGAGACTTTGGCTTTGGAAAGCAAACAATGGACCACTACATTCATGAAGAGGTCAACATCCTCCTCGCGACCTTTCGCGATATGATAAGCAAACACCCCGAACAAAGGGAAACAGGGCATGACTTTTTGAAAATCATGCCTGCAATCGCCATCAACACTCTTTGGTACATTATTGCGGGAGAAAGAAATGAACTGACGGACAAGAGATTCATGCGCCTCACAAATATGGTCCAGGAGTTCTTCCGGCACGGAGACCAGGCATCTCCTGTGCCCCTCTACAAACTCCTGCAACACATTCCTGTCGTTAACAGCAGTTTTAAGCTGCAAGAGGATTACGGCGACCAAATTAACCACTTTATCAAAGTATAAATTTAATATTAAAAACATTGAGACCTAAATTCTAAATTTAAAATGCAGGAGGCTTTGGATGAACATTTGAAAACTTACAACGAAAATAATATGAGAGACTTTATGGACGTTTATATTAGAGAACTCAAGAAGGATGACAAGACTGGTTACTTTTCTGGTAATGAATAATAAATTAAAAAAGGAAAGTATATTGATTTTTTTATGTTTATGACAGAACACCAGCTAATAGCATTATGCAATGACCTCTTCCTGGCGGGTACAGAAACCACTGCTAGCACTACTGCCTTCACTCTTCGTTACCTCATTAAAAACCCTGACATTCAAGATAAAGTTCGCAAGGAGATTCATGAGGTGGTTGGAAAAGACAGACTGCCTTCAACAGAAGATATTCCGAAGTAATTCCAAATAAACAAAAATATTATCATCAATTAATTATTTGTCAAGTCTTCCCTACTGCGCGGCTGTTTTGGCAGAAACTTTTCGCCACTCTGGATTGACTCCTGCCACTCCTCCGAGAACAAGCAACAAGGACGCCACTTTTCGAGGGTACAAAATTCCAAAGGTAAATTAAATAAAATCAGCAACGCCAAAATTATCAGCTTTTTTGTGTAGGGAACCATGATTTTGATTAACCTAAGAAGTGTCAACATGGACAAGGTTCATTTCGAAGATCCGGAAATTTTCCGCCCTGAAAGGTTCATTGGTCCTGACGGAAAGTTCCAAAAAGACGATAGAACGATGCCCTTTGGCTCAGGTAATAATCCCAACCTGAGCGGCAGCAGAAGGTTACTCTGTTTTTTTCTTCCAGGAACACGATTGTGCCTGGGAGAGCCTTTTGCAAGGAATACAGCTTTCATATTTTACACATCGATCGTGCAAAATTTTAAAGTGGAAAATCCACCTTATGGACCGAAACCATCAGACATAACTTTGAAAGGCTTCACGACTGCACCTGAACCGTTCAAAATGACTTTGACACCTTTGAACTAACTTCTCAATTTGTATAATAGTTTATTTCCCTTTTTAAAATTATTTTTAATAAAAATTGTTTAACCTTTTTAAATTCCATTTTGTCTATTTTAATGAGATTTTTTTATATTAATTAATAATGTTATTGACCTTTCAGGTTGCTTTTAATTTTGACATTTATATTTTCTGTACTCATATAGTTCTCTTAATTTATTTATAGATAAGCAAAATAATGTGAACATAAAAAATAAACAAAATATATGGCTTTGAGTCGAAATTAAAAGAGACAAGAAGGCAGTAAAGGAATGCATGGCAATGAATAAATTATGTTAACAAGCCCTACCTTTCAGTTGATCTGGTAGTTGTCCTCGTCCATTAAATATCCAGCACTCCTTGAATGTTTGATCCAGTCAGGAGTGACTATCCTGAACATATTTCTTGCACTCAACTGGCTTTGGAGCTTGTTGACCTTTTCACCGCTTGAAGAAAATTAAATTGAAAACTTTAAAGTGAAAAAAAGAGATTTTTACCTAGTCAAAGGACTTGCAATGATGTGTGTGACAATACTTCTGTCAAACTCTCTAGACAATCTCCCACCGTAAAGTCTGAATTCCAGTCTTGCTGGCTCCAATTTCCAGTAATAATCGTTTCTGGACCCATCCTGAAGATATAATTAGAAGAGTAAATTTAAATAAATATAAAAGCATACTTCATCGTATTGGTAGAAAAAGGCAATGCACGGTCTGAAGATGCTACGATAAGGTGAGGCACCCAAAAGTTCATCTTCGAGCTGGTCCAAGAGATGAGGTTCAAATGGTCTGCTTGAAGGCACTCTTTCCAAGACCAATTTGAGACTGGAGAGGCTGGCAGGGGAGGTGTAGGAGTCCCCAAATTCATCAAAGGCAGTTTTCAGCAAAGAGTGGCTCTTCTTGCTGACCAAAAAATAGTCCGACGGTTCTGGTTTCATCGGTCGCTCTCCCTTGGCAGCTCCTTGCAACCACGAAGATCGAAGAACATCCCATTTAGGATACCCGTCCTTGGAAGATTTCAGTAGATTTTGCACTCGAACAGAATCTTTATTGTCGGTGACAATTGCAAAGGTTTTGGGACCTTGATTTTGTACAATAAATTAACATTAAAACATTAAAAAAATCAATATTTACCTGCGTTTTGGGTGACCTTCCCACCATGAGCAGCAACAAGTTTTTCTAGTTTCTGCTTTTCCAAGCCCCAAATGCAAAACTCCTTGCCTTCAAATTTGAAAGATTCCTATAAAAAGATAAATCATTAATTTCAGAGTATTTGAATTTATTTTTAAACATTTTACTCTTTGAACATCTGCAAGATCCGCAGGTCTGAAGTGAGCAGCCACAGTTGGTCCTGCCATAGCAACCGCTTTCCTCTTTTTGGTGCCTGGAGCAGTGCTGCTTGTAACATGCTTTGCCAACTTCCCAGCAGAAATCTATTCAAAAATTACATAAAATAAGAGTTTTAAGTCTTAGGATTGTTTTAGTACCTTTCGAAGTTCCGTCAACTGGTCTAAGTTCAGGCAGTCACTCCACATTAAATTTGGTCTGAATTTTTGTACTCGAGGGAACCGCAAAGTGAAATTTGCAGTGTAAGCAGAGCTCGGCACAATCTCACTTGCTTTAATCTGCCAAATTTTTGTAACAAAAAATTATATAATCAAATCGTATAAAATTACCTCTGCTATTAAAGATTTTTGAGGGAGAATCCATACATCAGGTTTCTCTTTTGTGACAAACACGTTAGGTGGCTGCTCGTCCTGCCAGAGGTCTTTCAGTCTCTCCAATGTGTCCATTAGTTCTCCCTTGGAATAACCAGAGCCAACTCGGGAAAAGGAGTAGAACTCGGAGGGAACCCCACCTAGATACAAGTTTTATTTGTGAAGGAAATTTCAATTTCAAATACTAGCCTGGCACAGCAGGAGGCTTGGCAACTCCCAGGAGAAATTGACTAACCAAACCACCCCTCAGTCTGCCTTCTCCGAAGTAACCACCAAGGACAATTACATCCAAATGTTCCATTAGCTCATTATTGTACTGAAATAGTATAAAAAATTAATTGGCAACTATTTTGGAAGCTATAATTTTATTCATACCTCTGGCTTAATTTTCCACCAACCCCCTTTCCGCTCTTTGCTTGGTTTGTAGACAGAGTTTGGGTCCTTCAACATTATACCCTCATCCCTGTTATCGATGGCGCGGTTCAAGGAGTCTCTTATTTCCGACCTAGAACAAAAAACCGAGAAATGAAAGTGTTTAAAATATCAATTTTTATACAAACTCGTTTTTTACAGTCCATCGCGGAGTTTTCAGAATGACCTCAGGCGTGTCACGGAAAATTGAATCCAACAGAGGGATCCGTTCTTGTAATGGTTTGTTGGTGACCACCTTGCCATTGAAAAGTAAAACGTCAAAAGCGCAAAAGCACGCAACCACAGCACCTTGACTTGGAAGGCTCTTCACATCAACGTTTTGTCCTGATATATATTTTTAATAAATAACGTTCAGCAAATTGCAATGAAAAATAGCCAGACCTTTCTGTTTAAAATTTTTTCTGGCAGTGTCCCAAGCCATCATTTCTCCATCGAGGATGAATGAAGTGGCTGAAGGAAGCAAAGCTTTGACAAGACGATGGGTTAAAGAGCCACCCCTCTCATTTGTTCCAAAGGCAGAACTGAAGTCAAATCCATTTCTAAATTGGAAACGTTTAATTAAAAAAGCAAGTTGCACAACAAAAGTGAAAGACCTTGAAAAGTAACGAAAGTTTCCCTGAGGATCCTTGTGAATTTGGACTCTCTCCCCATCTAATTTGGTTTCAACGTAAAGCTCTTGTCTCTCTGGAGTAAAAAAGGAAGCCAACCGAGCAACATCAACTTTGTCTGACAACATTGGGCTGAATGATAACCCAAGACAGATTTCTATCTCATTCAACCGTTTTGCCGGATCCCTGAGTGTTTCACAGACCTTCGGAGGAAAAAATATAAATTTGTGATAAATCAAAAATTTCTAAATCTTACATCCTTGAGGCTATTTCTTGAGTCAAAACGTTTCTCTGCATCTGGGTGAATGGCGTAGAAAATCGCTCGGCGACCAAGACCAAACCGGCAGGACTTCAAGAGCATTCGAATCAACCACTTTTGCTCAGTGGCCGATGTGTTTCTCAACAAATTTTCCAAACATTCATCAACCAGTCCTTTTAAATTATTATAAACATAATAAATTTTTAATAATAATAAGTTTATGAAATTACGTGGTTTATTTTCTGCATTATTTATGGCCAACGAATCAAAAATTTTGTTGATCTGTCCGACAGTGAAAGAGCTCGGCTTGGACGAAAGGTAGTTCTTGAGGACGTGAGATGCAATTCCTGCAAAATCTCCTCCAAGATCTCGAGCACCACCTCTTGGCTCTCGATAACGAAGAAGCTGCTGTGCGTCTGGCCCAGACTCAGCCAAACAAAGCACCTGATTAATTTATAGAGATTATTTAAAAATTTCTAATTATTAAAATTAACAAACCTTGACATATTTCCTAGCCAAGACAGCCTCTTTCACGCCATAAGCCCCTCTTTCTCTGTCCAAGGCTGGCATCAAAAGCCGAACCACTGGAAATAAACCGGCCTTTTTCTCCTGCAATTTCAAATTGAATACTTATTGGCAATATTTTGTAATAAATTTGTAAAAACCTGGGGATCATCTTCAACTCTCACTCTCAGTTTGTTGATGAAGTCTCTAAAAGCATTCGATCTTGCATATCTTGGCCTGCTTGGCATCGAACTCAGATTTTCCAACTCTTCGCAGAGCTCATGAAAAGACATCGAGCTTGCCATTGTGACTTTAAAAGAAGGAAAAAGTAATCTGCTCTGACGCTCCAATATTTCCCGGCCCGGTCCTGGTAAATTAATTATTTTTTTAATAAAAATAAAGATTGTTCAACAATACATACGTTACATACATAGCCTTCTGGTTTTTATCCTTTCTCTCGCTTCACAGAATGAAGAAAAAAAAAAATCAAAATTCCATTCCTAGTCCATGCGCGTCTTCGGATCAGCTGGAAAAATAAACAAACACGCGTGTTTGAAGCGCCGCCTGGAGTCGCCGGTCAGTGGCCGCATGGCAGCAGCAACAACAATGCATTGGAATGTGATGTTTTGGTTTTTGATTTTCAAAGTTTTGAAGGACAAAAGACTCATAAACAATTTTTGATAATGAGAGGTGAAGTGCCTAAGTTTTCGCGTGTGAGTTTCTTGTTTTTTCTACGCAACTTGTGCACTGAATGAGGGTGAATTCCTACGAATCTAGTACATACAGCCCAAGGAAATTGGTGAGATCGACAAATGCAGGCTTAAATTATTTATTAAAAAACATAATTAAATTGTATTACATATAATGCCTAATAAATTATATATGATGAAATTTAAATTTTACACCAAAATTAGATGAGATGAACCAAGAGACTATTTCAAAAAAAATTAAAATTTGTTCATAATATTATTATGGCCTCGGATCTTTTAGGGTATGGCTTCGGAATATGGTTCACTTAATTTAACAGCCAATCAAAAAGCCTTATTTCTTTGCTAATTTGTGAGACCCAGGCAGTCACAAAAATTTATTTTACATTTATTGTGCATTAAAAAATAAAACTATTTGCAGAGATGCCAAATTTCTCAAGACGTACGACAGGCGTCATTATGAGTAAGAGGCTGTTTCCTATGGAAAAAGGTAAGGCAGATTTTTTTATTATATTTTCACTGTGTATTCTTACCAATACCAAAAGTACAATCTATGCGGAATCAAAAAATTTAATAATTGAAATATTTAGGAATTTTTGTTAATCCTAGTTTACCATGCTTTTCATTTTAAATTTATTAGTATATATTTATTTTGATTTATGAAATGTCAGGTGTCTCCTGAACAATCCAATCAATATAATATGCGAGGTCGGTGAAAAGACTGTAATATTTGGGATTGCACACCAATTCCTCGCCGTTTTCTCTCTGAACTATTTGCGACCGTCCGAAGCTGACGAGTCCCCTGATAAACCACCGGCCGTCTTTTTCCAACGCCAAACTGCCTCCACTATCTCCATTGCATGCACTAGTTCCTAAAAAAAGAAATGCAAGTATGAACTGATCAGTAAAATTGAGAAGGAAAAAAAGCTCACCATTTGAATATCCAGCGCAGAAGTTCATTCCGGGCTTCATGTATTTTCCAAAGAAATTTTTCCGTTGCAAATAGCAATCGAAATACGATTTAATTGGCAGAGAGGCCGTTTGCAGAATGTTGGGTTGATTGAAACTTTCGACATAGCCCCAGCCAACCAACTTTAAACACAAATAATTTATTAAAAAAAACTATATTAATCGTTGAATTTACCGAGGCTGATTTGTTAATGATGCGGTTCAGATCAGAGCCTTCATTCCAAAGACAGATGGGCCAAACTTTCTCAGTTATATTGAAGTTGGTTTGAAAGATAAGCAATGCAACGTCGTTCTCAAAATTGGTGTGATTGTAGTTGGGGTGTGTAATTATTGTGAGGGGCTGCGGAATAGGAAGCAAAGCTTTGTTTCTTTTTGTTTAAAAATATTACATGAGAAGTGAAAATTATCTTTTTAATTAAAACTTGGAAAAAACCGTGTTTTGACAATAGACATTTAATGACTAGATATGCAGTACATGGGTTTCACTTTATATTTTGTAAAAATAAAAATTATCACACAACTATAAACAGTGACTGTGAATGTGAAGAATGTGAAAAATGTGGAATAAAAATCGGATTGTATCATTTTAGTGAATGCCGTAAAAATGTATTAAGTTTGTCTGAAACTGCTCGCAAGTTAGATAATAGATAAGTAATATTGTATTGTATAAAATGTATTCTTCTCCTGTTAAGTCGTACACATGTTGTGTTTAATAAAATTTTCTAATCTAATTAAAACTTGGATGTTTCTCAATGAGTTTGGGTTTCAAATAAAAAATTAAATTTTGTTTTTAAATTTAAGATGGCTCACTGTTTGGGCCTGGATTCCAGGCTCCGCTCTATTCAATGCGTTGTAGAGGCCTATGGTCACAATTAATTTAGTTGCATTAAGCGGCAAACTATCTTCAAATAAGCAATGAGCAGCTGAAATTTTTAAAATATTTTAACTCAAAATTTTCTGAATTACTTCATCTATCTGAATTTAATTGATTGACTTAAAATCTAGATTTATTAAATTTTTTACAACATTTAAATTAGGGCTCTGATTCTGTAAAACCCCAGTTATTGGGTGATGACAAAATTCTTCATATTTTATAATTTAAAATAAATAAATGTAATTTAGTTGGCATTTAAAACTTATATGAAATATATGTAAAATTCGCGGATTGTAAACTTAAAAAGAATTACCGGTTAACACAGCTCTTTTCGAAATTAGAGTTCCACCACAGAAGCCACGTTCTGTTTTTCCTGGTTCACTGATCTCAGCGTGCCAGGGATGATTGTCTCTAAGCGCCATGCGTCCTCTGACTACTAGTCCGACGGGTGGACCTTCCTCACTATCAGAACTGTCCTCAAAGCTCCTGCGCGTTCGAATGAAAATTCTCCGTTTCTGCCCACAATCAGGAAAACTCAAGTTTTCGGAATTGCCAAACTCTATAAAAATATAAAAATTTCTAGATAACAAATTATAAATTATTTGTGTGAACTTACCTGTTCTATTTTTGGGAGTGGGAATTTCTGGTGGTAACATTGACAAACCTGGTGAAATATCGACAATTTCTCCCATGAAAGGGAGCAGGTCAATGAAATTGATCATGTGATTTTTTCCAATAAATATATCGCAATTAATTCCACGCAAAAAGTACCTTCCGCCATAGAAATTCAGCAAAAAATTTCCTCTTAAAGCTGTAAAAGTTTGATTTGAAATAATGTTTACAAAATTTACAATGAAATCTTTCTTTGCTCACAATCAGCAGTAGCTTCGAAGCACAAGATTTTTAGGTGTTTACCATGCTGCGTTTGCATACTTTTTTGTTCTCTTTTATTTTTGTAACAATTCTCCGTTGCTACTAGAGGACCTTCCTCATTCATATTCTTCATAAGATATACGTTTTTTAAACATTAATTATTTTGCAAAATTTTTAAGCAATTACCAATGTCACTAGATGGTTAATATTCATTTCAGACTGGTCCAAATCTTTGGAATTGTTTCTATTGAAAAGACAAATTGGTCTGTAGAAGTCATTAATGGTAGGGATTTTCTCAATAATCCAAACGAAAACATCCGAACTCTTTGTCACATTGAACTTTTTTACTTCCAGCACCTGAAATCAAGATCTATAAATTTAATAGAGCATTTTAAATTTTTAAATTCATAGCCCTATTATTATTTATTTCACAACATTTTCTCTCATTTTGTTATGAAAATGTTATGCAAAAATTTATATGTAAAAAAACATAAACAAACCACGAGTATACCTTCAAAACAATTCCTTTGCCCCTCTTTTTTTCGCTGCAATTTGGAATGTTGTAGCCCTCATAGCATTCGCCCAGGTTGGCATAGAAATGAGAGCCTCGATCAAAATTTCGCTTACCTCTCCAGCAGTCAGATGTTTCCGCTGAATGATATGACCAACTACTTGTAACTGGTCATTTTAAATTTTATTAAATGGTTCTCACAGGTCATGATGGCATTTCGTGATATGAGTATTCCAATACAGGGGTATTCTCTACTGTCAGATAAGAACGCCCTCCAAGGGGGATTTTTATTGCGATCACTCCACAGACCACAATTTTCTGAGCTCAAGTTTTCTCCGGAATCAAAAACTGTTGGTGTTTTTTCATAAGAATTTTTTGTTCTGTGCAACTCGGTCCACTTACTTGGGCTTGGGATAAAAGAGCTGCTCCCTACTTTTTGTGGAAGCAGGATGAGGCAGAAAAATGTCGCTGCTAAAACCAGGCTTCTGTGAAACATCTTCCGTCTGCAAAAATTATGCTGTTGATTTTGATTACAGCTGGAGAGCAGATCCGTGTGTGAACGTCTCTTAATCAGACCAAGTAGAGGAAAGAGATAAAATAATATTGACCTCTCTAAATCAACCGGGTCATCACATATGACGAACCGTATTTTTCTCTTTTATGCTCTGGAGTTAATTTAGACCTAAATTTTCCAGTAAAAATACCATTAATTTTCAATCCTATTACTAAAATATAATAATGACACCCAATTGTATTATTACTGATTTTTCTAAGGAAATATTACAGCTTTAAAATATTTATATCTAGTTAATTGAAATTTTTATTATTTATTGCAAGAGTGAGACTTTTTACTGCAAGAGTCCTAAATGAGTTCTGTCAACCTATTATTTCTTTTTGATACAGGCAGATAATTCTCGCAAATTATTTATTTATACAAGGTAGACGGTCAAAATTTTCCAGGATTTTTTAGTCCATTTTCGTTATTACCTGAAAAGGGAAAATTAAATAAGTATTAGCAGAAATTTCAAATGATCGCATGATTTTTACATTTTAATGTATGGAATATGAGTTAAATTATGGCGAAGAAGTGGAAAAAGAAAATTAATATCTCATAAAATCTACATGATTCGAGTGAAGTTGAATTAATTTAACTTCATTATTGAGCTACGCTTTAATTTTATGAAATTTTAAAACACTCAACGAGACATTAATATATTATGTAATTGTTGCCATTTTGAGAAAAATTTAATTTATAAAATCATTTTTTGACAAGAGAGTAGCCATGCATTTTGGTGTAATTAACACACCAAATTTTTAAATATATTTTCTAAAAGTAATTAATTGTCTACGTGGATGAACGAGATCAATTATTGTATAAAATGAATCCAAAATCAGTCCAAAATGAATGATAAAAATTATACTTTTCGTAAAATCAGTCGAAACAAAACGTGCTAAAAAGTTTTTCATTGGTTCTGATCAATAATGGATATACTTTGAGAAATTTAAATGAAACTTATTATTAAGACTAAAAATGAAATCAGTGGGGTTTCTCAGTATTGTCATTTTTATTTTTCAAAATTATAATCCTCTAATGAAGTTTCGGTCGAAATCTGTAGTCATGGCATTTATTTGTCTTCATCTCTTCGCCATTGTTTTACTTTCCTCTACCAGGACCTTTCCTAGCAGCCCTGGCTGGTTTCTGGGCGTTGTTTACCTCATTCACGGGAGCCCTTTGATCCGTTTTTAGCTTCAGCTGGCTTGAAAGTTTACCACTTAATGATGCCATATTGAACTGGGTTAGGTATGGTTTGCATGTTTCAAAGAGCGTGTAGAGCGTCTTGCAGTTTCCTTTGTCCATGACTGAAATTTAGCTGTAAGTAAAAAGTGTTAAGCAAATAAACTTAAATATTTACTCTTGCTCGGGCAGTCCTGAAAATGTTTGGAATTAGTACTGAACCGAGATACATATACTTTAAACTTTCATTAATTGATTTTCAAAAGTAATAATATATATTTTTTGCGTATTACTTACATTAAACATCTGGAACAAAATGCATTGGGCAAAAATAAGTGTCGTTCCATCGACAGTTGTTTTTCCGTTAACAAACTGCAGATTGCCGATAGCTTTAAATAATCAATTAGATACAGTTTTACAGTTGCTGTGATTTGCAATTTTTTTTACATCCAGTGATAGAAACGCAGTTAGTAACTGCAGTGTCAATAATAGCTGGCCAATCCCCAGCCTGATCTTGGTTTGCAGCTAAGAACATAGCCAGTCCAGTTTCGTTCAATGCTTTAGTGTCGCCGTCATACTGCATTTGAAATGTTTGAAAAATTAAAATTAAATTATCATCAAAGTTTAGCTCACAAGTCCTTTGCTTGTTAAGTAGCAATTGAGGAAATTCTAAATTGAAAATTTTCAGTGTAACATTATGCTTATCATTGAAATAAATTACGGCATCTTTGCCGAATGCTTTCAGGAAAGTTGAGTCTGCGTAATTGATGGAGTTGTTTAGATTGTTCTTAGTACTTTGGTACTTGTTCAAAGTGAACGTTGTTAAGCCCTTCAGCGCACCAGTATTGACCGCCATTTTGCAAACCTTTTCGCCTTTGATAGGAACCGCTAAATCTTTAAATGGCACGCCGCAACATTTAGACATAGCTGTAGCCTGATTCAGAATATATTTTTAGTTTTTGTTTATCCACGTCGCGATTTGTTTCACTTACAGCATAGTTTCCTGAAGCACAATTAGGGGGCTTCGTTGTGGTTATTTTCTTTGTTGTGACCTTTTTAGTCGTAGTTTTTTTCCCGGTCGTCGTCTTAACCGTTGTAGTTGAAACCTGTATTAATCGTCAATTTCAGTAATGCTAAGTAGTCGCATTTTTATCATGATATTCAATTGAAACTTTGAATTGTAGTGAATTTTTTTGGTAAATTTTTTTAGCTGTACTTACAGTTGTTGGGGTAGCGGTTGAACCTGCGCTTGAGGTAGAGCCCACAGATGTAGATCCAGTGTTAGTGGTGGAACCTACAGTTGTAGAACCAGTGTTAGTGGAAGAGCCGGGAGATGTAGAGCCGGGAGATGTAGAGCCCGGAGATGTAGAGCCCGGGGATGTGGAGCCCGGGGATGTGGAGCCCGGGGATGTAGAGCCGGGAGATGTAGAGCCGGGAGATGTAGAGCCGGGAGATGTAGAACCGGGAGATGTAGAGCCCGGAGATGTAGAGCCAGGAGATGTTGAGCCCGGGGATGTGGAGCCCGGGGATGTAGAGCCGGGAGATGTAGAGCCGGGAGATGTAGAGCCGGGAGATGTAGAGCCGGGAGATGTAGAGCCCGGAGATGTAGAGCCAGGAGATGTAGAGCCAGGAGATGTTGAGCCCGGGGATGTGGAGCCCGGAGATGTGGAGCCCGGAGATGTGGAGCCCGGAGATGTGGAGCCCGGAGATGTGGAGCCCGGAGATGTGGAGCCCGGAGATGTGGAGCCAGGAGATGTAGAGCCGGGAGATGTGGAGCCCGGAGACGTTGAACCTAGAGACTAGTTGTTAATATTTTTTAAACAGTGTTGGCGATAGTGAAACCTGTGTTCGTTGGTGTCGGTGTAGTAGGGACCTAAAGATGAATATTTTTACTGCATTAAGCATACATTTTTTTATACTCCTTATGGTCATGAAACCTTCAATTTTAAGTGTTGCGATTGAGCGAAAATTAAATTTGTCTCAGTTTTTACGTGAAAACAAAATATGCTGTATCTGGGATATTAAAAATAACTTTCCCAAAGACTATATTTTGTCCAATCAAGTAACAGTAAATTGTAGATTAAACACTTAATATTCTTACTTTCACGTTTTCTGTTCATATTTCATTTCAAATAACATCAAAATATAAGCAATTGATTCAACAAACTATTGTATGGAAAATTGGGATTTTTAATTTATAATATTGAAAATCCTTGAAACCAACCTGCCAAAAAAGAGCTTGATGAAATTTATTTTAAATAAATGCCGTTGAGGAAAACATTTAATTCATCTTAAACCAATTTCTTGCGAATATAAATTGGTAAAAAATTAAATGATTCTAAAAATAGTAATTGAATATGTCTGATCTGTCTACGCACTTTACTTGTTAAATATGAATTTCAAAATTCCAATTAATAAACTGTATTTTACCGTCACTGTAGTTGGTAGAGCTTTAAATTAAAAAAGAATTAATAATTCATCAACACCCATAGGCCCAACATACTTGTTCCAATTTTTGCTTCAATCCAAGAGAGGAAATCAGTAACCCTGACGTAAACAGAAGGCGTTCCAGCGCATGTAGGTCCACCGAACGAAACGATTCCAATCTGCACATACACATTGGCTGCGGAATTTAAGTAAACAAGGGGACCACCACTGTCACCCTATCGGAAAAAGTAGAATTTTGTTTACAGTATTAAATAATTATGTTAGAATTAAATATAAATCATATTAAAATCACCTGGCAATCTGTGTCATTGATTGGTGACAATGCGCACAGTTGACTTGAGTTAACGTTGGAGTAATTTCCCGCACAAATACTGAGGTCCACCACGGTAAGTTGTGCGTACTTTAAGACATCGCTCGTATCTCCAGCTGCAAGATTTGAAGTGAGGTACGGTATTTAAATAAAGAAAGTCACTCACTGGTTTCATTCTTCACTCCGAATCCGCTGATGGTAGCCACAGTATTTACAAAAGTTGTTGTCGCGTCAGTCGCTGGTGGTAACGCAATAAGTTTGATATTACCTGGAAAATGCAATAAAATTAATTTAAGCGTTTAATATTTTGTTTATAAAAAAATAACACACTGCTTAAAGTCACTGGGGTTGCCAGAAGAAGAACGGCAATGTCGTTAGTGATTGCTGTGGGATTGTAGCTTTCATGGGCAGTGGCTGTTGTTACTGAAACATTCACAAATCCGACTGAGGGATTGGTTCTTGCAATTGTCCCAAACATAACGTAATGCTCGTTTCTGTAATTAACCAGGAATAATTTGGTCATACTCATTCACCATATTAGAACTTATACTTTAAGCAATGAGCCGCGGTGAGTGCATAGTTTACGAGAATTAGCGAGGAGCCGCAAATGTATGTTGATCCAGTGGTTGTGTTTTTAGCTACGAGGAATCCATGCCAGGGAAACTGGCCTAGAGATGCTTCTGAGCCTCCAACAATTTGTTTTGTAAACGAATTTGGTCTTGCCAAGCCATCCGCAGCTGAAAAATTATTTGAATTTAAAATTAAAAATCCTGAATCATAACTATAAGTTCTTACGTTGTCGGATGCTAACACTGCTGGGATTTAGTTTTGGCGTAAGGCTCGCAAGGATCAATTGCCATTGAGTAGATGGAATACTTTTCGGAATGTTTGCAGTAGGTTTTACCATCCGCAGCAATTCCGGTCCCGTTGAGTATCCTTCAGCATTTACAAGCAAGTGGCAAATCTAATATTTAATTTACACATTATTATTGCAAATAATATATTAGCAAGAACATCACGTTGTCCTATCAGTTTGGCCTAATGCATATTAGAATGGTTTTTATTATATTTTATATTTATCAGGGACCAGGATGTTTTTGGTCACCAAAATTCAGAGAAATATTATTTAGGCAAATGTGCTGATTTCAGATTTATAATATATGAAAACTTTTATGATTTTGAAGTTGTATCAGTCACGCACTAGCGATTTAACTTTTGTATTGCGGAATTAAATTTAAGCTTAAATGAAAAGTATTTGCTGAAGATTTAAAAAAAGTACTTTAAAATCAAATTTGTAAGTAAATATTTGTATTACATAATAAAACAAATAAAACAAAAGAAAGAAAGGAACAAAGATAAAAGAACAAAGATAAAAGAAAAAAAAAAAAATATAAATCCACAAAAAAAAAACTTTTTCTTATTAGAATAAGTTATAAAAGTAATTTTTCATTTATCTTGCTGCAAAATAATTAAATAATATTAAGCAAGTCTTATTTTATTATCAATGGGCAGGGTCACAAATTATTATATTATTTATTAAGTGTATCGGAATTAGGAATTTTTAAGTAATCTTGTGCTGCAGATAAATCATTTTATAATCGAATTGTATTATTTCCTATATGCACTTAGGCAATTTTAAAACTTTGATCGGAATAATGTTGAAATTTAATAAAACAGTTGCATCCACTGACGGATTACACCGGTATTGCATTCGGGCTAAAAATAGAACTCCGCGGGCAATGATGATTTATTGTTTTTCGAAAATTTAAACTTTGCACATCAAATATTCTATCAATCAAAATGGGCAGCTCTGATAAATTCTTACTATGCAAAATTCTCACGCAAGGATTGTCGTATTATCGCGCTATTTTTATTTCATGAGGAAAAATGTTGTTCAGAGTTAAAATAAATCCATAACTTTTACTTATCTCATGCGTTACCAAATTATAAAGGATATTTTTGAATATCCACCACAGAAGAGAAACGCTTTGTGAGAATCATTTCTCAGAAATTTGGAACGCCTCAAAATTTTCTTCAATTGAGCAAAAGTATTATTTTGAGTTACTTGATAGCACAGAAAGATAATGTTCTATAGCAATTTTAGTGTCAGCTCTTTTAAGGGTTTCATGCCGTTATAAAGAAACTACGCCAACTTAAAAAGAAATACTTGCCTGAACTGAAACAAGGACCAACGTGAGGTGCCCCATGGTACGCATAACGTAACAGTGAAGAACTTGTGTAATTGTATAATGAGAACCTCACCTTTTATAGGCCTTAGAATGACGTATATTTTGCCGAGCACATCCTGCAAAAAAGAAATGATAAAGCATTAATTTGGAAATTCAATGTTTTACTGCCATCATATCTTTCCCATTCATTGTCATTAACAACTCAATACGTTAGAATGTTCTATAGAATAAAATATGATTTATTGCAACAAATTGTCGCCTGGAAACACCTGGAAGCAAATGTTTGACGTAACTACCACAGTGGTTATTAATGTGGTAAGAATGATGCCGAGTGTATCCAAAAAGTAATAAACTGTTTCATTTCAGTAATTCTATTATTTATTAATTTATTTACAATGGCCGCACCGTTTCTAGTATGATCCTTAATATATAACGAAAATTCATCGAAGGATTAGAAGGTTTTTTCTAGTCTCAAAATATTTTAAAATTTGCTTTAAAATAAAATAATTGACAGAATTGCATTGAAAAATCCAGGTAATGGCCAACCAATATCTCTTACGCAAGATGCAAGAGATAACTTCAAGATATTTAAATTGCTATGATCACAAATTTTGTCCTGGCTCTGCCAAAGCATTTCGAAGCTTGATAAATCTTTTACTACTACTAGTCAGCATTTACTCGTGTCTCAAACACAAAGAACTCTGGGTTTGAAATTTTTAAGTAATATAGTTGTTTCTCTAATCAGCCCTGATGCTAGCCAGTGTTATTGGGACTCCGGGTTTCAACCTTTCCCAGCAGGCAAGGGATAAAAAAAAATAAAAAATCTACTTTACTACATAAGCCAAATTTAGCTCAGATTTAGCTGTTACTAAATTAACACTTGACGGATGACGTGGGATCTTAGGGGACCCCATGCAAATTCCTTTTTGGAAAACGGAAGAATGCGGGTAAATCTGGTTTTTAAATTGTTTAAAAGAGTCGTCTTTAAATATTTTGACTAATTATATTCCTCTGTAAGGACAGAGAATTGAATATTTGGGTTTAAAAGTTTCTAAAAAAAGAAAAACTATGAAAATCATGTTTTCATTTTAATTTATGGTTGTGAAAATTATTGTCGTTTTTTTTTATCCAAATTGTTACATCAATTAAAAATTTTGAAAATAGACATTAAACGTAGCGTCTATTTCATGCTCTAGAAGGGATCAAAGATAAGATCGAAACTTTTTCATACATATCGCAAATTTTTTAAAATTTTTAGGTGAAAAACTTAGAATGGGGTCCTCGGAGACCAGAGCCCACGTCACTCGTCAAGGGTGAAAGCCTTTTACAGCGTTTGTAATTTAGGTGCAAAATCTAATAAATTTTTTAACTTGCAACAAAGTTATCAAATTTCAATACATGTTATACACACATATATATTATTATTCTTGTTATTATTGTTGTTATTATTGTTGTTTATTTGTCCAAATTGTTACATCACATTGTTTACAAACAAATTGTTGAAAAACATTTATTTTGGAAAAAAGAAATTGGACAAAACGGCACCACCACTAGCAATAATTTTGCTAAAACTTCCGAGGCCAAAAAGACCCCATCCGCCGCAGTGAGCCTCGGTTGACTGTTTTTGTTCTTAAACTGGCACTATCACAAAGTTTGCCACATGTGGGCCTTGCACAGGGTGGGGAACTGTTCCACCGGGCAGGTTTTCAGAGTGTCTGGAAGGTCATTCCAGGGCCCGACGACCCTGAAGGAGAAAGCGTCCTCGGCAAACTTGCTCTGGACATCGGCAGGCCGCAGTTTTTTTGGGCCCAGAGGGTCATCTGATCGGAGGGGCCGGCGCTCGGTGATGCGCTCCATGGCGTCGAAGTCGGTGGCGCCGCTGGTGCACCTCTTGTTGTTTATTTGTCCAAATTATTACATAACATTGTCAACGTCAACATACAATTGTTTAAAAAAAATAGTTTATATGAGGAACATTTTCCTCAAATTAAACTTTTTATCCGTATAATTATTGAATAATGGGGGTTATATATACTCATCAGAAGTACACACAGGATAGCATTGCTTGGGAAATGATAATCGCATATTAAAAATACATGGTAGATCTGACGCACAGGCATGCAGCGCCGCCGAACACAGCTGTGGGTTGCTGCATTGAATAATTTTACTCTGCTACGTCTCATAAGAAATATTAGTAATAACAAGATTTTTAATAATTATGCAATTCTGCGAATAACGGAAAGATTTTAAATCTGAAATCATTTGTTCTTGAAAGTAATTTTTTTATATATAATTATATAATCAGTCGTATTGGTGTGCATATCTGTTCTCCGTACTGCGTTATTCTGATTCAGACTTATATTAAGAGCATTATGGGAGACTTACAGAAGTGAAATAGAACATCCAATATTACATTTTCTAAAAATCTAGCCTCGACTCTCGTCTTATGGAAAATGACAATTTTTAGGTCATTTAAAAATATTCTACCTAGCTGGCATGAATTTGTGATTATTTTAATTTAAGCTTCAGTTAAACAAATCGCAATCATGTCAATATTTAAATAAAAGTAATGCGAACTTGAGGATGCTGTCGTATTTTATTCATTTTTTTTTTTTTTAATAATTAAATTTGTAGCAATTGCAATAGGTTTCTGTCGTAATCCGTAGTCATGGCATGTGTCGTCATATACATTTTTTTTTTTAATTTCTCTTAGGACTTCTCCTGGAAGCCCTGGCTTGTATTGGGGCCCTATTTTCCGCTTTCTTCACGAAAGGCTTTGGGCCTGTTTCTATCTTCTGCTTGCTCGAAATTTGGCTGCTTAGCGGTATATTGAACTGCTGGGCCAAGTATGGTTTGCATGTTTCAAAGAGCGTGTAGGTGGACTTGCAGCTGCCCGTCACGACTGTAATTTAAGTTTTAGAGGGGAAAGTGTTGAGAAAATAAATGTTGATAGTTACTCTTGCTCGGACAGTCCTGAAAATTTTTGAATTAATACCGCAGTATGTCTTGATAAAAAAAAAAATATTCATTGATGTATCGCATTTGCATTAATTAATTGCAAATAATAATTACTTACATCAAACATCTGGAACAATATGCATTGGGCAAAAATTAGGGCATTGCCATCGACGGTCAATTTTCCGTTAATAAATTGCACATTGCCAATTGCTACAAATGACTATTAAGATACCATTGCTATCATTATTAACATTTTTTGTACCATCAGTCACAGTGATACACTCGGTAACTGCAGTTCCTATAAGAGCTGGCCATACCCCTGCCTGATCTTGATTTGCAGCCAAGAACGTAGCGAGACCAGTTTCATTCAATGTTTTAGTAGTATTGTCATACTAAATTGTAAATATTTTAAAAATAAAGATATGCACCAAGCCAAACTTAAGCTCACAAGTCCTTTGCTTATTAAGTAGCAATTGAGGAAGCTCTAAATTGAACTGTTAGTAACATTAAATGCTTATATTATGTTAAATGAATTACGGCATCTTTGCCAAATGCTTTCAGGAAGGTCGGGTCGGTTAAATTGATAGTGTTGTTTAAGCTGCCCTTTACAATCTGATACTTGTTTAAAGTGAGAGTTGTTAAGGCCTTCAGTGCAGCAGTGTTGACTGGCGTCCCGCAAACCTTTTCGTTTTTAATAGGAACCGCTAAATCTTTGAAAGGCGATCCACAACACTTTGCCATAGATGTAGCCTTATTTAAAATATAATCTATCAAACTTTTGTCGCCGTATTTGAGCAATCAGTCACTTACAACATAGCTTCCTGAAGCACAATTAGGGGGCTTAGTTGTGGTAGTCCTTGTCGTAGTGGGCTTTTTAGTTGTTGTTGCTTTGGTAGTTGTTGTTTTAACAGTTGTTGTCTTAACAGATGTGGTTGAAACCTGGTGAAACGTTTCAATATTATATTCAAATGAATGATGTTTTTTTAATCGTGCAAACATTAAGAAAAACTAATTGTCAAGGGAAAAAATTTTGAACCTCGAGCCTTTAGAATTTGATCAGTTTTATTTTTACCGTCGATCCAGTCGAGGTTGAGCCGGTGCCGGTGCTGCTAGAAGAGGCGCCGGTGCTGCTAGAAGAGGCGCCGGTGCTGCTGATTGTAGTTGGTACCTAAAAAATACACAGCAAAACAAGTATCGTTAATGAATTGTTTTCGTTTATTCAATAAATGTTTAAACATTTAAATATAGAAATACATAATATTATTTTTTACCGTTACTGTAGTTGGCAGGGCTAGAAATTCAAAATATTGTTAATTACCACATCAGTAAATATAATCGCCACTTACTTGTTCCAATTTTTGACTCAATCCATGCAAGATAGTCAGTGACCCTGACGTAAACTGAAGGCGTTCCAGCACATGTTGTTCCTCCAAACGAAACGATTCCAATTTGTACATACACGTTCGCTGCGGTATTCAAGTAAACAAGGGGACCACCACTGTCACCCTAGCAGGATGCAATATTATTTGGGGAATTTTAATTTTTGATTTTGATATAAATGATCTTATAATAATCACCTGGCAATCTGTGTCATTGATAGGTGACAAAGCGCAAATTTGGCTTGCGTTTATGTTGGAGTAGTTTCCCGCACAAATACTTAGGTCAACAACGTTGAGATTTGCATATTTCAAGACATCGCTCGTAGCTCCAGCTACAAAGTTTTGCATTTAGTATTTGTATACATAAAACTGAATTTGTTAAAGAGCATCCTACTAGCTTCATTCATCACTCCAAAGCCACTTATTGTAACCGCAGTATTTACAAAAGTTGTCGTCGCGTCGGACGCAGGTGGTAACGCAATCAATTTAATTGTATCTGCAACATGATGCAAGTTAGCTGTACATATTTTTAATCACAAAAATTGCTGACCGCTTAAAGTCACTGGTGATGCCAAAGCAAGAACGGCAATGTCATTAGTGATTGTAGTAGGATTGTAACTCTCATGTGCAGTGGCTGTCGTTACTGAAACATTCACGAATCCGGCTGAAGGACTGCTTACGGATATCGTTCCAAACATAACGTAATGATTGTTTCTGAAAATGATTTGTATGATTAAAAGGGCACATTCACCATTTTTGTGGTTTTACTTTAAGCAATGCGCCGCGGTGAGCGCATAGTTTACAAGGATTAGTGAAGAGCCGCAAATGAACGAATTTCCAGAGGCATCTGTAGCTACAAGGTATCCATGCCAGGGAAACTGGCCAAGGGTTGCTATTGAGCCTCCAACAATTTGTTTTTCAAACGAATTTGGTCTTGCCAAGTCAACCGTGGCTGAATAATTATTGAATTTAGAATTATAATTGGTCGAAAAAAATTATAAAATCTAACGCTGTTTGACGCTAACACGGCTCGGATTTAATTTAGGCGTAAGGCCTGCGAGTATGGTTTGCCATTGGGTAGTCGAGACACTCTTTGGAATGTTTTCAGTTGCCTTAACAATCCGCAGCGGTTTTGGTCCCGTTCCTTCAGCAATCACCAGCATAGAGCACAGCTTTAAGTTAATAATTAAATGCACTATTAATTTTTTTTAACATTATTTTATTTACATACATTTAAACACACTTGTATATTTAATGTTTCGGAAAGATATACACACAATCAAATACTCATTTTAGTAATCCATTGAAACGTTACTTTTTTAGCACTTATTATTTTGTATATTAACAAAGTTTTGTGGTAGAATTTCACGATCGAGGAATGATTCATGGTGATTTGAATTTAAAATCGGCTTTTCCTCGATGGGTTTTTACAAAAACTGATGCTGATTTTTACAAAAACCCATCGAGGAAAGGCCGATTTTAAATTCAAATCACCATTAACAAAGTTGTCTGCTTTATAGTGGAAACCACTCTTGTGTTGGTTTAATGGGCAATTAATTTTCCAATCGGAAAGTTCATTAAATTTGCTAAAAAAAAATTTTCATTAATTTCATCCATCGTTTCATGATTCATGATATTTTCCTATTCAATTTTAATTTTGTCTTGATTTAGTTAAAATTTATGCCATGATTTAGTAATTATTGATTTTCATAATTTTGTTATTATTTTTTAAATTACAATATAATAAGTAATTCAGTAAATCTTCCAGTTTAGGAAAGTTAATTATTTTGGGTATGGTGGCTTGCATTTTTTTTAATTGATTTTATTGAGGTGATATTCGCCAAATTTTCTATAATGGTGGCCATCATTGTAAAATTGGTAAAAATTTGACATTGTAACGTCCGTCAGAATTAAAAAGAAAAAATTCGTGAATTTTTCATGCATTATTTTTTTTCTTGAAAGCTTTCTAAGAAAATATGATTTTGTATTTTTTTTCAACTCAAATTTTATTTGCAGTTTTCATTTATAATTTAGAAACTTTGGATGATGTATCTCGTTATAGGCAGAGATTGCCTTGTGGTACACAAATAAACTTAATTCGCAAGTTGCAAGTAAATTTGATAGACAATTTTGTACTGCATATATGTACGATACGCAACCCGCGTAACACGGAAAATTGAATTTCGTTCATATTTTTTTTTAAATTCATTTTCCGGTGTTGCACGGGTTACGCATTATGCATAATTATATAAGCATATAGAAAAATTTCCTAGCATGGATTTGAGAACGAGGCAAAAATTGCAGTTTGAGACGATTTTTTACTAATAAAATGACAATAATTTTTTCAAATGATCTAGTGGCCAAAACGACAGGAATATAAACAAAATATAAAGAATTTTGTTAAAAAATTTCTTTCTGCTATTTTATTTTTAAATTTTCTTGCTCATGTGAAATATAGTTGTCAAAGACCGAGACCGAAACTGGTAGAGCAGTGTTTACAATGAGGAAGCCCAAAATTTTAAACGAAAATCAATGCAGACAGAATTAATTATGATTAGTTTGAAATTAAACAGTCTAAAATTGTACTTTTGTCAAAATTAACTGTGCGAACTTATTTTTAAGGGAATTATTTTATTTTCCAACACATTCCTTTCCTCAATTTCTAATTTTTACAACGAAATATAAAATATTTTATTATTTTGTCTTCGAATCAGTTACAAGGATAAGTTTTGGTCATTGCTTCATTATTTTGAGCCACTTTTTGAACAGCAGCTCGGCAACAGTGAATTACACCAAATTTAAAAGTAAAATCTTACCTGAACTGAAACAAGAACCAACGTGAGGTGCCCCATGGTCTGCCGGTCTGCAAAGACGCGAGTAATCATAAAATGAGGATGGCGCTTTTTATAGGCAGTGGAGAACTACCTATTTTACGTAGCATATCCTGTTCAGGTGGTATGGAAATACGGAATTCTGCATTGTAGTGCTTTACTTCCGCATTGGAATATCGCCCACTCAACGTCACAAAGAAAATTTCGGAAAATATGATGACTTATTGGAAATAAAAATGCGTTAGAACGCTCGTGGAACAAATAATTCTGCCAATAAAATTGATACCTGGAATGGAAATTTATGTTGCGAAATGTCACGTATCAATTTTTTAGATTTGTAAAAAGTTTGCAGCCAGGCAGATGGGGAGTTTTTTCTGAAAAAAATTATGAATTTTAGAAAACATTTGGATTTTAAATTAAATAAATCAGGCAAATCCGATTTTTGTTGCTGTAAAATTACAAATTAAGAATGCCTTCTTGGCAAGACCTTCTAAGGAACTAGTATAAATAATGAATGATTAATGCAATTAGGCAACATTTATTTATTTATTCACCTCTATGATCAATTTTCTAATAATCCTGTGTCAGTTACGAACCAAAATACATTGAAAATATTTGGTGCTGTTTAAAATCTTTCATAAATCGTACCCAATAATACATTTTTTAAAGCTATTTAAGGACTCCTCTCGGCGCGGTCAAATCTTTGAAATGATTCTGGTATTTCTGGTAAAGATTTAAAATTTATTATTTTCTGCTCCAATATTTTTAAAATAATTGTATAATTTTAAATATTGAATTTAATAGGTAATAGTTTAAGTACACCTCTTTTGGCTGTTATAAAAAACACGACTCGTCCAAGTAATTTTTTATGGCTGGGAATTTTTTAATCAAATTTAGTTGTGACATGCTAAATCAATTGGCTATCTCATCTCCGGGAAAATCCTTAATATATTTTTCTTAAAAAAAAAAAAAATGTAAATTTAAATCGAATAAAATTTTCAGGAATAAAAAAAAACTTGTACGCAAATTTCATAGATTAAAAAAGAAATAATTATGTTTTTGGCTACAACTTTCCTGTTCTAAAAAAATCACCTCTTTAAAATGGTACTAATCTTAGAAAAACCCTTTTATATCTCATGTCTCAGGTGGCCGTGAAAATTAAAAATTTTTCAACTATAGGGCCATTTCAAGCAACTTTAACTTTTAATTTCCAAAATTTTATTCACTTTGTTAAAGTTTTTTCATTTATTTTTGACAACCTAACGAGACCCAAGTAAGAATCAATCAAATCCGCAGTCAACAGTCTCACTTTTTCTATTGTTGCGGTGAAGGGTAAATTTAAACCAGGAAGTACCAATCAAGAACTTGATTTTCAAACGCCTGATCGTATCTTGATTTTTGCCACGCCATTCGTCTTTCCGCATATTTTTTGTTTAAGAAAAAAGAAAAATTTAATAAAAAATTCAAAATAAAAGCAAATCATCCATCAGCCCCTTCGAATTGTCGCCATGGTGAAATGAATATGCACCATATCACAAACATACACAAGGTATGATATGCATTCATTATTATTATCGTTGAATTTGTCCTGTTTTACACCAGATCTGCACCAGATGTTATAAAAAGCCAAAGTCGCAAAAGATTTACATTTCGTTTTTAAGGAAGCAAATTTCTATCTTTTAAAATGATATCAAAACCACTGGTGAGGAATAAACAATTTTAAAAGGGATGCATATTAAAACAAATTAATTTAATTGCACGGTAGTCGTATATATATTCAATTTTTATTGTCATTTATAATTGTTTCACACGGTTTCTGTGGTTTTTGTTGTTTACATTTTGTTAATTTTCTTTTATTTAAAATTAAAAAATCAGTTTCCAGATCCATTGCGTCGTATGCCAAATCAATCCTTTTAGCCTTCAACTTATTATTGAATGTTTAGTCTTCTTCTTAAGACCTTGCCAAAGCGTAATGCTGCTGAGGCTGGAGTCGAGGCGCTGACGCCAATACTACTTAACAGCTGCTCACTGCATTGGTCAAATTGAGACCAAAGGGTTTTACAAGTGGAAGTTTTATTAACTGCAAAATTATAAATTAGTTAATGACAAACTAAATATTTTTAAAAACAAAGCGAACTCCATTTGAATTGAAATACTTACCCATGGATTCTGAGGGGCATGCCTGAAAAATCAGCTTATAGCTCAATTAAAACTAAAAAAAACTTCAAAATTTACATCAATGACACCAAAGAGGACACATTGTGAAACAACATAGCCGGTTAAGAAGCACTGGGGCATATTTTTTACAGTGTTATTCTGGGGAGGCAGTGGTAATGCTGAAATTCATTTTTTTTAAGGTTACATGATTTTCCTCCTAATAAGATTGAAAATATTTACTTGCAACTATGTCTATACAATCAGCGACCAAAGAAGTTATTGCAGTACTCCAAGAATCATTTTGATTTGCGGTGAAAAGGGAAACAAGTACTGAAGCATCTAATGTTCCATTGACGCTCTATGTGTCAGCAAATGAAAATTTGATTAAACAAAATCATTTGCAATGAAGAAATGGACTCACAGCATTTTTCTGGCTGAGGTAGCAATCAGCAAGGCACTAAATCAACTTAATTTACTGAGAATTGTTTTATTTTAAAATAAAATTTTACGGCATCTTTCAAAATTGACTTGATTGTCGCTGTGTCATTTAAGGGAATGGTGTTGTTTAGCCCATTTTTGGTACTCTGAAGTTTGTTCAGCGTGAAGGTATTAAAAGGTGCCAAGGATGCGTCGTTAGCAATGGAGCAATTTTTGTTGATGGCTGTTTCGTTTTTGTTAAACTTAATTAAAGGTTGCGGGGGCGGACTGCAACATGGTTTCTTTGGATCAAACATTCCCTAAAAACAGAGGACCAGGAAGATAAAGAGCACAGTGCCAAAACTTATAAGTAACCTGGAAGCTCACTCCAGCACAGTTTGGGGGCTTGGGGGTTGTGGTAGTTGTGGTCTTTGTGGTGGTAGGCTTCTTAGTTGTGGTTGCTTTGGTGGTGGTTTGAGCTGCGGTATCAAGTACTGACACAGCGCAAATTATCATCTTCAAAGATAAACGACGATTAGACGAGAGAAAATTTCAAAGAGGATTAACAATGATATTTCAGCCTATATGAGGAGCATAAAGAAAAAATCATAAAAAGATAAATAAAATCAAATGTCAGTTACTAAAACTGCATAAGTATTTTTGTTTTTCCTTAATGCATTAGTAAGTTCTTTCTCTCTTCATTTGCCATAAAGGACGACTTCATTAAAACTTTGAGCGTCAGGTTCAACTTTTTTGACCTTTTACCAGCAGTATCAATTTCAACCCTTAAAAAATCGTTTATATTCAAGATTGCTATTTCTATATATTAAATGGTTGAAATATCTTGGATTTGTGTTTGATAAAATAGACAAGTTTGAATTCAATAAAGAAATTGGATCTTACCACTGCTGCAAAAAGGCACATCATGGAGGAGGAACGCATTGTCAATGGCTTTTAGGACCACTTCAGGACTCTGCTAGAAATGACTGGAATCTGCTGCCCTTTATATACACTTCCAAACCTGCCATTCATATTCGTCACATTTGCCGGATGTTTAGGCATCCTTGTTTTCCTGAGTTAAATTTCACCTAAATAATAATTTTGGACTATATCCATCAAATTTCCACTTCAAAACAAAGCTTTCCCCGCCTTAATCTACGTCAATTGATGATGTTTCTGACGTTAGGCAATAATATATGAGGTTCACTGCGGCGGATGGGGTCTTTTTGATCTCGAAAGTTTTAGCAAAATTCTTGCTAGTAATGGTAACGTTTTGTCCAACAATTCATTTCTTTTGAAATAAATTGTTTGCAACAATCGCATGGAAAAATTTGAACAAAGAAACAACAATAATAATGAATAAATAGAAGAAACATTTTTCAAACGGTTAAAAAATAAATAGAAAATCTCAAAAATCATCTATTTTTTACTGAAAATGATTAAAATGTAATTTATTAACATCAAACTTTAAATTAATTTAAAATTATTCCAGTTAGAATGTGAAGACTTTAAAAACGTTCTTTCCGTTACAATTATATTGGTATGATTGATTTTTTTAAATTTTTATGATGTTATAATTATGTTAAACCCATAGCGTGGCACTTTGAATTTATTCGGTTTAAAATTATATCAAGTATAAGAATGATTTGCATCCATTTCTAGCATTACTATTAAATTAATAACATATTGTTATTTATTTTATTTTAATTTTACAACAGATGTTAAAACAGCAAAATTCAAAAATTTTTATGTCGTTTTTGATCAAAAATTCCATACTTTGAAACGGAAACAGAAACCTCAATCTAAAAAGCAAATTGAATGAATATCGCGGCGGCCTTGTCTCTTTTGATGTCGAGCATTTTTGCAGCCCTCTGCTAGTTGTGATTCCATTTCTATTAATCATTTTTATGTTTCAATTTTCCCCCAACTTGATTGAAATAAACAATAATAATAAAAGGATTGGAAATTAAAATAATTCATTGAATCGCATGGTAGTCATTTGCAATTTTTATTGTCAGTTAGTTTGAGCTATTAGTTCTAATTAAATTTTTTAAATTTTCTTATAAATATCAAACAAAAAAGCAGTTTCCAGATCCATTGCCGGTCGTCGTATAGCGCATTTAAAATCTTTCCTTTTAACCTGAGAATCGTTTGCGCACGATGCTGCGAAGGACTGTCTGTTTTTCGCTATTTTTTAATGGAGCCGAGGATGGAGACGTGTCAGTATAGCCAATGCTAGATAACAGCTGCGCACTGCATTTGTCAAATGCAGGCCACAGGGTATTACAAGTAGTGCCAGTTTTATTGTAAACTGCAAAAGTGAAAATTAGTTGATCGAGAAGAAAATGTTTGAAAAAAGACAATTATAGTAAAATGCTTACCCCTGGATTCCGTTGGGCATGTCTAAAAAATACAGCTTAAAATCAATTTAACCTAAAAAACTTTAAAATTTACACCAATGGCACCGAAGAGGACACATTGGGTTACTAGATAGCCGGTCAAGTAGCAAGGTGTATTTTTTTTGCTGGGGTTAGTCTGGGAAGGTAGTTCTAATGCTGAAATTTATTTTTTATTTTTGCTTGTTAATTTTTTTGTGTGAATATTTACCTGCAACGAGGTCCGTACATTCAGAGACCAAAATTTGTATTATATTACTCCAAGAATCATTTTGATTTGCGTTGAAAAGGGAAACTAGTACTAAAGCATCCAATGTTCCATTGATGCTCTATGCATCAGTAAAAGATGATTAAACAGGATCAATACAGCAATGGATAATAATAGACTTACAGCATTTTTCCGGGTAAGGTAGCAATCAACAAAGCACTAAATCAACTCATCGTGGTAAGAATTGTCTTATTTTAAAATGAATCTTACGGCATCAGTCAAAATGGTCTTGATTGTTGCTGTATCGTTCAGGGCAAATGTGTTGTTTTTCCCACTTTTTGTACTCTGAAGTTTGTTCAGCGTAAAGGTACTGAAGATTGCCGAGCTTGCATCGCTAGCGGAACAATTTTTGGCAATTGTTTCCGACTTGCTAAACGATAGTAAAGGACTTGGAGGTGGACTGCAGCATGGTGGCTTATTTTTACCGCTAGGAATGAACATTTCCTAAAAACAAAAGAGTCTGAAGTTTAAAGCGCACAATGCCAAAACTTATAAATAACCTTGAAGTTCATTCCAGCACAGTTCGGGGGCTTGGGAGTGGTGGAAGTCGTGGTCTTTGTGGTGGTGGGCTTCTTAGTTGGGGTTGTTTTGGAGGTTGAACCAGCTTTGGTGGTGGAAGTAGAACCAGAGGTACTACTACTACTGGTACTTGATTCAGTGGAAGATACAGTTGAAGAATCGGTGGAAGATTCTTGAGCTGCACTATCAAGTACTGACACAGCGAAGATGATCAGCTTTTGAGAAAAAGCGAGAAAATCAGATTAGATTAGGGAATATTTCATAAAGGATTAACATAATACGAGAACCAGGTATTAAGTTATCAAAGCATAAAAATTTATTCAATAAAAAATTTCATGTCATCAATAGTGTTTTTATTTTGGTCAGATTTTTTTTCTAGTATTTACGCTTCTGCAAAACCTTGAAACGAAATTTTCACTAAATTTTCTCGCTCTTTTCCATACAGAATTGCTTCATTGAACCTATTGTGCGTCAAAGTCGAATAGGGTACAGACAACTTTTGCTGCAAATCCAGCCTTTTAAAATCCTTCACACTCAAGGTTTAAATGGTTGAATTCGGTTTAGGGAAGCAAAAGTGTCACCCAAGTTAAAAATAATAAATAAAATATTTTTTAATAAACTTAAAAATATTTTTCCGAACGGATCCTAAATAATTTGTTCACACTTTATTTAAAATTGGCCAAATAGGTATTTAATGTTAGAGATGGCGATTTGTGAAATGACTCACTCTCATTTTGTAATTACCAAAAAATAACACGTGAAATTCGCTTATTTTACTTGAAGCCCAAAAATTGATTTATTCACCAATGTGTACAATGTCTTATTTCAAAATTTGATAGTTTAGAATTTTAAATTCTTATTTTATAAGTGTAAAGAAATACAAAAGAGTGGTTAATTTTTAATTCTTGATATGTCTTTGATTTGTGTTTGAAAAAATTCACTAGTTTGAAATCTATATAACGAAATAGGATCTTACCATCGCTGCAAACAGGCTCATCATTGAGGCACGCATTGTCAGTGGTTTTTAAGACCACTTCAAGACTATGCATGAAAGGACTGGAATCTGCTGCCTTTTATATGAGTCCTGCTTCCTGCCATGTATTTTTGACACAATTGCAGGATGTTTTCAAATTCTGGCTTTCCCAGAGTTGGCCCATTGTTTTGGATCCATCACCATTGAACCGTTTTTCCATGTAAAAACTGTGCTATCCCCACTCTATACGGTTACATTCAGAATCCCCACTAAATTGGAAATTCCTACAATGAGGCATTACAAGCAATGAGGAAACTGAAAATACTAGGAATAAAAATCATAGAATTTCAACTGAAAATCATTTCACAAAAAGATATTTGTTCTTGAAAATATATAACATATGCACATTAAATTTATTCCAGCTTAACTTTGAGGAGGTTAAAAACTTACTTAAGCTAGGTTGTATAAATTGTAATTTTAAATAAGAACCTTTTAAAATTATAATCCGGGCTAGAAGCGTGGCACATTTGAAGCTATCTGATTATCTATTCTTTCAAGGAATTCTACGCTTCTATAAATTTAATTCTGACCCTTACTAAAATCCAAGCCACAGATATATTATTAGGGTAGCAAATTTCACATCAGGGCTTTCAATATGTAATCAATTTATTTCTCAATGTCATTCACCATTCTCTTGCATGTTGATATCGGTAGTGTGACTTAAAAAATTAAACATTTACCACTGAATTAATGTTTAAATAGCTCTTTTTCATTGAATACCTCATGCAAGAAAAAAAATTAAGCAATTCACATAATAAGAATTATTAGGAGTAGTAGAAAATAATTTTATGCCGAATTTATTTAGTTGCAAATGAAATTTATTCTTTCCCCACAAATATAATTCAATTTTTTAAACAAAACGCGTAATAATAACCATACATTGTGAAAAAATATATTAAATAATAAAGGACTCTAATGTCTTTTATTTCTATATATGTTTTTGTAAACTTTGTTGAAGTCATGTTCAGTTCCATAGCCAGTCGTCTGTTAATGCAAAAAATTCTGCACGGGAAGCCTTTCAGTTGACGAATTTCATCTCCATTTCCCTCACTTTATCGTCCATTGCGAGTGAAGATGGAGCTGAGCTTATAAAGCTAGAGAAGAGAGATTTACCGCAGTAATCGAATTCAGGCCACAAGGTCTTACAACTGCCCGTTGTGTTATCTTTAAGAAATGAATTTGTTAATTTATCATAATTTACTCATTATAACCTTATATTTGTAAAAAGAAAGAAAATTCACCTCTAGCTTCAGGAGGGCAAGACTGACGAAATTATTATTTTTATTAACATAATCGGCAGCCAAATTTTTAAATACCACAATAGAAAGCAAGTTGACGCATTGGGCCGTCAGGTAAGCATCGAAAAAGCATGGCCTTTTTTTGCTATCTGTCAAGTTAGTGGGCAAAGATAATTCTGAAATATTTTTTAGAGGGAAATATAAATTTTTTAGTAGCATTGTCAAGCGTGTGTACATACGGGTAATAATCGAGTTGCAAGCTAGGAAAACATTAGTCAAAGCACCGATCCAGTAGGTTGAATTTTGGTATTTGAGGAATATTTGAGCTACCGCTGACACGTCCAATGTTCCATTTGCATCACTCTTTAGAAAAGTAAACACATATTATTGTGGAATTCATGGACTTTAACTGATTTTTACAGCATTTTTAAACTGGAGGTAGCAATTAACGGCACACTGAAATTATTGATAAAAGAGGAGAGGTTGTTTCTGATTTTCAAATATAATTGATTACGGCATCTTTTGCGATGTTTTTAAAAAATGTGGTAGTCAGGTTAACGGTGTTGTTTTGTCCATTCTTCGCATCCACTTTCTGGTACTTGTTCAAAGTCAAGATATTGAAAGCCGCCGTTAAACTACCTTCGTTAGTTCCGCAATACTTGGCGGCGGCTGCGTCGGACGTGCTGGACTTGTCCGTCTTGTTGTACACAAAAAATGCACCTGGAGGTGTTTTGCAGCACGGGCTTTTTCCCTGAAAAAAATTCTGGGAAAAAAAATTGAAATTTCCAGTCTTTTATATACCAAACAACCTTGTAATTTCCTGCGTCGCATTTTGGCGGCTTTGTAGGTTTTGTGGGTTTACCGGTGGTTTTGACCACAGTAGTAGTAGTAGTAGTAGTATCTTGCGCTGCCGTATCAAAAACTGATAAAGCGCAGATTGCCAGCTTTTGAAAAATTAGATTTCATTATAATGAGAATCAAGAAAGCGTTAAACAGTCGGTTTTAAAAGATATTACTTTAGAAATAATGAATTTTAATTCATTTTCTCAAGTTTGAAATAAAAGTACCTTAGACACTTTTTGATACATGCGTGCATGTTTCTAATCTCACAACCTATTTCACGATTGGTAGTGTGATTTGTTTGGAAAAAATTTTTAATTTGTCATATTGAATTTGAAATTTTTTCCTCTTTCTTTCAAAATATAATATTTAATTATTACTTTTTTTACATTCATAAATTTTAATTAAAAATTGTAATTATATTATTGTAATCCATGTAGATATTCTTACCGCTACGGCAAAAAGGCTCAACACACAGGCTTGCATTGTTCTTGCTTCTGAATCAATGGAGATGAGGTGCCGCCTTTTATAATCGTTTCTCCTCCACTGATTCATCACATTTCCTGCCAAATTTAATATGTTTTGGCTTTCCATTGATTTTATTGCCAAAATATTGAAATATAAAATAAAAACATTGGCATCCTGGATTCTGCAATATGAAAACAACGATTTCCTGCAAAATCCTGGACAACTTTGATCAATTTTATATCAAAAGGAAAATTTTATACTTCAAAAATCCATTTTTAAAAAATTCGTTGAAGAAATTTTGGTATTTTGTATTTGCAATTGAGCAAGTAAATGTAAAATAATATATTGACTGCTTCAATGGTTTTTTATTCATGGACAATCACTGCTTTAAAGACTCCTTGCGCTTCTTTGCTTCTTGCATTTGTATTTCCGGTTGAGTTTCTCGATATCCTTATTAGAGATGAACCTTTTCTGCCCTATTTCAACACCAGGCTCCTGTACCAAAATCAAATAAAAATATACAACTTGCGAATTAAAAAAGAATACGTATGGGATGATGGTGTCCTGTCCATTCTTGGAAAATGCAGTTCGGCTGTAGTGCATCAGGCTTGAATAGTCGTAACCAACTCCAAAATCAGTAACTTCTCTAGCGCTGTATTTCACAAACTGGTGCTCTTTACCTATTTATGATTTTTATTTTAGTTGAAGTTTATTAAAAATTTTAATACTCGCACCAGGTTTAACATTGGTGAAATTGATATGCACATATTCGTCTCTGTCCGATGCACTTTGCTGGTGGTGAAAACCCGTGGCGTGTAGAAGTTCGTGAGCAACGGTGCCCGGGATGAAACACGCGTGTCTTTGCAAACTGATGACCTGCCCTCCTCCCAATCGCCCGACGTGACCCCAGCAGCCGGTCAGGTTGTACATGATGTGAACGTAGTCCGGATCACCGTCTCTGTAGGGTCGGAACCTGATGCACGAATTCTGCGTGATCCAATCCATGCCTTTTTGCACGGCCCTTTTCTCGCCCTTATCTGCAAAAATGGCAATTTCGCATTATAGTTTCAAAAACCACAATAACCACATTCAATATAATTTTTATTCTTGAAAGTGGCTAAGAATTTCACTTCAAAAAGTTGAACTTGTGGCGATGAAGGTAACATATTTTTCAATCGCGTTATTACTTAAAATATAAAGTTTATCCTGATTTGATGTTAAAAATTAAAAATATATTATTTAATAATTGATTTTGTTAAAAATTTTATCAAAATTTTTTGTACATACTCATTCCTGGTTGGAGAATGAAAGGTATGACGCCGTTAGGCCAGTTGATCTTGTTTGATCGGACCACATTTCGCCCCCTGTGGTTCTCATCGTACTCATCTGGCAGCTCCATAATGTCACCCTCCTTGAGACCACTCAGCTCCCACTGGTTGCCCACATCGTCAGGGTGCCAGTCCATTAAGTCATTTGCTGATTTTTTTTTTTAATTATTTAAACCTTAATACAATAAAAGACTTACTGACGGCCTCGTGGTCGTAGTCATCAGGGTAGTACCAACCGTGGTGGATAGGAGGGAGTTGTGCTGCAACCAAGCCAAGCAGAAATGAGAGTGTGAATAATGAGACGGTCATTTTTTCTCGCTCCGCAAGTGGTTTTCTGCCCTTTAAGCCAACACTTGTCTTATTCCTCATTTATAGCGGTTTTGTAGCGATAGCAGTGCTAAAGTCGTGAAGGGACAATTATTGTTATTATTCAGTACTGATAATTTCACACACAGAGCATTTTAGTTGCGATAGATAAAATTCAAATTATGAAAACTATGCACAAGACAATCTCCATTGTTATGTACTTTTCTAGGTTATTAATTTATTTCTTTCATATTCATATTAAAATTACAAAAATATTGAAATCAACCACCTTTACCAAAATGTAGAACATTATAACAAATAGGTTTAAAAAAAAATTATAATGATTAAAAGAGACAAGGAGACCCAAAGTTGAAGTGAGGCGAAATAATTTCAAATTAAAATATACAATAATATATTAATTTGATATAAATTCATCTTATCATATTTTTGTCAATAGTCTATTATATAGCTAATAGTGTAGAATTATTCCAATCATCCCAACCATAGGAAAAAAATTTAAAAAACATTTTTAAATACTAAAAATATTAGCAAAAATCTCTCCCAAACACATTATGAAAAAAATCCATGATGACAAAAATTTTGATTGAGACGTGATCGACATACACCAATGAGTTTCTGGCTACAGCTCATTAATCAATTGAATTGTCATTATTAGAATTTCATATTTTTTACTCAAAATATTTGGTGATGAATAGAAAAATTTAAATTCCAACAAAAATTTGCATTAATTTTTTTGCCGATTACAACTTTCACAACCCATGCAAGGACAATAAATTTTCTCATGTTAAATTTCCGTCAGAATCGGTTGTATTTTATCTTGCAAAATATAAATTCACGTTTCTTAGCTCAAAAACTTAATATATTGAGATAAAAAAATTTGTTTTAATTAATTCACAAATACAACTTTATTAAAAAAAATGACCTCTTAAAGATCATGCTTAATTGCTAAATAATAATTAGCTTATACGAGATTGAACTTTTTGTATGTCGCTAAATTTCCTATTTTCAAACATTAATTTGATTAATTTTGAAATACCGAATGAAAATTCGCTGATTGTGGCCTTGGGTTCATCTGTGCGGACATTGAACCTGTGTAATAAAGGCAAGGACGCCAATTTTTCTGCTCTGATTTTCCATGGGCATAATAAAACTTTAGTAAATGCAAATTTATTTTCAGCTAGGCTCCAGTATTTGTTGTTCTTCTTTTATCAAAAGTAGAAGTCAATTAATTATAATTTTTCTTATAAAATATGGTTAAAGTTTAGATTAAAAAATATTTGAGATATTGGTTAAATCCTAGATATAAAAAGACGCATGAGTTTCATTTTTCTTCATACTTATACATACAAAGTAGATTAAGATTACGTTTATCCAGTGGATAAAAAAACCCATAAATAATTTATTTTCATTGCAATCACAAAAATTTTCTCGAATGATTCCAAAGTAATATGGAATAGTAAAATCATTTTTATTTTTCGCTGATAATGACAGAGTAGTAATGAATGTTAAAAACGTTGGGCTACTTTTCATTTTCCTTTTTCACTAGTAATTCCATACAATTTGAACAATAAAAATTTTTTTCATTTTCCACTTTCACGGGTAATTCCATACAATTTGAAATTTGAACAATCGAAATTCTTCATTTTCCCTACTTTTCCACTGGTAATTCCATAGAATTTTGAACAATAGATATTTTTCAACCTTCCACTAGCGAGAATCGAACTGCCACATTGCAACATTTTTATGGTGTTTTGAGCAACATTATTTTTCCTGCAGCATTGACGAACGTCCGCTTAGTAAGCAATAATTATTGGGTTTCGGAGAATTGCTCTTGACGTTGGCTACAGACCATAAATTCCAACTGTCAATTTCAATGCCAAAAATTGTGTTTAGAAACACAACCGAGCGAACCAATGTCATCGCTGACGCTCATCGCGAATGCTTTGTTGGCAGGATTTTGTTTTTGGAAAATAGGAATGGCTCGTGGTGAAATTTCATTTATTTGGGAATAAACAATACAGCATTTTTAGTTCAATTCATTTCCAAAATGTTTCAATGATCCATTGTCTGAAAAAATCAACGAGCTGCCGGACGTTTTTTGCATTTGTACTTCCGATTCAGTTTCAAAAAGTCCTTTTTTGATACTTTCTCTCGCTGTCCAATTTGTGCTCCCGGTTCCTGTAATTAAAACTAGTAATTCTTTAACAGAAAATTGTGACCATTTTTACAAATGGAATGATGGTGTCCTCTCCGTTTTTAGAAAAGGCCGTTCTGCTGTAATGCATAACACTTGAATAATCGTAGCCAACGCCAAAGTCAGTCACTTCCGCCGGAGATTTCTTGTCAAAGTTGTGCTCATGACCTTTGAAAAAGCAAGTGAACAGTTTCAATAAAACATTGCTATTTTCAATATTAATTCCAATAACAAGAACCACACATTTATTATGATAATTTTAAAACTTTTACGCAATGTTCCGTACGTTTTTGTAAGGCAGGTTGCCTATGCCTGTTTTGGAAAGTCTAAAATGTAGTTTTTGATGAAGTTAATTTTTAGACTGCACTTTAGAATTTACTTAAAGGATCTGGAAACCTTCAAAATTAATATACCTTGAAAATCCAGGTGTAATTCCTGTTTTAACAATTGAAATATTTACCAGAAAATTATTTTGCTGCGAAATTTTGATTAATTTATTTCCCTAACGGAAGCCATTTTTCATTGCTGCTCGGAAAACTCAGCAATTTCACAACTTTTGCATTTTATTTGAACAAGCATTTTATAAAATTGATTACTTTGAGACCTGAACTTTTGAAAATATGGAGAGTTTAGTAAGTTTTTATTTTTATTTAGGTAAAAGTTATTTTATTTTTCTTGATAAACTGTACGTAACGTGAAGGCCCAATCATCACTGAAACTTAACTGATTTGTTGTTGACCGGCACTGTGGAACTGTTATTATAATTAGATAAAAAAAAATTGTATTGGATCTTTAAGTCATATTAAGTGTTTTTTTTTAGTTTAAAATTTAATATTAAATCTTATTACGTTTTTTTTTTAAATACTTCTTTTTTTACCTTCTTCGATGTTATCGAAATCAATGTAGACGTAGCCATCTCTGTCAGCGGCGCTCTGCTGATGGTAAAATCCGGTCGCATGCAGAAATTCGTGAGCCACCGTTCCGGGGTGGTAGCAACCCCCACGATGCAGACTGACCACCTGGCCTCCACCCTGTCGACCAACGTAACTCCAGCAACCGGTCATGTTGTAGAGAATTACTATGTAGTCCTTGTCACCCTCTTGATAGGGGCGGAAAGTGATGCATGAACCCTGACACACCAGCTCCATACCCCTGTCCACGGCCTGACGTTCATCTTGCGCTTCAAATTAATTTTAGAAAATCGATTCAAATTCCTCTACAGTAAATTTTTTTTATTAATATTTCTGGAATTAGACCAACTTTCATGATCGACGTTTCAAAGTCTAGAATGAAAATTCACACCATAAATCATCAAAAAAAAAAAAAAAAATTAAAAATGTGGCAATTCATCTTTTCCCTAAAACATTTGAACATTGAATTAATAAATTTTTATATCCAGATGTTGCATCATTTCGGTTTTAATCATAAATTTAGAGATTTTGAAATGAAGACTATCTTCCATTGCATTATATGGGGGGTGTAAATTTTCATAGGTCATGAAATGTTTTGAACTTAGAGAACTGAAAAAGATTTATCTTTAAGCATAAAACATAATTTTTTTTTGATAATTCTTGTAATTAATTATTTTTCTCTTTTAAAATGCTGTGAATTTACTCATTCCAGGTTGCATCACGTAAGGGATGACGCCGCCAGGCCAGCTTGCTTCCTTTGAGCGAATCACGTTTCTACCCTTCTCAGGCGACTCCATGATGTCACCCTCCAACAAACCGCTCAACTCCCACGGGTGGCCAACGTCATATGGGTGCCAGCTCATCAGATCATTGGCTGAAATTCATCTCAAAGTGAGTACAGAATTTATAAATTATTAATTTTTCATAACAGCTACTTACTGACTTGGTCGTGGTCGTATTCGTCGGGATAATAGGCTCCGTGGTGGATCGGCGGCAAATAGTTAATTCCTTGGGAAAAGGTGCATCGTACCATGATGTTGAGAAAAAGGCAGCAAATAAGCAACATTTTCAAAAGGAAATTTACTCCTAGTCTTCTCGACAAGCGTTCCCTTTGCAGTGAATTGCAGTCATGCTCGTTTATAGCATTTTTACCTTGATAAGACTTAATTATTTCCAGCGCAAACAACTTCTTGGTGATTATTTTCCATAATTTTCAAAGATATCGGACAAAAATTATATATAATAAAATAAATAATAAAGTTTTTAGGAAAACTGCATCAAAAATAAGATATAATTGCAAAATGTTTTAAAAGAAAATCAATAATTTTTTACGATCTGAAAATTAAATAATTTACTCAGGATACTGTAAAAATTAGATTTTAAATGAGCTACTATGTAGTTAAATTGAATGTTTTATTGTACTGGATTTTTTTTAAATAAAATAATTTTTCTTTGCATAAAAATATTGCTCTACATATCTGCACAAAAATTTTAAGACATTATGCTGCAAAATATCTTATTTGCCTTACACAGAACATGAGGAGACTCGCCATGAAATTTTTTTAAAGAAGAACTAATAGTTCTGTTATTCCATTATTTTCTAAAACTATTCAAGTATTTTTAATTCGTTTTCAAAAAGTTATTGTCTACTGTATTGTTAGAACTGGAAATATTTAAAATAAAAAATTAACATATTGTTTCAACATTTTATGCGCTGAAAATGCCTTTAGATATTGTATATTTTAGGAAATAAAAGGCGTCGTTTTTCAGCGAGCTGTCAACTTTTATTTTTAATTTTTATCTCTCGTTTCATGTTTTTCAAAAATGTGTCACATTTTTTCAAAATGATTCATGGTATTTCTGCATAATTATTGGTTTGGTCTTCTGTTGGGCGGCCTGCCACCTGGATACGCTCCACTAGGTCTGTTGCTGCCTCCGCTGTTATTTCCCGGTGGTCGACTTCCTCCTGAGCCACCAGGCCTGTTTCCTCCGCTCGGCCTATTGTTGTTGTTGCTAGGTGGTCTGCTGTCCGGTTTTACTACCGTGCCCGGGCGCGGTCCGGCCGTTGGTCTGCTTGAGGCGGTAGTCAAATCTGCGTTTTCCATCTCGGCCACGGTTGCGTTGCAGTACTTGAAGTTCAATTTCTCGTAGTCTTTTTCCGAGACGTGGCTCTTCTGTCCAATCTCCACTCCCGGTTGCTATATATTAAAAGAGTTAAATCAAAATTAGTTTGCTTCGAGAATTTTTCAAATACAGACTGTTCAAAATATTCTTATTTTTAAATTTCTTTTTAGTTGAAAAAAATTTAAAAAGTTTATAAAAATATTTCAAAAAGGCATTGTTACGTGAAATATCTCAATCGATTCTTATTTTGTTATTCGATTGTTTAAAAAAATATATATATAAATATCTATTTTTGTGTTGTCGGAATGGATTGTAGGTGAATTTGAATAAAAAAGAATTTTCCTAATAGTCTAGAAATTACATAAGGGATGATGGTGTCTTCTCCGTTTTTGGAAAAGGCCTTTCTGCTGTAGTGCATCAAACTGTCATAATCGTATCCAACTCCATAATCCGTCACATAGGAAGTGTTGTATTTGACAAACTGGTGCTTTTTGTCTATTAATTAAAATTATTCAAGTAAATATTTTTAAATTTAATAAAATTTCAACTTTTTTCAATATTGGTGTAATTGATAAAGACGAAATCGTCTCTGTTTGGGGCGCTTTGTTCGTGATGGAAACCGGTGGCGTGCAAGAGTTCGTGGGCAACCGTTCCTGGAATGAAACAGGCGTGTCGCTGCAAACTGATGACTTGACCTCCGCCCTGCCGCCCCACGTAGCCCCAGCAGCCGGTCATATTGTACATGATGTGCACAAAGTCCTTATCCGAAGAGCGCCAAGGTCGAAATTTTATGCAAGAATTTTTGGATACCAGGTCCATCCCTCTTTGAACGGCCTTTTTCTCCCCCTGGTCTTAAAAAAATTATAAAAAAATATGATTTTAATTTAAAAATGATAAGTTACTCATTCCCGGTTGGAGAGAGAAAGGAATAATTCCGTTCGGCCAGTTGATTTTCCTCGACTTGACCACATTCTTGCCCTTATTCCGTTTCGGCTCCATGATGTCGCCCTCTTTTAATCCGCTCAACTCCCAAATGTTTGAGCCGTGGTTTGGATTCCAATTTCGAATCCGTTCGTCTGTTTTTGTTTTTATTCAATGGGAGTTTGAGAAAAAATATCATAAACTTACGAATGACTTTCTCGTCATGATCTGGAGGGTAGTTTGCTCCGTGATGTATTTGGGGAGGCGAATTGTCCACCCCAGGAGATGCAGCTTGGCTAAAACCAAGGGCCGTCAGGAGAAGTAGCAACATTAAACTATTTCTCATTGTCCGTCTTTAATTTAGAGTTTTAATTGGAAGAGAATATTAAACTATTAAAGTCTTGTGGATTTACCTTTGAAGTGACAGTCTGATGTCATCAAATTCGCAGGACTTCTGTCACTAGCTGACAGCCACGCCGCCCTTTTATAACGCCTCATTACTTATACTTGCAGATAATTTTCATGATAAGAAATATTATGTTATATAATAATGATAATAATGTAAGGAAATTAAATTAAAATCGACTTTTGAATAAAATAAATATTAATGAAATAAAGAATAAATATTGCCTTTAAAAAAAACGGATTTGGAATATATTTTGAGACCTAGAACTTAAAGTCAAAATAGTGTTATGATTTTTAAGTAATTTACAACAATAAAATATGTAATAAAAAAATTATATTAAATAAAAGATTAAAACTCGACACATTAAAAAATTTCAAATGCATAGTTCCTAAAAGTGATTGTTAAGTTGCAACGCATGTTTATTGACATATTACTTGGGAAATCGCTGCCCAAATTTGGTCCAACACAATTTAAATTATAAAATTAATTAAATATAATTTATTACTTGAAGGCGGTGTAATATTTAATCCATTAAATTATTTTTATTGATTAAATGCATTATTAATTTAATCAAAAATGAAAATCATCATTCATGATTATTAGAAAAGTTTCACTGAAGTTCCAGAAACTCAGTTTTGACATTTTTCCTTTTTACGGCTAAAGTCATCGTCATCACGATCGCATTCGTACATCAGATTGAGTTTTTTGAAGTCATTTACGGAAACAAATCGTTGCTGTCCTATGCGAGCGTACTTTTCCTGCGACATTGCATTGATGAATTGAAGAATCGGCATCAAATTCGACTCACATATGGAACAATGGTGTCCTCTCCGTTTTTAGAGAAAGCAGTTCTTCCATAATGCATTATGCTGACATAGTCGTATCCGAGGCCAAAGTCCGTGTACTCACTCATACTGACTTTGTCAAAATTTACATAGTCATCTAATTTTTTATTTAAATTAAAATTTCAGCACAAATATTCATTTCTAAAAGCAAAACCTATGTCAAGATTGGTGAAATTTATGAAAATATAGTCGTCCCTGTTTACTGCACAATGCTGGTGATCAAACCCGATGGCGTGCAGGAGCTCGTGGGCGACGACTCCGGACTGAATGCAGTTGCCCCTTTGCAGACTCAGCATTTGTCCTCCGCCCACTCGGCCTAGGTACGACCAGCAACCAGATTCGTCATGGACGAAATTTACAAAATCGACATCACCGTGTCGGTAGGGCCGAAAACGAAAACAGGAGCCATTCATTATCATCTCCATGCCTCTTTTTATTTCAATTTTCTCCTCCGGCACTTTTTATATAATTATTTTGTAAGTTATTCCTATTCTTTAAGAATTCTCACTGAAGCCGTGTTGGAAAACGTAGGGCATGGTTTTGTTTTTCCATTTGAAATCGGGGTCTCTTATGGAGTTTCTAGAATGTCCGGCAGGCGTGTCCATGATGTCCCCCTGTCTCAGGCCACTCAAAGCCCACACATTTGTCCCTTTACCCGGTTTCCAATCGGAAATTGCTTGTGCTTGTAAAGTAATTTTAAATGAACTATTATAAATACTGATAGAAAAATAGATCGTACAAACCGTGGCCGCGTCGTAATCAGGTGGGTAGGTGGTCTTGTGGGCGATGGCTGGAGTTGCAATTACCAGGCAAATCGCAGCATGAAAGGTGAGAAGATAAACGGTCAAATGCATGACTATCTCAAAAACTCTGGGAATACTATGATGACACAAATTCACAAGTGGACTGACCATGCAACTGAAGTACTTGCAATCGTATCTGAAAATGAGTGCAATTTAGATAAATTCAACTGAGGAGTAATTAAAAGAAAATTGCGTACTCTACTGACAACAAACTAATTATAAAAGAACTACTTCTTTATCATAAAATATCTTGTACTTATAATTATTTTGCATTTAATTGTATGGGATAAGAAATGGCGCTGTTAAAGTAGTGGCGTGCAATTTAAATGATAACGATAGCGAACAGCTGTACGTGGATATTTATCATTAATTGGTGTGGTCGTGGTCATGCAAACGCCTGCAGAAAATATGCGTTATGCAATTTTCAAAGCATCAATGATGCGCGGGTTTCATACACAGTATATTGCAGGCATTATAATTCTTAATATACGAGAACATTTCATTGATGCAAATTGTAAATAGTACTTAACATAATTTTTTCCCGAACAATTTTTCCATAGTAACAATACTAATAAATTTAACAACCAAGAATGTTGTTTTCCAATGAAACAATAAACGACCCCGAAAAGGCAAGCCAAATTTATATACTTTATTTTTCATTCTGAAATATTAGTCTTTAATAAACCGTTTATAAATTCTCGTGATGCAGTAAAAATAAAGTTAATTTACTTCAATTAAAAAAAAAAACTGGAAGATAACCATTTTTTTTAATTACTCTTAAATATGCTCTAAATTATTTCTCTATTCAGGATATTTTTGAAGTAAAATAAATATTTTTCTCTTTTGCAGAAATATTGATTTATTTTTCCACTTTTGCTATCCGTTATTGACGCAGTTGTATCTTATGTTCAATTTCTGGAAGTCTCTATAAGAAACAAACTCCTGCTGGCCAGTCTTGGCGTTTGGATCCTGCACATTGAAAATCAATTTCCGTACACAATAATTTAAAACTGAATCTCACATAGGGCACGATTGTGTCGCCACCATTACCAGAAAAGGCTGTTCTTCCGTAGTGCATCACGCTGTCGTAATCATAAGCGATCCCATAATCGGTGTAATTTTCTGCAGAAATCTTCACGAAATTGTACTCTTCGCCTGGAAATATATCTAATTACAAGCTGAAATTTATTATGTATAAAATTTTTTCACCTGGCCGAATGTTATTATAAAGGATGTACACGTATTGGTCCCTATTGACAGCGTTATGTTGGTGCTCAAATCCCAAAGCGTGGAGCAATTCGTGAGCCACCACGCCGTGGTAGAGACACGTGCCTTCAGGGACGCCCCTGGCCAAACTGACGACCTGACCACCGCCGCCCTGACGGCCGATGTACGACCAGCATCCGACCTCGTCATACCGAAGATAGAGATAATCGCGGTCTGTGTAACGGTAGGGCCGGAAACGGATGCACGACCCTTGCATGATGAGGTTCATCCCTTGGACGATCTGCAACCTTTCGTACTCAGCTGAAAATGGAAAGAAGTTTATTTTGCAGAAATTATCAACTGCTAAAAAATTTGACAAAAAAAACTGGGCTTACCATCATTGAGAAAATTTAAAAAAAAAAAAAAAAAAGGAAAAGAAAATTGACTCCAAAATAGAGTTAATATTTTTCATTAAATCCACCTCGAGCGTTAATTTTCAATTTGCTAAAAATATTTAATATTTATGTTGTTTTACTGAGTCCAGGTTGAATCGCGTAAGGAACAATCCCATTCCACCAAAGCTTGTTCGGGTCCCGAATTACGTTTCGGGAGGTGTGAGCCGCGTCCATGATGTCACCCTCGCGAAGTCCACTCAGGGTCCAAATCTGCCTGCCGTGATCTGGTCTCCAGGCAGCCATGTCCCGTGCTATAAAATAAATTATAAATAAAGCATTTCATTTTAATTTTTAATTTGAAGACCAATTGCTTCCGGATCGTGTCCAGGGGGATAAGTGTGTTTGATGACGTCAGGAGGGTGGGCTAAAGTTAACCCAAGGTATGATGCCAAGGCTATAGAAATTGATGTCAAATACATCATTGACTCTAATTTAACAAAGTTAAAAAGGAGATTTTTGTGTCGGTAGGGAAGAATGAACAAAGTAGAAATTTCTTGGCGGTATAGCTTCATTTTATTCTCTCGGTCTTTGATAAAAGAAAAGTAATTTTATTTAATTGTCCAACAAGAATATGGATAAAGACTCTGAGAGATTAAAAAGTAGAATAGGTTGTAGAAGTCATTGTCCTCGCTTTGTTAAGCAAAACTTTGTATTCTATAAATTGCAAGACTCATTAAATGAAATGTCAAACTTAACAAATATTTCTTTTAATGAGTTTCATTAGCTCATCACTTACAAATTGGTTAGTGTTTAATGATGAATGGTTTTTACATTTCAAATTATCTTTTTCAGACATCATAGGATAACTTTGATTTAAAAAGGAAAGTACAAATGAAAATTAATGCCTTGTAGGGATTTAAAAAAAAATTATAGCCAAAAATTTGCTAAATTGAAATATTTGAAATTTTAATTAAGTCACCTCATTTAACTCCAGTTGCATTAATTAAACAGCTTGAATCTATGGGAAATTTTGTGGTGAAATGTTTACTGATGAGTTTTTTTATTTAATTCAAACGCGTAAAAAAATGCTCTTTCAAATTTAAATTTTATTTCACAAGCTTCCATTTTCTTTTAAGCCTTTTCATTACGATTTCAAAGAAAATCGGTGCAGTTATATCTGAGGTTCAACTTCTGAAAGTCCTTCTTGGACACGTGGTCAGACTGGCCAATCACCGCATTCGGATCCTGCTCAAGAAAATTGGCAATATCTTCACTTAAATATAAAATTTGTTACCTTCGGCACAATCGTTTCCAAATAGGTTTCGTTGATGCTGAACGTAGTCCTGCCGTAGTGCATGACGCTGTCGTAGTCGTAACCCACGCAGAAATCAGTGAAATTCGCTTCCGAAACTTTGTCGAAATCGTGATAATTTTCGGGTTTGACGTTTTCAAAGTGGATTGTCACGTAGTCGTCCCTGTTGGCCGCATTGTGCTCGTGCTCAAAACCGAGAGCGTGCAGAAATTCGTGGGCTGCCAATCCGTACTGGATGCAAGTGTAGCCATTCCTAGGTGTCATCAAACTCACCGGCTGCTGTCCGGTGCCCTGGCGACCCACAAGGGACCAGCAGCCTGACAGGTCGTTGCGGATCAGAATGTAATCGTCGTCGATTTCCGGTTCGTAGGAACGGAATTTGATGCAAGAGCCGTTCATGATGATGTTCATTCCTTTGATTACCTCCAAAATTTCTTCTTGACCTGAAAAAAGATCAATTTTGAATTAAAAGGGTAATTTAAATTGATTTAAATTATTTATGACTGGACTTTTTAAAAACAATATTATAATTTATATTTAAATCTGGCGTTTTTAATGGAAATAGAGAGCGAGAATTTTTTTAAATCAAGTGCTTAAATTTAAAATTTGAAATACGTAGTGAGCAATTTTTTTAGTTCATTCAATATTAAAAATTCAAATTATTTAAATTTATGCTCCAATCTTTGAATCATATGAAAATATTGAAAATCTAAATTAAGGACAATTTTAAATCTGAATTTTTTTATCAAATGATAAAAAAATGTAATGTTACTGTATCCTGGTGTGAACGCGAAAGGAACAGTATTGTTCTTCCACAGTTTTTTCGTGTCTCTGATCACATTTCTTCCCGCATGGTGGTTGTCCATGATGTCGCCTTCGCGCAATCCGCTCAGCGTCCACAGTTGATGACCGTGCTCTGGTCTCCACCGCTTCATATTTCGTTCTATGGGCAAACTTTAATTACGATTTGAAAAAATCAAAATCTGGAAATCATACCAACTTGCTCCTTGTTGTAGCCATGCGGGAAAACGACTGGTTCTGAAACTGGTGACTGGTACAGGGCGATGTTGAGTTTGACGAGAATGGATAAAGCAGTAAAAATTAGAAGTCGCAACATGATTAAAAAGGTGTGGTTGCTAAGACGAGACGAGTTGTCGGCGTCAGGTGTGGTGTAAAAGTAAAGTGCAATTTACGCTTTTATTGCTTTTACACGGATGATAAATAAAAGAAACGAGGCCATCTTTTAATTAAGTCCTTATTCTAGTTGCTTAATTGGTTCTACAAGCAGTATTTATGTTTTATCATTTCAGTCTCAGATTTTCATTAAAATTTTTATCATATTTAATTTTTATTTGTCATCTATACACTTTTTAATTTATTATTTTTATTTTTATCTATTAATGGCCTACCCCTGTGAAAAATATATATGGAAATAAAAATGAAAACGGAAAAGTTCCGAATTATTTGTCCTACAATATTCATAATAGAAAATAAGAATGTTTTTAATTAAATGGCGTAAATATCTTACTATTTTAATGTACTTTGTTGAACAATAAGATAAAAATCAGTATAATTTTGACTGTTGAGTTAATTTTATTAGTGGCCATCAAAGAGACAACTATTTAATTCAGCCAAGAAGTGACATGAATCCGCCTCCATGGTTTCCGTTGGATTCAACGCTGGGGTTGGAATTGGCGTGGCCATGCATACTGTTGCTCTCGCCGTTTTGGCTCCAATCGACTTTATTTTCCATTTGATCATCCTCGTAATGACAGTTGTACTTAACGTTCAGTTTCCGGTAATCTTTGTCTGAGACGTAATCCTGCTGACCAATCTCAACTCCATCCTCCTAAACACAAAATTGATTGAATTTTCATATATTTAATGAAATAAAAACTTTACATAAGGAATGATGGTGTCCTCCCCGTTTTTAGAAAAGGCCGTTCGGGTGTAGTGCATCAAACTGTTGTAATCGTAGCCAACGCCAAGTTCCGAGTACTCAGAGGCGGACAACAACTCGAACTGATCCCAGTCGGCTTTAAAATTATAATAAACAAAATTAAAATTCAATGACCACATGACATAGATGTACTTTTTGTATTCTAAAATCTGAAATCGCGATACAAAAAATTGGTTTATCCACCATTTAAAATTTGAAAGTTGGGAACTTAATTCTTGATAAACTGCTAAATTTCGTTTAAAATCAACCTTTAACATTTACATGATTTTGGGATTCATTAATATTTATAAAATTTAAAATTTAACATGCAAATTTTTTTGAACGCGCATAATCAGACTCAATCCACAAATTTCTATTGAATTTCACAAACATTGAGAAATAACAAAAAAATTAACTTAAAATTGAAAAAAAAAATGTCAATACCTTCTTCAATGTTGGTGTAGTTGATAAAAACGTAGTCGTTTCGGTCTGGGGCGCTGTGTTGGTGCTCAAAACCGGCGGCGTGCAGAAGTTCGTGGGCGACCGGGCCCGGAATGAAGCACGCGTCCCTCTGCAGATTGACCGGCTGCGCCCCGCCTCTTCGACCGACCAGCGACCAGCAGCCGGTGTCATTGTACTGAATGTACACGTAGTCCTTGTCTCCGTTGCGGTAGGGTCGGAAGTGCATGCACGACCCTTGCATGATCATCTCCATCGCCTCTTTCACCACCATTTTTTCCTTTGAAGCTGTAAAAAAATAATAAAATTGAAAAAGGGGATCAAAAATATTAAAGAAATATAAAAATCCAAAATATTATTAAATTTTTTTTCTAGTGGTGATTAAAATAACTTATTTTTCAATGATAAATTTTTAAAATTTTGTTAAGTTTTTCAACGCAATTTTGTATTCATTTTTTATGTATTGATGTAATATATTTTTATGTTTTAAATGATATATTATAAAATTTATTCGCGAAAGGAAATGTTTATTTTCTAATTAATGAAATTCTTACTCATTCCATGCATGAGTCTGTAGACCATGGTGTTGTTGGGCCAGTTGTACTTGGGGTCGATGATGACGTTCCTGCCCTTGTCCCCAGGTTGGTCCATTATGTCTCCCTCACGAAGACCACTCAACTCCCAGATATTCCTTCCGCTCTTGGGCCGCCAAGATGCAATTCTCCGCGCTTAAAATAAACTTTACTTTTAATTTTCAAAAATTTAAAATGATGGCTTACAAACTGCCTCCCTGTTGTAGTTCGGTCCGAAGCTGACGGGGATCAAATTTGGCAGATCAGAAAACATGCTCGAGTCCATCAGATCAAGACAATTTACCAGGGAAGAAATTCCCACCACAAAAAGCAAAATTTGTTTCATCGTAGAGGAATTTAAAATGCTTCTTGTAATTCAGGAAACCTGTGGTGAATACTGAAGTACATCAAGAAACACGCGCACTCTTTTATTGCGCTTGTTCTTCCTGATAAAATGCAAGGAATATTATTTTAATTGCAACAAACAGCACTTGAACAAGAACTTGCATATCTGAAAAGCGCACTTTATAATTGTTTCTGATTAAAGAAAAGAGGGCAATGAAATTAAAATATATATTATGCGTATATTGTTTGTCTTCTTCTGGATTTGTATTTGTTGATTTTTAAAAGATTGTTTCCTGATTGAATTCACAACTTTGAAGCAGTTCTCAGTCTTTCTAATTAATTTATTGATATCTTATACTTATCCAGAACTCTTACAGAATTTTGAAATGTTAAAAAAGTGAATTTCAAAAAAGAAAGCCAATTAATGTATTTTTATTCATTTCTTTTAGGAAACAGATGGTTTTACATTAGATTTCCTTATAAGCAATTTTAGTCGCGATATTTTTAAGAATTTTCGTTTTATCTGATTTTTGAATTGATCAAAATATGAAAAATTCAGAGCGCTTTGCACATTGGATAGCGAAGGTAGTAGGAGGTGGTGACGCTGAAGTTTTTTGTGTCGGGCACAAGAATGTACGAATTGTCGGGCGGATTGTAGATGGTGGTGATAACTTGCGAGTATCCAACGAAGGAAAATGTGGCGTTTGAGGTGCACCAGCGCGGAATGGTGCTGTTCACCATGCTCCCAGCCACAAACGTCCACGCGTTTGATATTGGAGTGCCTAAATAAAATTAAAACTCGTGACAATTGCAAAAATAAAAAATATTTTGCACATTTATTCTCAATTTTTTTGTTGTTCTAGCTCGTTTGTGAAAAATTCGTGATTTTTATGTTGAGGTTAATAAAGCAAAGATGTGTTTAATTCAATTTTTTTTATGCGTTGTTGGGTAAAAAAGTTTTCAACAGGCAATTTTTGTTCTCAAATTTACAATTTGGATTAAATTTAATTTAATAAGGTGATAAATGTTAAAAATTAACAAAATAATTATATTATTTATAGCGTAAGTAGGTCCTTATTTTTATAACATAGAACTGTGGAAACATATGATTCTAGAGCCTTAATTTTCAATTAAAAAATGTATATTGAGTTTTTATATGAAATTAAGGTTTTTTTCCAAGAAGGGTCGTATTTTTCCCATTCCTAATACAATTTGCTGTAATTAATCACATAATTACATAAAAATGATGCATTTTCCCTTATTAAATAAATTTCCACTAAATTGATGGGAAAAAAGCATTTTTATCTCATTATTTATCTGTATTACTTGCAAACGTGAGGCAGTTGAGTTCCTCGACAGATTCAATGGAGGCCAATTGCATTCCGTAGCGGCAACACCGGTCATACGCATCGGTTAGGTTCATCTTCAACAATTGAGGCGAAAAGTTGTTTATTATATTGAAATTATTTTACCGAACCTGCTTGTTGATGAAAAAATATTTTTTGCCGCACAAGTCTCGCACAAAGCCGTTCTGTGTGGTGCAATTTCCAGAACAATTGGCTACTTCCTGCGCAAGAACCGACTGCAGAAATTTAATTAGTAAAATAAAACAAAATTTATTTCTTTGATCTTACGGAGACGTTGCAAGGGAAAGGGCCGTAACTGCAGGGCGCCGGAGGTTCCAACAGAACTGGATCCTTTGTCAAATTTTTTTTGTTATTTAAAAATATTTGGATTTTGTTTAGTAATATTTTTAATTTACCATGGGCATTGACTTGTCCATAGCTGCGACAATACCATTCAGAGCCTCGGGTGCTTTTTCGCTGCTGCATTTGATCATTTGGGCCGCTCGGTCGCACTCGTCCATTCCCGTAACTTCATTAAAATTTCGTATAATTCTTCTCTAGTTTTTATGAAATTTTACCCGATCCGCCGCACTCGTCCATGACCCCTACATTTTTCTGCAACTCGGCCGCATTCCCGGCCGCCAAAGTTTCCAAAATTCCAAACACCTCGTTCTCCACAAACATGCCGTTCACCATCTGCGAAAACTTCATTAGAGTAAATACAAATAAATTTTCAAATTTCACCAAGTTAGAATTCTCTCCAAGGCATTTGATGAAGCACTGGAAATGAAGAACAAATTTAAATTGCTAAAAACAAAAAGGAATCAGAGAAAAACCTTGATTCGTATATCCTTTGGGAAAGATGGATTCAACAAAGACTCAATTTCGGCTGTGGAAATTTAATGAACTATTGAAAAACTTAAAAAGACAATACAACGAGTTGTTAGAAATGTATCTTCAAATCAAATAAAAATGTTTAAAAAAAGGCAATTTTTCTCTGACGTGTGTTTTCGCATTGAAATCATACTGTCGAAAATGATGTTTTTAATGTCTGTTATTTGGATACAATTTATTTCAACAAAGAATATTTTGAAACTAAAATTTATTAGTGTGTTATTTTCGTAGATCTGTGTCATTTTCGGTTTTTTAAGGGTATTCTAGTTGTAATTTTCAATAAGAAATGTGACGCGCGGAATTGCAAAGCAAGTATAATTAATTTATTTAAACATAAATTAACCGATTTTTTTATGTTTTGGTTTTTCTTGCTCAGTGTCTGAATTCCAGGTTGAATTTCTCAAAATTAATTAAACTATTGTCTCAATTTCATACCCTGGCTGACGTTGAAAAGGGTTGCGCACTCGTCTCGCACGGCAGTTCCGCCCGACTTTGATTTCGACGTGTCCCTCGCCTGTCGAGACAAAAATTGCATTTAAAAATAAAAAATAAACAATCAAATATAAATAAATGCATTAACCTCACAAATGTATCTGATTTTAGACGAATCCTTGAAATCGTACAACTGAGCGTCACTCTCGTTGACAAAAACAGCAACGGCGCTCTCGTTTCCGTCGGCGTGGTCCGGCTGGCCCGAAGCCCAAACGGCCTCTTGCCTCAAAATCCTATTGGCCGCGCAATAACCGAAACTCCACTTGCAACCGCGGTCGCTGCCCGAAGTCCAGTAGAAGTCGCTCAGATTGGAATTATCTTGGAAGGAATTTACAATTTTCAATTAATTTTTTCATTTACTTTGACCCTATTTCGACTACATACTAACTGCTCAAAATTGAAATTCGATACTCTCACGAAATGTAAAATGTGTCCAAGTTCTATTCAGAAAATTCCAAAAAATAATCATAAAAAGATCAATAAAATGTCCAGTTTAAATTTAAATATATCTCTTTAAGAAAATATCATCTTCATAAAGCAACCAGAACCAATAATTTGCATTAATAAAATTAATTTTTTTAATGGCAAAGATGGCCGCCGCCTGGTCTCATTGTTCTGTTGCTAATAAAGCCCCCCACGGTTGACAGTATTAAATTTTTTTATCAATTCGATTAATATAAAAAGGTAAATTTTTTTAGAAAAATTACAACTTATTAAATGTCTTGTAAGATTTTAAATAAATAGAAATTAATAAACTGTGTATCGTACTTTTGACTGCTGCAACGATTGATTTGTACTTGTAATCGTACTCCAAACTCAACAAAGACATTCCGATTGCGCAACAAGCCGTTGTTGCCCCGACGTACTTTAAGAAATTCTCACTTAAAACAATAAATTATTTATTTATTTATTCCATTTACGGTGTCAGTTTTATTTTTGAAGCTGTAGACAAAAGTCCTGCCGTTGTAATTGAACCAACTTCCATGTGAATTTGGAACTGAATTGAATTTTAAAATACATAAAAACTTATAAACACAATGAAATTAAAATAACTTACGCGCCAAGTATCCAAATTTATTAAAATGCCTTGGCTAGTAACGTGATAATAACGAGGGAAAAAATTATATAAATTTAATTTAATTCATATACGCTTTTGGTGCACGTAATACTTGGACACGTGGGCATTGAACAGGGTGCTCGAGTCGGGGCGCCCTGTTAATTAATTGGTTTGTTTCCAAATTAAAATTAATTATTTACTTGGCAAGCAAAAATCAGCCGGTCAGAGCACATTCTGTCCGAGAAAGTGAAGTTCAAGTTCTTTTTTGACACGTTGAAGTGAACGCAGTTTTCACTATTGTTGAAATTTTGCGGCTGCCCGGCGGCCCAGGGCTGTTTTTCCACCACAATCGACCCGTTTTTGGTGCACCATGAAAACTCGCTTTCGTTCGTTCTCGAAGCGGAAGTCCAATAGTTTGAACCAAACTTCCATTTGGAAACTAATTTAAAAATTTTAAAACATTGAAATCTCCTTTTTATGCTTTCAAAATGTTTGTAGCAGTTTTGACAGTTCTGCTGAACAAAGTTTTACCGAGTTGTTTAGAAAAGCACTCCAATTTCGAAACGTTCTCAAAAGTTAGCGGCTCCATACCGAGTTTGTAGCATTTTATCAAATTCTCTCTCCAAGTGACCTAATTAACAAAAGATGTTTTCTGACGCTAACAATGTAAAAAACCAACCACAGATTTTCCAAAGAGATATTGCTGACCGCACGACTGCACCCAAAATCCATATTTTTCAGGATCTAAATTCGAAATAAAAAATTTGTAAAAATATTTTTCCTTTTCGAGTACATACCTTTTACGGTGCCATTATTGCCAATTAGAGTTGGCTAAATTTGGAATTGGTTTATTATTTTATTTTTTGCCTTTTTTTATTCTCACGTCTACTTCAAACATGGTTTCACACTTTCCATCCTATAGCAAATTGATGCAAAAATTTTATAAAATATACTTTGTACAGTCAAACTTCATTTATTGGTGGCTCCGTTGTAGATGTTATAGTTGTTGTTGTAGATGTTGTTGTTGCTATAGATGTTGTAGTTGTTGATAAATTTATAGCTGATTCCACACTCGTTTCCGTTATATTCGACTGCAAAGTTAAAACTAACTTATATTGCATAATATATAAAAATAAAAATTACTTATTGCAAGAGCATTTATGTAACTTTTTTTTTAATCTTTATCAAACATTCATAAGATTAGGCAAGGAAAGGTGGAAATTTTTTCTAAAATCCACGCCCTTATTTAGGGGAGAGGGTGTTATAATTCAAACTGTTTCTTATAAGTCATAGTTATACCAATTCGTCCCATTTGTGCAAATTTGAACAGAATCGGTAATTTATATTCGATTATGTTGGTCACCTTTTGGCAAGAAACGTATATCTGATTATAAAATAATGACACCTATTTTATTGTTGATTGAGTTAAATTTTTACTATCAAAGAAGCATTTTATTAAATTTTATTTTTATGCAAAAAAGAAAAATCGTAATTTCTTTTTAGAACTATTCACGAAAAAGAAGTTTGATAACAATTGAAACTTTTCTCTTGTCCGACGAAATATTCACAAAAAAAGTGATTTAGTGATTCTTTGTTTGACATGACCTTTTCCAACCAAGTATCACACTTATAGGTCCCAAAATTGTTCCTCGAGTATTTTTCGTCAATAAGAAATATTATAAGCAAAAAGTGAAAGTTTTTATAACCTCTGTTGTTTGTATCGTTGCAGTCGTAGTTGAAGTTGAACTTATACTGGTGGTCAAAGTGATGGATTCTAGACTTGTGTCCGACACTGACCTTTTTGGTAATAAAATTAAAAATTAATTAAAAACTTGAATTCCATCGGAATAAAATTTCCAAACACTTCGCTTGTTGTTTCCGCTTCCGAAGTTACTTCTGTAATTGCAGGTTCCGTAGTTTCTTCTGAAGTGGAAAAAGATGGCTAAAATTATGTTACTTTATTAGACTTGAAAAGAAATAAGTCTGCTCACAGTATTATAAAATTAATTAAAAATATTATACCAAAGTTTCTGTTTTTGAATGAATGAAATTTACAGCAGCCTTTGACGAGTTCAAGCTTGATTTTGTCGTAAATTTTTGCAAACAAGAAGTTCCTCCGCAGCACTTGACAATCGCATTTTTCTTTGCAATCCTACTGCCTGAAATTATTTTTCCTATTTAGTCATTTTTTCCAATTTTAAATAAAATAACAATACCCAACGACTTGATTGCATTTTTTCCTTGCTTTTTCGCCGCTGGCGTCTGGAGCGTCGCCAAAACCTGGTTCAGCATTTTTTTAATACAAATATTTTCAAAGAGCTTGCAACGCATTTTACCAGAATGAGAAAAAGGAGATAGTTTGCCAATGGCATATTTTAAATGCCGAGCAACAACTGTGCGATAAACTTTTCGCATTCGGCACTTTCCATCGATTGATGGGAATTCCACTATTTACCCGCTATTTGCCGAGGTGACTACCCGTGGGTTTCCCTAGGCTTATACATCAATTGCACAGAAACACACATTCCAGTGAACTATTTGAGAGTCAAAATAAAAAAAGATTCAGGCAAATTCTGTGCTGAAATTCTATTTGATATACAAATTTAATTTTCCAGTTTCCAATCGAGATAGACCAAAATTGTAAGTAATGAAATCAACCATTATTAAAAATAATTTAACAATTTTTCCGTCAAATTATTATCACAGAAGATTTATATCATAAAAATAGTACAGTCGACTAGTTTTGATTGCAGATTGCTCCGCAATTCATGAGCCGTTGAGATGAAATATGGTGTCTAGCTAATTTTTAAGAAAATTCGGTAAAATTATCATGAAAATTATTTAAAAAATTATTATTCATCATTCAATACAATCTTTTCTTCTTAATTTAATAATATAAAATATTTAAATGAGTTTGATTTTTAAACAGAAAGAAGTAGCATATCCATGAAAATTGATTGAAATCCAATGTCATGTTTATTTACCTGAAAATATAAAAATTAACGATAGTTAATTATGATGACTTTCCAATCTTTAATAATATGCTTTATTCCATTATAAAGATTATGGATTTTTGTATATATCATACAACGAACTTGACACAATTACACGCTATCCCATATATGTGTCATTCTTGCGTTGCCACCACATTATTGGGTTATATTCAAAATAAAGCTCGGTCAGCAAACAAACATCGCAACAAGTAAATAGGCGCCTCGCAGTTGCCACGGTAACGAGTAGGAAATTCACTAACTTGCAGCATTAAACTTTTTATAACAAAAAGTATTTTAAGGCAATGGGAAGTTCGTTTAAAAATATATCTTGATAAAAAGGTTATCTGCAAAATTTTAAGCTTTTACTAATGTAGCAGAAAATTAACCAAAACACAATCCGCCTGCAATATTTAATCAATTATGACAAGAAAAATTTAATGAACCATTACAAAAATAGATGTATCAGTTAACGATGGTAAAAATTTACAGAAAACTAATTAATTTCTATGATATTTTTATTAATGATTTTACAGAATTTTTTTTTTAAACGTTATCTCCAGAATCAAATGATATTTCTTTCTTTAAATTGAAAATGTAACATTTTCTCTACTGTAAGTTCATTCTTTTTACTTTCTATTTTTGTTATGGTTGCGATAGTTGATGAAAGAGTCTCGTTGTAAGTAAAAAAAATTGATGAGAGAGTTGTCGGGTAGTTTTAATCAATTCTGGACGGAGCTGCTCACACATGAATAAAAAATGACCGCGCACACCACCCATTGTCCGAGCGCAGGATCGAATGTAGAAAGTGTTCTGCGGTCAGTCAGTTCACCCTCGGTCAGTTTCAAGTTCGCCGTCGATGGTGACTAGCATATGCAAAAAAATCCGCAAGTTGTTTTTTCACAATGATTGCGCCCAAGGAGGTTTTATTTTCCAAGTCTCCAAGACAATTCACGACAATCTCGCAAAAAAGTAAGATTATCTTCTTTAATTTGAATAATTTAATTTTTAATTTTAGTAAACTATCCATTTGATTTGCCAACTACCCCAGCAGCAGCTATTTCTAATGGAAAAAATGGACATGAATTTGTTGATTTAAAAACTAAATTAAATTGGTGAGCACAATAGTTAACCCTTGAAGAAAAATTAATGGAATTTTAACACGAAGGCTTCACGGCAGGTTTAAAAGAAGAACAAAGAGAGAGCGGCGATTTCTTGTAGCAATTTTTATTCTCAGCCTGCTGAGTCTCATTCTCTTTATTCTGACAGTCGTTTTTGCGATGAAAAGTAAGATAAGTAAAATTTATGAAAATGTGCGTAAAATTTAAAAACTTAATTCAGGTGGTTATGACGATTCAAAAGTGTGCCGATCAAACAGCTGCATTGCCTCTGGTAAAAGATTTTCTTCAAATTTGAAATGTATAAATGAATTAAATTTTCAGCTGCTATGCTTCTTCAAAATATGGATAGCAGTGCAGACCCTTGCGTAGACTTTTATAAATTTGCGTGCGGAAACTTTCCTCTGAACCATCCTATTCCTGATTCTGACCAAAGCTCTGATTGGTTTCTGGACCGCAAACTCAGCGTCAAACGCGAAATTAGAGGTATTTTCTTTTAAATAGGCAGGATTTTGATTTATTTTAATCGGATATTTTAGATGCTTTGATGTTCAAAAAAAGTTCCCCTTTTGAACCTCTGCCAGTGCGACAACTGAGGGGACTTTTTTCCGACTGCCTTGATACAGGTTTATTTTCCGCTAAAATACTTTAATTTAAAGAGTTAAGTTTTCTATCAAATGCAGACTCTTTGGAACAAAAAGGCGTGCAACCTTTACGCAACCTGCTTCGCAAAGTGGAGCTTTCCTTGCAGCCGAGTTTGTTGGATTCTGGAGCAACGGCAGTGCCAAATCCCAGGTTTAACTGGCACCGATCTGCAGCACTGGGCAAAAGGTTGGCCGCCGTCGATCTGCTTTTTGGAGTTTCCATTTATCCCGACCCGTTGAACAACAGCAAAAACCTTCTGGGGGTAAAAAATATTTACAAAAATATAAATTTTGTTCTTCACACTTATAACAATAGATTGTTCCGCCAAACTGGCAAAGTCCTTTGCACGGAAATTGGAAATCAAACAGCCTATGGGCTTCGAGAAAGTATTACGAGAAGGTCGAGTCACTTCACCGCCCAAAAAGATCGATCACGCCACAAAAGCAGCAAGTACAGGTTGGAAATTTTCTCAAATATTTTAACTTCAAGGGGAAAATAATTAAGATTGCCAGCTATAAAAGAGCTCAAACATTTTCAAATTGAATTTTTTAGGTGAATTGTTTTATTTGGATTGCCTATCATAAAAAGCAATAATTTTTTACCGAAATTAAAAAAAAAACTTTATTATTTTACCTCCTCATATTCTTAAAATCCTAAAATAATCAAAAATAAGTTATTTGATCTGATATATGAAAAAAATGGTGCAACAAATGGAACATTTAAAAATATCACATGATATTTTTAAATGTTCCAAAACTAAAATCAATTTAAATCATTATTTAAAACCAACTCAAAATGAGGCAAATAGGTGCATTTTTAATTATTTGTTAATATTTTCTATATAACATAAATTTCCAATGTCACAATGTTCAAGCAATCTCAAAAGTCCTAAAAAATTCCATTTTGCTATTTTAGCAACGAGAGGTTCAGTTGCGCCAGGATTACATGAAGAACATTATTGAAAACCTTATGGCAGCGGGAATTTCCAAAGGGCCTGAGTACGGCCGAGTAAGGACTGCAAGGTATGCAGACCTGAAACTGGATCCAATGCCGAATCCCAGGTCAGGCACGCCGGAAGCACAGGAGGTGGAGGATTTTGCGCCTGTTACCTATGCCGTTAGGCAAATGTACCAATTTGAAGGACAGCTCTATGCTGTAAATAATTTATTAAAAATCGTCTTTTCTGATTTTTTTAATCTTTGATACAAAATTTAGGCAAATAATGGCAGTGGCGCGGATACTGATTATCAAATGCTTACGATTGACGCACTCCAGGATTTGACAGATCGGATCATGGGACCGAGATCAAATATCACAGTAATTAATAATATAAATCTAAAAAAAAAAAAATTAAATTGTTTTTTTTTTGTAGTTTGATTGGAGAAATTACTTTCAAGTGTTGTTTGAAGGGACGAATGTAGCTTTGACCCAAGCAGATTTAATGCAAGTTTACATGCCGTACATAGTAAATTTGGCATCAATTTTATCTCAAACTCAGAGTACAACCATAGGTGAGTTATAAAAATTATTGAAATTAAATTGAAAGTAGAAACTATTTCATGCACAGAGGCTCTTATGTGGTGGTTAATAGTGGACGCAAGCTCTGTCCACTTGACGCGGCAGTTGCGGCAAATAAAGCTTGCGTACGTTGAAGACGTCACTTATGGCCAAACTGCTCTTTCCAGGTTTGGAAGAAAAAAACATGAAAATTTGACTTATTTAATTATTTGTCTTTGAAGGTCGATGTTTTGTGCTGGATTGTCTAACAAAATGATGGGTATAGCTGTGAGTTATCTCTTCACCACTCCAGCCTACGTTCGAGCCGCTCGGGAAAAAGTATAAAGCATTCATAATTAAAAGTAAATATTCGGTCTCTAATTGCGATCAACTGCTCGGCAGATTGGAATAATGGTCGAGGACATTCGGTCTTCTTTCATCGAAAGAGTTAATGAACTAGACTGGATGGACGATGAAACTCGCAAAGCAACCCTATCCAAAGTGTCGGCCATGAAGGTCAATATAGCGTTTCCCGACTTTCTGCTCAAGGAAGGAGGAATTGAGGAGTATTACGGAGGGGTAAAGAAAATTTTTAATTTTAAAAATGTTAATTTTTTTTTTTAAATATTTTCTGATCAATTTATTTAGTTTATTCCTTCAAATAAAAATTGAGTATTGCAAGAGTTATTTAAGAAAATTTTTGTCTAAATAATTTTTTTATTATTGTTGGTCAGGTAAATTAAGTATAGTGGTTACAATTTTTAGCTGGAGTTTGAGGAGGGACAGTTTTTCAACAATCTCCTGGCCGTCGTGCAACTGCAGACTCGGAAAATGCTCGCCAGCCTACCGGTCATCAACGAACGTGACGTGTGCGTGAGCTTGATAATGGAAAGAGCTAATTTTCCCCGAAACTACATGAGAAACGAATTTTCCTGTATACAACTATTTTAGTTTGACATTGAATTCACCGAATCAATGTGTTTGATACATGAAATTCTACTAGGGTCGTAATCGAACGTTATTTTATTATTTTCTTTTTCAGATGGGCCTCAGACCCAACTGACGTGAACGCCTATCACACGTTTCAGGCAAACACCATAAGTAATTTATTTTTTAAATGACTTGAATTATAAAATGATATTTTTTTTCCATTTAAAGCGGTGCCAGCTGGGATTCTCCAATTTCCTTTCTTCAATTTAGGAATGGAGTAAGATTGATTTTAATTATACAATAATTAAAATTACAAAATGTGAAATTCCAGTTTGCTCGATTACGGCGCCATTGGATCTATACTTGGCCATGAATTTACACACGGTTTTGACAACATAGGTTTGATTTTTCAAAATCTTCAATCAAAAATATTTTTGGTTTCTTATAATTTATAGGTCGGTTGTATGATGAAAAGGGAAATTTCAGGCCGTGGTGGACAAATGCCACACTGGCTGAATATGAAAAACGGACCGCGTGTTTTGTTGAGCAGTACGGCAAGTTTCGAATACCTGAACTGCACGCCAACGTAACTTAGAAAATTCAAAATTATTTTTAACTCAAACTTTCAACTCAGGTCAATGGAATGTTGACGCTGAGTGAAAATATTGCCGACAACGGTGGGATTAGATTTTCCGTCCGAGCCTACCAGAAACTGCGAGAAAGGAGCTCTGGTGATTTGCAAGAACGCCTTCCAGGGCTGGAGTTCATGTCTCCAGAACAGTTACACCACTTGTCATTTACTAATGTAAAATTAAAATTAACTAGACTTAAAAATTTTCAAGTAAATATTTTGCAGTTGTGGTGCGACCAAGCAAGTTTCCTAGCAATGAAGTGGTCCTTGAATGAAGCCCACGCGCCCAATAGGGCAAGAATCTGGGGTACTCTAGGCAACTCGAAGCACTTTTCTGAAGTGTGGCAGTGCCCAGCACACTCTGCAATGAATCCCTCTAGCAAGTGTGACCTGTGGTGAAAAAGCCAAACCGATGAAGTTTTAGAAACCAGCATATTAGACAAAGATCTTTATAATTATTGGTGCCAATTTCCTGACTGTAACCTGATATCGAATAATAAATAAAAGTTTAATTTATATTAAAGTTACCAACAGTTAACATTATTTCAGTTAAAAAAAAAATTAAATTTTTGTTCATTAATTGAATATTATTAAAAAATTTAATTACCATTCCAACCATATTTAATTTGCAATTAAGTTAAAAATAACAAGAAAATCTTATCATTTTAGTTGCTTGTACCATAATATTACAAGACTTACAAGTCCAACTTATTGTTAGTTTCCTTAAATTTTTAGCTTGGAGACAAATTTAAAAGCCAAAATTTTCTTGTTTGTGTTTGTTTCCATTTATTCCTTATCCATGATCACTAATCCGAGAATTCGCAAGTCCATTATCGCCGGCAAGTTTATGTCCAGAGTCAACTCATTGCACTAAACTAGTAGTCGAAGTTGAACTCGTAGTACGACTGGTCGAAGGTGTGCACTCGAACGTAGCCGTCCTCTCCGCCACTGCTGTAGCTCTTTCCGTCCGGGTGGAAGGCTACCGAGTTGATCGGACCGAAGTGGCCTTTGACACGCCCAAATTCCTCTTCAAATACCAGATGGAAAAATCTAGAGTCGAACTTGCCAATTCTTGTCGAGGTCGTTGTGACATCCATGGCTTCCTGACCACCACCGAGAACAACCTGACAAAAGGGAGGAAATTAATTTCATCTAAAAATAACTCATAACTTTTAATTACATGATCCATAATCGGAGAGATAGCAGCGCTGTTAACAGGTCTTTCAGTTTTGTAGACTTTCAAGGGAATTAGTTCATTTGCATCGAAAAGTCGGGATGTGTTGTCCTTGGAGGCCGTAATGAACATGCCACAGTCTTTGTTCATCTGCATGTCATTGACAGCCTTGGTGTGCTCCCTGACCTGAAATTACAAGAGATTAATAAGGATTCATTCTTCACTAACAATTTACTAAAAAATTTAAAGAAAAATTTAAAAGCCACACCCTATTGATTTCCTTTCCAGTCTGGAAGTCCCACAGTTTAACAGTGCCGTCGTCGTGTCCAGTAATGATGGTCTCGTCCAGTGCGCCCCAAAGAATTGAAGTGACCTGGAATCAAAATTAAATTTTTTATTTTCGTGGTTCAAAATTTAGAATAAATTTAAATGCCTTCGTGTCCAGAACAGGGATGCGAATGATGGGGTCAGCTTCCTTGATGGACTCGTCCACATTTCGAACGTCGACCACGACAATCTCGCACTCCTGCCTCATCGCCTTGTCCGTCGAGTAGACAGCCATGTTTCCGCTGTAGCTGAAGGCGCAAGTCCTCACCGCCGACTTGGTCACGATTTGTCCGATTTCCTGGCCGGTTGAACAATCCCATAGACGCAGCGTGCTGTCGGCGGCGCCGGACATGAAGTGGTGCGTCTGCCAGTCAACGTCCACCGTCCAGACGGCACCGTTGTGTCCCTTGAAGGTGCCCAGACGCTCGCCATTCAGAGAGTACCAAACGTTCGGCGTGTGATCCTTGGCCGAGGAAAAGAGCAGGTCGCCCTCGCGGTTGTATTTGATCTGCGTGATGGCACGCTCGTGCCCGTGAAGCATCAGCGGCTTCATTTCGGCAGCTCAAAAACTCAAAATCGGCCAAAATTTAACGCAATTCTGCACGGTAAAAAGTATCACCACGTTTCCTCTCAATCGACGTAATGAAACACAAACACAGTTGTGCCAACGTTAATGATAAATAATTAAACTGCAAAATTTGTAATTTTTCATTTAAAATGCATCTGCTTTTACAAATTTTATATTTTTATGACAATTTAATTATACTTTATAGCAAAAAATATTGTATGAGTAGCAACTCATAAAGTAAAAAAGGTCTAAAATAAATTCGTAATGTTGGCTCTACATCATGGGGGGAAATTGCTAGAGTAATCATCGCCAACATGATAAAATTGAGAATATTCAAGAATTTCAAATTCTTCAGTATTTTGGTATATTGATCATTTATTTAATTTTTAACTATAGTTGAATTTAATTTCAAATATTAAAATTCTGTTTATGTGCTTGAGTGCTTTCAATTTTATTTATTATTAAGTAGTTGTAATTAAGTTTTATACGGTTGGCAACACTTGCATTGGAGAGGTCCGGCTTGCGCGCAGGAGGTTGCGGCTGCCGAAATTGCATTGATTTTCGACTAATTAGGCCGGAAATTTGCATACGAGTCGCTGAAATCTACGGTGAGAATTTTAAAGTTACTCTCGTCTTTATTTTCCATCCATCAACCTCGCATAATATACGCCATAAGCAGAGTTATATTGATTGATCACTCTTTCTGTTGATCAAGGTCCCGACGAGCTTTCGGCGATATTGACAAGCACTATTTTTGCCGAATTCTGCACCTTTTCTCTTGAAACTGAGGTCACTTTAACATGTACAAATTCATATGTGTTAGCAACCAAAAATTTTAGAGTATGATTGGCTAAAAAATAAAATTATAGACCGCCAACCGGTAGTACAAAAAGCAATGGCGAACTTGTTTTCTGCGCATGTTGCGTAATCCTTAATACTTTTCCCTTGTTTAAATCATAACCTAAATTCCGAGAATTCAGGAAGTGGTTATCTTGATTTTTTTTTCGTGAAACCTGATTTTTTAGAAATGCATCTCTGTAGTCAACAGCATGTTTTTAAATCATGTAACTTACCCCTTTTTAGTAAGTACCAAAAAGTTCTTTTATTATCCTGTAATCATTATTGACTACTTAAATAATTTGCTGATAACATGCAACATAAGTAGTGTTTGTCTTGTCCTGCCTAGTCATTCTGTCATCATGTTACAACACATTCCAACTGAATTGCTCAATTCAATGATTCATTTTGTTTTGCAACACTTTTATAAAGCATTTTTTCCACAGTTTTTGAGATGTTCTGAATGAGGTGGATTGGATTCTCTGCCAGACTTTTGCGGTCGTACTGCTCTGCACAGAAGGTGACAAGATATTCAACCATGGCTCCAATCATCGACAAGGTGGACAGTCTGATCCAGTCCAACCGGATCATGATCTTCAGCAAGAGCTATTGTCCGTTTTGCAACAAGGTTGAAAATTTATTTTTCTGAAGTTTTTCTTGTTATAAATATAAATTTTTTTTCTACTAGGTCAAGTCTTTGTTTGAAAGTCACAATGAAATTTTCAACGCCATTGAGCTGGACTTAATGGGAGGTAAGAAAAGTTGATTTATATCATCTTTTTGCTAAAATTAATTTATTTTGAACTCAATTTATTCAGCTGAAGGTGAATCAATCCAAGAGGCCTTGATTGCAAAAACCAATCAGAAAACGGTGCCTAATGTTTTTGTCAATGGCCACCATGTCGGTGGCTGTGATGCAACCGTGATTGCCAGCAAGGAAGGCAAGCTCAAGGAGTTGCTCGAAGGTGGCCCGAAGGAGTACGATTACGACTTAGCCATTATTGGAGGTGGCTCAGGCGGGATTGCAGCCTCCAAGGTCAGTAAAAAATTTATTCCACTGGCTTCAATCTTTATTTTTATTTAAATTTTTTACAGGAAGCCGCAGCCTTAGGAAAGAAAGTTGTGGTGTTCGACTTTGTCAAACCAACGCCAGTCGGTACAACTTGGGGTTTGGGAGGTACCTGTGTCAATGTCGGGTGCATTCCTAAAAAGCTCATGCACAAGGCTGCACTCTTTGGAGAGGACTTCAACGATGCACCCTACTTTGGTTGGGAGATGCCTGAAAAAGGTAAGGAAAATGACATAAATTTGTATCATTTTGGAAACTTAAATTCAAAATAATATCTAGTAAAAAAAATAATCAGTAAGAAAATAATTTTCATAGTTTAATTTGATGCCTTTTTTATCAGTGAATCACAATTGGAACAAAATGGTCGAGGAAATCCAGATGTACTTAAAATCCCTGAACTTTGGTTATCGAACTACTTTGAGAGAAAAGGGCATCACTTATGTGAATGCTTATGCCACTTTCAAGGAGCCAAACAAAATAGAGGTGAATTCAATAAACTAATTTTTTTCTGGAATTATAAGAATAATTTTAATAGGCCTTTGACAAGAAAAGCAAGGCCACGGAAGTGACGGCCCGGAACTTTATTGTAGCCGTTGGTGGTCGGCCCCGCTACCCGAACATCCCTGGTGCCATCGAGTATGGAATCACCTCTGACGACCTTTTCTCCTTGCCTTACTGCCCTGGCAAAACTCTCCTTGTTGGTGCCTCTTACATTGCTCTTGAGTGTGCCGGATTTTTGCGTGGAGTTGGTCTCGACGTCACAGTCATGGTGCGCTCCATTTTCCTGCGAGGCTTTGACCAGCAGATGGCCGAGCTGATCGGCCAGCAAATGGAAAGTCACGGAACCAAGTTTGTTAGGGGTTGTGTCCCAGTCAGCGTGGAGAAAATCCAGGATGGCACACCTGGTCTTCTCAAGGTACAGCCCACTTATTTATTTTTTATTTCTATTTTCATTTTTTTCTTCAGGTTACAGGAAAATTGAATGATGGCTCTGAGTATGTTGATGAGTTCAACACTGTCATTTTTGCAATTGGTCGCGACGCTTGCACACCGTCGCTGAATCTTGACCAGTTCGGAGTCAAGTTCAACCCGAGCAACGGTAAAATTATTGCGGACGAGAGGGAGAAATCAACTGTTGACCACATTCATGCCATTGGTGATGTTATCGACGGGAAACTTGAGCTCACACCTGTTGCGATTCAGGCTGGAAAACTCCTCGTTAGGGTATGTGCCTTAGTTTTATTTATTTTCCTATTTATTTATAAAAAATTTAATTTACAGCGTTTGTACACAACAAGTGAGGTTCTGACTGACTACGTTAACGTCCCTACTACCGTTTTTACTCCACTGGAGTACGGATGTGTCGGTTTGTCAGAAGAAGATGCCTTGGCCAAATACGGGCCTGAAAATATTGAGGTTTATCACACTCACTTCCAGCCGCTCGAATACACCTTATCGAAGAGAGATGAATTTAAGTCATACGGAAAGCTTGTTTGTGTCAAAAATGAAAAAGTAAGGAGTATATCGCAAAATCTTGTTGGTTATCTAAATTAAATGTTTGTAGAATCGGGTTGTTGGTTTCCACGTTCTTGGACCGAATGCAGGCGAAATCACCCAAGGCTACGCCCTGGGCATCAAATTGGGCGCCACTAAAGCTGATTTCGCAAACCTGATCGGAATCCATCCCACTTGTGCAGAGGTAATTATTAAAAAAAGTTTAAATTCCTAATTTGAGAAAAATCACTTCAGGGCACTAGAATAAATGCAAAGTTTTTGTCTAACTTGTGACCAAAATATCCTCATTTGAGCCCTTATTTAAAAAGGTATTAACCCTATCCAGTGCACTTAACCTCTATAATTCTTAAAAATTATTCTTAAACTCTACTTATCTAAAATATTTTTATATTTTCTTTTCAGAACTTCACCACCATGGACATCAGCAAGGCATCAGGCCTCAGCGTGGCGAAGAAATCCTGCTGAGGTTAGAGCAGCTGCCTGTAGGACTTTTTAAGTCCACGGCAGCCGTTTGGAATCTCCAGGCCTCACTTTGAGTTCAACATGAACTCTGTATGACGATTAGGCTCCAAACCTCTGTTGTGAGGCGGGTCTAGTCCGAGATCGAGGATCTGGGGAGTTCCCCTACTGTATGTTTACTCCAGCACTACTTCTTTTACTCGAGGTTATTGCGTTATTATAAACAGCTGTTATTGGCGATAGTGCCTTTTCAAGTAAGTGTCTCACTCACTTTGATATTTTTTTACTCTGCCTTTTATTGTTCTACTAGTATTTGCTCGCACATGGTTCAAAATAAATGCAGTAACATATGAAAAAACACCTCTTTTCTTGGTTATTAGGCATTTTATTACGAAAATGTTGGCCGACCATAAAATTATAATCATACAATGCAGATCTTGTCAATTAATACCACAAATTAAATATAAATTTGCTTGCATACTGCACATAATAAATACAGCAATAATATCATTTATTGCGTCAAGAGAGATCCAAAAATTAGAGGGAATTTTTGGCAGGGACTAGAGCACGGTCGAGTCACATGGGACCTGAGAGCATCACTGGGCTTGTGCTTTTCAGGGCAGAGAGTCCGCCAGCGGCTGCCGCTGAAGCTCTTCTGTTTCACATCGTCTTCGGGATCCCACTTTCATTTCTTGGAATTTTTGAAATTCATTATCTAAATATTATTTATAAATTCAAAAGTAGTATACCTAGGTGGGCGGAGCCATTTTGTACAGGAACTGTGTAGACTTGGTCTGAGGGCCCTGAAGAGTCACTTGGGCCCAGAATGCTGAGCACTACGGGCAGGAAAATAAGCCCGTGGAAAAGTCCATACACCACCACGCTGAAGAAGAGCTGTCAGGAAAGAATTATTTAATTATGTTGCAAAAGATCATTCAAATTTTAGTACCTTGAAAAAGGTGGTGAAGATGAACGAGTCGCTGAATCCGAGCATGACAAACGCGAGAAAGGTGCTGAAGCCCCCGTTGAACACAGGTGGTCCCACAAGTTCGAGGGTGTCCCGCGCGCGTTGTTCGCGGCCTCCTTTGAGGGTGGCGAACTTGTGTCCCACATGGGCAGAGTAGTCGACCGCTAGACCAACGCAAAGGGTCACTACGATTGATGTTGTGATCTCAACTGTGAGGCCGAAGAGAACCATCGAGCCGACGAGACCCACCAGGGTGCAAACTACGCACGCAATCACCGACGCTGAGGTCACTAAGTCTCGGATGAGCAAAACAGTTACCCCGGAAACAGCCTGAAAATATAATACATTTTTTTTATAAATTTAAATTGAATATTCACAAAATAAATGCTTGAAAACATAATAAAATTAAATTAGTTTGAGCTTAAGGTAAAAAGAATTATCTTCTTCCTCAATTTTTTTTTTTTTTTTAATTTACCGTCAGGGTGAACGCAAAGTTCCTGAGCAGCTCCTCTCCAATAATTTGATTAGCCGTCCAGCTCACATACTCCTTTGCAAAAGCCACCGTGTTGGCGGCAAAAGGCGCAGCGGCCAATTCTGTGTGCACAGAGGTCATGGCCTCTGCCTGCTGCCACGCGCCATTCAACAGCACGTGTTGGATAGGGATGCGAGTGGCCAAAATCTCGTACTCGTGAAAGGGGAAACCACGAATTTTGACATCCTAATAAAAAAAAAAATAATAATTTAGAATTTATTTCGATAAATATTTTAATTACTTTGATATGGGGGTATCCTTGGTCAGTGGTGAAAAGAAACTCAGCTAGGTAGCTGCGGAATTCCCTATAGTCTTCCGGCTCGTAACTGTTGACCTTCATCCAGTGAGTGAAGTCAATCAGCCAGAAGCCAAAGTTGTCTGAGTTGATGTACGGATTCTGCCGTAGAGATTCTGCTAGTTGCAAAAGTGCCTCTTGCTGCTCAAAATAGTCGATGGCGCCTTGAAAAAATAAATTTTTATTTATAAATAAGAAAAAAAATACACATTTTATTTAAATTATTAAATTGATTTCATACTTTGCTGACTTAGAATTTATAAATAATTTCATATTTAGCTGACTTTAAATTAATAAATGTTTAAATATTTTGTTTTATTATCTAAAAATTAAAATTTTCTACTAGATTAATTTATTGAGCAAATCATTAATTTATTGCTAAGATATTATCACTTTTATTTAAATTTTATATCTAGTGAAAAATTAGATATATTTGTTCAAATCCTTTTTCAAACTAATTTATTGTAGCTTGAAAAAAAATTCAATACCTATATAAATTCCACCTCGCTGGCCCAGTTTGGGGAAGTAGCTTTTGAGTGCCTCCTGGAACTGGCGGGGGTACGAGTCATTCCTGAGGTAAAGGACGGGGTCGAATTTCTGCTCGACTTGAAAGGCGCTGTAGGCGTTGAAGCCCACCAGGGTCAGGGTCGTCAAAATCACCAGCACCTTGACGGGGGTCTTCATGAGGCACGGGGCAAACACGCGGTGGAAAAAGGCCTTCTGGTGGTCGTGTTGGCTGCACTCGTTCGAGCTCAGGTCCTCGCGCACCACGCACGGCAGGCAGCCGTCGCGGTTCGCCTTGCGGCGCCGCTCGTCCAGGGTGACGCAGCCCACAAAAAAGGTCAACACGAAGATGTACAGGAACAGGATGCCCATCGAGGCGAAAAAGCAGAATGACTTGAAAGTTGGCATTTTCTGCAAGAAAATCAAGCAAAATTTTAAGCATTTTTCCCAAGCATGTTGCATTCATAACATAATATTTGTTTTTCTTTTCATTTTTCATTATGAAAGTTTTATAACAAAATGCGGAAGGAAAGAATTCTAGGTCAGCCACAGATTTTTTTATACAAAGAAATTTATCTTTAAACTTGGCCCTGTTATTTTTCAATAAATTTCTAAACACTGGCTAGTTCTCTTATATTAAATTAAATTTTAGCCAAATTTTTTACCTCAAACTGCAATAGTTTGTTTTTTTACACTGTGTGTCCATATTTGAAACTGAATGAAACCAACAATTTTTTTAATAAAATATCTAAAAAAAAAGACAATTAAGTAAATTTGGAATAAAATAGGCTGAAATAAGTCAATGAATTAACCCAAATGAGTGATAATGGCTTTTTATATCTTTTTGCAATGAAAACTTTGTAACCATATAAAATTAATCGCAATTTGCGTTGCCTTTCCTTTATTTATCATCGCAAGAAGTTTCCTTATAAAATATTTCCGGCACTACAAGTGCATCTTCTGCTAACCCAATTAAGCGGAGGTGCGTCGCATACTCATAACAGGTAGGTCAAGATAGCGCGAAAATAAAGTAAATAAATAATGCGCAAAAGTAGAAGGGTTTGCGCGCGTCACAAACACTGAGAAAAATCGGTCGATCGAACAACGCGCGCGCCAGCCTAGGCTCAACATCTCGTTCTTTCGGCGCGGGGTTTTGCGAAGGGGCGCGTCAGCTGCTCTCCGGGCCATGAATCGTTATGTAAAGCGTCGAGCAACCAACCCTTTGGGTCCTTCGCCAATATAATCCGCCCGCTTTCAGTGCACTTGTCCGCCCTTCTAACTCGCCCGCCATTGTCGAACACACGTTTTGCAGAACGCGAATCCTTAGGCGGAGAAAAACGGCACGACGAGTAGAAAAGAAGAAGAAAAAAAATTTGCCCTCTCGGCGGTTTTCGAGAGGTTTTAAAAGCGACTCGTGGGAATTATGAGCCGGGAATTAGGTGAACGTAAAAAATTGGTATACAAAAAAGGAGATATAAAAGAGAGAGGACGACGCTCTCAAAGCCAAAAGCCACTTTTGAGCCGAAAAGGGCTTTGTTCCAAAAAGTAAAAAAGTACAGCGCGGCTTTCTTAAAAATGATGAAGCTCCTTCTGGATTAATTTCAATTTCAAAATCGTTTGAAAAAGATGTCGTCAAATTTAATTTTCGGCAAAGATATTATTTTATAGATCAGTTATGAATGAGCCAAATGTTTTTAGTTTAATGTTATCTGATTTTTCCCTTAACTTTTATTTTACAGAACAATTATTCTTATATAATCATTCTTCAATGGCCTCAGGCCTCACAGTGACTTGATTTAAAAATTTTAATTTTTATATAATAAAAAATAACGATCAACCAATATTTTGTTTTCTTATACAACTATTAAAATTTTGTAGTACATATTTCAACCATCCTTTTAATATTTTCACTGATTTAATTTTTCTCAAATTAACAAACACTTACTTTGATTAATTGCTTCTAGAATATTAATTTGAATAAAGCATTCAATTTAACTTCAGAATTCAGAACTTTTTTAGTAATTTTGATTATTTTTTTTATTTTGTTATAATTTCTGAAAGAAGAAAATAAACTCACCGTATTGGCGCCGACGGCGAAAGCAACAATGTTGGTGAGGGAAGTGACAGTGACTGAAGAGCCGGCGTGTCTTAGCGCCCGTCCGACCCTTTCAGGTACAGACAGTTCCTTCTCGGCAGGGGTGAGGTCGTCGAGGGCCTGGACAATGATGAACATGTCGTCTACGCCCACTCCGAGCAGCAAAAAGGGCAGAATGGGGTGAATGGGGCCGTAGTGGTAGTTGAGGCTGAAGCAGAAACCAAACGAGGCGGCGATGGCCATCGGCACGGTTAGTCCTCCCGAAAGGGCCAGGTAGACGCGGTTCTCCAACCGGTTGGCCCGACCCATCATAGCCACAACGTAGACCACAATCAAAGAGAAACCTGTAAAAAATTTAAAATTTGAATTATTAAATATGGAACATAATTAATTTTTGCTTCTTACAAATAAAAATAAATCGTATTTAAATTATTTAGGATTTGTTGTTTTATCGCCAAGTAATATTTTGGAAAATAACAAACATATCATTATTTAAAAAAAAGGTTTCTACAGTTACCTGAAAATAGAACCGTCAGATTGCTATCGAGGACCTCCTGCAAAGCATCATTGTAGCTTCGGTTAGCCAGAGCGAAAATTTCAACCGAAGGTGGAAGTGTTCGGTTGTTGGAGTGAATTACTTTCATAAACTCCTCCTCCCACGCTAATCCATCAGCGTTGCCCTGAGGATAGATGAAAAACATTATATTAAAAAAATTGTTTAAAAAAAATTAGCTTGATTACAAAATCAATGAAAGCATGAAGTTAAAAGTATATCACAGACTGGTGGTGGTGGGAAATGTTTTGTTTTTTAATTCACTCAAAAGAATGAAATTCTTTTTAAGAATGGGTGTTTGTGATTTTTTTTTTTATTCTAGAAAAATGAGTAAAAATTTCTTTAGAAGCACCAAGCGATTTTTAAATAAGAAAAACTGGCTTTTTAGTTTAATTATTATCGCTCTTATCGGTGCATTCGTAACTTTTAAACCACTAATAAATATAATAAGTATCAAAAATTTTATTTAAGGGTTTTTTTAGAATTTGTAAGACTTTGAAACATGATTGCTTATATAATTTTACCTGGGCTTTTCAACTAAATTTTAAGCCCAAAATTAGCTACTTTTTTCCTTTTATTTTAAATGAGTTCTATTTTACTTACTTTTTTAAGTGAGTAGGTGAGAATAGTGGCAGTGGCGCCAGTGACAACACCGTCCTCGGAGTACGTGACCCCTGACAGCAGGTGGCGCACCCCCTTGAACGTGCCTATTCCCTGCGAGTTCCTGCGAGCACACACACATAATTAGGTTAATGGCTATTTAATTGAACCGCTTTCGTTTATGGCCCTGCAGCACAATAAGTAAACACAAACACGCGCGTCGTTCCTTTTCAAGTTGGAAAAAACGTACGCGCGCACCTGTCCGCTTTAATCAGCCCTACACAGGGGAGACGCCTGTGAATATTTCATTCTCTTAAACTTGTTTACAAAAAATACCGGGAAAACTGCCATAATAATGAGTAATTTTGCGAGAAATACAATTATATCATTAAAAAAAAATCAAAATATATAGTGCTCTTAATTTTAATTAAATTTTTCTTATTGTAGAATTATTCCAAAGAAAAAGTTAACAGCCCAAATTAACAAAATTTGACTTATTAAATAAAATAATAATTCATATAAACTCACGAATTGTTCAGAGCTGATGTGAATTTTTCAAAAATCTCTTCCTGTGACGCGGCTGCTGCGGATGAAGCGTCAGACCACAGGGCCAAAATTGACTCCTGGATGCAGTCATTGCCATGCTCGTTGTACTGCTTTACCAGACTCACAACATTCTCATCGCCTTCTGCATCCATCCAAACAAGAACCCTGAAATTATATATTTAAAATTTAAGGTGATAAAATAAAATTATTGCTGGAAAAAAATTGATATCGTCAATTTTTTTGTTCAAATATTTTTATAAATAATCATTAATAAAAATTTCACTTTCTTTCTGTGAATTAGAAATGAAATGTCTTCTGCTTGCAAAATTCGCCACCTCAAATCATAATAATTAGTTACCTTGTTCAAAAGTAGCAAAATAGAGAACATTGTAAAGACAACTTTATACTTTCTGTATTTTCTTATTTTTCACTGAATACAATAATCTTGCTGAGCCAAATTTCATTAAAAGATAGATCCTCATTAACAATAAAATGCCTTGGATTTTCTTTGATTTTGACTTCAAATTAATTAAAAATGAAGAGCGAAAAGCGAGATTTTATTGCTTGAAAAACAAATTTAATTAAACGAAAAAAATTTATATAAAAAAATAAATAGGGAGCGAATGGATATGTACATATTTGTTTTTTTCTAGGATTATGTATGCCTATGGCGTTGAATTAATTATTATAGCATTTTAATTATAGGATAGACACAAATAATTGATATATGAAAATTTATATACTAATTAATTAAGACTGTTAAGAGAAATAAAACTTGAAAACTGCACTGATATTAAATTTTTGTTATTGCTAAATTCTAATTTAATATGTCGCTTTTATAAATTTTTGTGTCACAAGTCACAAATCAGAAATTAAATATAGATCTGTTCTATTTCGCTCTTATTTTTCAGCCATCTTTTCTGCGTCTAGTTTAAGGACGTGCATAAAAAGTGGATCTAGCAAACGCGTTATATTCAAATTTATTTTTAACGCAGCGAATGAGAGAGGTCAGTGATTCGGCGCCGAGTTTTGTTGGCACGCGCTCCCTCGTATAATAAACAGCGGGAGTTCAAGAGGACACATGCGACGAAGTGGCGACTTTTGCATTTGCTTGTTGTACAAAGAGAGCTAGGAAGAAGTAGATAGAGTATTAAGAGACCCACCTGGCGCACAAGTCGTCCCAGGTGACGCCGCCGGTCACGTTGATGTTGCGTACATCTTCGTGCAGCTCCGCGATCTGAAAATAAGCATAGTGCCAAAACGTATAGCGTGAGTTGAGAGTTGAGAGAGTGGAGTGGCTTAGAAACATTACGACAGGGCTCATAAAACAAACTTGGGGCGCACTTCAGGAAATTGATAAAAGCTCTGGCCAAAATATTTGAAGGCCGCCAAGAAAAATGTAAAATAATAACATATAAAAGTGTCAAAAAAGATCTTTTACAATATTTTTAAGTTTGTTTGAAATGATTTATTTTTAGACAATTAAAAAATTCAAAAATAATTACAGCAATTGATAAAATTTGTAGATAATTTGGAATATTATTGAAAAATTAATTACATTAAGTTAAAAAATTAAAAAAGTAAGAAACTCATGGATAGGACAAATATTCTTCAAATGATTTAGTATTTTTTTCAATTTTCATCCAAATTTATTTAAAATTTTTGTACTTTTATTTTAAATTAGAAATTTAAAAGATTTTTTTAATGCCGCCAATTCCGATTAATATTGATGTCTTCATTAAAAATCAGTAACATTAGATAAAAATGATGAATCAGCCTTAATTGTTGATTATTGGCAATTATTTGTTAGAAAATTTTAAAATTAAAATTTCATTACGCCAAAAACGATTTATTTTATTTTTTTGATATTTTTTACTTTCTAACAATTGCACTAATACTGTTTAGACAAAAATTTGAGCTTAAAAAGTCGCTTTCTTGGACAAAGAAGACCCATTGTGTACTACATCATTTTAAATTTTTGCTAGAGCAAAAACTGAAAGAGAAATAAAATTTAATTTGATTGATTTTTTAAAATTTTCACGATCAATGGTTGATTTGTGATGTTTCAACTAAAAATTTGATTTTCTTTTATAGAGCTTTTGTATATTTAGAAACGGTTTTTTTTACGAAACAATAAACAACTAAAAAAATATAAAACGAAAAAAATCCACCGCAGAAAAGCAGATTTTGAATTAAATCATCAGATTTTCTCACTTGCTTTAAGGTAAGCAAATAGCACCTTAAAGAATGCTTATTTATTAATATCTGATGACTTTCAACAATAAAGATTAAATTCTCCTTCAAAAAGTTCTTTTTAATTTCTTTTTTAATCTAATCAACCGATGTTTTCCAGCATTTTTACACAACTTGGAGAAAAAAACAGGAAACCGTAGCTCGGCAGGGAGCTATCCCTCTCCAATTAACGAGCATATCAAGTGCTGTGTTATAAAGTGACATTCGATACATCAGTCTCGTCCACGCAAATCCCACAATAATTGACCCCGTGGTGACCCAATTCCATTCCCATTACCGATTTTTTCCCTTACTTTCCGTGCACGACACGTGCACGCCAGGGAAATTGGCGAAAATTAATTAAATCGTCTCTGCTCAATTGATTCCAATTGGCGAGAGCGTGACCTCTCGGAATAACTCAATCGCTCACAGAGCCAACGACGAGGCCGAGCCAGAGTCTCGCGAAGTCTCTCTCGCAGATTTGAATATAAATGTGGCGAGGATGAACATTTCACATTCAAATTACGGCCATAATCGCACATGTGACCCAGAGCTCAACTTTCTTTGGTCCTTTGAAGTATGAGATTTTTTAATTCAACTTTTAAAAAGATTAGAAAATTACTCATTCTTTCAGCATAATTTACTCTAATCAAAAACCTTTTTAAAATAGTTTTATTTAATCTTCCTGCCTTCTATATATTTTTGAATTTTTCCTAGGAATTTAGTTGATTAAGAACAAAAATAAAATTAGTTCATAAAAAATCAATTTACTTTAAAAACATACAGTTGAAAAGACAAAACCAATTAATTTTTAAAAACAAGCAAATATTTTAAAATAAACGTGTAATTATGAGAAATAGGACTTTAATAACCCCTGTTTTAGAATTGTCTTTTTTAGGGGATAATTAAGAGGGTGAAGGCACGTCCTGGTAATAATAATACCAATGGAATGTAGTAATTACCAAAGAGCAAATTTTGAGGCCAACAATGCGGGAGGGCGGAAAGTTCATTAACAAGAGAGACCGGCGGGTTTTAATGATAAACACGGGCGCATTGGCGGTCGGCCAAATTTGCAAAACGGAACTTTTTGCGCCTCTTCTATTTGCCCGCAAACGAGGTCCTTTCAGCGCTACTTTCTCGCCCACCCTTTGCTCCGCATATTATGCATTCATGCAAATTTCGACGGAATCGCAAAAACGAGAGCGAAATTATTGAGGTTGTCGCGCTTTTCAGATGCCATTCAGGTGTCTCTGTTTGCATTACAAGAGTGACTTTCTACGTTGGAAAATTTAATCTTCATAAATTATTTCGTCGGGTTATTTTTGGAATTAAATTTTGACACATTTGGGTCAACTCAGAAATATTGAAATTCTTTAAGAAAAAATCTGTTCTTAAAAATATATTAAAGGTCTCTGTAGAAATGATGATTTTTGATGATGTTTTGTGGATTTTAGAGATTTTTAGCTATCAAAAGGTTCAAAAAAATACTTTTGCTTGGAAATAAGGCGAGAATTATTGTAAAAAAAATATTGTTATTTTGATTTTATTGATGAAATTATTTGATCTTTAATCAAATTCAACAATAAAAATCAATACTGGAGAGGGCCTTTGATTTGCATAATTTATCAATTCAAAATAGTATTAAATTAGTTAACTATGTAAAATTGGGACTGACCGTGCGAATGACCTCTTGGTCAAGTACGTTGTCTGCGACCACAATGACGCTCTCGAAGACCATTTCCTCTGAGAACCATTTGTCGACCCACGCGGCGTCTCGCCGAATTGGCGAATCTTCGGGCAGAAAAAGCTCCAAGTCATTGAGCTGCTGCCTCCAGAACATGAGACCGATGCTCGTGAGGCCGCAAAGAGCCACCGAGGCGGCCAAAACTAGAACAGGATGCGCTCCAATCAGTCGTCCCAATCTGCAGACAAAAGTCCAAGTTTACATAATGAATAGCGAGCTTCATACATGAATCAAAAAAGAAAGTTCATGATATAATGTAAATAAAATTGAACTTTGACTCCATCAATTTATCATTGAATTTTTAGTCAATGAATAAGTCCTTTCGTTAATTGCGCTGTTTTATTTTTGGATTCTGTTATTATTTGTTATTTATGAGGAATGAATATTTTTGTCAAGAATTTTTAACAAAAGTAAATTCAATTTTTTGAGTGCATCGTCAGAGAATTTTACAAACACACCAATGGGGGCCTAATGCAACAATGAATTTTGTTCACATTGTTGTTAGCCAATCAGAAGTTTGAAGGCACTATTTCTGATTGGCCCACAGCAAAACTTAATTTTTCAAATTATCACCACTATTTTCAGAATAAATTATAGAGTGATCTCCGCAAGGTTTTTAATTATGAAGATAAAGAAAGAAAAACTAATTTGATCTAAATATTAATTACCTCTAACAATAAGCCCCTCCTCAAAATTTTACTGAATAGAACAATTTTCAATGATAGATTTTGCAAAATTACTGTTATTTAGGGAAATCGCATCTGAAATTTAAAAATTAACAAAATTTTGCAAATGATGATTTCAGATTTAGGAACCTACTGCAATTTTCATGTAAGACCTGGATCTGAGACAGATAAAATTATAAAAATAAAATCAGTTTGCTCAAAATTATGATTTGGAAATTCTGCATCTTCTGCATTCATAACGCAGTTAATGTTTCTTCAAAAGTCCAAAGCCAATTCAAATTTCAGTTCTATTTTTTCAAAAATTTATTGTGAAAATGTATTTTTATTTTTACTTAGCAATATTCCTGTTGGTTGATGAAATTTGCTCATAAAACCATTCAAAAAAAGTCACTGAAAACTGAAAACCTCTTAAAAGTCGAAATCTGCGTGCTTGAGATTTATTCCTATTTATTCTGGCTAGCAGACAAGTCGCTTCTCTGCCTTATTATGGGGCTGTTCTTTTCGTGCTTATTTTCTTTTTCTGGACGAGAAGAAGCAAAAAGTCTATATAAAACCTAAGAGCCCACTTGAGTTGACCGAAGGCAATGGAGTCGTTTCTCGCCGACGGCGCTCTGGCGTCACACACAAACGCTGTGCAAAAAAAAACACAAAAGCGAAAATTGGCGCAACGCAGCAACAAACGCAACCTTGAGAAAGTGCGATGAGTAAGCAAGCACGAGAGCTTTAAGGAGAGGAGGCGACCGCGACGGCACAATGACCCAACCTTCAAGCGGATCTTTTTCTCCTCTCTAATTGCAACTGCAAATTATATCTCGTCTCTTGGGGAAAATAACTTCTCCGAAAGATATTCAACCCGAGTTTTCTTTCTTTCCATCTCGCCTGTTTTTTTTTTTTTTTTTAATAAATCCTGCATATGAAATCCAACATGAAGCTGTTGGCGTGTGAGTGGAAAACTACCCCGCTGGGTCCGTGTAGCACCACCCGAAATAATAAAACACAGCGGCAGAGAAAATTCAGTCTGTGCCACAGCCGTTCACGGTCAATATCTCTCCGAAATAGACTGACTCATGCACTCGCGCACCAGGCCTCCCCGTTTCGGAAGCAAGACGCTTAATTTGTCAAAAGCCACTGACGTGTGCGGGAACGAGGGGCCGAAAAAACACATTCCCTTAATTTTTATACGCGCTGCGGTTTCAATTTTCCGTTCGGAAGCCAAAATAAATCGGTTCTCGCATGATTAAAGTAACCCTTTTGCTTTTACAGCGTTTAAAAATCTAGAGAGAGTTAAGGTTTATATTGTTCTATTAAACTTCTAAAATAATAGATAAACTGCGTTGAATGAGAAATTTAACGCGGAATTATAAAACAATATTAATGTTTTAAAAATGTATAAAAAGCTGTGTAATGTTTAAATTTAGTATTGATTGAAATGTGTACCTCCTCAAAATTTGTATTGTTTAATGCTAAATATTTGTAATTGTTCTTCTCTTTTAATCAGATTAAAATGAAATCACTTTGATTTTATCATTGATATAATCTTGATACGGTCAGTAATCCATTGCAGCTAAAATTCCAACTTTTCATTCAAAATCTGAATCCTTTGAGAAAACCAGATAAAATTTCATGATGTTTCCTTTGTTGATAGAAATTGTTAACAATAGATAGCTGAGAGTAGAAATGATTCGGTTTTAGAGTTTCTATTTCTAATAAGAAGTTCAAAGTTTTGAAATTTTGATACGTTTTCAAGGAATTATGGGTTTCCTTGCTCAGTTTAATGATTCCGTGTTAAATTTCTCTTTGAAAATTTAAACTGGATAAACTTAACAACAGAAAAAAACAGTAACTTTTATTAAAACTACTTATAAACATAAGGATATGTTTCTTAGCTTCATTTGATCTTCCGACCTTGTCAAAATTTGCCTTGAACTTTTAATTACTCCAATATACTAATATACTGTACACCTAAAAGGAACTGAATTTGGTTTTACCATAATTTAAGTCATCTTTACAGTAATTTGCAAAAAAAAAAAATGTATCGCATATTAAAAGCGCTCAAACTCTCATTAAACCCAATTCCTTGCAAAGCCCTAAATTGTTGAATCGTTTTTAAATAATTAGGAAAATAATCCTATACATGAACTTAACTTATAAACATATTTAGATGAAAAGCCTTTCTTGTCAAGTTGGCTAAATAAATAATTTTTTCAATATTAATTTCAACAATGAATCATATTTTCACAAGATTTGAGACAACCTCAATGAGAAGTAATTATCTACTTAAGTTTATCTTGGAAAAAACACATCAACTGCCAAAAATTAACAAGAATTTAAATCTTATTAAAATAAAACTTATAAGAGATTATAACAAATGTCTTATATTTTTTTTCATTTGAAGAAAAAATAATTTTGTCTATAATTGAATTGCGTTTGTTTTTATATTTTGCACTTGAAGGTCAATTTTAATTTTTAAAACTTTCAAGGATATGGATCATAATTTTAGCTCAGCTCGGAGCATGTTTCCTTCTGGTTAACTTCAAGCGTATTACGCGCTTCTCCGAACTCTTAAAGGACGCAATCATCTTTCTCCAGACCGCAGAGAGCCAAACAAAACAAGGTTTTTTTTTGCCTCGGTATATATCCAAAATAATAATCATTCCGAGATCTCCGGAAGGATTTCGTGCGTTCGAAAAGCCGCAGTGTGGAGCCGAGTGCAGGCGCACCGAGAGCCCAAAAAGTCGGTGAGCTGAGTGCGCGTGCACCGAGCGAGAGAAGCGGAGGAAGAGCGCCGAGTGCGGCTGCACCGAGACATGGCAAAACGAGGTCAAAGCTCTCGCTCGCAGCTCTCAGCCGCCCCCGAACCCACCCCCAGATCCTCTCAACCCTGAGGACTTCGGAGGAATTCGTGTGGCAAAGCATTGTTTCATTCAAATTTGCCGCTGCACAGTGGCGCGGGACTGTATATATCGATGCTCAAGTGCAGGCGAGAGAGAGCTGAGATATTGATTTTCCCTCCGAGAGAAGAGAGAGAGAAAGAAATAAAGAGAATTCGCAAGATTGATTCGATTGGAAGATGTTGGGATGGAAATCATTAAATTTGAGCAGCTGATTGAATTACATTGTATTATTAAATTTATTTTTTAATTATGTAATTTATTAATTTTCTTTTCAGATAGAATTTCCAATTTAAAATAGAATATTAATACAAAAATTAAACTTGAGAAAAAGAGTTTAAAGATTATAATCATGTGTTATTTTTAAGTAATCATTAATACTCCCTTTTGTAGTCGAATTTCTATATCGAGAGTTGATTCGTGTAATTTATATTTGGAGTTAATTTTTCTTAATTGAATTTTAAGATTTTTAAGCAGTTTCTTGTTCAATGGAGAGCAAAATAGTCTTATAGACTTATAATTTTTTTAAACAAATTACAAATTATTCAATGCAAGCTGTACGTCAATAACAATATAATGTTGACTATAAGAAAATACAAAATTCAAAAATAATTTTTAAATAACATTCTAAATTTATAAATATAATTTATTTAACAAAAAACTTATAAAAATAAAAATAATATTTTAGTTAAAAATTAAAACATTTAAAACTATTAACTGTGTAAATTTAAAAAAAAATTTATTTCATAATAAACTTTAAAAAGTTTAGGAAGTTTGTTTTACTTACTTGTAAAAAGCAGTCTCGAGCCTCATGCGCTGAACGAAGCGTGAGCAGCGGCCAGCGGCGGCCGCCTTGTGGTGGCCGTGGCCGTTGGAGGTGGGGCGGCCGTTGGCGTCCTTGCGGACAATCCTCGGCTCCATGGGGACGGAGGGCTCGCGCGACGGCGGCGGCTGCGAGCGAGTCGATCGACTGCTGGCGCTGCTGCGAGGAGCGACTCGACTGAGCGCGCCCCTCCGTCCGTCCGTCCGTGCCGCCGCCGCCCGACCGTCGTGCACAGATCGATAGCGCTCGGCGCGCCTAATTATTCCCAGCTCTCTCGCTCGTTCGCAGGCTCCGGAAGTGCCTTTTCCGCGACTTCTATCTCGCTCGGAAACTCCGACACAGACCAACTTTCCGTCCCACCGTCATCTGCCTGCGTCTGCACACCTACCGTGTCCCAATTCATCAAAATCAGACATCAAGGTCGACAAGTTTGAACTTTGGAAACTTAGCCATCAATGCCATAACTCTGTAATTTGCTAAAATAAAATAATAATAGTAATAATTGTATTTTTCTATTCCCCTCTTTAACCAATTCACATTCATTTTATGAACCAAAGCAATAAAAATATAATACAGCAAATTAATTTAGAAAACAAATATAAGAAGATTTTTTTCATTCATATTTAAAAATTTTCTTTAATAGAAATTTTGTTTTTATTTTTTACCAGGATGACTTCGAAAATTTAAAATTTATTTAAAAATCAGTTCAATAATTGTACATTCATAATAATATAAAATTTGATCTGCTCTTAATCCATGTCTCTTTCAATTTGAATTCTATTAAATGAATGCTTTTTACTTGTTGCTGTGAGAATAAATTAATTGAATTAGTTTATTATATTTGTCTTGGTACAGCGCGGATACTTTGCATCTTCCATATTAATAATAGAATATGAATATCATTTAGTATCATCTTCAAAATCTTTTCAATAATCAAAAGGAGAATGAAATTTAGATACTTTTTAGCTTTTAATTACGCGCTACCAAGATACATTCATAAACCTTAGAGATTATTCAACAAGCATTATGTATGCAAGTCATTTTTGAAGTTAGTAAGTTTTGAAAAAAACTAATTTATTATTGTCATTTAATAAAGATGTTGTTTGCATAGTAAAAACAACAATACTCTTTTTGAAGGAAATACGTTTTTTTAGCTAAAACACGTTCTTTCTGTTACGATTCCTAATTGGCATAGTCAAATCAAAAGTCTGAACAGCAAAGCTTGCAATAATTGTAAAAATTGTTGCGACTGTAAAAACAGGATTCTTAAAAGCAATAATGCTGTGTAAGCTGTTTTAATTTATAGTTCTTTTCCTTCAAAATAGGATTATTTACAAATTTCAAAGATCAGTTGAATTCATCAGTTAAGTTTTATTATAAGATTCTTTAATTATTTTGCCATTTTCAAATAAATACGAGGGAAAAAATCAAAATTATGTGGGGATGCATCACAAAAATATAACTTTATTCCTGAAAATTAAGCAGGATTTTGCTTAAAACCCAAAAGCATCACCTCAATAAATCTCAAAAAGTTCTACCATAAATTCATTATTCCGCTGATTCTTCTGCAATATGCTTTTCCTTTTCAGTCTAGAATATTCAGTAATAAGCTCTATTTTTGCGTTACTAGTGATAGCCTCCAATATTTGAGTTTTAACATAAAAGCATCTTTTAAAAGTTACAAAAAGCATGCATAACTAATTTAAATATGTATTTTTGTCTCTATACGCACGTTTTCACGAGATTTCAAAAGATTAACTATGCTAATGAAGAATGTTTTATACTGAATTTAAGTCGATTAGTTAGGTGCAACTGCCGTGCTGAAATCAATTACAAGCTCGGGTGCTACGTGATTCACCCGCGTGTGAATTAAACTGCGCCGCGCGTCTGTTTTAATTAAAACCAGCACAATCATCAAGTCGCGGTTTGCTCTCCTGTTACAACCCTTGGGAGATGCCACAAGTTTTCGAGAAAGACGCACGTGTAATTTTTATTATAGGCAGAAGAAAATGTCACTCGTCACGTGGACAGGTCTGTGCGCAATTTCCAGCTGCACTGCAAATTGATGCCATATAGAATTAACAGTGAGCGCTGCATCGTCAAAAGGCGGCCAACGGGAAAATAGTAGCATCTAGTATGTAAAATGCAATCTCAGCAGCTGCGCCTTTCTCGAAGGCCAAATATTTACAGTAACAAACTCTCTGCCGTCGAGAAAATTGCAATTGCGGTAGGAAGCATTTCTCTTTCTACTAAACGACCGTGTAATTAATTAAATTAGTCCCAAATAGGAACTAGGATTTATTTTTAAAATATTTCAATCACATATAAAAATTTGGGAGCACATTAAATACTTGGTGGTTGTGGTTAAAAATATTTACTGATATTTATATTTTGAGGTCAAGTTGTCTCAATTAATTTTATTGAAAGTCTCATTAGAAATTTGCGGAAATGTCATTAACGAAAAATTGCGGATGTATGCAAAAGAATAATAAAAAAATAGCAGAGGCTATTATATCAAAAGCTTCTCCTCTTTGTAAACAAAATATCTGATTTAAATTTTTTTGGTGATTTGCGTTTACTGCGCTCGTTGCACGTATGAAATTGATAGCACACGCTTACAAAACTTTTTAAATTCACGTTCATCGCTTTTGATAGACGGTCGGTAGTTGGCAAAGGTCGGTGTACACACGTCAGTGGCTAGAGACAAATTCCTTGACCAAAAAGGGTGGACACGTTGAAAGCTCCGTGATTTGCATAACGCGCAGCCCTCATCCTTTATAAATAGATAATGCAAGGAACCAAACATGTCATACTTGCTCAGGCTGCTCCACATTTTGTAGATCCAGATTAAAATTTAAAAGGCTTATAACAATATTAAAAGATCAATAAACACAATTAGCAACTAAAAGAAGAATTAGTGTAGAATTTAAAAAAAAGGTCTAATAACTGCTTTTTTTGTATTGTTCTTTACTGACAAAAAAATTTAAGTATATTTTAATTATAATTATAAATTAGTTCCTAAATTTAATTTCTCTGCTAAATTTTCCAATATTATAAATCTTTGCACCTTTTTTATATCCATATTTAGATACTCAATAATCCATGTGGTTTCCCTCATCTTTTTTCCATCGTCAGAGTACAAAATCGCAGAAATTAAATTTCCGTGATGTGATTAATGGTCATGCGCTGGGATCAAAAGTGCATATATTGTGTATTCAACGAACTGCATAATAACACAACGCCCATCACATTGTTCAACGACTAGTGGTTGGGTTGAGTGCTTGTCTCACCAAGGGCTCCTCTCTTTCCCCGAATTTCGCGCAAAAAGTGCTTGCAGGAAAAGAGTGTCATAAAAATGGAATGCTCTGAATACGCGTTCGCATGTGTGAATTCCGAGAGCAAAACCACAGTAGTATCGATTTGGGCCTAAAAAACATACCCTTGGACGAGAAAAAAGCAGAAACACGAAACCGCAGGTCGCCAAATTTACACGGTGCCGTATGTGTTTGGAATAAATTCGGTGGCATGACTCGCACGAATTACAATATTTAGGGCCTCAGAATTGCAGGTTAACAGCAACTGTGTGCCGAGGCTTCTCTTTTTGTGACGAGACACCAATGGAAATTTGTTGGAAAGGTCTCGAATTAATTTATGAATATTTGAAAAGGCACTTATTACAAAAAATTACTCAATGCATTGAAAAAAGTTTTTATTCAATTTAAAATTTGATTGATGAAATAATTTTGCTCATGGAAATTCTTGGTATTTCCATTTTGTTCTCAATTTTTTTTTTTATGCATTCGCTTGGCACGTAAGGCAGAAAATGTGCGTGTGAGCCATGACGTGGTGTTGAAATGAAGCAGCATCAATTCAACGGCGCACAATAGCAGCTGCGATGAGTCTCCGGCGAGCACCGGTGACGTCAGCACCGGACGGACAATTCAGCAAACGACAAAAGCCGGCGATCTCTGAGCGCTTAATTGTTTGCAAATCGCCGGCACTGCTCGTGGGAATAGCAGCAAATAATCGCATTACCACAATTCATCCCTAGTGTAAACGCAAAAAAATATAAGACTTGGATATTTCAGAATCGAGCAAAACGAATTTATAGTAAATTTTGCTTAAAAAATTCAAGAACTTCATTTTTACGATTTTGCTCGTACTTTTACAATTTTAAAAAGCAATCACATTTTACAAATTAACCTGATTATTTTTTTCATGCTACAAATTTTATTAAAAATTATGATTTTCAGAATTTTTTTAGACAATACAAAAATTATATTAATAAACTAAACCACTTCAAAGCTAAAAACATATTTTTTTTAATCTTATTTTTTGTGACAAATAAAGGAAGAGTGGTATGGAGAGGAACTGGGTGGTGTTGGGAAATTTTATATCTTCGAGCGGAGAATGATTCATGGCGCAAACTGCCGCTCTTGATAGTGACTTTATTGTATTGTTTGGATTGCACTCTTGGGCTTTGAACTCTTTAAACGTTCGAGTTTTTTACGAAAGGGCCTGCGTGCAAGTAGACGGCTCAGAAGAGCGGGGCTTCTTATTGTTTGGCACTCTGTTTTTCTCCCTCGGTGTAAAAATGTTATCTATATTAGAAATATATCATTTGTTTGACGCAATTTGTTTTTAACTTGAGTAAAGAATAGAATAATTGCAATTATAAAAACAGAAATCAGATATTTGTTATTATTTTATTATCAAATTTTCATCTATTGTTTATTTGAAATAAATTGAAGAATTTAAAATTAGTAAAGATCAACTCCAGCATTTTATTTTTAATTCTGAAAGCCATCAAAATTGGATGACCGACGCCGAAATGTGGATCAAAATATTCAAAAACCATTAAATTAAGGTTTATTGGAGGATCAGATGCATTTTCTGCCAAATGTATTTGAATCTTGAGGCGAGTTAGTCCTAATAACAGAATATGACAATTATTTACTCTAGTTCAAACGCTTTTGTCGGTTTTGAATTTTAACAAATTTTACGTCATTTTTATTGTTGCTATGACATTTTTCCTACTTTTGGAATTAAAAAAGAATACTGGTTTTAAATAATTTCATTATTTTTCCAGGATTTTTTTTAATTAAAACAAATTTTGATTCAGTTTTTTCTCATTGGATGATTTTACTGTCAAGTATAATTGTTTAATCTTATTCAAACGTGGTTATTGGAATCGGCCGCGTAGACAGCGTCGTAAGATCATCTTCGTGTCTCTTCTTACTTGCTGTTGGTTTAATTTTTTTGCTCACAAAAAAGGGTTGTCTTTGCCGAGATATACATGATTTCTTTGGCGCTTCTTCTTGAATCGTACGTCTCGCACTTGTTACATACAAGGGGTGTGTGTGTGTGTGTGAATCGAACCAATTGTTCAAAAGAGTCGTCAATATATGGCATTCGGCTGAACGACGGGTGACGCATAATTAAGTCACGCGATCGGCTTTTGTGTCTGACGTGCAAATGGTAGTTCGTCTGCCAGGCCAATTGAGGCCAATTACTATTACAGCTCGTATTACGCGCGGCCAGTGTGAGTGTGTGTGTGTGAGAGAGAGATAGAGATGATCTACCAGAGAATACATCTGCTGAATGCACGCCGTGCGTCTCAGTGCGCGAATCGAGAAAACCGGCCAGGAAAGTATCAGAAAATAAATAAATAATTAAAGGATTCCTCCCAGTGATGATTTAAATTTATAAATAAAAAAAGTTTTAATTAAAATTGAATTCTGAATTGCAAAAAAAATCTCAAAAAAAAAAAAAAAAATCTCGACGTTGTATATAATTGCAAAGAAACCAGCTGATCTCATCCCATTGACTTATTGCTTTCATTTGTCAGAGGCTCTGATGACATTTTTTTTCTTTGGCCGGTATGCTTTTCGCTTTAGGTCAAAACGTTGCCAAAACATGTAGGCGCCGCTTACATCAGTCAAGCTTCAGTTTACCTCCTTCAGCCAACGTGATGAGGTTCATCTCTGAATTTGCGAAAAATCCACGTGCTGTTTGTATCTTTGCGATTCGTTTTTCTATTTCAAATTTTAAAATTTTCTTTCTTTCTGAACAATAGAAGTAAATCATTCCTGAAGAGGACCTTTAACCTTTAAAATACAGAATGAAATAAATTCCTGGTGAATATAGGTGCGGTTTCCTTGATTCATTTTACTTTTATTGTTAGCTAGAGATCCATGAGAAATAGAGAGAGAGATATATGTGGACTAACAATATGGTACAGCGTACTCTTAGCGTTTTTCTGTTTAAATAACGACCTCGTAATTTTTGTTTTTACGTGTTTGAGAGTGTTTTGCAAGAATTTATAGACAGACAGAGAGAAACGAGCTTATGTACAATTTTTGTATTTATATAGAAGTTGCCGGTGCTGCGGTTTATTTTTTTTTATTATACCCTCGGCTCTTTTCCGGGACCGTGTCGACCCGTCCCCTGGCGCCAGGGTGCTGTTGGTGAGATGGACGCTAAAACATGACTAGACACAATCCAACACACCTAACAGTATAATAGCGAGAGACAGACACGCGCGCGCTCCAGCTCGAATTTGAGCGATCAAATTTTTTTGAATAGTGCGGGGGTTGTTTCGCCCTTTTTGACACAAAACGTATTTTTTTCTCAAACCTCGTCAAATGCAGTCTCACGTAGAGTGTATAATGTGTACTCTCAATATATACGATAGAAAAATTCAAAGGGCGGATATATTATAATATTTATATCATACTAGTTCTCAAATTTGTCCTCTTTCAAAAACACTTTTGATATGAAACGTACACGGGTTCTTAAAAATGACACCTATCAGTACAAAATATTCTCTGCCAAGCATGGAAGCTACGAAGATTTAACAGCGTAATATAAATTTATATTTTATACTCGAGCTAAAAAACACCCACGCGCTCGCGTGCGGAGGTGGATTATTTTTTAACCAAATCCACCCCCCTCGGAGCTCCCAAAGATCATTTTTGGTCACAGGCAGAGGGCAAAAGATAGAGTCACTAATCAGCTTGTAACTCTTTTTGAAACTCTAATTTTGATTGCATCCCCCTTGTGAGAAAACTCTTACCAAGTAAAATTGATTTGCGACTACAAAATATTAGACTAGATTTCTGAAAACTTCTGAAAGCCCTGATATCAAATCGGGACATTTAACGATTCCTCCGTTTAGATTTTTTTGTTTACTGAATCTGATAGAAAAACGCAGAAAATTCACACACAAAAAAAGCAGCTATAATTTAAAATAGCCAATTGATCTATTCAAGTTTAATTTCTTTGAAAATTTTGACTCAAATTGGAGCCATTCGGAGACTCTTGAATGAGGTTTTAATTTGGCGGAGATAAAGAAATTTTCTGCGTTAAATTTGCAAAATGTCGTTGCAATTTTTGTTCTTATCACGATTTGTAAAATGTTCCATTTTGATTCTACTATTCAATAATTTTCAAACCATAACCGAAGAGGACCTTTAAATTTTTAACTTGGTCAAGTGTGGTTTTCTCGTCTTTGTTTAAGTTAGTCACAGTTCTAGTCCAAGCACCGATCCGCTCATTAACAGCCTTGAGGAACAAAGAAACGGCGACAACAATGAAATATATTTTACGGCAAACAATGAAATGTTGAGCTGGAGTGAGTGAGAGCAGAGAGAGAGAATTTGGATTTCGCCGAGGACGAGTCGAGGGCGGCGCACCGGTACGATTTCATATACATGAGTTTATATGTCTGTGTGTTGTTGAGAAGGATAGAAAGAGATGTTTTTAAACTTTTCCGAGATGGAGAGAGAAAGAGAAATTTTCGTGGCGATTTTTAATTTTTTTATGGAAAAATCACCGCTGCTCATTTTCTCTATTTTTCATCGTCAATCACCCGACCAAACAACGCATCTTATCATTTTTTTTCGCAGCGAATATAATAATAATGCAGTTGTTATATATAATATATATGCAATCAATAATCAATCAATCAGTGGATCGCGTATTTACAGAACAAGGGCCAACCGTTGGTGTTGCTCGAAGGCCGTGTAACAAATTTTATACTGTGTAATAACTGTACAAGGCAGGCACTAAAACCAACTGCTGGGCCCTCCGAACTTGCCGGCCATGCCGCCGAGGCCCTTGCCCAGCATACCGCCCATTTTCCCAACCACGTTGGTGGTCAGGTTCTGCACCTTGGCCACCACGTTGCCGTCCTCGCCGCCCAGCGTCTCGCGGATCGTCACCTTGGGCTTGCCGCGCTCCCCGTCATCGTCGATGCCGGTCTCGGGGTAGCCCCTTGTTGTGCAACAAACAACCATCGACAAGTTAGCAAAGAAGATCAAAATAGTTTCATAAAAATCTAGAACTACTTTCGTTTGCAACATGAACCTCCACTTTTTAAAGAAAATTTTTAAAAAAAATTTAAATCATGCACAATCATGCAAAAAAAAGGGAAAATTAGAAAATAGGTAAAAACAAATTTTCATCTCTTCTTCCAGTAACTCGGAGTTTCTAGAACTAGAAGCTAATTAATAGGGAACCCACCTATGACATGAAATTAACTGATCTACAGTTATGACTTTTAATGTTTTAATTTTTAATAATATGAAAATTAGTAACAAACATCAACATTTGTTAACATGAGTTATTTTATAATAATAATTAAACTCATGGATGATCGTGGGCCAAACCAAATTAAAAGTTTTTCGTTCAAAAAGTTCATTTAACAAAAACCTCATACTTTTCAGGTTTGAGGATGAGTAATTAAAAAAGAAAAATAATTATTTAAATTAATTTAAGCATTTATTATATTTTAATAATTTATAGATATTTATAAAATAATTTCAAAAGTAAAATACAAAAATGAAAGCGTAATTAATATTATTGAAAAAGACTTTTTCATACTTTGTTAAAAATAAATCAAACCTTTTCACTTTTGCTGTAAATTTGAATTAAAATCAATGAATCAATAAAAAAAAATAAAAAAAAATTCAAAATAATACATTGATTGGCTTGTCTCGTTTGCATTTTTGCATGCAAAAGGTCATCAAGCAGTTAATTTTAATCCACTTGCTGAACAAAGTTCTAAAGAAGTTGACAATTAGTTTGAAAGATGTGCATAACGATTATATTTACTGACTGAGTTCATTTTTTCATTCAACTTACTCGGCTCCGTCGTAGTCCCTCGAGGAACCGGAGGTGAGCGCGCAGGTGGCCTCCTCGGTCTGCATTCGCTGCGACACCGTCTGGTAGGTCTTTGAGTTGAGCTTGTCCTCGATGACGCCCTGCAGCTCAAAGTCCGAGTACAGCTTCTTGACGATCTGGGAGAGGCACGTGCACTGGTAGGGGTGCAAACTGTGGTCCAGACGCTCACCCAGCCAGTTGCACAGCAACTGGATTTGCGCGGTGTACCACAGCTGAAAACAAAGAGTGAAAGTGACCGCGATGAGTGGTTTTTCAAATTATCCTCATGGGATGTGGTGAAGTTAAAAGAGATACAAATTGTTTTATTATTAATCACTATTTTAAATACTTATTGTTAGAAGGAACTCGCAGGGATATGAGTAATTTCAATCGAAAACTTTGTTACATTTTATTTAATTTATAATTTTCTCTTTTTTCTGTCATTTGCTTGGAAAAATACATTTTCTTCTGTCATAAATTAAAAATTTCTTTTGAAACTGAAGACAAGCAACACAATGAGAGGATCGGTGATTTAAACAAAAATTTACAACTAAATTTAATTGGGAAAGAATGAAGTTCAGATTACTGATAAACTGTTGAAATTTTATCAATTTGTCCAGTCAGATTTGTAATTTAATCTTGGTATCAAATTGTTTTAAATTCAATGACCTGTCAGAAAATATTTTATCATATTAAACTGTTAGTTAAATACTTTAAAGGTATTAAATTAAATAAACCGCAGTGATTCTCTTTATTTTGTATTAGTTTTTTAATTTATAAAATTATGAATAATAATAAATTTAATATAATATTATTCATGTAATATTTTGTTTTACATTTTACACACATTTTTTGTGTATTAAAGAAAATTTTTCTTTTTCTTCTGTTGTTTGCAGAAAAAGATAAGGCAATTTAAATTTTTATTAAAAAGAGCTACTAATTTTACAGTCATCATAATATAATGATATAATTATGTTGAACGAACACTTTTTCGGTTTGCAGTTTCATTTAAAATTCGTTAAATACTTTTTTATAGATTAAGATAAGAAACACTATTGCATGAAAAAAGACAATAATATAAATTTTTAATGATAATTTATAATTAAAATAATATTTATTATAGATTATTTGTGACTAGATTTTGCTTACCTCAAAGTAGTTAAGAATCCAGAGTTCGTCGTTGACCTTGCTGCGGATCTGGTCAACGTTGTTGCGCTCGAAGCTGACGTACGCCTGTCCCATCTCCTTGCCAGAGCCGGACACGTTCTGCAGAGGGGCAAAGGGGTGGCATGAGTGATAGGCGCCCAAGCACCGAGTCTCTCGGCAGAGCGGGAGAGAGAAGATGAGAAAAACTTACCACGGACAGGTTGACCTTTTGCTATTGTTTGATAGAGAAAGGCATGCAGAGCGAGGAGAGAAAGGTAAAAAGAGTAAGCGAGAGAGGCAGAGTTTTAATGAACTCACGGTGAAGCTTAGGATCGAGCCGATCAGGCTGCCCTCGTCGTAGCGAGACAGCTTCGACAGCGTGTTCTCCAGAACAGACACCAGCTTGTTGATCAGGCCCTGCGTCATTGCTAAAGAGGTGCGCTCGATCAGGTCGTCGATTTTCGTGTGGTACTGGTGCTGCAAAAATTAAAATGCCAAAATTATATAATATAAATGTTATACTACAGTTTTCATAGTTAAATTGCAAAGATTGATTGAAAAGAAGATTGAACTAAAATTGGAAAATTGGAAATTAAATATAGAAAGAAATTTAAATGTTTAATAAAAATTAAACAATCATTATTCTCAATTGGCAGATCAAAGGTATGAATTCTTACCGAAATAATTAAAAATATTATTGAGTTCTAATCTGATTGTGATGTTTCAAAGAAGGTATCATTACCTACTTTATATTTTTGTGTTGTGTTTATGGGCTATCTATATTTTAATTTAAAAAGTGACGTTTTGCTCTTTCTTAAGTTCAAATAGCCAGTTCTTTAAGTGATATCTAAAAAAAATGGAGCTAGCTAGGCCACTTGGTGTGCACCAAAGTAAGGCAGGTTGCATAGATGTGAATTTATACATTTAATTAAGTGTATTATGTGTATGAGTTTTGATAATTGATATTGATTATGTGTGAAATGCAGTCTTATAACTGGATTAAAAATTTCAATCCAGTGTAGGAATTTAATGAAAAGAGCGATGATTTTCTACTTTCTTAAGAAAATTGTCATGTGTTTTCCCGCAATGAATTAAGATTTTAGCTGCTCTTGAAATAGAAAATTTAAATTTAAAATTGGAATTTGCTTAAAATAATATTTAGAAGAAATATTATTTCTTCTAACAATTACGTTACTGTCGTTTTATAAGAGGCCAAAACATGATTTTGTAGATTGAATTCGTAGCTGGGAAGTTAATCTCGATTTGTAATGAAACAAATATTTTTTAGGCTTTAAACGCTTAAAATTATTAAGTAGTAAGTTAAATTAAATGAAAAAAATCATTTTTTAAATTTTTATAAACCCTGAAACTGCACTCTTGCGTACACAGTTTTATCAAAAAAATAAACACAATTCTGAGCTATGTAAAATTGACAATTAACTCACCACGTCGACACCGTCCACGGCACACAACTTGAAAGACTGATTCTTGGCGTCGAGGATGACGTTGATCATTCCGCACATCTCTGACGCCACGATGTAGTCGGTCGAGTTGAGGGTGAAACCCTTCTTGAGCCACGACTGGAAGGACGACTCAGTCCTGCGGAAATAATACTCGTTTCAAAACCACTCGTCAAGACAGTTTTTTCGTCTTTCATTTTTAAAGAAGCTTCAAAATCTACTGCCTTTTCATATATACTGGGGAAGCTGATAGATGGATTTAATAAGTAATCTACGTCAGGGTCTGCTTTAGCGTTTTTGAAATCATTTACCTTCGGCCCACCTACTAGACCCTAAAAACTTGAATTTGGTTTAAATTTTTTTTTATAAAATTTGGAATTGTTGAAAAAGAGACTCGCCTTTGAATGCACGAGTCGATCATATCACAGGCCATGAGTTTGAGTCGCTGCTCCAGGTGCTGGCGGAACTCAGCGTCCGGCCAGTGCAGGTCCCGGATGAACGACTGCAGTGCGTCCAGCTTCCAGAACAGGTCCTCCGAGGTGGCGCAGCCGTTCCGCTCCTTCTCGAAACCCTTGTGGATCGACTGGGCGATCGACGACTCCATCAGGTCCACGTAACGCACCACCAGCGGCGCGAACGTTTCTCTCAGGTGCGAGTGGAAGCGGCCGTTCTTCAGATTGTCTAAAATTAAGTGGACCAAATTTAATGCTCAAATTTCAGTGAAGTTGATATGAAACAAATTTTAATGAGTGTTTTATTTTTTGTAATGAAGGATAGAAAAATAACTTTCAACTGAATTAAATAAAAAAATTTACTGGAAGTATTTCTATTGGTGTTTAATAATTCCCAATTTATAAATTATGTCAAAATAAAATTAGTAACTATTCCTCGTCTGCATTTCACACCAAAACTTAATTAAACCACTTTGATATAAAGTATATTAGACGCTTTTCTAAATTCATGATTAAGGTGGGATTATTCATGGCAATAATTACATAAATGGAAATAAAATAGCTCAAATAACAAACCCAGGTCAAATTTTAGGAATTTTTTTTATTTATATTTTAATGAATGTGCGTGAATGATAAATAAGGGATCTACTGTTCCGCAAAGCATAATTTTAAAAATTCTTTGACGATTGTATTTAACCAAAAATTAATTTCTTTGCAAAAAAAATAAACAAATATTTAGAATTTTTGTAACAAAGGCATAATGTTTCCTGCATGCTGTATACTATTAAATTTTGAATTTTCAACTCGTTGCAGGAAGTTGAAAGATACATAATGTAAAATGATACATCATGGGCGAAATATTGACGAAAATTACACTCCTGGCGCCATTTTCCACCATTTTCAATGTTGCAATAGTTATTAAATAAATAAATATAACGTTTGATTAGAAAATGAAATATTTTTTTAGCTATTATTATTTAGCTTTTGGAGTGCTTCAAATTTTACTCACCATCCATGCGAAGGTAGTCGTTGAGGATCTGGAAGAGCGGGAACGAGTCCCAGGTGTCGGGCGGCTGCTCGGCCAGCACCTGGTCCATGTCCACGGCGAACAGCGACCAGAAGATCTCGGCGTGCTCCACCAGCAGGTCGCTGAACCACGCGAACGCCTGCGGAGTGGCAGTGAGAAAATTGAAGGGCGGCCACCTGGGGCGCACGGACGCATGCACCGCTAGGCCGCCTAGGGGGCTCAGAATACGGGGATCCGCGGGGACCACACTACACCGCGTGCACACTACACTCAGCGAGCGCGGGGGCCGCTTCTCTCGAGGAGAAGCAACCCCCGCTCCGAGGAAAAATTCAAAAAGAAAATCATCATCGACTGCATGCAAGGCGGCAAATAGAAGAAACGACCGCTTTGCGCAAAAAAGCACCTTGGACACGGGGGTGTGTTAATTGTGCGTGGTCCAATTTAATATTTGAAAAAATTACCAGAGGTATTTGTGATTTGGTAATTTTTTGAAAATAATTTAAAGCTGATGTTTTGTGTTGGAAAGTAAATATGGAGGTTGAAAATAAAGGTTGTTTAAAAAAATCTGTAGGTTCTACAAAGAGGGTTTATTTACAAGGGATATAGTTTTTTACTTCAAATGTACCACTAAATTTTTATTTACTTTGAACTGGTAAAATTTTAACTGTTTTTTTTCCGTACATTTTCGTCAAAAACTGACAATTTGAACCAAAATCTTACTTTGATGATTTTAATTTTAACTTCAATTCAAGGATTATACAGCAGCATTTTTATTATGATATTATAATTTGAATTCTGAAAGTGGGCAAAATTTGAAATACGATCAAAAAATTTGGTTAAAAAGCACATTGTATTGAGGCTTTTGTCGGGAAAAGACCCTGATTTAACATGTTTTGATCGCAATTTTTTTATGTTATTCACGAAAGCTGAAGGACTTTCACATTCAGAATTAAAAAATTGTTAAATGGGGATCTTTTAAGAACTGAAAGTTTTACCAAATATTTTTCAATACAATAATCGCAATTTATAACTTCAAAATTATCAATCAGAAAAATCTACTTGCTGAGCTAAAAGCAATGTGGATCAATTTGCAGATGCTTTTGTACTAATTATATGATAAAAGAAAATCGTATTCCTTAATCTACTAATAAAATGTGTGACGGCCATTGTGATGCATTGTTTGCGCAAGCGGAGAATAGGATGAGAAACATCGATACTCACTTTGTCCTGTCCGAACTTTGGGGAGAGAGAAGGAGAAAGAGAGAAAGAAGGTTTTAGAATTTTTGTCGGTTCACTTCAGTGCTCTGATCAATCAATCAATCAGATTGACTCTTTTAGCGCGTTTAGCAAACGCCAATTATATCGGCAGAGAAAAAATTTTAAGTAAAAGAGAATGACGAAAAAAAATAGTCACATATGATAATAATCGATGAACATTTACACAAAACGAGTAAGAGACTTTTGACAAATGGTATAATATATGTATAATATAAAAAGAAGTTCACAGTTAGTTCTTTTTACACGATTACGTGTTGAGGCTCGACATGTCATGCGACACAGGAGGACACGCATGCGGAGCCACTCAAGTACTCACCTCGGCGTAGTGCTCCTCGTTTTGCTGAAGGAGGTCCACACACAGCTCGGCTAGGTGGATCAAATCCTCGAGTCGTTTGCTAGGAGGAATCGCAACTTCAGTTCCATCGTCTGCAATTGGAATCAAAAACAATTATATAGAATTCTAAAATTTCACAAGTTGCAAAGCAAGTGGAAAATTTGAAGGTTCTTATTGTAAGAAAATAAGTTTTATGCAACTTGCTGAACACCCAATATTAGTATTGTGTAGTCAATATTTAAATGAAAAGCAAACTCTTTAAATTAAATAAAAAATATATTGATCTTTTTGGACATTATTTTCTGAAAATCTGACTTTAAGCTAGCCAAATTTTGTAATGCACGCAAGCAGAAACTTATTTAATATAATGAAAAATTCCAGCCCAGTCCTGACTTTATTTTTTTTTAAAACTTCAGGAAATCTAAATTTAAGTATTTGAAAATCTGAAAATCTACTGCTGCTTAAAAATTCAATTAAATTTTTTGCCTTTATTAAAAAAAAACTAAATATTTAAAAATATCTCACCATTCAAAGCAATCTGCTCAGGGTTTCCTGTAAAGAAATAATCATAAATAATTTTAAGATATCACCAATTAATAATTGTCAATAATTTACCACCATCGATTTTGGCTTCCTTCGAAAGGCGCTCGTAATTCACTAGAGCGGCGGTTTCCAGACTTTTCTTGATCATCCCTCTCACTTCTTCAGGCGGCACTGGGGTCACTATATCCTTCATCAAGACCTAAAATCACCAATTAAACAATAAAAATAATTTTTTCATAAGAATTCTGACCCTTTCGAGCAATGACAGGGTGGCTTTGAGGGCGCCTTCGGGTCTGCCGAAGGGAAAGCAGAACCGGAAGTTGGTGATTTGGTGCTCGAGCAGCACCCGCAGTCTCTCCTTGACATCTTGGAATTTCTCTTTCTCGTCGTGCGTCACCGTTCCAACTCCGTCCGGCCTAAGGAAAATTTATTCCTTTAAAAAAGTCTCCGATTTGCGGGATTTCACTCTCGGATGAGATATCGAAGCGGCCGCTTTACAGAAAATCTTTGAAGAGTGTGTTCGAGTGTTCGTGTGAGGTGCACGTGGCGACGACAACGACGAACACAAACGCACACAAACTTTTCTACAAGAGGGTCATGCAGACTAATTAAAAAAAATCTTGATAAAACACAAACACACACACACGACAGGGCATTTTGGCAGATTATATTAGTGATTTATTGATTTTTTTAAGCACATGTAGATCGAAAGATGAAAAGATTTATATAGAAGAAAGTGAAACTTTTTATTTAGATAGAAATTTTTTTAATTAAGACGAAATATTTGATAAAAATTATGATATATTATTATAAGCACATAGATTATTTAGGCGAAAACAATCGAAGCGAAATATATTTTAGAACCAAAGAGTGCCCTGGCAACACGGCATGCAGGTCCAGTGCAGTGCTATAATGTGAGCGAAGAGACGGGCCCGTAGTAAAAATCAGCGACTAAGAAGCCAAAACTCCAAAATGTCAAAACTAGCAGATCACTCACTGAGGAGGAGGAAAAGAGATATAAATTTGTTTTTGTAACTATGTTTGTGTGAATTTACTTCAAGTGTGAATTTGTGAAAATTGTCTACCATAGTCAAAGAAGGAATTTATGGAATTATAAAATCATTGTAGAAATTTGATTTGAAGCAAAAAAAAAAAAATGTTTCAAAAACAAAATTAAATTCAGTTTCTAGAGACAAAATCTAGATTGCATGCAAATATGAGGCAAAAAATAAAAGCAAAATTTATGCTTTTTTTTTCATTTCGTTATCTTTTTCATAATTTGACATGAGAAATGAAAAATGAACTTGGAGGGTCAAAGAGAAAATAGCTTCAAAGTCGTCATTTCCATTAAATTATAATTATCCCTTCTTTAACTATTCATTAAAAACTGTTTTCTAAAGAACATATTTTAAAGTGTTCATTTAATTATTGTGGTAACTATTCTGGTTACAATAATTTAAAATTTTATGTGTTTTATAAGTAGTGTACAGTAAGTATTGTGCTCAAATCGATTATCTCTTTTCCACGCCCGATCTAAAATAAAACCAACGTGTATAATATACTTTTCAAATATTTACACACCAAAAATTCATTGAGATTTATATATGAAAATATCAAATATAATTTTATATAAAAAGTACCAAACAACAATGAATTGATAATAAAAAAGGGCCCGTCCCGGAGCTAAGCTGTAGTGTTGTTACCTGCCCACGGCCGTACTGTCCTCGACCAGTTCGGCGCTGTCATGACATTAGAAAATAGAGGAGAAATTGGTGTATTAAAAACAGAGAGAAAGAGCGTCAGCAGGCGGACATTAGAGCGAGAAGCCTTTTCTGGTGCTCGCTCTGGTCAGAGATCAGAGAAAAAAGGAGAGCGTGAGACCTTTTCGCCGGAGAGCGGAAAGTTCGAAGGCCAGGGAGAAGAAAAAAAATGGACTTGATCTCTCACCTGTTGCCGTGCACGTGGCTAGCGCAAAAGGCGAAGCTGTAGTGCATCAGGGTTGGGTCGATCATGACGCCCTTTTCGGCGCGGTCCAGCAGGTCGCTCAAGTAGCACAGGTGGCGGAAACAGCCCCTGACGCCGTATCGCGCGCAGTATTCGTCCAGACAGAAAATCTGGCCAGGGCTGAACCAACCCTGAGGTATATGAAAAGATTTGTAAATAAATTAATTAAAATTGTTATAATAAAATTGCATTAATTTGGGGGGAAAAAATTGGTAAAAAGGAACAAATTTTTTGAAAATTCTTTTACCGATGAACAATTCAATGGTACAGAGGATATTCAATTGGATTTATCAACATAACATTTTAACATAGGTCAACCAATAGTGATTTCAGCAATGAATGTTTATTCACTTGCAAATTTAAATGAAAAACTTAATCAAGTACAATTATATCATTTGAAATTAAAATTTAAATGTATAAAAATAAAACATTCAAAAATACTTTTTTTTTCAAATTCAAAATTATATAATTTTTTTATACTGTTTTTACTCTTTTAATTGCTCTGGTTTGCAAATTTTAATATAATTTAGCTTACCAAGGAACAATAAGGGTCATTTAGGCGGTAATCAAGGGTTAAGGTCTGCAGAGTTTTGAAGCTTCCTGCGTGGTCATGTTTGCAAGGGTCGGCGGAAATGTACTCCTCCATGCCATGCTTTTTGGCTCTGTCGGTGTCTGAAGAAAAAATATTTAGTTTTCTCTAATGCAAAATAAAAAACAGACCTCCTTGAATTTTTGAGATTGTCGAATTCTTCCCTGCAAGGTTGAGGGGAGGGGTGGGTTTGTGCGCCTGGCCGGTGGCTCTGTACATGGCCATCACCCAGAGGTGGCACTCATTTTCATCATCACAAGCATACAAAACACTGTCGCCATCACGGACTGCATTGAAAAAGTACTGGCCGCCCACAAGGTCTACACAAATTTGGTTGAAGAAGGAATTAGTGGATGTGGAAATCTTGAAATCAATTGCAGGACTTACCCATTCCGACCATCAGATTGGCTGGAAAAAACAAGAATAAATGAGAAATTAATGAAAAAATTATTTAACTTGGCGTGTAAATTGTTTTTCTTTTTAAATTACTAAAACAGCAGTTTTTTTAATATTGTTATCCTCAGCTTAAAAAACCTGAGCACTAAAAATATTACATTTTATAGCAATTCTTTTATTTGTTTCTCTTTAAATTTAATCCAAAATTAATAATCAAGGTCTATATGTTTTGTCTGATTAATTTTTTTCTTCCATTTTATTTTATTCTATATTTAATTGATCTGTCACATGTAAAAATATTTATAGTCTAGCCAAATTTTTATTCTGCGCATAATGAGCTTTTTTTTTACTCACCACTGGCTGGCTCGATATAGTCGACGGTGTATCCATCGAGCTGCTGCATCTCTGACGGCTCTGTCTTTTTTTCCTTGTAGCTGCACATGGCAAAAGTGTACTGTGACACCTGGACCAACACAAAGTAGCGCCGCTTCCACTTCTTCCACACCGTTTTTCCTACGGCGTACAGCATCCCGCAGTGCTTCATGTTCAGCGGCTTGTCCATGCGGCAAATGATTTTGATTCTCAGGTCTTGGTCGGCGGCGTTTTTCGGCACGTTCATTTTGTGCCACTCGGGCGCCCTCGAAGCCACGGGCGTCGGCTTCAAAAGCACCTTCAATTTGGGATAAAAGTTTCATTGAACTGAACATTTTTTTTTGCATTAAATTAGATATTTTCATTAAAAATTTATTTTTCTAAATTCAAATAATAAATTAAAAAATAAGTGAAAAGTGAAATACGATTCCTTATCATCCATTGAAAAGTTTGATCGTGATTATTGAATATTAGAGGACGCCTGCAGCATCGAGATTGACGCAAGCCGCACTGCGTCGCTGCCGAGCAGGTTGCCTAACTTACTTTGCCGAGCTCTTTGTCTTCCAGGGCTAGCATGCCGGGGTTCTCGGTGTACAATTTGACCTTGACCGAGGGCAGCGGGTGCGTGGTGGTGAAGTCGCCCTGCGTGTCCCACATGGGCTTGGACGCCTCGGCCTGGTCGGTCTGGTACTTTTCGCCTCCCTCCACCTCCATGGTGCAGTAGACGATGCGGTTGGGCGCCAGACTCTTCAGTCCCTTCACTTCTTGCACCACAACCTGAATTTAAAATAGTTGTCAGTTGTTGGATTAAAATATCTTATTCGCAACTAAAGGACGATGAGAGTAAAATTGAATTTGATGTTCTGAAATTTAAAAATTAATAAACTTTACAAGCATTTTTTTTATAAAATTTTAGTTAATGAAATTCAAGAAATGTTGTTAAAAAAAGCGAAATTTTCCTTTGATATACAAACGAAAAGCAATATTTGCTTTAAATTTATAGTTTGGCTAATTTCTATGGACAATATTTTAAACGGAAAAGCGTTGCAAGAAAAAATATTTATCGTGACCTTTTCAAACAATAAATTTCAAAATAATGGATAAATCTGGCGATCAACAGTTGTAAAGCCGTCAAACAAGTCGGCATGGAAACAAGACTTTCGAGTTGCACGGCCATTTAAAACAAAGTTAACCCCTTCCTTATCAGAGTGGCTGGGAAAGACCAGTCCGACTCATTTCGTAAACACATTATACGTTTTACAAGTGAGGGAGGGTTGGCGACTCGCGTGACCCTCGTCTCGAAAATTGACTTAACAAAGGCTGGCAACGCGGTTACTTTCGTTTTATGGGGGCGAATTTAACGCTCGATATGCACCGACGCTTTTAGCTGGGCCCTGTAATATACAAATTCAGATTTGGTGCGTGAGAGTTGAGACCAAGCTTAAAAGATTCATATTCAATCGACGAGAACAAAAAGGAAGTCAGAGTAAAATGAATAAAAATGATTTTGGACTGACCTCAAGTTGGAACGTGAGAACGACGTCCATCTTTGTGAGCTGAGTGTCGCTGTCGGCCGAGTCGCCCTCCAACTTGGCCAGGGAGCCTTGAGACCTGCAGGAAAAGAAATTCAGTCCTTCTACGTTCAGCGTCCAAAAGTTCGATTTATGGGGGCGTATTAATGAGCGATAGAAAGAGTTATGAGCGTGAAATTGTGTAAATTGATATTTGCGCAAATAAGAAAATAATCGTTCAAACGCCAATCAAATTTTGCTAGTATAAATTACTTCTGTAATAAGTAGTTTGAACTAAGGTATATGGATAATATAATGATGAAAAATAAAAATGCAAAAAAATTGCTCTAAAGAATAACCAATCGATTAGGCTTTTTCGAGACATAACATCCGAAGTCTCGGTCTTCTCACCGAAGGTTCAGCGCTACCTGCCTTAAAATTGAGCTTCTCCGCCGACTGCGCGTCAGAGGGGAACATATAAAATAAAGGAGAAAAGAGATGAGATTTATTATTAGTCCGAGGATCAAAGATCACAGTCGAAGAAGTTGGCCAGGGCTCCAAAAGATACCAATTATTTTAAATGACAGAACCAATCAAATTGGATGAATGAAAAATATATATGAAATCTATATAATTTTAGGTACTTTTTTTCTTGCTAAAACTGGTAACTTTCTTGAACCCTGACTGAACTGAAGGTGGCGTCAGGAGCGTGCGTCGGCATGCGTTGGCGCGCGTCTCCGGCACTTCTTAATTTTCTAGCAGCAAAATCAACTCTGATATTTCATAAGATAATAATTAACTCGGATGCGATGCAAGCAAAGCGCAGTACGTGTGAGTGTCACTGTGAGAGAGTAGGTGTGTTTGTGTGTCAGAGGCAACTAATTAATAGATCTCCTTCAAAGCAAAAAACACTAGCATATAGTGCAGCAGCACAACTTCAAAAAAAACTGTTTGTTTTTATTTAATTTCTATGTGTGAGAGTTTGTGATAAAAAAAATATATATTTAAGGTGTGTCCAAGGCAATTTATCATTTTGGCAATGAAAAAAATTAACCATAACTCATCAACAACAATCAGTTTGTTAATTATGAGAAAGGCCAGTGGCGGATCTTGTGGGTTCAAAAAAACAACTGACAAATAACTTTGTCGGATTTCGACAGCACGCGACAACGATTATTCGTCGCAGGCAAACAACATGCAGTCAAAACACATAGTTTGCATCTCGATGAAATAATATATGAAATAAATAAATTGCTTTTGACATGCAATTTCGTTAAAGATTCTAGAAGAAGAATAATTCGATTTATATATTATGCAACCCATCCATGTTAATAGAATATTGAATTTAAGTAAAAATGTTGAGGTTCATTTTACAGAGAAATCTCTACAGGTTCAATCGGGTCTACAATAAGGATTCAAATTTACCTCAAAATACTCAAAAATTACTTATTTACAGTGTATTATACAAACTCTAAAAATAATTAAAAAACTTTATTCGTCACAAATAAGCTGACCAAGAAAGTATTATTTCCAAAAATTTAAAAAAGCCTCAAAAAAGTTTGGATTTTTTTTTAATTCCTAAAAATCTCGCATAATGTTTTAATTCAGATTGATATAATTTGCAAAGATCAATTACCTGTATAATATTTGAGGCGCACTATCAACACCACAAAAAAAAACAGATTTCACCAGTTAGTAATTAAATGTTCAAAATTTATAATAGTTATTTCATCATATTTTCTTCCAGACAAAATTAAAAATCTTAATAAAAGAAAAAAAAAATAACTTCCCGGGAAAAGCCACAAAAATTGAAAGTTCCACGCCAATCATGCTTGTATTATTTGTAACAGCACAATGAACTTTTCAAACGCCAGCAGTTTTTCTTTTCTTAATATTAATATTATTAAAAATTGAATTTGAAAGTGAGTTAGAGTTAAAAGGGGCAAGATCCGCCACTGATGAGAGGCGTTATGAGGTGACGAGGGGCAATGCCATGCCAAGGGTGGGCACCTGTGGTTGTATCGCTTGAGTTTGAGGCCATATTTAGAGTCGGCGGTTCCTTTGGAGACGGGCACGTTCTCCAGGTTAGCCATCAGGGTGTTGATGGAACCCTTGAGCTCCTCAATGTACAACGACTCCATCTCCTTGAGCACAAATTTTGGCATCAGTTTCCGGTTCCTCTCCATCTCGGACACTTTTTGCATGCGCCCGTCCAACTCTCGTCGAATCGCGGCCGCCTGCTCGTCGGACGAGTCCAACTAAAAAGTTTAAAAAAAATTGGATTTAATTCAGATATTATTTTAATTTTTTTCAGTTATCTCAATTTACATCACGTGCCATGAAGAAATTATTTTGAAGGAAAGAAAATCAAAATTTGTAGAGCTGTAAATCTTTTTAAATTGTTGCTGAACAAATCAAAAGATTTTTAGAAAATGTTTAGATGAATATTGAAGGCAGAGCAACGCAAAGGTGGCTTCCGCTTAAGGAACTAAATAACTCCCAAAATTTTTTGACCAAAGTAAAATTTTTCCAAGAAAAAAACGTCTGCTATGCAAAATCAGGATTTAAATGCTAAATTTTTTAACTTTAATTTTTTTAGCCCTTTTAAATATAAAAAAAATAATTTACCTGCAGAGCATTGAAGAGAAGCTGGTGCTCGAATTTTTTGACACCTAAAATCTGCTGGAACATGTCGTAAAGTTGCTCCTTGGAGAGGATCATTTCGCTGTTCAGCTGTTGCTGCATTCGACCTGGACGCTTTGCGTCGTCGTCCCCTTTGAAGATGCAGTCGAATTTGGCCATCCATGAGGTCAACACAGTCTCCTTGCTCAGCCCGTCAATCTCAGGAAGTGATCTTGAAACAAGGAGAAACAAGGAAAAATAGAATATTTTATTAAAAAAAGTTTTAAGGAAATATTTTAAACTATTTATATAAAATTTGCGTTTTTGATAATTTTATATAAAAAAAAAAAAAAATTTCTCGAAAATATTTGCCTTCCTGTTCAAATTAGAAACTAAGTATTTTGTAATAACTAGAAAACTGAGTATTTCTTAGTAAGAAAAATCTAATTTAATCAGAGTTGAAAAATAAACTTGGCCATGGATTCAAAAAACGTGGTAAAAGTAACTAATTTATTTAAATTTTTGTGATTTATGAAAAATTTTAAATAATTTCGGGATCATTACCAATATGATTGGCCCTTTGAAAGATGTATAAAACAAAATATTTATAAAAAAAAAAAATAATAATAATAATTAAAGAGAGCCAAATTTCTTTGATCATTTAATTTTCTAATTTTTTTTATAAAATTTTCTTTGATAATATTTTGGTTAAAGATTTAATTTTTCCTGGAATTGAATCGTTTGAGGTTGTTAAATTATTATATAAATTGGCATTGACCAAATGACCCACCTGACCCTCTTCTCGATGTTGTTCTTGAAGACCTCACGGAAGTCGTGTTGGGAGAAGGCGCCGGCCTGGACCATCTTGAGCACGCGCTCCGACTTGAGGAAGATGTCGTAATAGTTGGCTATGGCGTTCTGGAACGCCTCGTCGGCCATGATCTGCGTATCGCCCTTGATGAACGCCTGGAAGCGGCCCTGGATGGTCTCGAGCTGCTGCTTGGTGATTTTCACCTGCCGACGCGTCATGTCCGTCGGCTGCTTCGCGTTGAACTGGTACGCGACGCATCGGCACACAAACACGTACAACTGGATGCGCCGCTTCCGCTCCTCCTCAGCCTGCTCCGGAGTTATTTGCTGCAAAAATAAATTCAAATACGCAAAGGATCAGAAAAGGTTCTTAAAATTGACGGGCAAACTTTTTTGCAACCATAAAATTTAAAAGAGCCATTTTTATATTCAGGCCTTCCTTATACAGTATTACAATTAGTTATTGTCAATGAAACTCCGCCCTTTTTCTTAAATTTGATCTAATTTTTAATATATTTTATGCAATCATTTTTCAGAAATAGTTTAACAGGCAAATGCCTGCAATGAATGATAATAAAAAATTAAGAAAAAAGATTATATTTACATATGGACACAACAGTCAATTTTGAACCTAAAATTTGTTAGTTTTAATAAAATTGTATGCCTAAATAATCAAATTTTACACAAATTGTTTGATGGCAAAAGGCTGAAGTCACAATTATGAAAAGTTTATCAGCTGTCATCCCTTCTAATATTGAACTACCTAAAATATTCGAATATATTAGTTTTAGATTGATATGGGAAATTTTGAAATGCATTGCAAATTTGCAATTAAATTGACACAATTGAATTGTCTATTTTATGTGGGTTTTTTTAATTAACTTATTATATGAATTAAAAAAAATTTATAACATCACAAATTTTGTCAAATTCAATATTTTTATAATTCAATTTTTTTCAATAAAATTAGTGACATTTTAGGTCTATTTATTTTGTTTTATTCAATTGAAACATTGGTTTTTCAACTTAAAATTGCATAATTCGTAATACCTTTGAAATGATTTTGAGCGTCTACCATAGCAGTAGTAACAAAAAATTAGTTTTAAACGACTATTATAAAATTTGCAAAGTTGATTATATTATAGCCTCTTTTAATGATTGACTTATTTTTAATTTGGTGTTTGTTTATTTCACTCGGCTAATAAGAAATTAAAGTTTAATATTTGTAATAAACAGAATTTTTACTCCTTGTTAAACAAATAAATCAGAGCAATTATAACCAAAATAAACTTAAATCTTGAGCCTTTTGTTTGCACTTTGCCTTTCGTGAGTGAAATTTCATTGCCAAACGTGAAATTAAGCCGGAGGGAGCGAGCAGAATTAATGCAGCAGCACCGGAGATTACACAATTTCTCGAATTATTAAAGTTGTGCCGCGCCTAAACCCGTCGAGTGCGTTAAATGACAAAGGCAACTTCTCTCTGACTCGCGACGGGGATAAATACGAGCTAATTCCGGCACCACTGGAGAGAGATTAATTCTGTCACTCGCACTTATACACGAATCCTTTTAAGGTAAACAGAGAGAGAGAGAGCAAAACCGAAAATCGAGGGCGAATGCGCCTGGTCAGCGAAAAACAACCCGGCTAAGCTCGACTGCAAAACGAGAGGCTTATTTGTTGTGTTTGCCAACTTTTAATTAAACCGCACTAACTGTGAAATACACGCTCTTTTCAAAATGCATCTCCAACACAATAATGGCGAAAGGTTGCGTAATAGTGAACATCGGCGAAATTGCACTTTATGTGTGGCGATAAATACGAAACGACGTCGTTGCGACAACACACATGCTCGTAATGGAAAAGTGTGGTCGCTCCTCAGGCAACTACACTAACGGGGTCGCAGCTTCCCATGCGAGTAGGCAAGCAAATATGGCCACCATAATATTTTGATTCAATTCCAAGGAGATAAAGCGAGAAATGCACATATGGAGGAAACGGGCAATATTTTTCTGTGCAAAAAAAAATTGTCAGGTTTATATATTATAGATTTTTAAATATTTTTTCCAAGAAAAGTATAAAAAAAAAATATTTATATATACAATTAAACAGTTTAGCTCAACCAGAGCTCAACTATGTTTTCAAAAAAAAAAATGTATTAAATAAAAAATTAAAAAAAAAAATTAACCAGGGCTTTGAAGAAGCTTTTAACGCTTTTTACGGTTCAATCTAAAAACAGAAATCAATTTTTGGCTCTCCACTACGCAATCAGAAAAGCTGAAGGTTTTTTTACAAATCTCACCCATTTCAATTTCTACGTCGAAGTTTAGGCAATATGCAACCTGCACGACATGCACGTCAATTTGTTGCCTTAAATCGCATTCTTTCGTGCTTCTTCTTGACGTTCATGTCAATCAAAGAGAATCTACTGCTTTTTTCTCAGGAAGGATTCATCAATATACCCGAATTTAAAATTATATTTATTTCTTTATCTTAAAAAATTTATATAATAATAAAGATTACACCAAATTTTTCAAATCATCTGGATTTATCAGTTTTGTCAGTATTTCTCAAGAAAACTAATTGCGCCATTTCTTTTGATAAAATGTATATTAACTTGCATAAATTTTTTCCAGAAAGACTGGGGAAATAGAAAACACTCCAAGAACAGATCATTTGAGTGAATAATTCCATTTGGAAAGGCACACATCGGCTTGGATCGTTAAAAACAGGAATAAAAAAAAAATATATATATATATTTGTGCCGGGAGAGCGCAGAGGGTGCAGAATATAATTAATGAGCTTTCTTGCCGCATTAGGCGCTTCGGGGAAAGTTGGCGTCGAAACGCGAGAGATGAATGGGACTCGTGAATGCAACGGCTCATAATTAAAAAAAAAAAAAGAAAGACTTTCGATTTGGCGAATTTATTTTCATCTAATGAAGACGGGAGAGAGACAGGCGCTGTTACAAATTCTCTTTGCAGCACGTCTGGCTTCTTTTTAGTACGGCAATAATTCATTCACGTGTGTCGAGTGCAGCACTTGATGTATGTGTTTTTTTCTCCCTCGGAGAGAAATAAATATGCACAAGCATGCCAAGAGTCGATAAAAAATTTTGTTATTTTTTTTATACCAAAAAACGACGGCTCGATCTCGTGGAAAATTTAAACGAATCGACCAAGTTTCTCCTGAGAATAGCTCGACCTCTGATAAATCATCGGACAGAAAATGAAAAAAGTTACTTGCCAGGAATAAACTTATCGCTTCTTACGTGTGCCAAGGAAGATTACAATTTACTTACTTAGTCTCTTACGTGCATCGACATGCAAGCAACCGAATTGAACACGGTCGCGTTACGTGAAAAAGTGCCGCACGTTGAGTAAGACGTTATGCAATACATACAATTTATTTTCGTTCGGAAATAAAAAGGATCGATTTTACGATTTTGTCTTATTCAAATAAAAAGTTATATAATTATATTAAACATTATTTTACTCGCATCACTCACAATCATAATTGAAACAACACGTTACAAAAAACGTACATCTTTAAAAGAGGTTGAAATCTCTAGGAAATTTCTAAATTGATGATAACATTGATTGAAAATGGAAATTATTTTCCCCAAAGAATCTTATGCTAATATCATAATATCTATCATTATCTTCATCACTTGACAATTTATTATTTGTTTTTTCAGGACATCAAAGTATATAAAAATTACGTTTTGAATTCTCGTAAAAAAAATACATTACAAAAAATAAAAAAATTCAAAACAAATCAGCGGATAATTAATATTTTTTAGCAATTTATTTAGTAAAGAATTTTCAAACCCAATCTAGTTACATGTCTTCTAAATTGAATTTATTTTGGTACAAAATTTTATTTATGAATCAGAAAATTGAAATCAGTAATTTTTTGCTTATATATTTTGCACATTATTTAATTAAGCTTTGCAATATCATAGTGATGGGCAAAAAGTACCGGTACTTTTACGAGTACCCAAAGTACCGGTACTTTTACTCGGTACTACCGAGTACTTTGGAGTGGTACCGGATGCCATGGCCACGCCATAGCCATGCCATGTCCACGACATAGCCATGCCATAGCCATGCCATGGCCACGACATAGCCATGCCATGGCCACGACACGGCCATGCCATGGCCACGACATGGCCACGCCATGGCCACGCCATGAGTTTCAGTGAGTTGTTCACTAGTACTGTAAGCCTATTTCTCCGTAATGTAAATTTTTGACTCAGATGCTTTGACTTGTTGTGGAGAAATAAAACGAGTTGAATTGAATTAGTATTATCAAAAACGGCATAAAATTTTGTTTTTAAGAAACGCATTTCATGGTAATTCTAATAATAAAAATTAAATTATCCACAACACTTTGGACAAATGATGACTCTTCTTATCTCTATCTTATATTGTAATTAATATTTAATATTAATATTTAAGTAATTTTTCCTACACTCATTTCCTACTCTTTTAGTGTTGCATCTCCCAAAAAGAAAAGATGTCAAAACCAATAAAAAATAAAAAATTGAATATTATTATAATTATTAAACATTAAAATATTAATATTAAATGTCAAGACAAATTATTATCTGAATTTATTTTATTTTATTTACAGTAGTTAAAAATTCCTTTTATATAATAGCAAATAATTATTTAAAATTGCAATAATTTCTTACCTGTAATAAATCCTGCTCAGCTTTTTCACTGGCCATAGATGGGCTAGGACTTGTTGGTCGGGGCAACGAAGACCCCCTGGAGCTCCCCGCGCTGACATTGAGGGAGTCCTGTTGGTGGTGGTGAGAGGTCGAAACTGCCGGTGACGCAATACGGCTGAAAGAAAAATTTTAATGATGTATTAATTTCTAAACGTTTATTTAAAAATTCATCATAAAAATAAAAAGCTTGACTATAAATTTTTTTTATTTGGTGGGATTTTTTTATTGCGGGTCATACATCCCTATCACGAGAGATTAGCGCTTTTTACATTCGTCATCGCTCTCGAGTGACACAAACAAACGAAAAAAATAATGCTTGGCATGGTGGCCGGGGACAGGTCGATTTTCACGTGTAATTCGTCGAGCCCGATCGGCGGACGACGATAAAATATGTTGCAGAGTGGCGCGCAGATATTAAGCGAGTGGAACAATGGAAAAGTGCGCTAATTGCATTTATGTTTTATTTTGAGGAGGCACTCTCGTTTTCCGACGGTCGATATTCCCGAGGCCTGCCAACCTCACTCAACTCCATGTGCGGCGCGCGATCAATACAAAACAGACGCTCTGCGACTCTATGTGACCCGAAAATAAAACTATGCTCCGCAATTGTTGGAGAAAATTGCTCTGAAGTGTTTTGAAAACAAAATAAGAATTAAGTTAAAGTAGTTAAATTTGTCGTGTTTGAAATGGATTTCAAAACGTTCTGTATTTTTTTCAGAATCCGTTTAATCAGATAGATTTTAAATTTACGTTTGTACAAATAAAAAAAAACTACTTTTTTAACAGCGTTAAATGTAGTATCAAACATTATTTTTGTTGCAATTTTGACACAAATCTTCATTTCAAAAATAGACAATTATTTTCTCTTGTTGTCGCTGACTGTATTTCAATTTGACATTTCTTTCATTATATTGTTTTAATTTTCCGTCTTTTGATTGGAATATTTTATTATTAACCGTTAATTCTGAATTAATTGTATTTAATAAAATGATTTAATCTGATTTAATCTAGGAATAAAATGTGGACACTGAGACGAGTGAGACGAATCATTTGCAAGCAATATTTTTAGAGAAAAACGTTTGCCCCACATAAGCTCAATGTTATATTTGCGGTCCGCCTACCTCAACATATATTTTTTTCTCTATCAGAATGATTCGTGGAAAATTATTTCTAAAAAATTTAATAGATTTTCATAGTTAAAATTTTGAAGAAATGTCTATTTATTTTAATATTTCCGCAAGAAAAAATGCACGATAAATTATGATAAAATTAAAAAGTGAATGGAAATAAATTGTGAAATAGTTAAATTTTTGACATTATTTTATAATTTTTTTTTCATAAACATTAGTTGACGTTTATGATGTGATCAAAGAGCTTTGTACTCTTGAAAATTTGAATGTTTTAATTTGACAAACCAATGGCATCGCCGTTTTTGTTTTCGGCTTAACTCCAGGATGAATTTTAGTTGAAAATAAATCAAACCATCATAAAATTTAAAAAACACTTTAAATTGAAAAATTAAGGTTTTTCTTTTAAATAGAAAATAACAATTCTCTTCAATGACATAGCCCGTTCTCACTTCTTTGTTCTTTTTATGTTTAATGTTTGAGATGGAAGTGTCCAGAAACGACGCGGCAAGCTCTAATGATAAATTATATTTCATAACTCCATTATGCGAAGAGAGGAGGATTACAACGCGGTTTAATTTTCTTAGCGAAAACATAAAAAAGTTATAAGCCTCTTTTCCTCCTCATGATGGTCGTGCTCGCGCAATAAAATAAACAGAAGCTTCTAGGAAGTTATTCAGAACGTTAAAATATTGTACAGTTTTTTCTCTTATGAAGTCGTTTCAAAGGTCAATGTAAGATAATTTTTTTGCATTGCTAGAAAAATCTTGTTAACAGATTTTTTCTTTTTAAATTTAATTAAAAATCCATTCAAAAATTCGCAATCATATATACATTTTAATTCATTGCTTAGAATTTTTAAAATTAAGAAGCTAAAATATCAGTCATTGAAAAGTTTAATCTGATGTTCTCATTAAAATTTAATTAAATGTAAAATTTTCAGCCAATCTTTCATATATACTTATAATAATCTTTAAAAATTGCTCTTCGATAAAATTTGAATGGCTTTTATTTTTATTCCAGACCCCGAAACGTCAGTTAACATTGAATTTAAAACGCTATGAAATGAAAACACTAACTTTTTATTATTATTGAATGCTAATTTAATTTTAACGAATGGTACAAATTTATCAGAATAAATATAGTGAAAAATAACTTGGAGGCAGTTTTACTTTTTTAAATTAAATTTGAGATTTTTCGCTTGTCGATAAAATGTTTCAAATCCTCTTTAACCGCTCGGGTGCGGCGAGAGAGAAAGGGATGAATTAAACATGAACAACTTTTTATTCTTGCTCGCGTCGAATTCCGTATCAAAGCCGGGCGCACGTTGTCAAAATAACAAAAGTTGGAGCGCGGCACCGCAAATACGTCGTGCATTAAGGGAGGGCCCACTCGAAAGCACACAATTGAATAATGCCCGGAGAGCGCGAGAGAGAAACGTGCACGGACTGAAAGCCACTTGTTAGGCCGCACGAATTCAGCCGAGGACAAAACGGCCAGACTGAATATTGAAAAGCAGCAAATGTATATTAATGTGGTGCGCGCGCGTTAATTACGACGAGTTGGAATTTCGTTATGGAAATTTATCATCTGACAGCAGTTGGTGCTTCTTTTGTTGCGCAACAACGACATAAATTTACAATAATATTATTGTTTGGAAATGCGAGCTAGTGGGATAATCAGCGGCAGAGAGGAAGTGGTGCCGCTTTTTATCGACACCCGCATTCGAGTAGTGGCAGCTGATTGTGGAAAACGCGCACCGAGTTTAGATTTTATGTGTACATGTTTGAGAGATTTTTTGTGGATTGTTTCTATTTTTAAATCATTTAAAACTGCAAAAGTGAAAACAAGAATAATTTAAAAATTAATTTTTTTATTAAAAAACAAAAATGGCTCTATCAATATTGGTCATGGACTGCAACATTTTTTAATAGGGCACAAAAATGAATTATAAAAAAATCTTCCTGCATAAATTGATAAAAGAAATATGACATGAGAAATTATATTGAATTTTATTTTACTGCAAATTTAATCAATTTAAAAAACTTTTGAGGATAACATTCTGATCGATGTATCTTGTTATCAACAGCGATTGCCTCTTTGATAAATGCCAATAAATATTATTTGGAACTAAATAATTGAATCTTCAGAAGCTTGTTTATTTAATTATTAACAATATCATGGGAATTTGAAAATTAAAATTGCTGAAGGGAATTCTAAAAATAATATTCTTATCAAATCTGCCTGGCTAAAATGGAAGACAAAATATAAAAATTCTTACAGATTGCACAGCTTAAATTTGTTGAGTTGCAATTTATTTTTATTTTTTATTTTTTTTTATTTTCATCAGTAATTTTCTCGGAAACAGGGCAATTAATTGCGTTCAAAAAAGCAGAACTCGTTCTTGTTCAGCACAAAACTGTGGTCCTTTTTTCTTCTGGAAGTGTTTAACAAAGTATAAGACGCGCGCGGGGACATCAAATCTCGCTTAAGAGAGGCGAACTCGATCTCGATAAAAAGTGCTGACTTCTTTTTGTGCCTATTTTCGCATCGCCATGTTCCAAAGTCGTTTTGCTTTTATCTCAGCGCTTCATTTGTCCCTAGAGTAGGCGCACCTAGTATGTGTTTTTTCTTTTATGATTTCGGCCTGAAATACGAAGTACACGAGTCGTAAAAATGTATCAGATTAAGCAAGGGAAGCCTCGACAAATCGTGACTCTGCTTACTTCACCAGCACTATTACGTCTCAATCAAAGATTTTGTTGCTGAATTTATTTCTCGTGATTTCTGCTGGACTCAATTTTTACTTGGGTTGTGATAAAAAAAATTGACAAAAATAAAAATATTTTAGTCGAAACAAATTTGTTGCTTCAAAATTTGTTCTGATGTTGGATCTTTGCGAATCATGACATTTTCATTCAAAACATGAGAAATTTTTATTTATCATAAAATTTTAACTTTTTTTTCTATTTTCAATTTCAGATTCAATATACGGATAAAAATTTAATAAGACACCTCAATAAAGTGATTTTTTAAGAAATAAAAGTACTTGAGAATTGAAGTGAATTGACATGTTTAAAAAATTAATACAATCATAGAATATTAAAACAAGAATAAAACTAAAATTTATAAATTAGGTTTATTTCATCAGAAATTGTAATAAAACTGACTCGCCAAAAAATACTTTTTTTTACCAAACAAAATTACGCTACAACTGAGACAATTTTTAAAGTATATATTACGCTTCAAAGTAAACTTTTTTTAAATTTGCCTCTATACAATAATTTTCCATTTTTCAATATTTTGCTGAAACTTTTGTACAACTCTAGAAAGTTCGCACCGAGAGTAATTTTCTTCTGCTTTGTGTTAATTACGCGACCAACTTGGTTTCCGTCGCAAGAGTTTCCTCGTCGGCCCTGCAGCTCATTTGATAAAAAGTGTGGCGAACGCTTCCTCTCCAAGTGTGTGTGTGCACGAAAATAATATCTCTCGTCTCACAATCGATTAAGCCCGGTGGAAATAAATGTGAGGAAAAACAACAGGCCAGTTTTCCGCATTTTCTCGCACCCCCTCCCTTTCGCACGTCAAGAGAGCCCTTAACCGAATTTCCCAGCCGCCAAATAATTGAAAACAAAAAGCGCCACTTTGAAATAAAATCAAAAAAATTCCAAAAAAATAAAATTCTAAAAAAAAAAATTAAGTTTGAGAGAAAAATATAGGGACACAAAAATAAAATTAAATCTTGTCGAAACCAAACGAGATTAAGCAGGGAGATGAGAGCGAATAGGGGATGCGATTGTCCCGGGGGTTGGGGCGCACCTGACATGTCCGGCGGAGGGTCGCTCGACCTGCGGCTGGTGACGCAACTCCTGGTGGTGCTGGCGGTGGTGCGTCGGCTCTTTGTCCTGGTGGTGCTTCTCGTCGTCGCTTTCCTCCTCGGACGAGCTGGGGTCAATCATGGTCGGACCTGACTTTCCGAGTGGCCTCCCGAGTGACCCAAATCTCAAGGCCTCGCGTATTGATCGGCGCCGAGGGCGCACGCGCCGCCGCCACCGCCAGACTCGCGCCCGACTCTGCAGGTGGCGGAGGCGGCGCCCCACCGCCTCCAGTTTCCTGCGCCCGCCGCCGCGCAGCCGGTTGCGCTCTTTACAGGCGCTAATTCAATTCGTTCTCACGAAAATACCCACATCGAAGACAAAGGAAACATCAATTTCCTTAAGAGTTTGACTGACGTTTATATAATTTTATCTCTTGATTTTTCTCACCTTTTATAATCTTCAATTCGTTTATTCTCTCACAAAAGGTCAAAGATTATTTTGGGGGAAAAATCACATTGAAGAGAAAATTTGCAGCCAGCCCTAGTAAACAACTTGCTTAAACTCATAAGCTTAATTTGAAAGCAAGTGTTTTATCAAATAAAAAAAAATGAATTAATAACATAAATAATCATTAAATAAAAAAATATAATATAATAAGATATTTTCATATTTATCTCTTGCATTGATCACACTGTGTGAGAGAATTCATTAGCTACTCTGGTTCAAACATAAATATTTTTTCCATTAAAGCACAATTATTTATTTGATTAGGATCATAATCATGGCCCAATCAATAAATTCCTGATCTTTCTAAATTTTAAGCACCTTCCTTTCTCTCTCAGTGTGGTCAAATATTTTTATTATTTATGAAAATTTAAAATTTTGGCTGAGAAATTTGTTTGAATATTCAAGCCAAAAGAAGAAGCACTTGAGACCGTAAATTTTAAACTTAGCTCTTCTAACGCCGCAGAGAAAATAATTGGCATGATTGATTGCAACATCTCACTTCCTGTTGTATCGTCAAATATATTATTTCTTACGTCTGTCAACGAATAAATAGCTCTTTTGATTTCATATCCAGCCGGATTTTCCTCATCGTTTTTTTTTCTATTTTAGGAGGATGAATTAAGGGCTTCAATTCCTGATAATGCGCGTCGTTAGAACACGTTGGTCATTCACAAATTGAGAGTCACGCGATTAGACAGGAATTAAGAAGATGCTCCGATTTTCATTGCTCTTTTTCATCTTGATGACCGTCCTGGCCAACGACCCCCAACAAATCTACCAACCAACCGAGGTATTCAATTACTAATTTTACTAATTTTAGCATAAACAATAATTGAAAGGTGATTTCTCAATAACCAATTTATTGTCCTGTTCACTGGTAATAATGAAACTTTTCTTTCAAATGACCGAGGGTCTGATAAAATTGAGAAATCAAGGCTATGAGACGAACCAGGAGTTTGATTTGGAAGAACTCGCTGACAAATACAACAAACAGGTAAGATTAAATTTAAAAAGAATCACACTTTCACACCTGTTTTAAGAATTTTTTTTTTTTAACTTGAAAAATTGACATCAGGGAAAAATTTCATTTTGAAGCTCCTCTCTCCACTATAAATTTATTATTACACTAGAGTTACCACAAGATTTGATTTTTCTTTAATTTCTTTCCAAGACAAGAATTTGTCAAAATTAATTAGGAGTTTTTTTTAAATATTTCAATATGAATTTTGAATTTTTTATCAGGCCAAAATATGATCAAATTAAATTTTATCAAATTTGAAATTAAATTAATTTTGGAAATCAAAATACATTTTTTATTTACCACAGAGTTTGAACGTGTTCCTGGACGAGAGTGCAACAATTGACATAAAACCCATTGTGCCAATGGTAGTTCAGTTTCCCGCCATTCCCGATATTCTTGGCCGACCAGCTATTAACTGCAGAGACGAAAATAGGTAAGAAATTTTGGTTTTCAATGAGTTGTATGAAAATATTAAAGAAAACAAATTCATGATTCCACCAACTCTCTGGTCTCTGTTGAAACTAATTTGTTTTGATTTTCAGAAGTGCCAAGTGGAAACCTAACTCGGCGCATTTATCGCTGGCCTGAAGTCCAATTTACAAACTTACTCTGAAAAATAATTTTTTTTAAATATCAGTAGCATCACCTTCTCTCAAAGTTTAATTGGACGTATAAGAGTCAATATAAATGTTGTGAAAGTTTCCGTTAAGATTTAGCCTTTTCTTATAACCTGTTAATTTAAACATTCCAAGTTTTTTTTATTTTAAAACAGTAAAAAAATCATAAATTTAGAAAAGAGCTGAAAACTTTTTTTTAATTTTCACCTGTACAAATCACATTGAACTCATGAAAGACAATATATATTTCAATTTCATAATAAAAAATCTCTCAAATCAAAGTATGGAAATTACAAATTTCTACTTATGCGTACCGCCACACGTCGGAGTAGAGCAGGTTGCATAATCCATCGTGTTTGTTTTAACTTTGGACGGAACTTTTGTAATTTGTTGGAAACTCCAGCTCCAACTTCTAAAAAGTAAGCCAAACACCTGGAGCTATGGAAAACAATAATTTGCATATCGTTAGGTGAAAAACATGTAAAGTGTATTCTCAACTTCTTTGATTTTATTGCATAAAGAAGGCAGTTGAAATCATTCGGGCCAAAATGTATCTTCCGCTTGAGAAACTATTTTCCCGCATTCACCATGTAACAGAAAGCTGTGTCTTTGGTAATTTCGGTGCGTGGGTGTATTCAAGTGCGTTCAACATCGACTCGCGCCTTGAAGCATGAGGAAAGGAGCACTCTTGAGAGAAGGCAGAACTGAAGAGGCCATTCGCACCGACGTTCGTCTAAATTTGATTGCTCTCTCGTGCAGCCTTTGATGACTGGAAGCTAGAATTTCCCTCCGTCCTTAATTCGCACTATCAAAAGAATAAAATTTGAATTATTTCATTCCGAATTTAAATGAAGAGTTAAATAAAGAGCGTTAATAATTTTATTCGCACCATGAGAGACTAATTGCACCGCAAATCACGCCTTTTCGCTTGGACGAGAGCAATAATTTTATTGCTAAACGACCGTGCGAGTAACAAACGAGACATGTAAAATGCAAAACAAGGCTTACTTTTGCGGCGGACGGTAATAAATAACTGCTCTCCGCTAAAAGCTGTGCACTTTCTCTCTTCCGCTGAAGGGATATAAAAATTTTATGGAGCACTCTGTAAATCATCAATCGAAAGGTGTTGCCAAACGAGTTTTATCTCTGCTAATAATTCATTTTTAAATAGGATGTAATTATTTTTCATAAAAATTTATCAAATAGGTATTTACGTCAGGTGTTCACAACTTTTTTACATCGCTTTGGATGAGAACAGGAGTTAAGCCAGACCCGATTATTAAATCATTAAAAAAATAATTTTCATCGATGTCTGGAAATAATTATATTTCTGTGTATTTCAGAAGTTCTCGTTATTTCTCTGACAAATAAATTTCTGATCAACAACGGTGAATCCTCTTGCTCTTGTCTTTTGTTGTTGTTTTTTCGTCGGCAAGAGAAACAATCGAGTCTGAACACGAAAACAAATTAACAAAAACTCGCCAAGCCGGCCGGCTTCTTGTTTTCTCTTCTCGAAATTAACATATCAATTTAATTCCGGCCCTGCGTTCCCTGGTGATTTAGAGTGGGTTAAATTTGGAGCAGCTCCAAAGCAAACCGAGGCCCTTTGTGTGCCTCTCTCTCTCTCTTTGCGAACCTTCCACGAAAGGACGGCGTTTTGTTTTTACGGGGCACCCACAGAGACGTTGGGCCTAATTGCTACGCAGGCTCTCTAATTACGTATTCAGGGTAGGGTGAAGGAAGAGTGATGCTGGCGAACGATATATAATAACGAGATACACGCCAACACAAACGGCCTGTCGTCGCGAAACCGCAAAAAATAATAACTACACGAGTGAATAATTTATATTAAACACACAGCACCATCATGAGTCACACCGCATCCACAGTCTGCGGTTTTATGTCACCTGCCGCTCTTCTCTCACGAAAACCGCCAAACAGTTAAAACAAAAACGAAATGAACACCAGTTATTTTGTTGCAAACTGATGCATGATAAAAATTAGTAATGCAAAGGAAGGCTGAAACTAAAAGGCAATAAAAAAAAACTAGCATATATAAAAAAGTAAAAAAATTATAATTCAAATTATGTATCTGAAAAATTAAATAAAAAAAATCATGATTTAAAATTTTATACTTTAATATTGGTTATCCCTGGCCCTGTGCAAATATAACCCATTCCTGGAATATACAATAAAAAAGCACAGGGAGAAATGTTGGAAAAAAGTAAAAAATATGAATCCGAACATCGAAATACTCAAAAGTCAAAAACAACTTTACAATTTTTGTATGGGTTTATTGAACTTATTGAACTTGCTGCCTGAGTGAGAAAGTTGGAAGGTTAAAAATTATAAGTTATTTTGGTAGAAATCTAATGGATTTTATAAAAGACTGCCTTCTGATTTAAGTAATATCATTTGAAAACAGGGCTGTAAAGATTTTTCAGAGAAATTTTTATCCGCATTTTCCACTTTCATCATTTTAATTAAGTACAATTATTCCCAATAAATCATTTAAAATAGCCGTTTAATTAAAAATCATTAAAATTTAAATACACTTTTAATGAGGCGAGATTTTATGAGCTTCCTGAATAAGTGATAATCGTAGGTGCTAAATCTCGACAAATTTGGCTATTAGTGTCGCGTCCACGGCTGCTGGACCGTCCCAGCCAGATTCGTGCGGCGAGATAAACGAATCGAAGGCAGATTGGTTCAAATCTGGGCTCGCGGGCGCGAAAAATGTCTCAAGGTCCACTTGCCGCGTTAATTATAATTGATGAGCTTTTCGGTGCGAAGGCAATCCGGCCGCGGGATTAGAGTCGTTTTGTTCCGCAGCTCGCGTCGCCCACTCGGCGGCCTAATGCTTTGACACCGGCCGGGAGGGGCAGCGCGAGAAGAACTCGCGAGCCAGAGACGCTAAACCTCTTAAGTCAGTGCCGAACATGCTGCCGCGCGTCGCGCTCTTCCTGGCCGCCGTGGCCGCGGCCGCCCAACACGCCCAACCCCACGTTCACCGGCAACCGATCGACGACGACGAATTGGTAAGAAAATATCAATAATTGCGAATCATATTGAATAACAAAAGAGAACAATCCCCAGTTTAACATTTTTTATTTTTTCATTTTTCATTCCATTTAACAATTTTTACTGGAATTTGTTGTGACATAAAACTAGGGCACTTTTTATAAGCTTGTAGATTAAATTTGGCTTGTAGAAATAAGAGTAAAGCGTTTTATAAAAAATTTAAATATATTTAACAATTATTTATTTCAACTTTTACTATTATTTAATTTTTACAAAACAAAGTTTTAATATTTTTCATTATATTTTTAATTTTGGAAATATAAATGAATAAAGGATGTATTTTTTAAAATTTTTATCGCAAGTTTTTAAGGATAAAATAAAATAAGTTTTTTTGTAACTCAATAATTTTGATACTTTCAGTCCATATATGCAATTGTAGGGAAGGAAAATATTCCAATGACGACTTTATGCTTCAGGGTTTATAAAAACTGAGTTATATACTACGCCATAGAATACAAAAATCTGGGAATTAAAATTTAAAATATACAGTAAATTTATGCAACTGTTAAATTGATATAAAATATTAAATATGTGATGATTTTCCTTTAAAACACAAAATTTTTCCTTCGGAATTTTCAAACAAAGCGTTTTACAAATTTATTCTTTCAAATATTGATTTTCTAATATTATGCAGAGTAACATAATTCTAACGTTTCATCAAGAGTAAAGGTTGATCTTCAAAATCAATAGAATCTCCAGGAAAGTTATAATTAAGTCGAAGTTTCCTAATGATCAACATGTTTTCTTAACAATTAAAATTAACGATGAATTTTATTTTCATATTTAAAAAATTTGATTATTCACAAGTTTTGGAACATTTTCAAATAACTAATAAAATTTAATTACCAAAAATTTCATGTCAAGTTAATAAATTTAAATTTGTGATAAAATTTGAAATATATTATATATTTCAAGAAAATTCTCCTTAGACGTTTTATAATTAATTAGAAATTTGGTTATTTATAGCCGGTCTTACTTTGTTAACCTCTTAAGAGCGGATATAAGTTTGTTCAGTTTCATAAATATTTGGCCACTAGTTGTAATTATTCAATATAATGTTTTAAACTTTCAAAAGTTAAATTGAAACGTCAGATTAGTATTAAATTTCATTTTTTTTTCTTTTTGAAAATTATTAATTTGATATTATTTTACTTCTAAGAATAATTTTTTAAGCTTATTATAGCATCGTGTCTCTAACTATCAGATGCAATCTGTGAACAAACGCTGGCTTCTGGCCACGCTTCTCCGTCTCATTTTTTCCCACCCAGGGCCAAATATGAAATTTCCGACGTCGCTCTTTCTTCTTTGACCAGCATTCTCGGCCCTTTTCATTTAAGCGCAGACACGCACGTCGCGCTGCTCACTTCCAGTTGCCCCTGGGAGCAATCTTGCAGATTTTCTGACTCAATGGACCGGCTTTGTGGCCACGACGTTTTTTGTTGCGTATCCCGCGCAGAATGGCGCTCACAAAACAGACACACGATGATGAGAGTTTCTTCTGCTGGCAGTCGCCGCCGCCGCAAAAGAATATCTACATAATACACGCGGAGAGTGTTTTTTCCCCTTCTTTTTTATTACTCTGCAGCGGCTGGACGTGTATGTGTACATGGGGATGATTTTTCATATCTGCCAACACGTCTCGAGAGTCTTTTGTCCGGCGAGAAGCTATTTTTGCGTAAGAAAAACGTGACTCTCGAAAAAATAATGAAAACTTCTCGGAATTGCGCTGGTTTTGGATTAGATATACACTTGTCAGAAAACATCTTATTTTATTTGCCAGAAATTAATTTGCCTGTAATGCTTACTTTTCTATTCAGAATCGGAATTTATGCAAAATAATCTGTTCATAGATTAAATTATTTTATTCTATTGATTAAATAAAATCCGGCTTCCTTGGTGGAGATGAGCAACATGATTGTTTCTCTTCTTCTTTTCATGATTATAAAGAAGGTTCTAAGCTATAAATTTATCAAATCACTCCCCTTCACTCCCCTTGATTATGTATTTTACTTTATTTTCAAGCCGTGGTAAGGAAATCCAAATAGTTTAATTTGTCGTATTTTGCTGGAAATCAATAATACAACGAATCTTCTCATAATACTTAAAGAACAGCTTTTTTTATTATACCATCAGTATGAGAAATCTTTAATTTAATGATTATTTTAAATAAAAAAATCGAAAAGCAAACCAAATTCAAACGAGAGAATGTGATTAAATCCGATAAAATCAATTTAGCAGATTTTAAAAACCAGCAGTAGTATTTTCACAAACGTACCACGTAGGAGAACCACAATTCAAATCATACCAATGTCCATCACTAAACAAAGTATTAGAAAATTGAAAATTTGTGCACTATTTTTTTACATAAAGAGTAGACATTCGTCGCCGCCAGCAAACCCTGATGGTTCTCCCGGAGCCCATACAGAGTAGTTCAAAGGCACCCCATCATCCCATTTATTGTAGAATGTATCACCCCTCCTTGAAGAGCCAACAAATATCCAACCACCATTGTGCCCTTGTAAACCATGATGAATAATTGTGGTTTTCATAAAATAATTTTCAAACCTGTCCTCATAATTTCTCTCTGCGAGCAGAAACTCTCGAAGATGGTATCAAGAGACGCCAACTGCAATCCCTTTGAAATGCACTTGAGCTTTGCGTTGTCATAAGTGAGCTTTACAATTGGCAAGTAATTATAAACCAAAAATTGTTTCACATATAAGTAATTATGTACCCATTCACCGAAGGATTGAAATTGGCCTATATCACGGAAAAATTGGTAAGAAGGAACAATACGGTTGTTTTAAGTTAGACCTTCAATGCAAATCTCTTTTGGTGCCGGATTGAATTCACATACGAAAGGAAGTGCCGCAGAACATGCGTAGTCACCCCAATGTCCCGAACTAAGGAATTTTTTTAATTTAATAATTTTCACACTTATTTATTTGTGGGTCCAACTCAAATATGCCGCAATGTTGTCCCGTCCAACCATTGGGATTGTACGTTGGAGCAAAGTCGTAGTAGGTCAGGAGTTCACCGTTGCCCCAGTGTGTGAAATAAGTGGATCCCATTTTGTTCAAAGAGTGCCAAATTTGGTTGCTCTTTTTGCCTGAGAATCGAAATTTAAAAAAAAATGAATGTCCCTTTTTAATAATTATTACCCGCCAAATAGATGATTAATTGGACGCAAAAGTTTTCCTCCGGCGTCTCCAATGAAGTCAAACCTCCTCCCAATCTTTTGCACTCGTCCAATGAGTCTATCCAAGATTTCTAAGCAAACCAAAAATTGATAAATATTAAAAATTTATTTTTAAATACGGAGGTTGTTGAAATCGTGTAGTTGCCAACTGAAATTTTTTTATTAGTCTTGTATTATTAAATTAATTTTAACATACATCCGTCACAAGGGTTTTTATAGTCGCTAGACTCGCACCCGTAGAGGAATGAGGCAGAACAGAGAGCATCTTGCCAATGACCGTTACTAATGAAAATGTGTGTAAGTTTCCCAGACAAATTAAGGAGTGATGAATCAAAAAATACAGTGCAACAACACAATTATCTGTAGCAAACGCCGTAGGGTTGTTCACGTCCCAGTCGGTGTAAGTCAAAGGTTTATTATTTGACCACGTCGTGTAATTTTTTGTCACACTTTTATCAAGACCAATTGTTACTGAAGTCGTATCAAGACCTGAAGAGCGACGGTTTGATAAGAAACCTTTTAGATTTTGTCTTGATTAACCCTTTTCTGCAAGGAACTGAGCGAAGCACGCGTTTTCTTCCACAGTTTCCAAATCAATAATGGTCATGTTTCTTTTGAGGCATTCAAACTTTGCGTCTTGGTATGGTTTCTAGTGAAATTTTAGTTTTAGTAATTTTTATTTTCATAATCACGAGGACATACCTGATCAGTGGAAACGAAGAATGCGTACTCTTAGGATAGGTTGTAATAGTTAGAATTTGACAAAAAAAAAGTAATAAACTGGCACATACTAGAGCAAACGTCAACAGGTGCAGGAAATTCACAAACATAAGTGTTTGCTCCGGAGCAAGATGTGTCCATCCAATACTTGTTCCTTAAATTAATTAAAAATTAATTATCGAGTGAGTTTTAATAAATATAATCAAAAAGATTTTTAAATTAAACGTTTCAAATAATTTCAAATAAATAAAATTTGATTCTTATAGCAAAGTGGAATAAAATTTGAATTTACTGAATGGCACCGCAATGCTCTGAACTGAATTGCGCCGGCTCGCCAGTTTTCCAGTCTGTAAATGTTGGACTTGCTCCACTGTAAAGCGAAGTGTAATTTACCCGGCCCATTTTGTTCAACCCGTGGAAAACAATGCTCGAGTTTTTGCCTGAATTTGGTTCATCAGTATTATACTTATTGAAAAAAATAATGAGAATAAACTTGCCAGCTTGCTCGATATTATCCAGAACACAATAATTTTCCATTTCACTGTCAATGCTGACCAAATCGCCACCGAGCGTTTTGCAGGCTGCTCTGGCGCCACCCCAAGTCTTCGTGTCACTGGAAACATTGTATTTGGAGGAGACTAATTTTTAATTTTTTTAGAGAGATTTTAAGAATTTAAATTAATTTTTGCGTATTGACCTTTGAAGCATGGGTCTGCGTCCTCGCACGCGTAATTATAAACGTCGGTACAAGTAATATCCATCCAGTGATATGAACTGACAATGAAGCAAAAAGGGAATAAATTGTTATTATTTTAAATTTATATTGGACACTAACGATGCGCCAACGCATTTCTTTGAACCGATTTGCGAAGGGTTTCCAGGGAGCCAGTCTGTGAATGTGAGGGGTGTTCCGTTGACCCAGGCTGAATAGTTTTGCATGCCCTCCATGGTTAAACCAATATACATCGTCTTGTTTTCCAACCCTGCAGATAAAATATAATTTTAAAGTTTTCAGTGATTTAATTTTTTTCTTTCCCAAAGAAGCGAGTTGCCGTTGAAAACAAATGTTCTTGTCACGGCTTCCCAAGCTGACCAAATCCATTCTGTTTCTTCGACACGTATCCCTTGCGTTTTTAAAACTCAGATTGTCGGTTGAAATGAAAAATGGTTTCTGACCTAATTAATGTGGGAAAATTTAGATAAATTTAAAGGTTTAGAAAAAATTATATAATATCAAAATAAATTCAGGTCGAAAAAAAAAATTAATTAACTAAAACTTATAAGTTGACACTTGAAAATTACTATATTATATTTTGAATTTGTAAAAAAAATGCACTAACTTGAGCACATATCGACTGGTTGAGGAGTTTCGCATATGTAAGGGTTTGCTTGAACGCAAGGAGCGTCGGCCCATGAGCCTTGCCTAAAATAGAATTGAATGCACTCTTTCCTTAAGGACAAACTAAGATTTGATACCAAATCACAACGCAATCCTGGGTAGAAAGATTTTTAGGATTTCCGGGATTCCAATCATTATATGTCAGTGTTTGCCCACTCAACCACTGCATGTAATTTGTCTGACCAATTTTGTTCAAAGCCGTCCAATATATTGTGCTCGTTTTATCTGTCAAGAGTCAAGAAGGTTCCTTATATAATAAAAAAAAAAATTATTTTTGTTACTATTTGTTGAAATTAAATGTTTGACGCAAACGTTTTCTTCCAATGTCTCCAAATTCGCCAAATCCATCCCTTTCTTCTGGCATTCGATTCTTGCATTCCCCCAGGTCAGCGGCTAAATTTAGAGATAGCGCAAAAATATTTTATATCTAATGGAACGAACCGTATCCTCAAAAAATGTGTAATTGGATTTAGCTATTTTGTTTCAATTTGATTAGCAAATGCAAATATAAATTTAAAAAAATTACAGTTATAACAAGGGGGTGGAGTAGTTGTAGTTGTGGTAGTCGTCGTAGTTGTTGTACTTGTCGTAGTGATTGTACTACTAGTCGAAGCGGTTGAGGTAGTTACGCTGTAAATTGTGCAAAATAGACTTACTGAAAATTATTAAAAAAAGCTGATTGGTCCCAAAACTTCCAAATGTTTAGATAACAATTTAAATCTGGGACCTTCAAGGCCAAAAATTTGGTTGTACATGATTTGTCGTGCGTATTAGGAGTAGGGGAATTCCAAAAATTAAAATATTATGGGATTACTAGCTATAGAGCCCGTTTACATAATTATATTTTAAATAATTAATTTCAGTTAAATCCTTTATAGTTCTGATTAATTCTCTGCTGAATCTCCAACAATATGTGCCTTGCTTTAAAACACATTTCACACAGAATTACTTAAATCACGATTAATTTATAATTCTTAGGTCCTGTTACATTAATATTCTGTTTCGTATTTCGCTGAAAATTAAAAAGTATTAAATGTTTCATTATTTTAACAAGTTAGCTTTCAAGTCCAGCTGAATCTAATTGTGAATCCTTAAAATATCTTAAGCAAACGTATCTTACGTTGATGTTGTTTCTGTTGTTGTGCTTTGGTTTGTTGGCCCCGATGTAACGACCCCAGGTGTGGTTGTGGGTGTTTCTGTTGAACCTGAAGTTATCCCTGCAGGAGTAGTAGTGGTGGTGTTGGCAGGTGTACCGGATGTTGGTGTCGCATGCGCCAATGTGGTATGTGCTTGAATAACTGTGGTTTTCTCTTTTTGCGAAATGGAGCCGTTTCCGAAGCATATCAATGCACCGCAGCAATTGATGATCAGTTCTCTATTCTGAACTTTCTTGATGTGTTTGGTGTGAACTATTTTCATCAAAGGGCTTTGTTTTAAAATTTGCTCATTAAGATGTGAATCTTCCATGTGAAAATTAATTTTGAATGATTAATTTTAATGCGTGGAAGGCTCATCTGCTAAAAATCAGTTCAAGTGAAATTGATGACCATTTATTTCTGAATCACTTTTTACGTGATTGCCAGCGAGACATCAGATCAGATTTTATGTCTTTATTATTCGAATTTTCGAAAATTGTCATTTCTTTAATGGGAATTTTTTAAATCGATCTTTTTCTCAACATCTGCTTATTAAAAATTTCGTTCAATAACCTTTGAATCAAAATATAGCATTCTCTTTCCTAATAATAATTTTATGAGTAAACATTCATTGAATGTAAATTTCATTTTTCATTTTTTTTTAAACATATTTAAAAAGTGGAGATCTTACCAGGAATGAGAATAAACGTTTCAACCTTGTTGCCAATAAACTTTTCTTTTAATGATAATCCGCCAACAGCTAGTGTCAACTATTGGACAAAATTAGGTAATGAATATAAAATAATTGTTCACGTGGAATTTATCCCTTACTGTTATCATCAAAATACAAGCCATCATATTGTACATGTTTCACAGTTTCAGCAACTACCACGACTAAATTTTTAAATTTCGGAACTTTTACAGTTTACGTCAATAAAAACCATGAATAAATAATATGACGTTGTATGATGGACAGGTGGAAGCGGAATGACGGATATTGCAGCATGTGATTTGAAATTTCCTACGTAGGTTCTGATATGACGAGCACACAATTCTTTTGAAAAATTCAGTGTTTTAAACCAAACTATGTGAGCCAAAAAACAACACTGATTCAAATGACGCAGCAAGTCTTTGAAATCACATTTTAGTGTTTCAATTTCCATTTAGAGATGGTTACACTATTTTTGTATTTTAGCTGATAATTTAAATTTTTAATCCAAGCTTGTGAATTCAATTTTTCCTTATTTTTATTTTTATGCTTAAAGTTACATAGAAAATTGTTGCTGCATTTTGTTTAAAATAATTTTATATTAAAAAATTTTTCCTACAAATTTTGCAAGGAATGTTTCTCAAGGAAAAAGCGTATGAAAGAGGTGTAGTTGCAAAATCCCGTCTCTGTTTCTTTTTCACTCCTCGCTTGTGTTTGGATTAGATAAAAAAGTAATTTACGAGAGGCACTCTCTCTGCTAGGAAAGAGGAGAAGGAAAGACGATGCTCGCGATAAAACTGCAATGCTTCTCTCTCTCTCTATCTACATGTGTTTGTTTCTTCTCCTTCGTGCTAGTCGAATCAAGTATCAAAATACACACACAAGAGTAGCGAAGACACGAGACGCCTCGCAGAAATAATAAACTTAATCTTTATATCCTCCCTCGTTGGCGAAAAAGAGCACGCTGAAAAATTTATTCGCCTCTCAAGTTGTCCGTTCCTAAGCCCCTTTTGTTCCACGCAAAGTCAAGTGGCGTCAACTTCAATTAATTTTTACGATTCATCGAGAAACGCACATCAAAGAAGCTTAGTTAGGAAAGAACTTGAGCTTGAAGTAATGACGACGCGCTCTTTAAAACAACAAAGAGAAAAAAAGTGTTGCTAAAGGCGTCAGTCCATCTTCTTTAAGCATTTCCATATGAGAAATTCAATCTAAAATTATTTCAATAATTATTTATAAATAAAATTCAATCAAAACATTTATACAGTTGATTCCAATACTTTAAATTACTAAACCATGAACATCTGAAATTAATATCAAAGGAAACAAATGAGGGGGTAGGAATTCATAGATTTCACAGGATAATCTAATTTCTGATGAGAATGAACAGGAATTTTCATGGTACATAAGGAATGATTATTTTTACTCTCATAAAAAGGACTCTACTAATTTTGGATACAAACTGCCGTAGTCATAAATCGTTAGAAAAATTTAGCATAAAAATTAACAAATTGAAAATAATAATTTTAAATTGCAGCACTGATTTATATAAGAAAAGGTAAAATTTAGTTTTCATTAAATTTTATTTCTATTGATTTATAGAAAATGTTGTGATTTTGAAGAGCGGTTTTTTTTCACTGTGCAACAGAAGCCTAAAGAGAAGAAATATAACAATAACCCACAGATATGAGAAAAAAAGATTAAAAGCCATAAAATACTTTGCTACTCAATTAACGCTTTTTGTTTTATCTTTTGTTGTGACTTTTATAGTCAGTTAAATGTAATTATTTTACTACTTTTTACGTTAATTGGTTTTAAAAATACTCCAAGTGACCTCCGCACACACTCTGAAAGTTTTGACACCAATACAACATATATTCTGGACGCGTGTTTCGAAAGCTAACGGCGTGTCCAAAAGCAAAATATTTTCGCAAAGTCCATAAATAAGTCGGCGCCGCGAAAGTAGTCAGTAACCTCTGGCGAACCCGAGCCGCGTCAATAACGCGTGTAAACGGCCAGTTGGCGAACAGACGCATTTGTCATCTGCTTAATCCGCGGGACAGCACGTCCCACTCGCGGGACAAATGATATATACAATCTACGACTGAGATACGCCATCAGGATTTACGCTTGACTCGATTTTTCTCAAATTAAAAAAATTGCTAAATTATTGTGGCTGTTTGAACTGCTTTAACTTTTGAAAGGGTGTGTTTTTTCTTTTAGTTAATCCGGTTAATTCAAGGAAAAATATCTAGATTGGCTATTGTTAGTACCAGACATTAAAATCATTCCAGCAATTTTCTATGAGGAAAGGATTTTATTTATTTTATCAAGGAGATTACTGAAAAAAATGAAATGAAAAATTTCCCTTAAAAATAGATATGTAAATTATTTTTTAATTGGGATACTTATTAATTTTATTTAGCTAATTGGCAAACTTTTCAAAATAGAAAAAAAAATTATTTAAAAAATTTCTATAAGAAATATGTTAATTTTCAAAAAATGAGTTTTATTATTAATATTATTTATTCTTCAATCAATTTCTCCCAATGGATTTAATTTTTCTTAACACGTCTTCTTAGAAATTTATACAAACCATTGCTACTTTGTAAAGAAAAAAAATCGTCATCATAATTATTTTAGCAGAAATCTCTCCTTAAATTGTCATCTTTTGACCATAAGGAAAATTGAATTTTTAACTGGAATCCACCAAATTGGGATTATTTTTTATTTTTAAGGATCAGAATTGGCTGTCTGATTCTGAAAATACTCGCCCTTGGTAATCTTTTTAAAATGGAGATTTTACTATTAAAAGTAAAATGGTGCAGAGTTGGAAAGATGAAATGAGCAAAATTGTTTTTAATTCGGAGAAAAATTGCGTCCAGCGTAAAATTCTGATGGCGTATCTCATTGTTGGTTGAAGAAGAAATATAGGGACGAGTTTAGCGGAAACAAAGGCTAGTGGGGCCTGATTGCAGATCGACCCGTAATTGGACTCAATTAGCGAAAGTAGGTCAAATAGGTTTTGACAGGAGATGGATTCGCCGAGGATAGATCAAAGCCCTCTTCTTTCTTGTGCCCTCGCGCCGGTGATATTTGCTATTTTTAGTGTTTTGTTTATGCGCGGGACGTGCCGCAGCTGCCGGTGGTGCAGGAAAACGAGAAAGCCGCCGAATGCCATTTTTAATGCGGAGAGTGATCGGCAGCCAACGACCCCAAAACAACTCTCATTGACAAAGGCCTCGCGATCTCGAGCGCGCACGTGACTCGCGGGGCAACTTTTTGCGCGAAACGGCGGAGGACAATTTTAAGGACTCGTCGCTCCTCGACTTGATCGATTCCTGAGAGGAGGATTTATCAGCCACAAAAGGAAATCGTAAAAGTGCGTCAAACTTTTCTCGAAAGGTCTTTGCGCAAAACATCACCGGAAAGTAGCAGCTTAAAATGTGTATACATGAATCTTAGTTTTATCATTTTTGGGATGTGGTTTGAACTTTTTTAACAAGTGGCTGTGGTGCCTGTGGTTATTTTAAAGAAAACCGGCCGTTTTAACTGATATTTCCATTTTAATTAATTCGCGTGAATTGAAAATTAATTTAAAAAAAATTTGATTGCAAATTTATTAAACAAAAATTATCAATACTTTGATGAAATAATATTTGTTATAATTTGATTTGATATTCAAGTAGTAATGTTAATGAAGACATTAGAGGAATTATTTAAGCACAAAAGCTTTGTTCCAAAATTTAAATATGATTTTAGTAATTTTGGAACAAAGATTAAATAAACATTATTTCACCTCCATTAGAAATAAGTAGAAAAATGCTTTTATAAGTAAATCAATTTTTTTTTTAATTGTTGCAGATTGATGATGAGTTTGCAGTTGGCGGGCCGCAATGTCCACCGTCTGTGCGGCCAGTGTCCAAAGGGTTGTGCCACGTTCAAAAATGTTACACACACGCTGAATGCCACGGGGCCACTGACGGTGGCCGCCTGTGCTGTTACAACGGTTGCGTCTACTCGTGCATGCTGAAAATGCCGCCTCCATTAGGTTTGTCCGCATGCTAAATCTTTCCCAACTGTAAAATATAATAAAATTTTGTTTCCAATTTCAGTATTTGATTGGATCGATGACGAATCCAGGGAAATGCTCATAGGAAGCAACGGTTCGTAAAATTGACCATCAATTTTAATTTTTAAATGATTATTTAAAATTTTGGTTAAAAGAAATAAAATCAATATCAATTATTATTTAAATCAGTCGATAAAATGGTTTGTGCGTCCCGGAAAAAAATTAAATTCAAACCTATAATTAATTGGAGGACCGAAAATACATAATTTATTTGGAAAGATGAAATTTAAATATATAAATTTAAAAAAAAATCAATTATAGAGACTTTCAACGAAGAACCATGGAGTGCGTCGCACCAACAAAGTTCTTCAGAGGAGGAGGAGGACAGGGAGGACGAGGAGAACAGAGCAGAGGCCAACGCTGCGGGTCACGTGATCGCCCTTCCCGAGGGCTGCATTTTGACCAAGAAGGATTTTGAGCAGCTGCTCGCTTTCCAGCAAAAGGATCACGTGGACAAATGGTGCGCGATTCCATTAAAACTTTGCTTTAAAAAAATAAAAAATTCTAACACTTCCAATGTATTTATTTTCACATCAGTTACTGCAAGGACGGCGAAGTTTTTTGCAAAGTACACGGCACTCGCAAGACGTGACACATCTGGCTCTTGAACACGCAACCGAGCCCAAGAGAGACTGAAGAGAAAACGCCGACCGTTAATGAAAAATGGAGAAAAAATTGTGGAGCAAGCATTGAATAAAAATAAGCAAGATATTTTAAGATAAAAAAAAAACATGCGGCACGCGCATCTGGTTTCAATCAATATAACCGTCGGCGCGTGATTGATGTGGTTACTTAATTTAAGTAGAAATTGAGGTTTCTAAACAAAATTTTCAGGCAATTCATCAACAAAAAATAATGCTCTTAAAATTCTAGAAAGAAGTTCAAATTATTTTTTAGGAGCTAAAAAATTTACTGAGGAAAATTAAATCAGAATTTTTGTGAAAAGATTTTTATTTTGAAAAATTATTTTACAAAAATCATCCACTTTCAGTTTATATTTTTATTACGTAATTTAATTTCATTGAAACTATTGCAAAAGTTTTTTTGGCCATTTATATTATTAACCAATGAGAAAATGAAATATAAAAATTGAATGAAAAGATTTGTAATTTCGAAATTTTTTGTTATTTTTTGAAAAAGAAAAAAAAATAATTCTATCACCTATTTCCAACGTGGAAAACCCCTATCTCGAAATTTATGCGGCATATCAATATGTAAGTGAGTCACTGCCGGTGTCACCATATACGTTATTTTTCCCCTTTATCGCTGCTTTGTGCTTACAAACTCGCGGCGCATTTGACAATCCCCGCAGAGGCAGCACCTGCTGTCTGCAGTCACGTGCTGCCGAAGAGAGCTCGGAAAGGAGCTAAAAGATTCAACAGTACCTACACTATCACAATACAGCAGAGGCAAGGGAAATATTACGGAAGGAAAAAAAACCAATAAACTGAATTGAAGGGAAATAAAGGGAATTGAAATCGCATTATTAAGCTAAAAGCTAAATATAAAATGAATATTAAAAGACAACATGAAGAGAAGACAATGCTGGAGGAGTAATTTTTCGATTAATAACTAGATGATTAAATGAAAAGTATGTGTTATTAATAAGTTTACACTTTAAAAAGAAAAATGAATTTATTTAGGAGTCACTGTCTGAAGTGACTGACAATTTGTAATTAATAAATTTGACAAATTGATAAAACTTTTTTATAAATAATAAATTTAATTTAAAAAATTTAAAGAAAATTATATTTAACTACAATTTATAATTATAATTATTTATTACTTTTAATTTACTTGTATGAAAAATTAAAAGTAATAATTGTTAAAATAAAAAAAATTAAAAAAAACACTTAATTCTATAATTTGAGCAATAAACATAATTTAATTATAAATTTCTCTAAAATTTCTTTTATTAAAGAACTATTCATTGTTGTTTTGTTTTTTTATTTAAATAAAAAACAAACCGAAGTCAACCTAAAATTTAAAAAAGTATTAAAAATATACTGTTTACTGTTTTAAAAATCCTTTTTAGAAATTTGAAAATTAACCCAGCTAAGCCAAGAGAGAAACTCGGTGCACTGAGATAAATATTATATATTGCGATTGCATCTTTCTTATGCAGTGTGCGCGTTGTTTCGAAACGATATTTGCCGAGCGAGACCGAATCGAAGCTTTGGTACTTCCTGTCGGCGTCGCAACTCCGTCTCGCCACCTCCACTGCACACCCGAGCGCCTTCTTTAGAAAGTGAAAACAAAAACATTGGACTGTTGAGGACTAGTTGCGGACGGTTCGCATGCATCGCGCGCCGTGCCGCGTTCTGTCCGACGCGTTGCTCAGCGTCGTCGCGTGCGTCGCCCTCCTCCTCCTCCTTTCGGCGTTCGAGCGGCGCAGCCTCACGCTGCAGGGCCTCGGGGTTGCCTTGGCCAGCTTGGCGCTGATCGTCGTCGGCTCCAGGGACGCGTGCGGCGCCGCCGTCAACGCAGCGCTCGCCTGAGAGAGACGCAATGGACGCGCCGTTGCGATCGCTTGCGATGAGCGCCAACGTCGCCAACTCTGTCAACGTAGAGGTAAAATTAAACTTTAATTTTAATTTTTAGTTCCTTGTTTAAGAAACCTTAAATTAAATTTTAATAAAATTTCCAGTATAAAAATATTAAATTTAAATTTTTATTAATCATTCTTCATATGAAGTGTTTTAATTTGAAATTCAATCAATTTGAGATATGGAATTTTTAGTGTATTAAAATATTAAATACAATATTATTATAAACAATGAATTTTACTACAATAAATAAAATTGCCTCTTGAATTTTGTCATAAAATGAACATTTCTTTCTAGGCGGCAAAAGCAATGTTAAATTAAATAGGTTAATTGATAACAAACAATGACAGTTTAAAGAGTTAGGAAATGGATTTATACATCATTGCATTGTTGTCTTTTAACTTTATCCTTGCTGATTTTTTATCGAACAATGCGCAGTTAATAATTATTGCAACATTTTATTTCTTCATTGTTGGTAACCCAGCAACATTATATTTGAAATAAAAAGTCTAAAAAACAACAATGAATTTAATATTTTACCAGCGTTTCAAGAAGATTTCAGCCAAGAATCTTAGTCCAAGCGATATTTGATCTTCCTAAATGATTCCCAGGGTAAATTCTTATTTATAGTTTGAAAATTAGCTAGGCTACTTTTTTTCTTTTTCAGGTACGTTATTCTCAAATTTGCATCAAAGAATCAATTTTCTAATTAATTAGTTATTACAACAATGGAAAAACTGATACCAAAATTTTAAAGGCAGGACATTGATGCAGAATTTTTACCTTTTCAACCCACTGGAATAAATTCGAATTTTGACATTTGAAATCGTCAAAATGTACATCTTAAAAAATTATTCAATACAAAAATTCCATGTTATTATCTTCCCCACACGTTTCAACTAAACATTTTCCCTTTCTAAATTTAACAATGTTGTGCCACAATTTTTTTTTTATAAACAGATGACAATTTTCAAGGCTATCTATCCCATCTGTAACAACCTTGTTTAAAAATGGTTAGACCTTAAAATTTTTATTTTCAAATAGAGAGACGTCAGAATGAAAAATATTTGAGCTCCCTTGGATTAAATATTAGCAACTTGTCGTTTTCTGGTCCCCCTGCGAGTCCCTGAACATTATTTTTTCAACCAAAGAAAAAATGTGTTATTTTTTTCAAATAAATTGCTTTTTATAATAACTTCCAGTGGTTATCCTTGCGTCAATCATTGCTGGGGAGGCATATTTATTCTATTAACTTAAATATCTCTGGTGCCCAACCAATGTCAAGCGGCGATAACATAAAAGTTTGCTCATGCAGTCACGAGGTGTAACATAACCGAGCATGACTAACATGACGCCTTCCTAAAGAAGCAAACCCGTGTCGAATTTCAGATTATCAGTTTTAATATTACGTCAACAATACAAAAACACCCTCTAAAAAGCAATTAAACATCTTTTTGTGATAAAATTTTTATTAAAGGGGGGACTGATGAATACAATATAATATTTACCAATATTAAACTATAAATAATTTACGTTTTATTTGAATTTTATTGATAACCCTAAGTAAGTAAAGTTGAATTAAAAATTAATAAAATGGGAAATATAAAAAATTTATTTAAGATTGTAATAAATAAATAGTTTATAAAATTAGCAAATTAAAAATTTCATATACCAGTTTTTTTAATGTATGGTAAAGGTTTTACAAAGTAATTATTTAGGTGAATAATAAATAGATGGTTTTTATAAGATAAGACAGATAATATAACAAGTTTAAAGCCTGTATTCAATTGCTTAATGGACCTTAAATATTTCTATGCAGTACTTTCAATTTTGAATCTTTTATCAGCCCAACAATTTTGAATCTTCTCTATTAGATTTATTAATACAATTTTCTTCAATGTATTAATTTTTTTATAATTTTCCAGGTTGGTCACCTGATCCGTGTGGCCTCGAATTCTTCGTTGACCGACCAGCCTCCTGACCTGCGTCTGGGTGACGGCGTCGAGGTCAACGTAGCCCTTCCGTCCACCAGTCCCTTGCTCTTCATGGTCCTGGCGCGCTGGGATGACGTCGTCGGTCCGCAGACTCTTTACGTTTGGCTGCCAAAGCAGGGCGGGCTTTGCGGGGCCCCGATGCTGGGCCGGAGGGTCCGGTATGTCACGAGTCACGCCGTCAGCTGCAACAGCGTCACCGCCGCCTCAGGTGCCGCGTCCCTCAGGGTCGTCCCAGACCTGCGGATCGTCTTCATGACGCGCCTTTTCCACGCCTCCAGAGCACCGTTTGCTGTCGCAGCGGCCACAGAACTGGACAAGTTGTACTTTGTGCAGGGTCGGCACGCCTTGTTTCAAGACTGGATGCAGCGATTGGCAGACAAAATTGCACCTCAACTTCGCCAGGTTGATATTTTTATAAAGATGCCTGGAAATCTTGAAAAAAAAATTACAAAAAAATTAAGATTTTTATTTTGGGTAAAACTTAAATACTTAATAATGAACCACCCTATGTATCATATTTCAATATGGAAAAGGTCCAGGATTACTTGCTGAAATTGTAAATAATTACAAGCATGAAAATTAAATGGCAAATTTGGTTTATTTTAATTTTTTCTAGATTTTTTTTAGCAGATTTTTAAAATATCTTCAACGGCTTTATTGTTAATTTCAATTTTTTTTTCATAGAAATCATTAAAAAATTGAATCTTTTTCAATTTTCAATATGAAATACCATGAAATAATTTATTAACAAGTCATAAATATATTAACTTTGAAATTTAATTGGATACCAAAGGCCAGTTTTCATATATTCAAATAATCACTTTGTCCATACAATTTAAAAAAAAAAAAATGGAACAATATTAATTTATATTTAAAAAAAATTGTATTGATATGATTATTAAAATTGCAATCCTCATTTTAGTGCGACGATGAAATTATCCTCGGAGACGAGGTCACAAGCTGGATCTTGGACTTCAACTTCGCCGTGAGCTCAATGAAAGAAGCCAGCGTCGACTCTCCCCTCCTAGAAGACTGGTACGGCAAGGACCTTCTGAAGTATCCTGCCCTCGCTCAAGCCCTGACTTCCCATTTGCAAACCTTTGGCCAGTCCGTAGTCATCGGAGATAAAAGACCTCTCGTTAACTCGGTATGTTCCTAAATTTACGGTTAAAAATCCCAATATTTATTTATTTTTTCACAGCTGATCTCATTCTTGAGTCTCTTTCTGGACAATGACCAGAGCAAACGGTCCAGATTTGTGCCTTCCCATGGCCACACCTGTTTCCACGTTGGTCTGTGTTTACAGGTATGACAAATTTAAATAAATTAATTTAAAGTGTAATTTAAAAAGCAGCAAAATTCATTTGGTGTTTGATGAAATTTTTTTCAGTTTTAAAAAAATTAAAAAATATGTAATTTTTTCTTCAATATTTTAAATAATTTTTCTATTTTAAATTTTAAAACTAGTATTCATAAAACAATTTTGTTTTTTAGGGTTTGCTAGTAAGTGGTTACGGGTATAGACCTATTTCCTCTGAGGAGTTGTCCTGCTGTCCACTGCCTGTGACTACAATTGACCTTACAAGATCCTTGGAAAATGGAGCTGTCAAGCAAACAGAGCCCCTTCATAAAAGAACTCACGGGAGGACCAACTTTGAGCCAAGGTTGCTATAAAAATCAGTTTTAAAACTTTACTTATGTATCTGTTTACTGTTAAATCGTTGAAATCAATGAAAATCGAAAATAAATATTTTTAAATTTAAAGACAAAAAATCCCCCTCACCCCAGACCCTCAGAGCATATATTAATTTTAAATATTTTATTTTTTGAAATTCGTCAAATCCACCTCAAGTGTTATAGCAATAATGTGCAATAATTTTAATTTTTTCCATCTTAATGTTATCTCAACTTTTCAAAAACCCCAGGAACCCATTTAATTCTTATTTTGAATTATAATTTATCTTTAGAATTTGATCTACTTCTACTTTAATAAGTCAAGTGAAAGCATAATTATTCTCACTGTAAATTTAAAAAAAAAAAATTATCTGCTCTTAGAATTTTTTTCAACGTTTCAAATATTCATGATTAATTCATTTTCAAACTATGAATTTTGCAGATCATTGCTCTTGCCAGTGAAGGAAGGGACTCGGATGGTGGCCACCCTTCTCCAAGAGCTCCAGATGCTGCCTACCTCCCATTGGCGCGCCCATGTGGCCATTTTCAACAAAAGACTGGACAAACTTGCCGAGGCAACAGTCAGCCACGTGCGCCACTCCTCAGACTTGACCACCTGTGTCAAGGACGAGTTGAAACGTTTGCTCGGAGTGGACGAGAGGGAACTTGTGATCGTGGCCGCCCGAGCCGAGAAAATCAAGCCGGGAGTGTTTGTTTACATATTCGGTGCCAAGTGAACTCGAATTACAATTAAATTGTCTCTCTCATTCAGCTCTTGCCAAATATTTAATGAAGCTGCACAAATTCGTCCAGGTTAGGTTTTTAAGTAATTGCATCGATTGTTGATTATTAAAATAATTATATGTTTCGCCTGCTGCGGAAAGTGAGATTTTGTTGAGTAGCAAAATAGGTGCCACCTCAGTATAAAATTGTACAGCGCCTTCTGCATGTAAGAAAACTGCATATTTTCGTACATTATTAAACATATTGAGTCATTTGAAGCTAAAAACGTGTGTGATGAAATGCCAATTTGTACCTTGTAAGAGAATTTGAAATAAAGCTGGATTTGTCGAATTCCTTAACAATGAATTTTGAAAATATTATAAAAATTACACTTGATACAAATTAGTTCTTTTGTGGGATGATATGAAACAGACGTGCTTTTGCAATTACACCCACTTTGATTCCGTTTCAAACCATAATAAACAAACGCCGGAATGATGCCCAAAGAAGTGCTTGTGCTGGCAGTTTTGGTTATTTTAGGAATAGTTTTTATAGCTTGTCTCGTTCTCTTTGTCTACATTTGCAGATCAAGACATGCAAAGAAGATGACCAGGTATTTATCAAATTATTTATATTCCATTAATAAAATATGCTACATTAATTTGGAATATCAGTTAAAACCTGAAGAGCCATCAAATTAAATTTAATTCACATTTTCATGAAATTAAATAAATAATGTGTTATATTTGATCCTTTCAAAAAGGTTATCCTTAGAGTATGCAACCTGCATTTCAAAGCAGCTCGTCAGGTTGCATGGATTAAGGATTTTTAACCAACTATTGTAAAGTTATTTCAATTTAATTATAATGGTCGTTTTAGCGAAATCCTTATTCCAAACGGACCAACCGTGGAAGATTTCCGCCTTCATCCGAACATTGAGCAAATTTTGATGCGAGACCTGCTGATGGACACAACTGAACTAGAACCGCAGTGCCTGGCCATTCTCAGGTCTTGCCACAAAGTCACCGAAATTCTATCAGCCATCGCCGTTTCCCTGGTGCACAACCACAAGCTGCAGAGAGTTGCCGAGGTGAAATTTCTCAATACTTAAAAATAAATTTTGTATAAGATTTTACAATAGGTGGCGAGACAAACTTCGGACAGGGTGGATGACGTCATAAGGAGCATGTATCCGCCGGTGGACAGTCGTCTGTTGGAGGCGAGGGCGGTCGCTTTGGTGCTGACGGTTTCTCACCTGGCCACTTTGATGCACTTCACCTACAAACACAATCAAAAGGTGGCCAAGGAGATTGAGCGGGAATTGGCTGCCGTGGAGCCTTTTCTGCAGGTATATAGAATTTGATTAAATAAATAAATAATATGAAGCATTTTTTTTTGCGAATTTTTCTAATTGAAAAGGAACTAAGAAGTGCGGCAAAGATGGTAGATGCAAATGCAATCGCAGAACTGCAGAGCTCCAGTGGAGGGAAAAACCAATAAAAAGCATATTTATCAAAATATTGTAATTTTTGTAAATCATTACATTTCTTATATTGCAATCATTAAAAATTATTTTTTTCTTTCATTTTTTGCGTGTGAGAAACTTGGTTACTTATTTGAATTTAAAAAAAAACCTATCACAAAAATTTTGAAACAATTTGGAGCTGCGGAAATTAAAATGCTTTTATGCTCCTTTTTGGTGTTATCAGAGTATCAAGTGTGCGCCTGCTCCAATCTGTTTTCTGCTGCCCAGCATCCTGTTTTAAAGATTTACTTCAGTTCATGTGCAGTAGAAGAAACAGGGCATTATATCAGAGTGAAACAAAACCAACGAAGGAGTAAAAGAAATACTTAAAATAGGTAGTAATAATTCGTTTTGACGTAATAAAATGATTATAAAATATCATTTGGATTTTATAGGCTTAAAGAAGCGTCAGAAAAAACAGGCCAAACTTCAAGCATGGACCCGTTTATATTTCCCTATGAATCAGTCTACATAACATTCTTTGCAATTATGATTATGACATATTTTGGATATATTGTTTATATTGGTTATAAATTTTGGAAAAAGATGAAACAGGATAATGAAAGCGAGTGAGTATCTTTTTGGAAAATTTTTTGTCAGTGTTTCCTACATAATATTTAATTTTACAATCAGAGCGGTCACATCAAGGACAATATATCGTCCCTCAAATTCTGGACCGGCAATATTCTTTACAGATTCCAGTTCGGCAAACAACCAATATGACCCAGTCCCAAAATATGATTGTCCTCCAGCCTACGAATCTGAACCTCGCCAACCCCCATCTTACGAGTTTGCCACTGCAAATCGGAACCAATTGTATTCTGTAATAGTTTAAAACTCACAAGAGATCTCTTACAATGGAATCCATATTCCAGAAGTTTGTTCACCAAAGCAATAAATATTAAATTTTTATATGGAATTACGAGTCATTATTTGTTTTAAGCCGTTTGTATTTTTAACATGGCTACATAAAAAATCGCCATGAATTTGAGGAATTTTTCTTTCAAAATTATATAAGTTGTTTTGTAGCAAAATAAGTTAATTCAAACACTGCAGGAAAAGCATTTTTTTTATATATATTTACTCTTTTTGACTCTTGCTGCTTTTTTTACTTTGTGTTTGCTTCTGTGATTGGCCAATATATATTATTTGTAACTTTTCAAAGAACACACGGACGCACACACGATTTAATTTGATTTAGAATTACTAATTATATTGATTGATGTGTGTGTCTGCGCCAGCGGAAACTGTTTATTTTTTCATCATATAAAATCTTATATAGCCAACAACGGAATTCCCAAACTGCGATCTGACACTGGTCTCCGCTTGTGCGATTAAGAGTCAAATATATTTAGAGCATGATTTCTTACATCCGCTCATCTATCTTCAGGAGGAAAAGAAGTTATGTAGACCACGAAAGTTAAAATCAATCCGGATAGGCATTACAATTAAAACGATGAAATAACAAAATTGATGTAAAATTACCAATAAACTTAATTTGCAACTAAAAGTGTTGTTTTACTGCATATAATGCAAGCCACAAAACTAAATGTGAATAGTGGAACATTTGAACATTCACTGAAACATTTTAATTATATCACATGCAAATTGCAAGATGTAAGATAATCTAGTTCTGTATCGAAAAAATATTCAGGCTGGCTGAATTACCAAGCAAATTGTATGCAAACACTTAATTAATTATAAAAATTATAACTGCAAAGATTCTTAAAAAATAATAACTATAAAAGCTCCTCTGCAATTAATATTTTTATATTCTTAATTAATAATTATTGTTAATATTTAAAAAAAAAGTATTATACAAAAATTAACTTTTTAAAAAGTCATAATTTTATATACTGATAAAAATATAGAAAAATTCTAAATAATAAAATTAATTAAATTAATATTTAGCTCTAAATTATAATAATTTTAAATTACAGTAAACTAAAAGTAAATCAATTATAGAAGTTCTTACTTAATAAAAATATTAACAACTTACTTGTATGCAAAATTTAAAAAAGTGGACTTTTCTATAGTCAATCTTTTTCTCCCTTGAGCCTTAATTTGCATTATTTTCTCTGTTATTAAACAAGCGGCCGAGCATAATTTGATTAATGTTGGCAGGCGGAATAAAACATACTGTTTCAAAGAGTACAATGCACTAATTGCAAAAAGCACCATTAACCGATGTGACGGACAGAGAGCGACTCTAATTCATTTTCTCGCGCGGAATTATTAATGCATCAACTTTTTCTCGGAGCTCTCTCATTAAAATCGGAGTGGATGACCGGTGGCGTGCGGTGAAAAGAGAGAAAAATGCGGCCCACAATACGAAGAGAGCACGCGGAAATCTGTGCGATGATTTTCGATTTATTTGGTCAGTGCTGCGTGGCAATCGCGGGGCCTAATGCTGTTCTGCGAGAAAATAATAAATAATTGCACTCCCGTGTGCATTATGCGCCACAGCCGGAGAGCGCGATTGTGTGCACGCGCTCTTGTGGAAAATGAAGCGGTGGCGGGCGAATGCGTCCGCGCCGACAAAATATGTAATTTCTTTTTACTTTTCCTATACCCTCGGCATTTTTATACAGCGTCTGTTCTGCTTAGCAAGGAGAGCTTGTCGTCTTTAACTATACCACGCCATATGCTGCGATTTTTTTATGCTACACGGGATTATGATTTCCAAAACTTTCAATTAGCTCAGAAAGATGCAGTTTTGTCCTGTTCATGTACGAATGGAGGAATTATAATTATTTTTAAATCTTGTAGGATTACCATCTAGTCGCAGCTCTTTGAATATAAATCTCACTAAAAATGAAAAAAAGAACAAAAAAATTTCAACAAATACACTAATTTTTTTTAATGCAGATTCAGGAATATTTTTTTAATAAATTTGGCTGGCTTTTCTAACTCTGCGTAATTTAAAATTTAATATTGCAAAAAATGATGTTAAATCTTTAAATTTTCCTTCGTTTTCTTGATAAAATTAAAATGTATTCACTCTGAATACAATTTATAAAATTTATTTATCTCGGTACGGGATTGAAAATCTTCATAAATGACTCTTTAATTATTGTTGATTTGATCTGCACTTAGGAAAATTAGGTGTAAATTTCCTATAAATAGTCGCTTCATCTTTACACAGATAACAAGCAATTGAAAACCATTTTAAATGCCCTATCACGGTAGAAAAAGTTTAATGTAATTTTATAAAATACAAAAAATACTCAAATTTACTATCAAGTTAAAAATTTACGGATTTTACAACCAAAAAAACTGTTTAAAAATATAAAATAATTTTTTTTAGAAAGGATGAAAATATTCTTTTATTCTCTTAACTCGTTTTTGAAATTTTTCACGTATTTATTTCCACAAATTTTATTGGATTTCTTGAAGCTAAAGCTATGTGTTGCAAATTAATAAAATTCTAAAATTAAGCAATTTCCTTTAATTTTTGGTACATTTTATAGCATCAGATCTGATTTTTCAGTGTTTATATATGTTATACAATTTATATATTTTGTGTACCAAGTTCTCAGCCGTATATTTTTAATTGAAAAATCTCATTTGCAAAAACGTATACAAATAATCTTCCCTCGCATTCTCTTTGGTCCGAAAGCAGACAAAAGCAAGCTTGATTAAATTTGCTCGCGTCTCTCCGTCGCCGGCGCTCTCTGTTTTCCAATTCCATGAGTAAGCAGAGCACCACAATCTATGCGAAAACCTCATATTGCACGCAGCGCAGAGACCAATTCGAACGCGAAAATTGCTTCGTTTGCCGAATAAAAATGTAAAAATTGGCGAACGGCGCCGGCAGGAGACCAACAGCGGTGCGAATTATCTCCGTGTCTTTTGTGAGAGCAGAAAAGACGCCGGCGTGTGAGTATAAAATCAGAGTCATATCATCAAGCACTGGACCGAGAGGGAAATATATAATAAAACGTACCAGGGCTATTGTTTGTGGCGCACATGTGTTTGCCGAGAAGACCAGATGATGCACAAAAGACAAAAAAAGTGTGAGAATATTATTCAATTACACGTTGCGTTGTCAGATGGTACAATTCTATTAGTTCAGGTAGCAAAATTGAAACAAATTACCACGTCAGGAGAAGAGAAGATGCCAAAAATAAATCTGAGCTATCCATCCAAATTGAATTAAGAATTAGTAGATTCTAGACTTAACCTGTATGAAAACTGTCAGTATGGAATTAATAAAGAGCAAATCTTTTACTAACCACATGGGTCCCCCCAAATTTGATGCTGGCGTCCTGAAATTTTCGTGGCTTAATCCTCATGACTTGAAAGCAAACTCCATAAATTTTTATCAAAAAATTTTCAAAATTGCGGGTTTTACGGGACATTTTGAAAAAATAAAAAAACCTAATTATCTCGGCTCCCCGTGGTCGTATAATAAAAATCTGGATATTTTTGGTTTTGTCTCATCAATATCTACAAATATATATTAATTTAAAGGTCATAGGTCAAAGGTCAAGGTCATTTATTTTAAATTCAAAATTTCAAACTCAAATTTGAAGATGTGCCTCACGCTAAAAGTCAAATTTGACATCGTCATTCAATTCCTTGTGAAATTTTACGTAATATATGTCAAAATTGCGATGTGGTTATTTTTAGTTAAATTTAAAATAAAATTAAAAGATTAAAAAACGTTGTTTTTTGCCCCTCGGTGTGCAGAGTTCCTTAGAATATCATTAATTACTCGATTTGTGTTGATTTTAGACGTATATAGTTAATGACAAAAAGTGACCTTCTCAACTAGACCAATCGAATGGTGTGCATATCAATGACCTTTGGTGAACTTGGGTCAAAGGTCACCGTGACCCATGACCTTGAGTGAACTGACCTATATGTGTGATACGTAGTTGGAAAGATCTCGTTAAGAGGATAGTTTTTGTCACGGATTTTTTGTCTCTACGTCTACTAGAACCGAAGTTATTAGATTGTTTAGTTTTTATAATGCAGATATTGCGTTTTAATTATCATAAAACAACGATTAATTGAATTCTAGTAGGCCTAGAGACAAAAACCCGGTGATAAAAATTACCCTCTTAACAAGATCTTTCCAACTACGTATCACACATATAGGTCAGGTCACTCAAGGTCATGGGTCACGGTGACCTTTGACCCAAGTTCACCAAAGGTCATTGATATGCACACCATTCGATTGGTCTAGTTAAGAAGGTCACTTTTTGTCATTAACTATATACGTCTAAAATCAACACAAATCGAGTAATTAATGATATTCTAAGGAACTCTGCACACCGAGGGGCAAAAAACGTTTTTTAATCTTTTAATTTTATTTTAAATTTAACTAAAAATAACCACATCGCAATTTTGAAATATATTACGTAAAATTTCACAAGGAATTGAATGACGATGTCAAATTTGACTTTTAGCGTGAGGCACATCTTCAAATTTGAGTTTGAAATTTTGAATTTAAAATAAATGACCTTGACCTTTGACCTATGACCTTTAAATTAATATATATTTGTAGATATTGGTGAGACAAAACCAAAAATATCCAGATTTTTATTATACGACCACGGGGAGCCGAGATAATTAGGTTTTTTTATTTTTTCAAAATGTCCCGTAAAACCCGCAATTTTGAAAATTTTTTGATAAAAATTTATGGAGTTTGCTTTCAAGTCATGAGGATTAAGCCACGAAAATTTCAGGACGCCAGCATCAAATTTGGGGGGACCCATGTGTTCGGCAAAAGAATTGCTCTAAAGAAATTAGATTATAATTTTCAAATTAACACACTTGAATTTTTTACTTAGTCATAATTTTATATTTGATTCTAAAATAATGAAAACGAGAGCCAAGAAATGAAAAAGTAAATAAATATATAATATTATTAAGACATAATATTAAGGGCTTGCATTTTCTTCAACAAGGACTGCACTGGCAAAAAGCAAAAAATATTAAAATAAGAAAAATAATTTGAACAAATATTCAGAATTTTATAATTATTTCAGACCAAATTTTTGAAAAATTTTCTTTTCAAATGTTTTCTAAATTCTCGAAAGTCCGTAATTGCTTTCAACTTCACGTGGATGTTGACTTTTGAAGTGGGATCATGTGGTGGTTTGTTACACCCTCCTCCAGGCCCCACCCCAGCACGCGACCTGCGCGTCACGTGACCAGGATAATGGGAGCGGGGTACCTGCAGGTAAGCCTGCTAGACGGCTCAGTTACTCGCTAACAGTCTCACCTGACGCACGCCAGGGAATTCATCAACCACTGCAAGTGTTCGCCAATTGCAATAGAGTGTCACCGAGAGAGACGGACAAACGTTTCAAGTCTGAGGGGAGGACGATTTTTCTCATAACAAGCTGTAAGTTACTTTTTATAATTTCACAAAATGCCTAAATTGGTTTTATTTAATTAATATTCAAAATGCAATTTAAATCAGAAGGAAAAACACGAGTTCTCCATTAAAATGCTCAAATTTCAACTTACAGTAAAAAAATCGCATATATCTCATATCTTTCACAGCGGAAATAAGATACTGTATTCAGAAATTAATTTTTCTAATTAAAATTTGTTTTGAATGCAGATCTTCTAAAAATATAAATTTAAATCAATAGTTTTGAGAGGAATTGAGTTTTTTATGATAGTTGAATGCTTTGCAATGAAATTTGTGATATTTCGTTCATTTTAAGAAATATCCACGTTATTTTTCTTTCTGCTACATTAAGCTGACAATGAAATACAACTGAGAGTAAAAAAAAAAGACAAATAAACCAAAATCCAATCCAATCAGCTCATTTTGGTCAACTTTTGATGCTGTAATTAATTTATATAAAAAAGATATTGAAGCAAATAAAATTTTGTTTTTATTTGACAATATTAATCATCGTCCAGGGATATTTTTTAAATTTTCAAATATATCTGATTGCTTTTTCACCTGTAGAGAAATTTCTGGAAGTTTTTTATTTTTAATTTAGATTGCAAATTTTGCAGACACAACTGCTTTAAGCTGTTGGAGGCGGCTTGGGCCGGGGGCGGCGGAATGGAGGCGGCCGGTCACATGTACCAGCAACACCAGTACCAACCGCAGGACTGTTCCTCGTCGTACTACGACTGCTGGAACAACAACAACGTGTCTTACGGGAGCCAGTGGAGCGTCGACAGCCCCTCGGAAGGCCCCTCGCCGCCCACCCAGCAGTCCCTCGAGCTGATCCGGGGGCGGATCGTGTGTCGGACGGGCCTCGGAGGCGGCAGACGGCGCAGCGAAAAGCCACCGTCGCCGACGGTGGTCAAGAAGCGGAGACTGGCGGCCAACGCGAGGGAACGGCGACGGATGAACGGCCTGAACGACGCGTTCGACCGTCTTCGAGAGGTCGTCCCTTCGCTCGGAAATGACCACAAACTGTCCAAGTACGAGACCCTGCAGATGGCGCAGACCTACATCGGCGCGTTGTGCGAGTTGCTGGAAAGATCTGGCGGCAGGTGACCGACGAGTGCTCAAAATTGATCCAACAACAAGGTTTCAACTTTCGTACTTTTGTAAATTTTGTGAAGAAAATTATTCCGTTTCAAAAAGTTGATTTTGTTGAATTTTTTATCATTTTTTTTTTCATCCAGAAAATGTATTTCTTTTGTAAATTTATATAAATCTTTTAGAAAAATCCACAAAGATTTTTTGGTGTTCATTCGCGAGCTGAGCCGCGGGTCACGCCGTCTGCAAGTTTTGTGTACGAAAAGACACTTTTCTGCCGCTTTTGTTGTTGGTTTACCTAAAGTGAGTGCTGACTGGGGCTTTTTGGCCCGGACAAACCAAGTCGTGTGAGTCTGATTACGATATAAAATAAGAAGTATATTTTTGTACGATCTTCTTTTTTATCCGCACTTAAATTCTTTGTGCTTGTCTAATTTATTGCGAAAAAGTAAATAAATTCAAAAGTTTAAAAAGAATGCATTATTTTTGAGTTTTATACAAATTACATCCCATCTTTCAATGAGGAACTAACGAGGCGTTCTTAATTGATTTGAGAAGCATCTGCTAAATTAATCTTCCTCTCCGGCTCGCATTAAAAATCCATTAGAATGAGAACGTGCAAATTTATTTAAAGCGAAAAACGTATTTAAATAATTATTATTCAAAAATGGCATTCCAATCTGCCCTTTCATATTTAGTCTTTGGGAACAAATTACACTACCATACTAAATCCGAGTTGTTTATTCTGTGATGTCCGATTCTGAGAAATCAATCATCGCGATCGGAGAATGCACTCCTTCTTTTAAGGGGGCAGCCGCATTTTGACACCATCACGCCGAATAATGACGACTTTTTATGCAAGATAAGAGAGAATAGTCTCGCTCGCTCGCCGCTTTTGGGCGCAATTATTTTCGTGAGATATGTGTGAAAATCTCGCCGGTGACTTCAATGCGCGGGCCAAACGAGAGAAAAATGCACACAAATGAGCAGAGCTAAGAGAGATAAACGTTTTAAACCAGGGAAATGCCCCCGTATGTCATTTGAAAAAGATGGAGATATGCGGAAATGCAAAAGATGCGCTAAAAATGAGTCACGTTCCTACCTGGAATGGCCAAAGATCGCAACGGTTGATGGTCAACAACCCTGAAAAAATTAAAATTTAATACATTTAGATTGCAAAAAAGTCTTCTTATTAAACACAATTAAGCATAAAAATTGAACCATAATTAACAATATAAATTTATTTTTCCAATTTATAAATTTTAATCCACCATAAAATGTTAGATCACATTAATTATGGAAAAAATTCTTTACAATTTTATTTAGTTTGCAAATGTTTCGTTTTTGCTATGGCATACAAATTATTTTATATATTATTTATCTTATTTATTTCATTTATGAATTAAATAAAAATACGATTGTTATGTTCTGTACATACTAAACTTGTTCCTTTCTGTCGGAAAATTGATAAACAATAATCAAACTAAACTAAACAGATCATATTGTAATGAATTAATTTAGATGTATTTAGGCGCTCTTTAATGGACTTCTAATTTACAACATTTTTAGGGAAATAAATTAAAATTATCCGTCTCAGTATTTTCGAAATATTAAACATGTAAAATCGACGAATGGTTTGCAGGCAATTAAAAAAGTCAATAGCTTCATTTCCAAGTCCCAGAAAATCCAACCCAGGGTAAACCCAGAGCTTATTATTCTTTCTTTTGACAAGAAATCTGCCGAAATCTTATTCGCCAAAACAGCTTTTCTAAACAAATAAATGAGGCATATTTTACTTCTCATTTCAGAAAAGGAAAGACTTAGTACTGGGATTACCCTGGGTTGGTTTTTCTGGGAAAGAAAAAAATGTAGGTTTTGCAGAGGTTTCTGTGGTGATACAACTTAATTATTTATTTTTACTTCATGATAATGAGATATTTGAAAATAAATTATAAAATTTTCTCTTGTTATTCCATATGTTCGACATGGAAAAACTGAGCTAATAAAAAAGAATTGAAATTATTTCATCAAAAATGATAGAAATTTATTAACTTTAACTATTCTCTTTGTCCGACTATATGAGAGCAACTTCAATATTTAAAAAAAATCAGCATAAAAAACACATAAAATTTCATTGTAAGACACGAAACTCTTCAAAATCAAATAAATATTGGTTGTTTGTTGTATTTTTTTCTAGTTTGTATAGAGAACTAAAGGGAAAACAATCGTAATCCCTTTTTCAGCGCCGAGTTAATTCGTGCGAAACATGAACCTCTAACTGATATTATGATAGATGATGATTTTTTGCTCGTCCGTAACACGCGCTCTAGTTTTTTAGCCTCATTACGGCGAAGGTGTTGAGAGTTATTTAATTGTATAGGCGGCGGGCCGCGAGCAAAAGAGCAGCAGAGCCAGATGGTGTCTGCGTCTAACTCTCTTGTAACTAACTCGGCTTTGCTGCATATCAGAGGGGACACGCGAGTCGCGTCACAAAAAACCCTCGCACACACAGGGACGTGCAACAATGGCCGGTAAAAAAGCTAATCCTCTGCTCACATAGCAATAGGGACTGGCCCGACTTCTTATGTATTTTTTGCGACAGTAGAAAAATCCCAGGACAGAAGTTTCTCTGTTGAAATTAGCGCTTTTGACAGCCTAATAACTTTAAAAAGCAGCGAGCGAGCGTTGACAGATTGCGAAAATGGAAAATTCGCCGCAATGTGTTGGAGAAATGAGATTCTCTCACTAATTTATCTCTCTTTCTCGTCCCCCCAAATGACTGTGTGCATTTTTATTTACGTAGAGAGGCTTCTTCAATTGCAATTGTCCGCCGCAATTACTTTAATTTTTGTTTCATTTGTCCGTGCAAAAGAGGTAAGAAGGATACACAAAAGCTCTTCAAAGTAGATTTTTGCAAGTTAACTTACTCAGAAGATAGATACATAGTAAGTGACGCAATTTTGTTCATAAATGAGATTTTGAACCGAATGAAAAATGAATTTCAAATTTTTAAAAGTAGATTTTTTTAATATATATTTATATTTTAAACATATGTAAATATTTTTTATTTGCTCTTCTTATAAATCATATAATTTATCATGTTAAATACTCAAAACAAAACTTTAATACAACGTAAAGTTAAGTAAAATTAATATATTGACATGAATTCCGGGTAATAAATGATTTTCTTTTGAATCTTTTAGAAGTATAAGATATTCAATTTAAATTCAATTGATTTTCTAGGAAAAATGTCAACAAATAATAAAATTTTAAACAAAATAAATTAAAAACATTGAAAGAAATTATGAGTAAAAATAATAAAAAGCCTTCAATTAATTTTTAAAACAATTATTATTAAAAATAATTTTAATTTTTGTTATTAAATTTAGAATACAAATCAGTCTGGCCATTTCGGCTCCCATAGATTTCGCTCGGCAGAGTGCGAGCAGAGACAAAGATGTGGCAAGAAATTGACACGGCGAGCGGCAAAACGGTACCCCTTTGTCAAATTATTTTTTTCCCTTTAATTCTTTATTCTTTCCACTCTGTGTTCTCGGACGCACTGCTTCTTCTTCTTCTCCGTCTTTATTTGCGGCGCCGTGCGTTTTGTGTTTGTGTGCTGCGAAATGTATAGAAGCAGTGAAAAGTTCCCCGGACATCCACATTGTACTCCGGAGGGAAATTGAGCGCGCGGTCCACTGCTCTTTCGTTTATTTGCATTGTGTGTGACGTGCGGGACTTTTGATTCTTGCAATAATGCGCCGAGACCCAATTATCAGGACGATCTTTCTTGACAATTTTTCACCGTTCTCCTGCAAGATGTGCACAACTTTTGGTGTTGACAAAAGCAATCGATTTTGCAGGCGTAGCTAACTGTGTTTTGATGCGGTTTAAGCTTTTGAAAAGCATCATTTTTCCCTGTTATAATTGCATTCACTGTTGATTTGCTCCATTTGGTGATACCATTTGATTATATTATATATAAATTGTTGACAGTTATAAGCTCAGTGTTTTAAAGAATAGATACGGAAAGACTCAAATTAGTTAAAGAAAGGCATGTTTTTATGTTTGTAACTACATTCATATTTTAAAAAAGAATTCAGCTACTTAGTATATTTTATTTATTTTCATATCAGAAAAAATAAATAAACGGATATTAACCAATTAACTCAGTTTTCATCATGTTTCATTTTAACATTTTTTTTTCACAAATTTTTACGAATGATTTTATACAAATATATCAACTTACCGCACACATGACAGTGAGATTATTTGGTATAATTAGTAATTTAGATCTGTACTCTGGAAAAAACTTAAATTAAAACAGTTAAAATGAATTGCAATTTAAAAAATAAAATTCTCAATTATCATTTTAAGGTGTAAGCTTACCAACGCTAGTTATTTCATTACGGATATTCAACTTGAATGATCTCATAAAAATAAATGGCTTTAAAAAAAAATAGAGATGCTCATAAGCTTTAAATACAAAGAACAGTAACCTTGTGAAAAACTAGATAAGAGCATTGATATTGATAACTTTCATAAAAAGTGTAATAAACCACTTAAATGCTTTAATTGCTTAATTCCATATCATTTTTATGTGTGGTAAAGCTTACAATTTTGTCCACATTTTTCTTCTGATAATCTTACGAAAAGTTGATTTCGGACAATTTTTTAATATTTTAATGATTTTTATTTAGTATTTTTTTTTTTTATATTTTTTTATCTGGTCCCATTTTTTATTATTTAAGATTTAGATGAACAAGGGTTGACAAACCAAGATTCAATAGTTTTTGCCTTTAAATGTTTCTCTTTCATAAATTGTGACAAAAAAACAATTCAATTATATTTTAATTATATTTTAATTATTATTGCAAATTCCTAATTTGAAATTATGTGAATTATATTTACATGATTTCTTAATTGTAAAAAATATTCATGTGAGATATTAAATTTTAAATATAATTATCCCAATAAGTCATAATATTGTAGTTTTTACCTAAAAAAAATTCTTTTTTAATATTGTTTTCCAGCTTCACATTCTCTTACTCGGGGCAAAGCGGCATCCGCGTGCGTAATAGGCGAGTTTAATTAATTAATTTGGAATGCATCTCTCTCTGGGAGCCTCACGGTGCACCTCGGGGCCGATAATTAATCAATAATCTAGCATTTAGGCTGTCAATGAGCGCGGCACCCGTGAAAAAAACGGTCGGTCTCGGAGCGGAAAAAAGCGCCGAGTCACGCGGCAGAAAAATAGTATAGAGCCGCGTGTGCTCGCGGCATTTTCGATAAATCACAGCATCTTCCCAGAAGTTCTTCGCATCGCTCTGACTAATTGGAGGCGCAATTTGGCGCAATAAATCCCGCCGAAATCGAAAATTATTGAACAGGGAGCAAAAATGCATTTGTGAGAGTCATCCGAGTAAAATGACCGCGCGATGAAAAAAGCGCGAGCGAGACGGACGCCGGTTTTGGCGAGTGCGCGGTCGTTTGCCTCCTCTGCATTTTTTATCTGTAACAATACGAGTCCATCAGGACGTCCAACAATCTCAAATATTTGCACCTTGCTCTTCTATTGAAAAAAAATGCCAACAAAAAATTATGATGATTGATGATGTTTCGTATTGAATAAATATACCTTTAAAATTATAATAAAGAAACAAAAGAAATACACTGGAAATTGTAATTTATTTTTTTTTCAATATTTTTTTACAAATATTTTCAGATTTTTGTGTATTGTTGTGATATATCTGACGATGAGTAGGTTCAAAAACGATCCAGTTAATGATAAAGGATTTATTTTAGACTAGTATTCATTTTTGTACTGTTTCATTTCCTCCAAAATTGATTCTGTAAATGGATCTTTGCAAATTTTCATTCTGATTAAAAGTGTATTATGAAATTAAAAACCAAATATTGCAACTTTTTAACCAAAAAAATAAAAACACATTTTTGATGAATTTTCAAATTATACTAGTCTACATTTTGAGACTCTTTTTTTAATTTCTCGACTAAATTTTCAGACTTTCTTGTTTATTTGTTCCATATCATAATTAAATTTGAATACATGATTTATACCAATTAATACCTATTGCCAAGTGGTAAAATTTGTTTTCTGCAATTTAAATTTAAATAAATTTTCTTTTGTTGAATTTTTAAAAATTAATTAAGAACAGCAACAAAATTTAAGTATGGATCTTTTGCCGTTTTTTAATTACAGAATTAAATTTTTTAGCATTTTTACCTTTTTAGTTTGTTCTATTTAAAGAATCCAATTTTAAAAAAAAATGTTCATAAAAAAGTTCCGTCATTGCTATACTGACCAAATAAAAATACTTTTCCAATGCATGAAAGCACGCGAGTATATAAAAAGTTCAGAGCGTGTACCATGTTTTTTATTTATTATTATTTTTTTTTTTTAGAGCCGCGTGCTACCATTTTTATTCCGTTGACAATAGGAAAAAATTCGGTGGCGTGGTCGAGAATGGCAGCCAATTTGGTTCAGCAAACGAAAACGGACAAGCTCTCAAATTTCACGGTCATTGGAGTGATGATCTATTTAGCGACCGCCAGTTTTCCCAAACTTCGCGAGTCATTCGGCTCTCTGACGCTGATTACGAATTGACGCCTCCTCGCTTTCCGACCAAAAGAATGAAATCATCGCAGGCCAGTTCATTATCGTCGTTTGCCGAGAGTTCTTTTTGTTGTGTGTTTGTTGCGTGCGTTTATATTGGGTAGAATTTTCCGCTCGTTCCAATGTTGGCGCGCAGTTATTTTTGCTGCGTGGGGAAATAAATGAGCAATCTGCGTTTGGGCACCAACAATGAAAAAAATATATCCAAAGTCACTGGCCTCTGCTAAAGATGTTAAATGCATCTCACATTTTCAATTAAATTTTTACAATTATAATCAAATTGAAATAATGTCTTAATTTTAAATAAACAGCTTTTAATAATAATTTATTTTATTGAGATCATGTAAACAAAATTTACTAAATTTCATATAAACCTTCTAAAGAAGTAATAAATTAATCTTCATCAAAAAATCTTACCTGGTCTGTTAAATAAAGTGACAATATTGAAATCACCAATTTCTCTTCTGCTGCATATCTTTGCTCTACATTTCTTATTTTAAATTATTAAAGATTCTTCTTTAAAATTTTATTGTGAATAAAATCAAATTCCATCTATTTGCCAAAAAAATTTTTTTAGTGTACAAAAGCCAGTTTTTTTATTGAGCCATAGATATTATCATAATGCAAATCGTAAAGATCCTTATACCGCCAAAATTAAGTTTTGCATTAATTAAAAAATTATTCTTACAGCGCTCTACATTTGGAAAATTGCAATTAATAACATAACTTTGAAAGAAAATAAAACAATAACTTTTCCGGTTTCGATTTACAAAATAAAATTATTAATACAATATTTTCTATTGATTTAATATCACGCAGTGTTAATTTTTTTATTGTAGACCTGTTGTTGAGATTAATGGGTCCATTAGATAGCACCTTTGTTGACTTGTTTGTTCTTTACTCCAAAATTATTTTCCTTCCAGATAATGTCAGTGACGCTACCTGACTCAGCAGATAAATAATTGTCATTTCACACAACCATTTACTTCCTAATCAAAGGCTGTTTGCTGCTTATCTCCGTCGCTAATATAATTTTCGTCGCCGGCTCTCTTATCAACCCTTTACTAAGTTATGGTGACAACCGCATTGCACATCAAGGCTCGGCACGAAAATGACGTCTGCCAAAATAACGTCCTCGGAAAAATCCAAAAACAGTGGAGGCGACAACAAATTCCAAACTTTGGCTTGGATTTTGGTGCAAAGTTTGTGCCATGGAATTATTTTTGCAATTGTGTTCTCCATAATTTGGTACAGTTTCGTCGATTATGAACTCTTTTCTTTCCATCCAACCTGTTTTTCCATTGGGGTGAGTTTAATATGTATATATTAATTTGTAAAAAAATTAAAAAATATAGGAAGTATATAAGTCGAAAATAAATTGTTAACTTATTAAATTCAGTTTGATTCACTTATCGTTTTTTAGAGCTTTCAAGACAGTATTTGATAAATCAAAGCACCGATCCTAATCTCTAAGTGAAATTTTTTAGATAAAAATAATTATTTATTGTCTATCATGAGGCTGCAAGTTAAAACCAAGTATTATCAAAAGTATTAAATATAAAGAAACCTGCTTGAACACATAAGAGCTTTATTAACCACAGAGCTAATATGTAGCTCAGGCTACTTTAAGTTTAATGCCATGACTTTTATTATCATGACTCGTTGGCTGTAAGCTTTGAAAGTGTCTAGAGGCTCCCATCAGTTTATACATACATATTACTGTGTGATCAAGAATATAAATTTAAAAAATTATTGATAATAAATAAAAATTGATTCAAGAAATATTTTGCATTTAAATTTATTTAACTAACAGTAAGAACGCTTACAGATTGGTTATATTTGAATAAAATAAATAATGATTTTGGTAATTAGAGGATGTATTTTAAATTTCTGGAAATTTTTGACATTTATTATAAATTATATTTTTCACTGAATATAAATTTTTTATTCTTTGAATTATTAGTAGTTATTATAATAGATTTATAGCACAAATTTTGTTACAGAAACTTGAACAAATTGACTTTTATATCAATTTTATTATTTTACTTTTCAATTAAAATACCTTCAATAGCAATTCTGTAAGAAAATTAATTAAAATATTTTTCACATTTTACTTCAATTAAAAAAATAGAGTTGAAAGTAATTCAAGCCTCCTTTGAAAAATACTTATCGCCCAAGTTTTTCAAGTATCAACTAATATGCTGATTAGAAATAATGTGAATCTTTAAATTTAGTTTTAAAATTGGATTCATATTGATTTTTTTTCAGTACTTCCTCTTCATAACGGAAGGTTTCCTGATTTTCCTGCCAAACAGCGTGGTGACCAGAAATTTGAAGCGACAGACCATTGTCAAAATTCACATCGCCCTGCAGACCCTCGGTTTTGCCTTCATCGTTTCCGGCTTTGTGATCATCATCGTGCATAAGTTCAACAAGGGCTACTCGCACTTCGTCACCCCTCACTCCATCACGGGGTTGGTGGCCGTCATTCTGACCGCCCTGAGTACCCTGGGCGGCATCACAACCAGACTGAAGGTGCCTAACTTGGCCAGAATCAAGTTGGGCCACAACTTCATTGGTCTGTTGGCGTACGGGGTGGCAATTGCGGCCATGTGCATGGGGGTGTGGGCAGAATTGCGAGAAGTTATTAAAGAGGAGTGGTGCATCGTCATTATCGTTTTGACCTGCGTCGTGGCGGCCGTCGCCCTTGCCAATGCACTCTTTAGTTTCATCCGCAGGGTAAAAAACTTGTAAAATTGAATTTATGAAATATTAGAGTTGAAGAAAAAATTATGAATTAATTATGTAATTCATTATTGTTTCAAATTTTTATAAAAAATATCTTAATAATAAAAATTATGATAAATCTTCAAAGTTATGAGGATAATAAATTTAGTTTTCAAATTGATTAGTCCTTTTTTAAAAGGAGAAAAATCCTTTATAGATTGGAATTTATATTTTTTGGAAAAATATTAATAAATGTTGATTATTTTGAATAATTTCATGTGATTTCATGAAGAAAGTTGAATGAATATTTAACTTAAAGCAAAGAAAGTCAGTTCTGATTGGGTATTTTACTTTTTAAATATAACAGGGAATTTACAACCAAATTCTTCCATGTTCATTTTGCCATTATTAGTTAAAATTAGGATGACTTGCATGTTCGATTCTGTAAATTTTTGTTTATATTTGTCATTTGGCTTTAATTCGTATTGGTTTTGGAAAACAGAAATTTAATTATCTGTTTAAGAGAATTTAGATCTCTAAGAAGTTTAAAATCTTTTTCAAAACATAAGCATTTTACGCTTAGTTTAACAAAATTTGTATTAAAATAAAAATTTAATAATTTTCTCGTTCTTTAACTATGTCGTCAACTGGAATTAAAAATGAGTAGTTACAAACACAAATATATAATGATTTTTTTTTAAATTATGTAATTATTTCAATTAAAGTATGATTTTATAGTTGTTGTAAAAATTTGACGTCAAAATATTTAAATTTACTTCCAATAATTATTCCTGAATCATGCTTTGTTAAAAAAATTCATTCACAATGTGAATAAAAAATAATTATTCCTACAAAAATTGGACGTTTGCCGTTTTATTGCGGAAGCAAGTGAGCAACATGAATTTGATCGAAACTTTCCAGTAAAACAATTCCAAATTAACATGTTTTTGATGCACCGCCCCCAAGATCAAAACAAAACGCGTCATTCTTGAAAAGACGAGTCAATTAGCAGCACACGCGATCACCGTTTTGAATGCGCTTTTTCAGCTGAGGGAGCATTTGAACGGGCAAGAGACGAGTGATTGATTCCATACTGCCAGACGTAATGTGCAATTAGCTTACGGTAATTACACAGTGGAGGCCGTCAGCACCTCGCACACATGAAGACGTACATATAATGAGAGAGCATGTTGAATGGGAGGCGAACAGGCGGAGATTAAAAAGAGGATCCTGGATTAGCCACTTCTAATCCGATAATGCATTTCGCTTGGTTTATCAGACTGAAAGAACCTTGGAGTAAAAATTCCTTTAGTCAAACTATAAATAATTTTATTTTTCTAATTTTTAAATAAATTGGTTGAAGTTAAAAAATCGGTATTGCTTAATTTCAAATTTTCTTTTTAAAACAAATAAATTTAGTGTTAAAATTGATACAAAAAAGTAAAGTATGTATAACAATAAATAACTTGTTTAAATTCATTCATGCAATTGATTTCAAGATGCGAAGATTAAACTTGATGTACTTGATAAATCAGTATTTCATGACAAACAAATAACCATTCATTGGATTGAATTTGATCCCTATGTATATTGTTGGACTTTTTAACACTAATGAAATGAGAAGTCGCGTATGTATATGTTTATAACAGGCAGGGCGCTTCTTGTTTTGCGGGTGCGGGAGAAGAGACGACAGCAGGTAGGCGCGTGCCCTCGCTTATTTTCGTGTTCGGAGGTGGTTAGAGAGTGATACGATCGCGATGCCGCTAATTATCATTAGCCTCAGCCATGCAGAACCCTCGGCGCGCGCGGCATCTCCCTCACCTCCCCCACGAAACGGGTCAACTACTTCAGTCAACATAAAGAAGTAGAAATAATGTATATTTAGGTCAATTACAATTTTCGATTGAAGGTCAATCACACCTTATCATTACTTCATAATAGCCATTTAATAAAAATACAAAAAATTCGCGAAATATCACACTCTGAGAAAGTGATAAAAAGTTGTAACAATTAACTTTATTGTATTATTACAGGTGATAAGTCGTTAAGAAAACAAGTTAAGAATCTGAAAAATAAAAATAAGATTTGCGGAAGCATTTTTTTTTTAAATTTTAATTTCTGATAAAAAAAATTGACAGTGAGCTTCTTGTATCCATACTGACTGAGAAAAGTTACTGAAACTTGTAAGTAAAGTTTCAGTTTGTAAAATGCGCCTGTTTAATTTATTATATTTTGTAAACATCATTCAAGGGTATAATTTGTATTTTGAAATTTTTATGATCAATTTTAGTGCAGCTGATTTTTAGTATAAAAATATTTTAGAAAATTTCAATAGTGATTGAAATTTTGTAGAAAAAAAATCATCAGGCCGTTTTGTAGTAAAAGTCTCCCTTTAAAATTAATTAGTTTTCAGCATTTCAGGCTTCAAGTATAAAACCCTTTGATAAGCTGAAAGCATCTCTTAATAAAATAGGTGGATAAAGCAACCGACACTTCCGGTCTGCCACACGACACTTAATAAATAGACACACGAGCCGCAAAATTGCACATCAACAAAAGGTATGAAATTTCACAACGGTCCGTACAATTCAGCGTGAAACTACTTCCTAGCAGCATTTATCAATTTTCAAGGAAAAAAGTTATAATAATAAAGTGAAAATTAGTTGCAAAGAGAGTTTTATTTGATTCAAAACAAGGGCAACTTTTCCCTTTTTCCCTATGCTGAAAATTAAGAGACAGACTAATGGAGTATTTTTAATATTTTCTTTTAAAATCAATTAATAATTTATGGTAATTTTGATTTGATACTTTCAGAAAATAATATAAATTCATGATATTATACAAAAATCCAGAAATTAAACCATTTCTTTAAAATAATGAATTGAAAAGACCCGAGACAAAAAAATGTTTTAAATCCAAGTAATTAATTTTATTTTCCGTCTTAATAATAATAATTATTTTTTCTGGAAGTTTATACATTTTCTTTTTAACTATGGCGAGGTTATTATTTTTTTCATTCTCTCCTCTACATCCACCATTACTTTTTAATTGCCTACAAAATAAGCTGCTGGCTCATATTTCACGTTGAATACTGGTGACGGCCCGCTTAACGATTATTAGCAATAAAACGTACCCTCCTCGCTTGCTCCCCTGGCAATTGACTCCCTATCTGCTTTAGGGCCTATTGGCAGACGACCCCTTTTTGCGCCGAATTTAAAATAACGAGAGGGTCGTCATCTGGCCGCTCATTACGAGACATATGCTGTTTTTGTTTTGCACCGCCGCCCTTGACGCGAAAGTCACTCTCTGATAACAAGAGAGGGACGAGCCGCGGTCGACTCGGACAACCAGATGCGCTTCCGCGTCGATTTCGTTGGCTCGCTTACAATTTCATAATATGCATGCTGATTTAATTAGGCCACGCATCGGTGATCGCAAAATTTGTGTCCGTTTTTCAAACTAAAAATTTATTTTTCTTAATTAGTTATTCTCCATTCAAAACATTGAAATACACATCATAGCCGCGGACATAAAGTTTTACAAATTTGTACGTAATAATAACTAATTATTTATAAAATTTTGCTTGCTTTTTTAAATTAAATTATTTTATTTTATAATAAATAAGAACAACAAAATAAATTTATTTTGTTTTATTTACCTACTTTTATTTGTTTCAAAATTAAATAATTTTATTTAGAAAAGTATGCAACCTTAAACTAATTTTATGTAAAATTGTTACCATCCGTCGGCAGTAAGCATATTTTTTTTTATGAGGAAATATAGTAAAAAAGAAGTAGGAACTTCAAGAGAAATATGTGTATTTTTTTATCATTCATGATTCTAATTTATTTAATTTGTTTTGAATTTATAATACAATAATTCCTAAAACACTAGAAAAGTGATCTTTTTAATTGATTTATAACAATTACAAGGTAAATAAAATTTGATTCATTTTTATAGAAAATTGCAGATTACAAAAGGACCATTCTCGCGCGCAGCTTGTCGCATTTTTAGTGAGGATACTTTTTTAATATAAAAGAGCGTTACGAGTAGCATTTACGGTGTATATTATCATTTTATTTATTATCGTGCAACAATGGTCTCGTTCGCGGCACGGCGGTGAGATGAAACGCAGAACCTGTGCTCCCACATTACACACATTCGCGGCAGTCTTCATTATTATTATCGTCAAAGTCTCGGCGAGAGAGCGAATGCCAACAAATTTCGCAGCAGTGGTAGTTTTTCTTTCTCTCTCCTATACACGAAGAGGCACACACGGATAATTACGCACGCCAAAATTCAAACATGATCTCGCGCGGCCAGCAAAAAATTTTTAAAGACCGAGTGAGTAAATCTCGTGTGTGCTTCTTGGAGAATGAGAATATATAGAAAAATTAAGCGGTGACCAAAGGATCATGGTGCGAAATTAATTCCTTTTATAGTTCAAATGCGGATGTTCATTACCGAAAGCTCTCATGTGAGTGGAAATATTTGTAAAAAATACTTTTAAAGGGCCTTTCCATTACATAATCCTTTTTATACTTCAATTTGAAAGAAAAAATTCAGTAAAAAGTAAAATAAAAATTTGAAAAGAAAATTCAATATAAAATTTGTTGCTTGAGACTGTGATGAGCACGAGGGCCATTAATAAAATTAAATCTAATTATGAATTTGAAGATTTTTATACTTTTGAGGTGATAAAAGACGCGAGTTTAATTAACGTTCAACGCAATCAACGTTATATAGAAAGTTTCGCCACAATTAAACGCGTGCTGAATTGGAGCTGAGAAATAATTTCCCCTTTGCAACAAAAGCCGATAAAGCTCCATAACACCGTTAATGAAGGTTTTGACGATGACTCAAATCTTCCAAATCACCGCACTTTCTTTCTCTCTTTTCACGCCGCGACAATTAATCTTCTCGCGTTCCACAAACTGCCAAATCAAAAAATATCTTCCCAACTTGCTTAGGCACTTCGACGAATTCACGAGCATTCAATCGCCAATAAGCAAAGTAATTTAGAAATGGCAGATCCGCAATGGATAATGAGAGAGGCATAAGATAATTATCCTCAATTTTGCTTTCAACTTAACCGGCAATTTTCGGTTTTAATCAAACAAAGTGGTTTGCGACAAAAAATTGGGGACTTGTTTTTTGCACGACCTTTTAATTTTATTTTCAGCAAATTGGCGATGATATCAGCAGTTTTGTAAAAAGTGTGTCTCGAATTAATTGGTGAGATTATTGCCAATTCTATTGACTTGTGTCATTCATTGTCATTCCCTAAAATTTTTAAAGCTATTTTTTATGCAATTAGAGAAAATTATGATGCATCTTTTGAAGTGGACAGAAATTAAAAAATCTTAATAACAAATATAAAAAAAATAGATTAAAAAATAAAACTAGCAAATGAATCATTATAATATGGATTTGTGGAAGTCTTTTCTTTAATCCATACCCCAAACTTTGTTCTGATCCACGGTGGATCTCTGCATAAATTGTGTCATTCTGAAAAATATATGATTATAATTAAATAAGAATGAAACAACAACTATGAGAAATTTAACTTACATCAGACTTTTTAATTCCTGAACTATACTTTGAGACTTTCTTTACAATTAATATTAAATGATCTTACTATAATACTGCTTGACAATTAA